ATTTTTTGCCAATTGTTCAAAGGTAACAAAAAATGTAAAAATTTGCAACTGGAACAGATTCCAGGAACAATTCAGTTTGTCTCTTCAGCACCAGGCAAACTTTTATTTTGAGCAAGGCTCTGCCTAGTAGGGAACACAGTTTCCGGATAAATTTAAACAATAAGCACATTAATTGTTTTCATTCTGTCAACCCCATGAACAATTGGCAAAATAAAAATTGTCCCATGGATCTGACCTACATCAGGAAAAAGTGGACTTGCAATCACTTCAAACAAGGGACAATTGGGCAGTGAAGCAAAGCATTTGACAGATTCCCTGACAAATTTATCATTTTTGCGCCTTGTATGTAATAAATGGGACAATTTTTATTTTGACAGTATATTTGCCAATTGTTCAAGGAGGCTGACAGAATAAAAACATTTAATATGCTTATTGTTTAAATTTGTCCACAATTCTGTTCCCCAGGTGAAGCTTTTGCTAAAAGTTTTGCCTAGTGCCAAAGAGACAAACTGAATTGTTCCTGAAATCCGTTCCATTTACAAATTTCAATTCTTAACAGCCTTTTGTCCTGTGGATGTACCTTATGACACATTTCAAAAATAGTAACAACAATGTTTCTACATTTGGATGTCCTCTGCCTCCACCACCAGGAACTTGAGCTTGTAATAATTTCGCCACTCTTCGATACAGCTGGAGTGTGCCTTCTCCATTGCCAACTCTTCCTCCAAGGCCTTGATCTCCTTCCTCAACACCACCGCCAAATACTGAGGTCCCCTGGATGATTCTGCTGAAGGGGCCGCCACCTTGTGAGACAGACGAGGGGTCATCATTGAGGGACCAGACAACTGCTCAACCCCACTACCCTCATCCTCCTCCTCCTCCTCCTCCTCCTCCTCCTCAGCATTAACAGCAGCAACCATGTGTTGCTTCCCCTTGCTCTTTGCCAACAGCACTTTCTCTTCTTCTTCCTCCTCCTCATCACCACGTGCTGCAGACATCCTCTTCCCTTTGCTCTTTGCCAGTGACACTGCCACTTCTCCCTTCTCCTCGTCACCACACGCCAAAGATGTTTGACCCTTTATGGGTCACTTCTCCTCCTCCTCGCCTTCATCCTCCTCTTCGTCATCAGCCCAGCCTCTTCATTTTGACACTGCTCTCCAGACCTCCCTTCCAAAACCACAAACTTGTTTTCCTTCTTCTTCATGATAACAGGGTACTAGGTCATGAAATCGGCCTTTGCCATGGTGTACCCCTCCGCCTTCCAAGCATCCTGGAACTTCTCGTACATGTACATCACCACTCTGTCACATTTTGTCTTCAATATCATGCAATGGTGACATCCAACTTTGTCTGTGCACTCCCCGGTTTTCGGCTCACAGAGGACTTCCTTTGACATACAACTACTGCATTTCTGGAAAAGGAAAAAACTAGTCATAATCTGAAAGCGCAACAACACGCAATCCACTCACCACGTTCACCTGGAATGCCTCATGAGTCTTTGCCTTTCCCAACCTCTCCACCTCCTGCTTGCAAGAGCAGAAAATAATCCTTACGAGATCTGCCAACCACACCTCCTTCCCACCCACGGTAACCGCACGACACAACTTTACTTGGAGTTTCTTGCCCATTGTGTCCTGACTGGCCTTTTTCTGTTCTCAGGTAAACTGCGCAAGGCATTGAATCTCTGTTAATTGTTGGACTCATTCGAATTCAGTGTAGAGGATGAGCTTGCATTCAAGCTTGTTGCTCATGCAAGTGGGGAAAAGAAGAGAAGCTCAACAAAAAAGCTTAATTGCAACCACAGTCACGTCCTCTTGGGAACTTGGACTTAAAGGGCAGGTACTGTCACAAACCATCCTCGTGACCCTCTACCTCACATGACCAATCCACGTCAACCTCACTTCTCAGACTACAACACCGAACCAACTCTGACCTTGTATTCCAGCAAACCCATGCTGAACACATGTGTGCAACTCCAAGCACGACAACTCCAAATAGAACAAGCTAGTGATGAGCATGGGTAACCCACGGGTGTTTTCACACCTACCTTTACCCTTACCCGATGCAAACCCATACCCTTTCCATGGGTAAGGGTATTTCAGGGGTGGGGGTAGGGGTTTGTACAGGGTTTGGGGGGTTGAAAACCCACAACAGGTGAACGTTAGGGTCAAGTATAATGTACACTACATAGTCTAATCAATCAGTACATAAGTCAAGGTGACGCCCCCCTCTTTTTGTCGTGTCATCAGATGTCGTTGTGTCAGTCGTTCGACCATCCACTGTCATTGTCGTCGTGTCGTCGTTGCAGCGCGGCGTCATCATTGTGTCATGTAATCTGTGGGGGACATGTTAGAGACGTGGGTTGGGACAGGGGTGCTCACCGGTGGGTCATGAGATGGATGACAACGACGAACAATGAATTGGCCGTTGTTCGTCGTTTGGTTGCCACGTTGCTAACAGCGACGTAGCACCTGGATTCAATGTCAAAGGAAGGAGTGAGATGACGGGGTTGTAACGACTCACCTGGGCTCAAGTGGTGGTGCTGGGCAATCGTCACTTTTCATGGTGTTGGGCGCTCGTTGACATGCCAGGTCGTCACCGTCACCTGTCATCCATTTGGCTGGTGATGTGGCGTCGCCTCGTTGTTGTTGTTGTTGGCATGTCTAGTGGTGGTTCAGGGTGTCGAACCACGGTTGGGGAAGGTGGCGGTGGTTAAAGTGTGGTTCGGTCATTGTCAGTTGTCACGTCACTGACGTGGCACCTGTTTGTTGTGTGAAGAAAGGAAAGGGTGCAGGGGAGGGATCACATTGCGCACCTGAACTAATGTGGGCAGTGACGACGATTGCGTCGTCACCGTCTGGACGACGTGGCACGTCCGTTGACATGCCAGGTCGCCGTCAGCCGTTGGGCTGCTGACGTGGCGTTGCCATGTTGTCGTTGTTGTCAATGTGTGCGATGGTGGTTCAGAACGTCGAACAGCGGTGGTTGCAGAAGGTGGGGTTGTTGGTTGCGGTTGCAGGTGGTCGTCAATGTGGATAGTGGTAGTTGAGAAAGAAAAGTGTTTGTTTGTTGTTGATGTATGTAACATTCCTGGCAAACACCGCTCATGCGGCTCACATGATCTATTACATAATCTGTTGACCACCCTTGACTTACCCTCACAAAAACCCCCAACCCTTGTCAAGGGTTGGGGTTTTTTGAGGGTCAGAAAATCCTAACCTCTACCCTTACCCTCCCTACCCTTACCCTTGTACCCCTAAGGGTTTGCAAACCCTTGCACATCACTAGAATGGGTGCATGACAAAGTCATTTTTTATGCACACGATCAGGTTGGGAGCATAAAGATGCACCTGCAAAACCATATAAGAAAGGGGAAGGGGCATTGTTGATGGTTGCTCACCTTTTCTAAGCCAAATTTGAGTGGCTTGAGTCCCCAGGTGGAAAGAAGAGCGCACAAGTGGTGATGGGTCCAGGAAAGAACAAAGATGGTTACTTTACCAGTGACGAGATCATTGCTCAGGCTCATGCGGCCATGGACATACTCAATGAGTATTACCCTGGGTATGAGCACATCTTGATCTATGATAATGCACCCATGCACGCAGCACCTCAAGCACCCCAAAGATTCCCTCTCTGCATGTCGATTGCCCAAGAATACCCCAAGGTTGGCCATAATTGGGGAATCAAAGTTACAAAGTGTGATGCTGAAGGTAGTTTACCTTCCAAACAGTTCACTGGAAAAGGTCAAAATTTGTATGGGAGATGCACAGTTTGCTGATGGTTCCCCACAACCCTTATATTTTCCTGAGGGTCACCCACATGCTGGTGTTTTCAAAGGGATGGCAACAATTTTAGAGGAGTGAGGATTTGGAGACATGTCAAAAGTGCTTGCAGAATGCAAAGGTTTCAAATGCACACCTCCAGCAATTGACTGCTGTTGCTGGCGCATCCTGTTCAATCAGCTCAATTTCATGCACATCAAAACAATCCTTGAAAGCATGTGCGCCATGCAAGGATTCAGTTTTAAATGATTCTATGGTCTTTGATTTTGTGATTTGTGGGTGAGTAATATTTGATTCTCATTTCTCTTATTTTCTCAAGGTGTAGTTCCCAATTAGATGAGGATGTCACAACAAAGTAACTGCACATGACATTGGAAGGAAAGTGGATGTCCTCTACCTTATCATTCTTCCACCATGTCCAGTCTCCAGACATGTTGTAGGCAAAATGACCTGTCCTCCTCAACATATCCTACAAAAACATGTGGAGGCCTGATGTATTATATATAATGTATATAGCATATCTTCAGCATCAAATTTTCCTTCACCTGCATAGTTAACTTGTTGCATAACTGGATTTCATTTTTCAACACAGAAAACCAGCCTCTACTCATCTCCTGTGCTCAACCTACATCAAACATGGATATGACCATTGACCATGCATCCAACCCCCTTTGTTGGCATCAAGCTGGTAGACCATATAAACTCAGCAGTAGTGTTTAAAAGTCCAGTCCGGTCCGGTTTTTTGATGTCCCAGGGCTTAGACCGTAACCGTAACCAGTCTGCCTTTTTCCCAGAAGTCAAAAGACCAGTCTTGGTCTTCTTTGGTTTTAACCAGTTTAAGACTGGTCTTTTGGCCAATATTTTAGAATTATGACTTGGTAAATTTATTAACGTTTTTTTTAGCTTCAAAAAGAGCCCAAGATAAATTCTGTTAAGAATTGGTGCTTCTATAAAAAAAGTCTGGTACATCTACTATTTTCAATAATATTTTACATCTTCAACTATATCTTTGTCAGTTTTGGACCAATTAATATGTTCTTGGGTGCGTTTTGAAGGGTATTTAGTGGGCTACAAAAGACTGGTTCACTTAGACCGGTTTTTTTGCAGTCTTTACTTCTCAAAAATGAAAAGACCGGACCACAGGTCCAGTTTTTTGCAGTCTTGGTCCAGTCTGGTTATGGTCTTTTTCCAGTCCTGAGACTGAACTTCCAAACACTACTCAGCAGATCTGTTGTTGCAGAGGATCCCTATCACCACATCACCAAAGAGCATCTCCAGCTCAGATGTCCTACAACAATCATGTTTTTCTATCAATGACCTTCCTTCACCAACACACCATTATCTATATTGACTTTCACTAAACTTTTCTCTTTGTGAATCAGTCACCACTGGTGATCCTAATGATGGGCCATCACTTTGCCACTGACATGCCGACCCTCGGAAATTACTGATGTCAAGCTTGTGTGGCCAGATCACACATAGCAAATCGACTGATCTGACACCTCTTGGCTCTATCCAAGAGGTGTCAGGTCAGTCTATCTGCTATGTTCACACACTGCCAGACCAAAATAAAAAGAAGGTTCTAAAAATAGAAAATAAACCAAAAATACTGAAGAGAATTTTAACATCACCTGTATCATCTCTCAACTAATCCTTCAGGCTAGGAATGACTTGGGGAATTGACAATGCAGGGAGAGGTCTATTTCCGTGTGTCACTGCCACCTTCAGTGCAGATGTCCTGAACATTGTTGCTCAACCTGTAAAACAGTTCTCACTCACATGAGGATGAAACAGTTCCAAAACATGTATAAGAAAAGATAAGGTAGTAGGAAAAAAGGAAGGAAGGTATTGTAAATCTACTTCAAACGATGAATTTATGGCTCTTCACAGTCCAACATTCAATTTTCAGAAGGCAACCATGCAGCCTGTGTCATTGATGTAGGGTAATATTCTTAGTGTTCAGTACTTCATCCTCAAGAGGCTGAAACTGAGTATATGCTTCTTCTCTAACATAATTCAAACATAGAGGTATTAGAGAAATCATGGGTATAGACCATGTATCAACCACTAAGGGAATGGGGATGGTGAACAAGAAGAAATAGAACAGATAAATCTACATACAAAGCTTGATATTTGTAAAGAAATGGGCAGATTAAAATTCAGATGGCTGTATCTTTCTATACATTTTGAAGATGAATATTGAGTGACAAGTGACAGCAAGACCAGAAGCATACCCTCTAAAAATGGGAGAATTTTATGACACCAGGGATTCTATGATAGAAAATGGAGTTGACTTGCACTATATATATGAGATAAGTGATCTGATCAAAGAATGTAAAGGATACATACTTCCTAACAAAATAATGTATGAAAGGGAAAAATTCTAGAATCTGGAAATGGATTGAAGACATACAAGCTACAAAATATAAGCATTGTTATATAACAGGAAATAAAAACATACAATCTGAGTTAAAAATATATATATCAGGGCGATGGAAATGAGAATGAAGGGATAACCTACCCACTAAAAAAAGGAAACACATACAGTTGAGTGCAAAAAGAATGAAGGTTGGTTCATTTTTCTCGTTCTTTCTAAGAATATATTGTACCTCAAATGTATTTGTGTATTCTTTTACATTATGTAGTTGTGTTACACTTCCCTTGGATTTCAGTGAAAGCTGGAGCCTTGAGAAGGTTTTTATTCTGGAGGCCATTTCTGGCATCTGAAAAAAAAATATGTGCTAACTGGAGAGGTAGCCAGAACATACCTCTGGTCAACCTGAATGAACCTATCAAAGAATCAGTCAAAAATACTGAGCAGTTAGGTCTGTAGAGGCTTTGGAAAATGGCTTGTTTTGTCTAAAACAGGCCAAAAATGACCAAAATAGCACAAAATGACCATTTTCTGGAGGCTCTATCAGCATAACCACTCAGTATTTTTAACTAATTCTTTGGTAGGCTCATTCAGGTTGACCAGAGGTATGTTCTGGCTACCTCTCCAGTTAGCGCATTTTTTTTTTTCAGATGCCAGAAATGGCCTCCAGAATAAAAACCTTCTCAAGGCTCCAGCTTTCACTGAAATTAGTCCATACCAAGGGAAGTGTAACACAACTACATAATGTAAAAGAATACACAAATACATTTGAGGTACAATAGATTCTTAGAAAGAACCAGAAAAATGAACCAACCTTCATTCTTTTTGCACTCAACTGTAGATGTCATGAAATTGGTTTATTTGGTGCTCAAATTTGACTGACATCCTTGAATAATATTGACTGGGGGTGAATTATCTGATAAAGAATAATGATTGAATACATGTAGATCAAAAAATGAAAGGTATCAAATAAAACTTACAAGACATGCAGAGTGACCACATACTTTCTATAAGATGAAGAAAATTAATGCAAAAAATAGGTGAGTAGAATAGATCAAGAGAAGAATACACCGCCTCTTGTGCAAAATGTGCCGGGCACGTGGAATTTCAAACATCACCGCATCACAGTGGAACCTGGTTGTGGGGCAGATATGATGTGGTCACAACAGTGGCATCGTGCTAATGGCACTGTGTCACCAGGTCAATGTGGCCTGATGTTTGGCCGCCAGATGTTCTCCAGCTGCTAGCTCGCATAGAATCAAGAAAGTCAGATACCATGGACATGTTTACCATACATAGAACCAATAAATTTTTCAGCTGCTTATGCCCTTCCTTGGAGATACCCAACACATGTCGTCTGAGACACCTGTCATGGTATTCTCATGTGCACCACATGTATCTTCAACAATGGGTCAAGGTTAGCAATTGGATTGAGCCACCGGCAATGCAGCTCCAATGAATCTGGTAAACAGTTATATTCCAGCCATGTATCTCAGCTGCATGTAGGTAATTATGAAAGCACAATGGAACATTGACTCGAAAGGATGGATTAATATAGTAACATAATCAAAATGTAGTAGTTGCAAGACTGTGCTGAAGATACCGGTTCACACTCCCCAGTCCTGGCTCAGACTCCTTCAATCACATTGTCAATGGAATGCTGCCAGAGAGTGGGGTTGTCGCCAATAGTGTAGGTGGTTCCAATGCCATAAAGTGTGCAATCCGCTGTAAGAATGCCAGACAAGGCCCTGAAAGAAGTCAGCGTCGTTCCGAACAGCCCACAAAATAGGGAATGTGGCTGACTTTGTCATCTTCTTTGTATCCCCACCCGAACTACTGCGCAGAAGCTTGAGGCGACCATTGACCACATCCCAGAACTTGTTGCCAGTGTCCTCAGTGTGAACTTTGCGCTAGATGGTTTAGTTGATCAGGTTATTGTAACACGTGGCTGAAGAAGTAGGTGCTTACTAAAAGGGCCAGTCAGGCACACAGCGGCACGGTGACAGAGCATTGGGTGTTGCCAACAATGCCTGTTGCCAAATCAAAGATGTTGACGCTTTCACCAAGTGTCTTGCTCTTTTTGATCTGTAGAAAAAAATTAGATTGTATTGACGACGAAAAGATGTGGTCTTACAGCTTTCTTGATTTTGGAGCGAGCTTGGGTGAGTGAATTCTGCACAGCTGACTTGATCGTGTTCGCAGCGTGCTGATCCTTGTCGAGATTTTCGGGAATGTTGATGTGATGTAACATGATAATTGTGATGACGTGATCCCAAGGGATTGTTCCCTTGTATGCGCTGAGCTTCGCTGACAGTAGAACCGCAATGACGTAGCCTTCAATGTTTTCCTAAAGACGTAAGACTTGTGAGCTAAAGATGATAACAAGTTGATGAATAGGGACACAGACCATCAAGGCGTCAGATATCGAGAATGCCGGTAGAGAAGCGACGATGGCATCCAGTTTGTTCTCTACCACACATTGGTAGATAAACAACTTGATTTGGTGGTTTATGGGAGTAGCCTGGCAAGTCATTAGTAATCCGAACATCGCTAAAACTTGAGAGACTTTACCTGAACAAATTCGTCGACCAATGTTCATTGATAAGGGTGAAGCTTCATCTGAGTAGCGTAACATTGAGCAGCCACAGCTTCATTGCGGTTTATGAGGGTACTAGTGGAAGATGAAAAGGAATGCTCAGAACCTTCAACGTCCAGGGGTGTAGAACCCCCAGAAATTGGGGTGCTGTCTGCATCCAATATATGCCCCTCCAGGACATCAGGAGGTGGGGGACTAGACCGCATCAATTCTTCGAGCTCATGCTCTGCGAGGTCAATTGGGGAGAGATCATCTGTGGGGAGAGGGGAGGACATGAGATGGATAAATGAATGTCGAGGGTGGGCAGAGGCAACAAGGTGGAAAAGAAAGAATGGAAAAAATCAAACTTTGCTGGCACCATATGATAATATCAAATTTGAAATGTTGCATGGCGCAGTTTGAAAATGAATGGCATTGGACAAGACACGTGCACCATGGCAGGAGGACTTCCTTCATCGTCTGGCGCACAAGCTGTGGTTTGGTCAGAAATCCACCTGGTGGCAATTCGACCATGACACGAGGACACAAAACAAACACCCTGCCAGAAAGTGAGTGACAGCTCACCACTTTCTGAAGAATTATTGTATATTCACTCACCATGAGGACAGCTGCCGAGCTATCTGTGGATGGCACCAGAGTTTGTTGCATGCTGTGCATTGAACAAAGCCTGATGGACTCCTTGGCTCGCGATCCTTGGATGCTCCTAAAAAGTTTCAATAGCCACCAGAAGTCTGCAATTCACAAGAGGTCAGTGGCTCGGCTTCACGAAGCAGAACGTCAAGCGGCTGCACTGTGTGCTGCACAGGAGGAGGAGACAAGGACATTCACCGTTCTTGGCCAGTTGTGTGTTGCTGATTCCCACATTCCTGAGAAACCGGCAGTGATATCATCAGCTGAGAAGATGATGTGGGAAGACTTTGACATGGGTGACATCACTTTCGATGCAGGCAAGGACCACAGTGAGATTCTCTGCCAGCAGAGGCGTGATTTCGAGCTGAAAGCGTCTGAATACGGTGTGTGGGATGCCGCCGATGAGCCTCCAGAGTTTGTAGATCATCTGGATGCCGACAAACAGTGTGATGAGGCTGAGCAAGACGATTTGTTAGCTGACATTATGGAAGCTATGGCAGGTCTGTACCATCAAAAATATTCTTCCGAAACTTATCCATTATTTTGCAACAGAACAAGCAGAAATCTGTGAAGACACTGGTGACATACGTTCGCCTGATGCTGCTCAATGGTCTCCATATCCCTCTAAGTTGTTGTTTCTGCTTGATGCCCTTGACAACCTTCCTCGGCTTCGCATTTCGGGCTCGCTTATGAAGATGTTTCTGTGGTTGTTACGCGAGGTTGGCGTGAAAAGGGTTCCATCGTTTGATGGTCTTCGGAAGGTGCAAAAAGGTCTTCGCAAAGAGAGTGGAATTCCGACAATTCACTGGATGTTGCCGAAAGGGAACGCATTCTCGTTCAATGATCCCTGTGCCTTGGTTGCAAATGTGAGTTATTCGTGACATTCAGATTTGACAACACTGACCTGATATTGACCTTGATAGGACTGGGCCAATCCACTCGTATGTTCACAGCTCAAAGTCTACCCAGTGATACCCCGCGATGGTGTCATTTCCGAGATTTGGCATGCCCAGAAGTGGCGTCACAATCTTGATCGCCATTCTCTGAGCCCCATGTATGATGATGGTTCCTGTCATTACTACATAGACGAGCCAGCACACCTCAGGAGTGGCGGGCTCGTGATTCCACTGCAATGGCTAGAAAATGAGGCAGATGGAAAGATCTGGGTGGATGTGTGGGAAATTGAAGTTGAGGGCGGCATGGCAAGTCCAGTTTGCATTTTGTTTCGCACCCTGTTGAAAAAATTGCAGGCTACCATCAACGACGGCAAGACCATGACAATCAAGGCTGAAGACTTACAAGGCAATATGCTTGACCTTCAAGACACTCAGTCAATCCCAATGTGGAGTCCCGTCACCATTGCTGCTGGACATCCATCCCGCATGCCTAATCCCGACCGCACATTGGCAGAAGGAGACCCGCTATATGTCAACTTGATCAACGTCTTTGGCGACGATGTGTCAGGAAACCGAACGAAAGCTTGGAATAAACATTGGAATATTTACATTACTAATCGGAATCTTCCACGGAAACTGCTTCAGCAGGAGTTCCATACCCATTTCGTGTTGACGTCGACGCACGCCAGCATCCCGGAACAGTTTCAAGGCATCAAGGAGGTTATCAGGTAAGTCTTCGGAGTCCTAGATCAGCATCAACATTCAGCTCATACTTTGCAGAGAAACTCACAAGAAACTGGTCAAAGTACGCCATGCAACGACCGGCCAACAAATCAGGTTCAAGATCAATTGCAATTGTGGTCCCGGGGACAATCCTGCACAGAGCGAGGCATCCGGTCATATAGGTGCAAAAGGCAATCATTTCTGCAGGAAATGTCAGGTTGGAGGTTCACAGAAAAGTAAGGAGACCAACGAGGGCTTTCACAAAATGTTTTACGTAGGTGGTCAAGAAATTTGGATGAGAAGTTCTTCCGTTTGACGTAAAATTCATCAATAGGCAGGTGACGCTCGCTCATCTGAGCAAACATTGGCGTTGGTTGAGTCACAAGTTAAAACCGCCTGCTTGGGTGTTGCTCAACATGTCAAGGATTCACAGCAAGATACGGGAGTGAAGGATGGCTACACACAGTACTGGATTGATGTTTTAATTGATCGTGCTCGGGCCCTGCAGAAAGAGCAGCCGCAGCACACTGCCATTGATATTCAAAATGAATTATTTACATGGGTGAACGCCAACAAGGTTGCAGTCTATAATTCTTTCTTGACACTGGAAGGTATGTCCATTGACTCTTGACTCCAGTACGACTCAATACTCAATCAAATACCAATGCCAGGTTTTGATGCATCTTGTGATACGCCTGTCGAGATCTTACACACAATTCTGTTGGGAATTGTGAAGTACATTTGGCACGGAACTCACACATCCTGGAGTGTGGCTCAGAAAAAGACATACTCGGCATGCCTTCAAGGCACATTCACATCAGGCCTCTCGATCCATGCTATATGTGCAAAGTATATTATGCAGTACGCAAATTCTTTAATCGGGAGGCAGTTCAAAACTCTTGTCCAAGTAAATGCCTTCCACGTCTATGATCTAGTTGATAGCTTGCAATTTGCACTGACAAAAGCTGTCGGCGAGTTGACTGCTCTCCTTTGGTTCCCAGAAATCCGAAACCTGGAAGAGTATTTAGTACGTATCTGTTGAACCAGTGTTTGTGAATTTAATTACTGATACCTTGTTTCCTTTCAGAACGATGTCGAAACAGCTGTGGCTAACGTGCTAGACATCGCAGCATTGATTGATCCTTCCAAGATTATTGCAAAAATCAAATACCACCTTCTCCCCCATATCAGAGAAGATATCCTACGCTTTGGGCCACTTGTTGGTGTGGCGACAGAGATTTTCGAATGTTTCAACACCATTTTCCGATATTGCTCTATCCTTTCGAACCATCTTGCACCATCGCGAGATATCGCTTACCAACTTGCGGAACAGGAATTTGTCAAACATTGCCTTTCAGGCGGGTGGTGGGCCGCAGCCAACAGCAATTGGAAGGAGCCAGGACCAGCGCTACGGAATTTTGCAAGCAAAAATCCCGTGCTATGGACAATGTATGGTTGGATGCAAGCTGAATTGTTGGTGCTGGGTCTGTACTAATCACTCACGTCATTGTTCAAGTAGTAGCTTACTGGCAACTTTTCAGGTACAGTGAAGCTCATGCCTCTGAAACAAGGTCTAGACAAGAAGTTGGAAACACGGATAGGCCTAAGGTGGAGAGAAACACAAGCCGGCAAAGCTGTCAATGCTGCAATGCATGATTCCGCAGCACAGTTGTACCGATGCACATATGTAGTAGCCAAGTCTCAAGACCAATGCAAGGTTGGCTCTTGGATCTTTGCAAAATCACCCCTTCCTGAATGGAGCGTAAGTAATCTTCTCTTTCTAGCCACTGATATTTGCCTGACATGAAAGATACTATACAGGCTGATGCCGATTTCGTCACTGGCCGCATAGTCGAGATCCTCCAAGACTCAGTAAAGGCTGAGGCATTTGTCATAATAGATATCTTTTATATTGCAGCAACGCGCGATGAAATTTTCGGAATGCCAATGCTGCTACGTCGGTTTGGTGAGTCTGGAATGCTCATGGTTACTTCACAGGTATGTACATTCATGCACTACAAGATATATGTGTAAGCTAATCTCAACCCAGGACATTCTTTTTGAATACAATGCACAGCATGACTGCCGGCAGGCTCAGTGTACCGCGTCAGGACAACGTCCCCTTGTACAAGAACGGGTAGATTCTAATCTGATAGAGGACTTCATTGAGCACAAACCCCTTGATCGGTTCATCGTCAACACTCACGCACTGCATAACGCCCATCTCATCCAAGCAATTTTGCCCCGGGAGCTAACCGCCCCAATTCCGTATGCCGCCGATCGCCAAGCACATCACTACTCGATCGCAGAAGACTTCCGTCGGTCGCAGGAAACCAAGTGAGCAACAAAGGCTGCTGAAAAGGCTGCCGAAAAAGCTGCCAATGCAACAGCAGCAACAGCTGTTGAAGGTGGTGGAGGTACTGAGGTTGATAGTGCCGCTGCTCCCCTTCCTGGACCTTCAAGGAAGAGAAGACGTGTAGTGGCCATGTCGTTGCCACAGAGAGGGATGGGTGCCGCATTGCATGATGAGGAACTGCATGCAGGTAGAGTGGATGCAGGGCCCGGAGGCGGGCTCGGGGCAACATAGCTGATTGGATGGGTAGGACTGAGCTGTCAGGCTAGTGGTGCTCTGAAAGCCAAGACGAAAGGACGCGGGGCAGAAGGACGAGCCTTGGCTATGCTGTGATGCGCCGCCGGAGGGAACGGGGGGCTGTCGTTACTACTCCCACAGCCGTGCCAAAGCAAACACCCACGAAGGGACTCGGCAAAACCAGAGTGCCTATTGTGCGGTGCTGAAGCCTCAACGAAGCCAGACGAGGTTGTAGTGGGCTTGAGCCTACATGGTGATGGCTGTTGGAGACTGGAGTCGAGTGCCTGCACGGCAGCAGTGATGTGACATGAGGGCAAGCAGGAGGAGGCGGGCGACAACTTCAGGATGGCTGTGGAGATCATTAACATTACCGTGGAGGCTTTGAGGAGCAAAGAAACGTACGCTTGTATGTATACCAGAGACCAGACAATGAAATGACGAGCTCACACAAAACAAAGTGAAATAGTAGTTGACACCTTTGGTCTTAAAGACTGATGACATGATAAGAGCACAGGGACCAGGTGGTGGGCTGCTGGTTGGAAGCTGGAGCCAAAAGCTGTGATCATAACACAGCTGGCCAGTAGGCAATCGTGAAAGCTGGTCAAGACGTGGTCATCGATATCGGACAAAGCTGGCTTATGAAAGATGGTCTGGACCTAATCTTGGCATCGGGTCAATAACGTCTAAACATATCACAATCACAATTTTTGAAACTGTGGGAACGACGTGATGTACGATTGGCAGTGTATAAGGAGCTCACATCCTAAAAAGGAAATGTCAAAAACAAGTTGCTAGAAAACTATACAGTGGAGAACAAGTAACTTACATGCTAAGAAAGATAAAGAGAGATGATGTGTGACTCATAGCTAAAGGCAAAGCAGCTCACCCGCTAAGAAAAAAGCACCAGACATATGTCATCAAAAGAGAGCACAATAGGAACCAGGCCAACTCACAACCTGAAACAAGACAGGCCACATTGTCACCAAAAGAGTGCACAATAAAAACTAGGCCAACTCAAACCTGAAACAAGACAGGCCACAGTGTCACCAGAACATTGCACATTGAAAACCAGGCCAACTCACATGCTGAAACAAGACAGGCTACAGTGTGACAGAACAGTGCACATTGAAAACCAGGCCAACTCACATGCTGAAACAAGACAGGCCACAGTGTCTGTCAGAAGAGTGCACATAAAAACCAGGCCAACTCACAATCTGAAACAAGACAGGCCACAGTGTCAGCAGAAGAGTGCACAATAAAAACCAGGCCAACTCACAATCTGAAACAAGACAGGCCACAGTGTCACCAGAAGAGTGCACAATAAAAACCAGGCCAACTCACCCCCTGAAACAAGACAGGCCACAGTGTCACCAGAAGAGTGCACAAACAAAACCAGGCCAACTCACAAACTGAAACAAGACAGGTGGAAATCTATCCCCTATGAGGGGGATAGATTACACTAAATTGGAGAAACGACTCAACACGCAGATAGAACTAGACCACGTGTATGATTCTGGAAAACTAAGTGAGAGGGATACAGAAGGGAAGATGGAGATGATGGTGGTAAGGTAAGAAGAGAGATGCAAAGGCATGTATACGTGATGTGTATGTGGGAAGGTGATGCCAAACAAGGGTAATCCATGATTACAACAGGCCACAGTCTGTGTCAGAAGAGTGCACATTAAAAACCAGGCCAACTCACCCCCTGAAACAAGACAGACCAGTGTCACCAGAAGAGTGCACAATAAAAACCAGGCCAACTCACCTTCTGAAACAAGACAGGCCATGGTGTCACCAGAAGAGTGCACATTGAAAACCAGGCCAACTCACCTTCTGAAACAAGACAGGCTACAGTGTCACCAGAACAGTGCACATTGAAAACTAGGCCAACTCACAAACTGAAACAAGACAGGCCACAGTCTGCGTCAGAAGAGTGCACATTGAAAACTCGGCCAACTCACCTCCTGAAAGAAGACAGGCCACAGTCTGTGTTCTAGAAGTGTGCAAATAAAATGCAAGAAAGCATACCTTTTGAAATAAGTATTTAAAAAAAGATATCATGATCACCAGAAGAGATAATAGTCAATAGGGGAACAACTTACTTTCTAAGAAATGGTAGGTTCAGAAGAGAATTGAGTCAGAACAAAGATCTTTTAGAAATTTTATAATCACTTACCCACTAAAACAATCTGTTATAGGCATACAGAGATGTTGTGAATAGACTATATGTTACCTTCTGGATTTATAAACAAGCATATTATCTGTATCAGTAGCAGAATCAATAGTTATCACTTACTCTCTGAAACCAATGGACAGCTGATGATAAGATGTGACATATTATGCAAAATAATTGCCCACATACTGATGACAATCATTAGGATATATAAAGACTTGAACAATTTGTAGACATATGTTCTGCAAGAAAACAACTATAAGAATAAAACTTTGTGGTAACTGGTTTATTCTTACATTCTGTGCTTCGTCAACAGCAATGAAATGGCATTGTGTTGTAACTTACAATCTGTAAAACAATATTTCAATACCTATTAGTTCCAGTTAAATACCACATACCTCCTATTCACCTTACAGATTAACTTTTGAGCAGCATTATTCTTCTGTTACTTACTGTCTGTTTGAAGAGCTTGATAAATCAGTGAAGATCTCCCAATTATCAACTCTTACTTCACAGAAATCAATAACCTGTTTGAACAGCTTGGACAAATTCATTGTAACAATTGACCCCTGCAATGTCTTATACATATTAAGAGTGTGATGACTAACTGAGAATTGCAATAACTGACTTGAAACAAATTCTTTCCTTCTCTGACACAGCTTAACATCCTTGTGATCTGATAATCTCCATAAGTCATCATAGTATTATACCATATCTTGCCCTGAAAAGTTAGCAATTTTTTTATGAGAGTTACCAAATAGGCTGCAATTGTTTCATCAACTTTTGATTCTTGCATCTGAAATCCTGAAAGAATATGGTGTGGCCAATTGAAGCAAGCATAGTCAGCCACATCATCCTCAAAAAAGTTTTTTGAAGGGCATTCTGCCAGATGTTTCAAACAGTGCATGGCCAGATGAAGGTGTCGCAGAGAAGGATCAATGAAATATTGCTTTGATCGTGATTTGATGGTCAAAAAATCCCGGAGAGATGTGTGATAGAGCATAACAGGTAGTGTTCGAAAGTCCGGTTAGGTCCGGTTATTGGGTGCCCAGGGGCTCTAACCAAGACCGAGACCGGTTAGCCTTTGTCCTGAAACCTAAAATAACCTAACCGGACCGCAACTAACTGGTTACGGTCGGTTATTTGCAGTTACTAACCAGTTAGGACTGAAAAATAAAGAATTGGTTATAACAAGGCAAATATGCTCATATGTAGCTTGATAGATATTATTTCTGCATATTATAGCTTTAAAACGAGCCCAAGAACGCTAAAATCGGTGAAGAATTGACATATTTATGCAATTATCTACACATTTGAGTGATATTTTAGAGATTTGACCATAACTTAGTCAAATTTTGAGTGTTTTCGACGTTCTCAAGTGCGTTTTGAAGGTGTATAATATGGCTGGTTATAACTGGTTATTCCATTTTCAAAATCAACTAACCCTAACCGCGGTTAGGTTAGTGTTGCGGTTAGGTCCGGTTATTTTCCAGTTATTTTCCGGTTAACTAACCTAACTTTCAAACACTAATAATAGGCTCATTATCATGTCCAGGAATTTTGATAACAGACTGTATGTCCAGTAGCTTGCAAATGACCTCCTCATGTGGAAGAGAGAGGAGGGAGCTGAGAAAAGAAATAGATTTGTTACCCTTCAGAACAATGATTGTTCCAAGAATCTGACAGAAGTCTCCTGTCCAAGAAGCAGAAGAGAGAACTTGTTCATAGAGTGAATCTAGACCATTAGCTCCTGATGCCAGAAGTTTCTGTAAGGCCTTGAATGGCTTGCAATCTCCTTCAACACACTGGAGCAATGTAGTGGCAAATGCAAATGAACTGCCAGCCTTGTCAAGAAGTGTAGTGAGATCTTGATCTGATGGCCAGGGCTTTGGTATTCTCTGCATGATTCGCCAATTTTGGTCATAAATGCAATTGAATGTTCTCCAAAAATGTACTTCAATGTCCGGACGAGCATCAAAATTCTGAAGCTCCAGGCAGTGCAAAAACCAAGCTTCAGAACTATCAAGCTTTTTTCAAATATGTTCCTCTACCCTGCTAGTGAGGAGAACCTGGAAAGGAAGATGAGTCCCTCCAGAAGATGCAGTGAGCAAGACATCAATGAAGGCCGCCATCTGAGTTTTGTCATCACATTCATCAAGAGCATCAATAACAACAATCTTTTTCTTCACAAAGTGAGAGATGTTGTTGGAGCTATAGGAGAGGTGTGAAGTGATGAGATGGATTGGATCTATGATGAGCCTTTGAAGTCGATGAGCCAAAGAGACAGTCAACCCCAGCAGGGCAGGCTCATTCTCAATAACACTTTCAATCAATAGCTTTGTGCCAGGAACAGTGCAAGAAATCTGATGGGCAAGAGTAGGAATCAGGCGAGATATGTGGCTGCGTTCACCAGCACCTCGCAAAAAGAAGAAGCTCCCTAGAAGGCGGCCCTCGCCAGCATAGCACTCCGCAATGGTCTGTGCCAACGCCGATTTGCCATAGCCAGCTGGTCCATTAAGCCAGCAGACTACAGCTCGCTTATCATTACCATGGCCATCGAGCAACTGTCAGATTTGTGAAATCACTTCCAAACGAGTTCCAGAATCACATCGAGCGACATGACCTGCACGAATGTGTAGCATCGCTGACAGGCATAAGCAAGCTGGCTAGACCTACATGTCATCCATTATATTATTATTAGCGGTATTGATAGATTGTAAAACCTCGGCGTACCTGCAGCCGCCTGAGGGCCATAAAGATTAACATCGCCGCCGGCGCATATGAGTTGTGATCCAGATATGGTGGTTCCGATAGCGTTTTGGAGCAGTGCGGCTCGAGATGAAGATTCCATGAGTGAAATGATGTGTTGTAATATGAAGAGTAGGGAAGTTTGAAGGGCTAGAGACGTTGATAGGTCGGGTCGTCGTCGTGGTCGATGAAGAAGATCCCGCCTTAGTAGTACGGTTGCAAGCAAGTTGCAAGAGTGGAAATTTACCTTGTAATCTGCACCAAGATTTGACACAGCATCATCCGTCTGTCCATCGTTCTCTACATACTCCATTCTATCTTGTTTTTTGTAGATCACGGCGAATAGTTAATTGTCATTCCGCGAAGCTCGCCCGAAGATGATGTCCATCGTCTTCTGGGTCATGTGATTTTCGATTTGAGTGGAGTTCGGCCGACTGTTCGGAGATCGGCCGGGTAAAAGATGATCGAGTCAGTAGAAAAAGTTAGTCCTCTTGCTCTTTTGGACGTACCCCTCACGCTTCTCTTTCCATTCCCTCTCCCTTTTTCCCCTCATTTTCCCCCTCATCGCTGCTATTATTATCTGCGATTTTAAAAAGGTGACCATGACTCTTCCAGCAACGAGGATTCGTGTGCAAAACGCACCAAAGACCACCGCAACCTTCGTTCGATGTGTGTCGAGCGCTGCGGGGTCATCATCATCTATGGTAGAGGCAAAGTCGAGGGTACGCGAACACGCAAGGAATATCAGTCGCTCGACCGTCTCGAATGCAACGGCAGCACCAGCCATGTGGGTTTTTATTCGGTTTGGATGTAACTTTCATTCTCAAGGTCGTAATACCCCCCAGACGCTCAAATCCTGCACCTGGATTCCAGCAGCTCCCTCCGTCAAAAAAAATGAAGCTACCCCCTCCGATGTATGGTCCTGGTCCCGAACCTAACGCTCCTTTGGATCACACCTTCGTTGGACTGACAGGGGGCCAAATATTCCACGAGATGATGCTTCGCCACGGCGTGAAGCACATCTTTGGCTATCCTGGTGGTGCTATTCTACCTGTATTCGACGCCATCTACAAGTCCCCTCATTTCGACTTTGTTCTCCCACGGCATGAGCAAGGCGCGGGACATATGGCCGAGGGATACGCTCGTGTATCTGGCCTTCCCGGTGTCGTTCTCGTCACCTCAGGGCCAGGGGCGACAAATGTCGTTACGCCCATGCAGGACGCTTTAAGCGATGGTGTCCCCTTGGTCGTGTTCTCTGGACAAGTAGCCACATCCGCCATCGGTTCCGACGCCTTCCAAGAAGCCGACATTGTGGGAATATCGCGCAGTTGTACGAAATGGAACGTAATGGTGAAAGATATCTCAGAGCTCCCGCGGCGTATCAATGAAGCCTTTAAAATTGCCACTTCGGGCCGTCCAGGCCCGGTTCTCGTTGACCTTCCCAAGGACGTGACAGCTGGTATTCTCCGCACGCCGCTGCCTTACAAGGCCACCACCCCTGGCATCAACCTCGGACTCCCAACAAATCCCCTACAGGTACTAGACCCACCTGTAGACGCTACTTTGATTCACCAGGCTGCGGCACTCATCAACCAAGCCCAACGACCTTTGATCTACGCCGGCAATGGCGTCCTCTCTTCGCCAATGGGTCCCAAATTGCTGGCGCAGCTAGTAGAGAAGGGTAACATCCCTGTATGTACAACCCTGCAAGGCCTCGGTGCGTTCGATGAGACGAACGAGAAGAGTTTACATATGTTGGGCATGCACGGGAGCGCATACGCCAACTTTGCAATGCAACACGCGGACGTGATCATTGCTCTCGGCGCGCGCTTTGACGATCGTGTAACGGGCAAGATCGACACCTTCGCACCTGCCGCTCGCCTAGCCGCACAACAAGGTCGTGGAGGGATCATACACTTCGAGATTCAGCCGAAGAACATCAACAAGGTCATCGAAGCACAAATCCCTATTCTTGGGGATGTTGTACAAAATCTGGCATCGTTGGTCCCGTTGATGAAGTCGCCGCCCAGAGAGGAATGGTTGGCAGACATCAAGGAGTGGAAGACGAACTATCCGTTCACTTACGTGAAGGCGGCGAAAGGGGAGAAGATGAAGCCGCAGGAAGTGATTGAGGAGTTGGAAAACCAGACGAAGCACATCAAGGACGAGATTATTGTGGCGACTGGCGTGGGGCAACATCAAATGTGGGCTGCCCAATTTTTCCGCTGGAAACACCCTAGAACAATGGTAACGTCTGGCGGTTTGGGGGTATGTGGTTTAGTCTGACGCCTATCATCGCGGAGTTAATCGCCCTTCCCTTTTCTAGACGATGGGCTTTGGTTTGCCAGCATCTATTGGTGCTAAAGTGGCCGCGCCACATAAGACCGTCATCGATATTGACGGCGACGCCTCATTTAGCATGACTGCTATGGAGCTCGCAACTGCCTCACAGTATGGCATTGGTGTCAAAGTTCTTATCCTCAACAACGAATTCCAAGGAATGGTCTTACAATGGCAAGGTACATTTTTGTTCTGATTTCGCGTCCCGTTCTTCGTTGAACCCATGATTCAGATCTGTTCTACGAAAAACGCTACTCCCACACGAAGATGACGAACCCTGACTTTGTCATGCTCGCGAAGGCGATGGGCGTGCATGCCATCCGCGTTGAGAGCTCGGAGGAGCTCCCAGCGAAGATGAAGGAATTTTTGGAGTACGACGGATCGAAACCTATCCTTATGGAGTGTCTGGTGGAAAAAGACGAGCATGTTTTCCCGATGGTTCGTTTTTTCCCTTTTATCTCATCAATTGTCTGCGATACTGATCCTGTTGCAGGTGGCTGCTGGAAAAGCTCTGCATGAGCAATTGCTACACCCTTCTCTGGCTGGCGTCGTAGCGCGGGCGGCAGCGAAAAACAAGGCCAGATCATCGTAGTGTGAAAGAAAAAAAGAAATAAAAGCCCGTTACCCATCTATTTCTTTGGAATAGAGTTATAACTCATTATATTTCCTCGCTCTTTCGCCTTCTCCCTCCTGCCAGCTTGGCTTGTTTTTCTCTACATCTCTCACTTCATTCATTCTTGTTCTCTGTACAACGGTGAATATTGCATTTGGCTACCTTCCATCCCCTTTCTGTGCGCGGACTTTCACGTACAACTGTATCTATTCCGTTTACCCCATACTTACTCATCAGACACCCACGTTTGCATTATCTACCCAAAATCTGATAGGTCAGGAATATAGCACCATGATTTGTTTCCGTTTCCTTTTCAAACGATCCTCGGAGCCAACTCCACTGGTATCGATCTGGGCGCGACACAACGCGACGAATATCACTGTCACGCGGCGACGGGAACCCTCTCTTTAACGGGTATGTGAGTTATCTTGGATGGTGGAAGTCCTGGGAACGTTGACGTTTGCAAATGGGAACCAGTCAACTCCAGTTAATATTCAAGGTGACCTGATAGACGGGGGAATCACTGAAAATCGTTGTCTGTTTCAGCATCTCTCCGAAACGTTTTGTAAGGGGTGCATCTTCTGATCTAAAAACCAATGCATTTGGGAAGGGTTTGATCATTGGACTATCTTGAGACGGGACTTGTTACATAGGATGCTATGACTCTCATGACCTCTAAATTCGGGAATATACAACGTTGGTACAACTTCCATGTTGTTCAGACGGCCTGAGGAGAGACACGCCCCACAAGAACCACTTCATTCAACACTTTCACCCTTCGTCGGTCTGAGAATCCCCTGATCGGGGGACGGGGTGGGGGTGGAAGACTGTCATCTTGTTCAATTCTATTTCGGTGCGGAAACAGGTTAAATATCAGAAGTAGCTGCGATTGAATTGGAACAGCGACATACACAACGTTGATGGATGCAGTCGTCTGCTCCTGAACGGGAACATCTCGAATAACAATGGCTTCGTCCACGATGGCGGTGAAAAAGACTCCAACAGAGCCAGCCTAGTCATTATCAACGGTCAATTTACCACTTGTCACTACGAGGAAAAATCAACGCACAAGGACGGGGCTCTTGGGATCAGCAGGGACCTCGACAGCCCCTGCGAAGGAGATGGAGGCGTGAGTCTCGTCGAATTTCTCACCGCTCAACAAGTTGGTGAACTCGGTGCGGGAGATAGTGCGCCCATTGACGGTGATGGTAGCGTCCTTAAACAGGAAGGCGTCGAGGGCTTCCTCAAGGGCGCTGGCTGTCGTAGCCTGGAAGATTGCAGTGAGATGGTTCTTGGTCCACTGAGAGAGGGAGAGGAGAACGATTTCGGTTGTAGCCATTGTGAAGGTAAGAAGATGTCTTGACCTAAAAGCTCAGAAGGTGCCCTTTATATGTAGTGGAGGAGATGCGTACCAATGGCGTATGTTACGAGAATTGCTTCGTGCGATGGCGCCGTCGCCGACAAGATCGGTTTAGAGTCATGATTTATATATACATCTCGTCGCCCATGGAGTTTGGACTACATTATGGAGAATGATGAGCGCTGAGCGCAAAGCTGCGCTCGTATTTTCCTTGGTAATGGCGGAGCCTTTTTCCTCTTCGTCACCAGTCACGTCACTTCCCTTGTTTATCGGCAGAAGAAGCGAATTCATGTTCAGAACAAAGTAGCCCACAGAAATATCATTGTCGCCATGAGCCACCAGTTGATTCAGAATGGTCAGCAGGCCGAAATCCGTTCGACGCCTTTCCCATAGCTCGTTCTGCCGAACAGATCGCGGTAGACCTTCGGCAATTTCGAAGTTGATGAATCCCCCTTGCTGCTCAAATATACCATCCTAAATTCGCGTTGACCGTGATGGTGTATTCTTGTCCGGCATGACAGTCGATGGTCATAGACTGTTTTTTCTTTGAATGGGGAGTGGGGGGCGGAAGCTGCATAAAAGCCTTTCATCTCACGATGGCAACATTCACAGTTTCTTGAGACCATTTCCTAGTTGCGCCCTCCCCTCTCAGCCTTGACTTTCGAGTGCGCCAGGTTTATCCCATTCAGAAGATTTCTTGTGGACTGCTTGTTTTGTAAACCACTATCAATAAAGCTCCATTGACACCTCGAGCAAGATCTCACAGACTGGTACTACATACAGTGATCCAAAGAAGAACCAGGGTGTTGTCGAGATTGTTCGATAGTACAAAAATGTGCCGATGTATATTCCTCCGCGTCCTTGAATTGACATCTGGTGAAAAACATCTGAACGGGGGGTGAAGCTGGTGAAGAGGCCTGTCCTTTTTTGTTTTGTGTTCTTTTGCAACCGGCTTACGATCTGAAAGGAGCTTCGACATTGCACGATCAAGAGGTCAGGCTTCAAGGATCAGAGGTTCTCCAACCGTTCGCACTGCGAATCCGCTCAGGCTCGAAAAGATCTGAGAGGGGGCAATAGACTCACTATCCCATCCACGTTTTCCAACCGAAAGCCATCCGAGTCTAACGCTCGTCGACTTTCCAATCCCGTCAGAAGACGGCTAACAAAGGGAACTGGCCGTCTGTCTGAGAGACGCAGATCGCGGATATGGCAGGACACGGTGGGCGTCTGCATGAGGACGCCGGGGTGTACGAGAGACAAGATAGGGCCTAGGCTGGGTTAGAGAAGGGGGAGTTTTTGAGCCATCGCTTGGGGATGGTGATGGAGGAAGAGCTGGAGGTTGAGGAGCGGATGAGCACGGGATGGTATTTCTGGATGGTACTTCGTCTTCTTCTCGCGTTTTTGCGTCCGGGGTAAAGAAAGTTATTGACGACGAGAGTACAGAATGGGTGGTGAGCGTGAAGGGGATGGGGTTGGACGGCTGTTACTGCGGTGTGGGGTGGATGTCGATGGCAGGAATTGATTGGGCTTCTTGCTCATCCAGTCGTTTCGTTTTAAATTAAACCTTCGGAAAGATTCGCTTTTGGTGTGTATAGTGTGGGGTGCTATACAACTGTTAAATGCGAGTCAGAGAGTTATAGTGGTGAGGGAACAGAAGGTCTGACAGTGAAAGTGTATGGAGTGATCTTGGTCCTTCCCCGAAAGTTGTGAACCCATACTGCAACCTCAAAGGGATGTCGGATTTCGAGCTAGAATGCTCGCTGCAGCCCGGTAAGTACATACTTGGTAAGTACTGTGTGAAGGAGTTTCAATTTCATAACCCGATTGGGTTTTCTACAATGAATTCTCACAACTGATCTCCGACGGCTCTCATCTCTACGTGACGGTCGCGCATTGCGCAACTACTACACAGGAGTCAGGATATCCCACTTCGCCCGTGCTTTTGAAGTCGTCAAAACAAATTCAGAAATCTTATGTTTATTCCGTAGATTATATATACACTAACCCTGAGAAAAGAATGTCCGATCACTTTTTAAATGAAAAATGGGTTTTATCTTCAAACTCTTTAATCCTTTGAACAATATTTCATAGGCAGAGTGGACCTTTATGTTTACTCTGTACATCCTGCAAAAAAGATTGAACTAAGCAGCTGTCGTTGTGACACACATGGTGGGTGTAGGCCAGTCGATGCCGTGACCGTGGGATATAAACGCGTCGCGTCAAGCAACTTGCTGTCGATCTCGACTTCAACCAAAAACCGCACTCCCAAACCACATTGCGTATGGTCACATACCTCCTATGGCTCCAATTACAACCCCCACCAAACGTGCAAAGATTTGTACAATGTGGGCGGCGGGATACACCCACAACGAAATTCGCGATGCTTTGACTGGTCGCCACGATCTTTCTGACCGCCAAATCCTCCGGATCGTCAAGAGATACGCAGAAAAGGAGAATTACTACGATGTTGGACACTCAACTGGTCGTCCTCGGAAGCTCACGCCCCGTGATTTACGTGTAGCCTGCCGACACCTGTCAAATCAGACTGCCCACGATGCTTCCGACCTGCAGCGCGAGTACTTCCCGGATGTTTGTGTGGATACAATGAAGCATGCACTTAAAGGAGAAGGTCTTGAACCTCATATTTGATGCACAGTTCCATTCATCTCTCACAAGAACCTACACGTCCGAAAGAACTGGGCCGAGGAACGACTGGAATGGACCGTGGCTAATTCAAGGGGGTGGCGGAATGTGGAAAAGAGACCAACACTCGTTTTTTCTTTTTCAGAGTTCAGCTTGACACCCCCCCACCACCTACCTTCCTAATAGAGTATGTTTTTTCCACACATGTTTTATTTTTTTTAATTTGTAAGATTTACGTGGAACAAGTCAACTTTTGAGTCAACTATGCACAGGCGGTTGGCCACCTTTTGCCTAAGCTAAACAAAACGGCTTTAAGATATGTACTTGTTCAAAGATGTATGGTAAGTAAGGACAAAATGAGACGGCGTTTCTTTCCGAGCATCAATGTGTGATGAAAATCCTCAAAGGTAAATGGGGAGTCGAGGAATTGAGTTTCCGTTGTGCATGGGGTGGTGCGTGGAGCAAGGATTGCCACGGGGTGTAAACAGTCAAAAAAACCCACCAAAAATGCAAGAACTACGGCGGCGGGGACTCTAAATCCTTGAACCATTACCTTCGGATGCAACGTCATCCACGGAAATCCGTGCGTTGCTGCATCTCAAACTCTACTAAAACATCCAAAGTTCCAAAAGGCACATCGCTGACCACTTCGACCAGCAAATTGATGGGGGTCACTTTTTTTTTTCGGCCTTCGGCCGGACCACCCCCCCCCACCTACCCTTGGTTCGGGATCCACGTCCCGCTACCCCCTTGGGCTAATTGGATGGCTGTAAACTTCTCAGATGAGTCCATATTCCACTTGTTTGGGTCAGATGGTATAGAGTGGTGCTGGAGGAGACCAGGAGAGTGCTTGGATCCACGGTTCACGAAGAAGAAGGTCAAGCACGGTGGTGGGAAGGTTACGGTGTGGGGAATGATCACGGCACAAGGTGTTGGGCGGATCGTACGGATTGAAGGGAACCTCAACAAAGAGTTATATCGTGAAATCCTTGAGGACGATGTCCTAGGTACCTACTGTGAGCTTTCTATGGAGCCACGTCAATTCTACTTCCAGCAAGACAACGATCCAAAACATACAGCGAAGATCGTACAGGCTTGGTTTCAAAAAAACAACATAGATCTCCTTCCATGGCCACCAAACAATCCCGACATCAGTATCATCGAGAACCTTTGGGACCACCTCGAACGTCGAATACGAGCATGTAAGCCACTGCCGCGGTCGGAAGAAGATTTGTGGGTGGCTCTTCAGGAGGAGTGGTTCCGGATTGATGTCAGCTTTATCACGAAGTTATACCAATCTTTACCCCAACGAGTTCTTGCAGTTTACCAGGCTAATGGGGGGAACACGAGGTACTAGATAGTTAGATACACAAGTTCAAATTTCTCTCGTTCTCCAGGTTTAATCTGGCATTTCGGTTTTTTCTGGTTTCCTATTTTGGGCCTTGCCACATTGATTGCTATCGCATAATTCGTATTTGCATTTCTGTATCGCAAAACTTTGGAGACATGTTATATACCACTTAACCTTTCTTATACTCTTGAGATCCAATTAATGCGTTGTGTGGTTTTCACGTTATAGGCCAGACTTCATCAAAAAAACGATCGGACATTCTTTTCTCAGGGTTAGTGTACATAATGATATACCCCACCGGCATGCCTTTAGTTCAATGCGGACTTCGGCGATTTTCGACGTCTGCCAAAATACATCTGCACACCAGAACATATCCCGATCCTTGCGCTTTCCACCGAGTTTGAACTTCAAGGTTTGAGACCCAACTGGGGATTGGCATTGTATATGTATACAAAACATCAGTTGAATCAAGAGAGCGGTTACTCCACCCGTGTCGCAAGTCTGGCATCCAGCTGGTTCCAGAGTTAGAATCCATCCTTCGCAGAATGATAATCGCACCCCAAACAACCCATGGTCTACCTCAGGAGGTACCAGACGTGTGTGACTAAAAGGCGGGGGGACCGATATTATATTGACCAGGATTTGCCAATGTTTCTTGTATGATCATTGAGGTAATGTGGAATAATTGTGTGGTATAAGTTATACAGATATTGAAGTACAATTGTGGTGGCGCAGCGGGTGTCATAAAACCTGCGATGAAGGGTCAACATTCGGATCGGAGAAGAGCCAAAGGGATGAGAGTACGCACAAACAAGACCTGAAGAAAAGGCGGGAAGTCACTTAGGCTCCCAATAGTACCGAGGCGATTTAAATGTTCCTTGTTTTTGCGTTATTTCAGAATGATGAGGCGATGATATACTTTGGCGAGGTGATGATGATGACACAGCACGTTCGGGCTGAAAGGAAGTGTCAGTCTCCTTCCACACCGACAAGCCACGAAACGAACCTTAGCTATTGACGCGTCGACGTCCGCAATACCTCTCATTTCTCTAGATCTCGGTGAGTTTTCGAATGACGGTGATATTGCTCCTTGTTCTGGATCCCGAGTGAAATTGGCGGGCGAGTGTATACGGTCCGTGAGTCGTCTTCGCATACGTCTACGACGAAAGTAGAACGCGACAATGCCCACGACGACGATGATAACAGCTATAATCGAAGTGATGTTTAGGGATGAAGAAATGGCAGGTTCTAGAAGAACGCACCAAATACAGCGACAACCGCAGTTTCCCATGCAGTTCCAAGGTGTCCTGAGTGTGGGCTGGGTGGAGAGGAAACCATGGTCAGCTCTAGACGCAGACCAAAAGGGCTTGCTTGAGACAAGTATGAAGAAAGGGAGTTGAGGAGAAATCTGAATGTCGACATACTTACCCTTCCTCTTGATCTGTCACACGGGCCATTGCCGTTCGGGGATAAGACGGGAGACGAGTCTCAGATAATATTGGACAGAGAGGCAATCCCTGCGTAGAGAGGATAGGCGAAAGCGTCGGTCGACGGGAGGCGGAGATCGAGAACAGTGCTTGCCAACCTGCATCACCTTTATAATGCTGCCCAAGTACTTCTGGGCGAGGAGCAGGGCAACTTGCAACAACTTGAGCGAATGCCAAGAACCAACACCCTGTATGAGCAAATGCCAAGCCGACAAGGAGGTTGAGGAAGCCACTCTAAAACACGCCAAGAGCCCATGAGACGAACAGTGGAGTGTTCTTTGAGAAATCCTAGTCGAATACTACTTTTCGCTTGGTGAATCGTTACAGGCGAAATCATCGAGTAAAGTGCCAGTGCGGAGCCAGATGTCCTTTCCATTCTGCTAAGATTCTCTTGGAGTTTTCAAGGGTTTTCTTCCTCTGTTTGTGTGTGATAATAGTGGTCAGCTTGGCAGAAGCAATCTTCGACTCGTTTTGTTTCTTCTATGTTGTTCTTCAACCCAAACCGACTTGGCGCACAGCTATGGTCTTCTTGCAGGTTGGCAGGCGTTACATTTTGATCTTGAAGCCCAAGTGAACACGAACCAATCGGAAGACAAGGTTTAATCCACCTCCAAGATTATGTAACGCGCTCTTATGTAATAGACCTGACTGTGCGGTTCACGCAAGGTTCACGAGAGTAACTTTCAAGAACACCCATGGCGTCGACATTTGTTAGAACCGGCAAAAAGGTGGATGTCAGTTCTCTCAATTTTTGTCACGAGAATTGAATTGTGCAGGCAAGATTGTAGCCATTGGCAGAAATTATGCTGCTCACGCAAAGGAACTCAACAACGCACCACCCAAAGAACCTTTCTTCTTCTTAAAGCCCACCACCAGCTACCTGCCATCTGGAGGAAAAGTCGAAATACCACGCGGAATCGTCGCACATCATGAAGGTCTGTCCTTTCTTGCGCGTCGACCATCGTTCCGAGCTGACGCATTTTCTTTCCTGGGCAGTGGAGCTTGGACTCGTCATTGGCAAGCCAGGCAGGGACATATCGCAAGCAAACGCCGAGTCGCATATTGCAGGTTACAGTATGTCATTCGGGCGCTAGTATCAACTCAGGCTCATCTCGCTCGTTGTGTTTGCCAAGCATTGGCGGTAGATATGACGGCACGCAACCTGCAGGAAAAGGTAAAGAAGCAAGGTTTGCCTTGGTCCACCGTGAAGGGATTTGATACCTTCACGCCCATTGGGTACGTACTAATAACGTGCCTAGGCCATCCATCCACTGACCTTGCCTTCCTCCGGCAGGGCATTCATTTCCAAGAGTGCGATTTCGGACCCCCACGACCTAAGATTACAGCTCAAGGTGCAAAAAATTACGTCTTCTTGTATTATCCCCTTGGGTTTATGAAGTTGTCTCATTTTTCAAGGTAAACGGTATCTTGAAACAAGATGGTACAACGTCAGATATGATTTTCCGCATCCCCCGTGTCATTGAGCATGTTTCATCAATCATGAAGCTGGAAGTTGGTACCGAAGTTCCTCTCCCTAGCTTGATTGACACCTGTTTACAGGACGGCGACCTCATTTTAACGGGAACACCATCGGGTGTAGGTCCCATAGTTCCTGGTGATAGAGTGGAGTGTTCCTTGGCGAACGCGGCCGGCCAAGAACTCTTGACCCTTGACTTCACCGCTGTTGCACGAGAAGGAGGTTATCGCTTCCAAGAAGACTAAGAGGATGCCAATCACTGCATCTTGCACGTTTTCCATCTCCGCTTTCCGCATGGAAAACATTGAAGTCATGATCGTCATTGACTTCCAGCCCCAAGTGAATCACAATCATCATGTGTCCATCACAAGCAATATACATTTAAAGATTTTGTGTGTACCTATGTGCACAAGAATCGGAGAATTCTACAATTGTTTCTCCAGAATTATCCTTTTATCATTCGGACTACTGCTAAAGGAATCTTCCGACGTGTTGGAGTCGTCAGAGGTTGAAGTGGCAGAATCATTAGCAAACGTCCAGCTTTCCGTAGTAGGCGTCAACCCCTCATCCTCTGACGTCGCTGAATGGAAGTCTCCAAAATCGGCAAAGCTCTCAAACGACGAATCTTCATCAGAGAATGAAGATGGGAAGTTAAAGGGGTCTACATCATTTGTTGCCGCTGCTGCATCTGAGAATGGGCCAAAGCCATCCTAGAAAACGAATCCGTCACAGCCCGTACCAACGAGAAGAGAGGAACTCACATCATCATGAGCATTGAACGCATCTTGAGCCATAGCATGAGCCCTATTATCTCCTGGATTAAAGGCGTCCTGTCACGAATCGTTAACACAGTTTAGCGCAAAGGAAAAACAACAAATCTCACATCGAAGCCACTTGTACTGAGCGGTCTCCGCTCCGTACTCTGATGTCGTAAAGATACAGGCGGGTTACTCAAGCTGAAGGTGGATTGCGATAACCAGCCCTCATCTTCATCCTCTTCATCAGAGGATGATTCAAACTGGTCGGAGGAATGCATCTCCTGTGCCAAGTACCGCGCAAACTGAATTCAAGAGGACACATTTAGCACGGCTCTAGTCAAGTGGAAAAGGCAAATGTACCTGTGGGGCTCGTTTTGTACTGTCGTCTTCGTCGTCATCGCCGTCATCTTCCATGGGAGCAGGTCCAAAATCAGCAGTCCCCCGGGATGACCCAAGACTAGTGGCACGTCGGAATTGGCCCCTCACTCCACCTTCGCTGCTGTCCGTTGTCGCGCCAACGCCATTGCCAGGTGTTGCAGCAATACCACCTTCATCCCCCTCATCTACTTTCCATTGCGTAACGTTACGCTGGGCTACGATAGGTTTACCTCCACCCAACAACCTCGTGTCGCGCGTTTTGGTCTCATTATACCTACCCGTAACGTACTCGTCCCATTCAGGTTCAGGCGCGTATTGGATGATGATCAGCCTGAGGTCTGGGGGGAAATGCTCAAGCGCGGTGATAACATCTTCCGATATCAGTGTTAGGTGGCCCATGTAGCCCAATCGGCCACCTGTTGTTTTCATGCTTTTAACGCCAAAAGTTAGAGGTTGTCAAGAAGAATTGAGCAACACATAAATTACTTACCTCTCCTCGTCGTTTCTTCTTTGCCCTTCCACAATTTTATGCATGATTTTGGCATCACGAAATAAAGCAATGGCAAGCTCCCGATTCCGACCAGTGTGGACATGTCCGGTAAGGACTTGGTGGATCAGATCGTACACTGCACTATGTAGGAAATTATTCCACGGGAACTCGAAAAACAGATCCTGGCAAGGTGAGGTTCAGTATCTTCCTGAAGAAGGGTTATTTAATTGCGCACCAACAATGTCCCTAAAACATCAACGTCTAGGAAGCGTTGCTTCATCTGTTCACCGATGGGAAGGAGGGAATCTATGGAACTGTCGATCGTCGCTCGTCTTCGCGAACTCCTCCTTGACCCATGTCGAGAACGGGGTGGTGGTCTAGATGAGTCTGCATCAGGAGGAGGGCTGAATGGATTTATTATAGGTGAACATGACGATGGTGATGATGAAGGAGAGGGTGAAGAGTAGATGGGGCTAGGTGACATGAGAACAGATGGCTGAGAAAGCGACAGCCCTGTGTTCAGAGGAGATAGTTCCAGCTGAGACTGGGGCTCATCGTACATCGCTATCTCTTCCATAGCATCGTCGTCTGAGCTACCAGGTTCATCGCCATCGTCGCTCATGTCGTCATCGGAATCAAGTGAAGGTGAATGTTGAATTGGGTTTCTGCTGATGGGAAATTCGTGTGCGGGTTCGCTCTCGTCGTTCTCCTCGTCCATGTCATCCTCCTGCCGATCATCGTTTGAGTTGTTCAGGGCAATGACCTGAGATAACTCTTCAAGTCCGGCTAGACCACCTTGGAGACGACCCTCAGAGTCATACAAGTGATTGTAGGCAGCTGGGCGGTTCAAAAGCGACATGTTAGAACAGTGCAGCAGTTCCGCGAACAGTTCGATAATCCTGTACCGTTCCCATGTGAGCGGTGTAATGGTGCCAACGGTGGTCGATATGGGGCCTTTCTGTAAGAGCAATTTTTGTTTATTTAGTTTTTTAGTGAGAAAAAGAAACGTGCTTGATGTAAAAACTCACCAAGGACCGTGGTTCTTTTAGATAACGTCGGAACTCTGGTAATCGCACACACATGATCTCCAGAACCGGACCTAGAGAAACAACCCCCATTCGGTTCACCATCTCCCCCATCACCTGTTCAAGGGTTCCTCTTGTATCTTCTCCTTGTATGTGACACTGTTGTTGCACTTGGATAAGACGATTGCGGAGGGTATGGAAGAGGTATGGCTCAAAATAGTCCGAGTTATTCTTTCGTATCAGTTCCACAACAACAGATATTGAATGAACTATCGAAGATGTCGCGGATTCTCGATTTGGGAAGTAGTGGCTGGAGGAGCGGATATCTTCCACTCCAGTAGCAGTTGTTGGGGTCGTTGGAGCAGGGTCCTCCGGTAGCGTATCAAAATCATAAAGCATATACGAGACCAGCCTCGAGATACTCTCTGGACGAGCCAGTTCTCGAGCAAAACGATTAGATGCTGGTCCGTTTTGAAGTCCTTCAGTGAGCCCTGCACCTGGGGACGGGGTAGCCATCGAAATGATTCCCTTTATCAAGTCTGTGACGATTGTGTGGATATCGGTAGAATGGTCTGGCGAAAGTAGATCTAACAATCTGCCCATCAAGTTTTCTGAAGAAAACCACTGCGTGGAAGTTGTCACCCAATTCAAGGGATGTATAGAGAAGAACACACACCTCAACTACCCCACTCCCAGCTGGCGTCTCATCCAACTGGATAATTCGGACCAACAAGTCTACGACTGAGGAAACTTCAATGTGCTGCAACAGCCGTTCGACAATGGATGGTTGAGCTTGGATGAAGGCGAGCATCTGGGCAGCGCGGCATTCGCGAGACAGCCCTCAATAGATAGAGGGGGAAAAGGATTCACCTCTGCAGGCTTTTTGCTGAGAAATACCGAGTTAATTTTTGCGAAATGCGAAGCCATGATGGTCTGCGTTTTCATATCGTCTGGTGATCTGTCGAGGACGGTCTCCCAGAAGGGCACAAGGAGTTGTTGGTGCTCGTTCACACAAGTCTCGACGATGGACCATATTTCGCTGCATAGCACCTCGGTGGCAACGTAGGGATACCTTTACAGAATAGGATAAGCCCAACCCCAGGACGGTAGTAGGGATTCTCTAGAACAGTGAATACTCACTTGAAGCGCCCCTTTTCCTCGCTCTCCGTTTGCCCCGTCACATATCCCAACAACTTCTGAAGCACATCAACCCTCTCAAAGTATCCTATAAGCCGCGTGTTCTGCGATTTACACTCCTGCAGCAGGTCGTCCTCGTCTAAAATAGCCTCAAGCTGCACGTCCTCCTTGTCGAGAAGGCTGTCGATAGCTGATCCGTTGTTAAACCCGAATCTGTGGCAGAAATACCGCAGAGAAGGAGGTCAGAGGCGTTGCGTATAGGGTTGATTCCAGACTACCTCCAGAACATGGGGTCTCCGCCGCTGGCCCTTGTGTCCGATGTTTAGAGGAGGAAGAGGTTGAGAGCACAGCAGCGTCAAGCACGGACATGTCCGATCATCAACAACGAACGCGTCCCCGGAAAAACCTCTATTTGGGACTCTTCTCTGGTTCAAACGTTATGAATTTACAGCGAACTATGCATTTTGACACATTTTATTACATCGTACATGTAATTTACTTGGGGTATAGGATGTGTTAGCCCACGAATATGAGATCAGAACTGCAACATAGTCAGCTCTCGTGTGCGCTGAATGGAATTGGCAAGCTGCCCACCCTGATCTGGTAGGACCCACTAGCCTTCGTGAGGTAGCGGACCCATTTTATGCTCTGATAATTGCTCTTCTCGAACACTTTTAGAAACCGCACAATTAGCCCCGACGCCGTGAACATGAGCACCTGGAAGTCCACGTCGATAGGTGGCCTTGCCCAGACTTGACGAGTAGTGGTGCTTGTCAATGTAGCTGCAGCAGTGAAAGTACACTCTTGACCTCCCTGTACCCTTGCAAGCCTGTCCAGAATGTAAGAATAAGGTTCAGACCAGGACGAGCATACCACATACTTCCAAACGACAACGTTTTCAGAAGGAGCATATTTTGCCTTCCCGCTTAACACCTTACAGTCCACCGTGGTTGTGTTCAGTGGCGTAGGTATTCGTAGGACAACGTTCGTAGCGGAGAGCTTGTTACTAAAGTTTGCCTTCAGAGTTATCGTGTATGAAACCTGCGTTGTTCCTATTTCTGTGACTGTGGGGATGACGCGCAGAGGTAGCTTGACGTTGGACGTCGAGCGATACCTGGCAGCAAATTAGCTCAGTTAGCATGAAGGAGGGCCTCTACTCACCTCATTAACTCAAATTCACCATCAGGGGGGATAAAGCTAATAGTACGCGAAGCATCAAAATCGTTGAGCCTCACACACTGGTGGAAACGGCAGTCGTCCAACTCGACAGCGTCGCTCCCCCCTCTGTCATTCTTGTCGATCACCAACTTGTCGTTCAGACCAAATTTGCATTCTGGTGTGCCCGAAAGATAGGCACGCATTTGGATGTGGCCATCGACATCCGCACGGAGAACATTGCCTGACCAGTGGAGTCATTGTCTTGTACAGCACAGACAGATGCAGATGTCCATACCTTTGGCGCTCATACTCAGATTCACAATCTCAATAACGTCCACGAAAGCCTCATTCTTCTTGTATTTAACGTCCGCACGCCGCCAACTTGTTGCTCCTGTTGCTTGGCTGGTGATTTTCGAAGACTCTTCCTGCACCAAATTAACTGACGACAGGTTCAGGTTCACGTAAGACTCACAGCTGCGTAGTCCGACGATACAATGCTCTCGGTGGTGATGTACGTTTTCAAAGTGTCGATTTCGCTGTTCTGAGGATATCCAAAATCATTGATTTCTGTGAAGACGGTCAGAGGGGGCTCGCTGCGAATAATTTGCAAGTCCACTGACCATCGATGAGCTCATATATAACCACGAAATTGTTCTTGACAGATTCTTCGTCAATCTTTCCAAAATATGATTTGCAAATGTTGATAAATCGGTAACAGAACTCGAAAACGAGTGCAGCGTTGGCGTTGGTTCTGCAAAAGAATTGGCTCACACCACAGATGGAGACCAAATCTTTCCGCTCACTTTGTTACGGCCACGACGTAGAGGTTGTTCACCCGTACATGAAAAAAGCTGGTTGAGCCGAGCGTTATGATAGGTGACCGAACATCGCTGTTCGAGACAACTTGTATCCGGAATACGTCCGCAATGGATCGCCTTCATAAATGGATGTTGTAAGCTATTGCTTTACGCATCGGATAGTATAAACCACACTTGAAATCAGTTCGGTAGAGCCTTGAAATTAGGACCTTTACTATATGATGAGTTTACTTCCATGAACAATTGACAATCTACCTACTTCGCCCTTTTGATTGAAAATAAAGAACGCCTAGTGATACAAATTTGAGATGATTTGTTGTTCAATAGGCCAGAGGACGCACCGAGATCATGGCGAACAGGAGAGGTTGAGAAATGGTTCCGCGACACGTGCCATCGGTCACTGCCAAGTCAGCAGACCCTGAGACAATATTTTAGGAGCTCGCGTCCAACTCCGAGTCGCGTCTGTATCTCTACCAAATCTTTACGACAAGAAAGGGAGAGCTTTGCAGATCGAAGTTCTCGTTATTCGAACGCAACGATGTCTACCATGGCTCCATATCATACCGGTCCTATAAGTTTGGGTCTTCTATCGTCCTCAATTTATCGAATCTATCCAAATCACGCATGACTTGGTCAGCGCCTATCCGGGCCAAATGTCTTCGCAAACCGTTTGGAGATCCTTGGAATGGGACGCACCAAGGGGTATTCTGCCCTAATCAACCGTTACCTGATGTTTTCTCAAGGCTTTGGTTCATTATCAGCCATTCGTTGGTAGGTTTTTCCTAACTAATTCTCTTCGTGACGTTCACAATTTACACAGGATCAAGACATTTGGTTGAGCAGTCAAGCGCAAAGTGTTTCGCTTTACAAGGTATGACTACGTCTTGAAATAAGAACTAGCGCAATGCTGAAGTTTATAATGGTTTGTCAAATCGCTAGGCATTCAATATTGTGGTCTTCTCTGGCGTTACTCCATGGTGCTCCAAGTAGTGCAAAACCCTCATCGCTTGCTGATTTCCATTGAGTCCTACAGTTAGGATCGCAAGAGAATCAGCAAGGAAAAATTGGGCGTTGCACACGTGGTGAACGATTCCGAAGACGGATGACTACCCAGTCTCCTCACGGTGACATGGGCGCCATTCGCTCAACGGCTACTGCCCTGGTGTACGGCCGAAACCGCCCCAGCTCCCCCATGAAAAGAGAAAGAAAAAGAAGAAAAAGACAGAAAAGAAGTATTTTTCCCGAAGGCGTGTGGCTGTCCAGTCTCCTCATGGTGACATGGATGCCAACGCTCAACGGCGCCTGCCCTGGTTCACGGTGTCGGACCGTCCCAGCTCCCCCGTAGTAAGCCGCCTCTCGCTTAACGGACGCCGCCACTACTCCGCGAGATCACCCGCCCACCGCCGGTCACGACAGAGCCGCTTTGTCGCCCCAGCACCGCACCCCGCCCCCTCCGAAGGCGTGTGACTGTCCAGCCTCCTCACGGTGACATGGATGCCAACGCTCAACGGCCCCTGCCCTGGTTCACGGTGTCGGTACCGTCCCAGCCCCCCCGTAGTAAGCCGCCTCTCGCCAAACGGACGCCGCCACTACTCCGCGAGATCACCCGCCCACCTCGCCGGTAACGACAGAGCCGCTGTGTCGCCCCAGCACCGCACCTTCCCCGTGCGCACCTCCACCTCCACACCACACCGAACGTACACAGAAAAAGAAACAGCATAGTTACCTCGATATTTCATGGCCAGCGATGTTAACCAGGATCCTGCAAAGCGAGTTAGTAACTTCGTTTTATTACCTTGAGCAGCTCGGCGTGGCCCATATCTTGCAAAGCCGGCGTGAAGATGTTGGGTGTCGAACCGTCGAAGATGGTGGAGGGGAATCCTAGTGGAGGGAGCGGAGCGTGGTTGCAAAGGCGGGTTTGAGTGGAGGAGGTGGTAGACCGAGGTCAAGTTGTGAGAGACATAAGACGCATCCTGACGAGGTTTATATACCTTTCTGGAGTGGCTGACCCTCGGGAAGTCCCCTTGGATGTCGTTAAAAATAGAATGACTAATGAAACTAGTTGCGAAGACGTACCCTGCTTCAAGTTCAGATTTTCTGATTTGCGTATACAATATCGTAGTAATTCAGCAGGCAACCCGGGCTAGAGCAAACTAGAGGTCGCCTAACTTTGGCGTGGAGAATTGGCCGCCCAGGTGCTGTGAACCACCTTACCATCTATAACATGAATTTCGGTCAAAGTGCATATGGCGATCGACAAATACGGCGCTTCAACTAAGCCAGAGCTTCAAAGTTCAACTTGCTTCAGCCATCGACACAAACTCCTCGAAATCCTGCATACCTAATTTCCGCCGCATTAACTACCCATCTCGCAAGAGCGGTTCATTGCCTTGTGATTTAGTGAAGATAAAGATGTTAGAAAAGGATATCATTTGGATCTCGGGGGTATACAGTCAGTCTACTATTGATATTGAACGTTATAGAAATCAATCGCGCCAGAAAAACAGGCGGCCGCGGAGAGAATGCTTCCTCTTCTCCAGTCTGATCTCCTCGTCCTCCTGCCTCCATTGCGCTTGTAATTGCATGAGAGGTGATTGCTTCACCTGCTCCATCGCCTCACTAAACACCCACACCCGTCCCTGAAGTTGGGCAGACAGGCGGAGCTGCATCTCCATTACCTCGTCGACCGTGAACTTGGAGAGTTTGCTCCAAAATACATAATCATGGATGTAACCTGCGGCATGGGAGGCTGGCTGTTCCTGAGCTGCGAAGGAGAATGCAGATATGAACAACTCATGGCCTGACCATGAGGCGCCTGCGAGAGGATTGGAAATGTACAGATGCATGAGAAGGACGTGGGCGGCTGCGATGACGCCCCCAATGTCAAGGACGTCCTGGGCGATTTCATTTACGATTGTAGAGATGAAGACAGGAAGGGGTTCTTGAACGAACTTGCGGCGTCGTTCAGCAAAGACCGCATGTTCGTTTGAGACAGAACACCCGAGTGTTTTGATTAATAACGCAGTGATATCCGCGACGTGGTGTTCGACGCCCTTGCAGGTGTTTGCTGCGACACGGATGTTGTCGTCGAGGGAGAAGCTGTCGGAAGACACCTGGGGAGCGGATTGCGTGAAAGCAGAAGCGGAGTAGCACGACATGATTGGGGTGAAAGTAGGCTTGATGAAGAAGTTCGTTTGGATTGGGACTGGATGTCAAGTCCGATGAAAAATGAATGTCCTTCTTGAGCATTATTTATACACCAACAAAAGAGAGGGGGTGCATAATAATCACAGCCTTGCAAAGAGGAGTTTCTAGGTCCGTTGACGATTTCCCCTGTTAACTCAAAAGGAGCACGGGAGGCTCTTATGCTGCAAAAGGAGCGCAACTTTTCTCCTGTCTATGAAGCTTGTGGTTGGCATAGACGTTAAAATTATCATACATGGATACGAAGTACGCACCGTCAAAAATAACGAAGAGGCCGGACCAAATGATCGAGAATGGAACGAAGGCAACCAACGCTAATAAAAATCACCCCTTACAACCGTTTTAAAAATATTCCAGTTTAATTCAGCCTGGCTTGAACACAAATTTGAATAGGAGTAATGGTGTAGGACTTTGAGGAGGGTAGCCTGCAGCGAGCGTCGAGTTTCGATAATTAGGATTTTTCTACAATATATACAACCAAGTTGTAAGCTGGGATAACGGTCACAGGATTCAAAAGACAGGGAATAGTCGCAGATTGGAAAATTAATGGGTGATCCAGAGACAGTATTTGTGCTGTAGTAAATCACGATTCATCAAGATAGGTATCGCGTGTTCGTTTGCTCAACCCTTCCATTTATTCCAGTGAAAAAGTAGTTCCAAGTGTGAGAGTCATCAAGGAAGCCAAAGAGTTCAATCGGAATCTGACAGTTCCATGTCACTCTCACCATCGTCCGGGGCTGAGGAGAATGAAGGAGGGAGAGGCGGTGGCGGATGTGGTGGGGGTGGCGGCGGCGGACTAAGAGGTGGTGGTGGTGGTGGTGGCGGTGAGTCGAGGGGAGGCAATGGAGGGGGCTCACTCGTAGGTGGTGGTGGCGGGGGTATATGTCCTTGATAGGCAATATGAGTATTGGCAACCGCATCAAAAATCCAAAACGTTGAAGACCCATTAGCAAGGTGCCAATTGTCAGCTTGTGTATTCCTTTGCGACGAGTGTATTGGCGGTAACATAAAGCCATTGTAAACGGGCAGAAGATGAGATGCGAAGTATGTCGGCGGGTAGGTTGCCCATCGCTTCACGCTGCTACTGAAAGATGGATTCTGAGAGGGTGGGGATGATGTCTCTGAGCTTTGGTCGTGCTCGTCGTCATTGTTATATTCTTCATATACTGCCGCTGTGTAATGAGAAATTTTGAAAGAGGCGTCGAATGTGACCTCTTCAACGCCATCTTCACTATGAATGAAGAAAGATTCGTCATCATCGAGTTCGCCATCAACATAGCCGCCATGTTCGCTCCATATTCGGTCTCTCACAAGAAGTCTGGGATCGCGTTCGCTGAACCATCCTTTGGGATAGCCCCATTGTGCCATATTTCGAAGCCAATCTCCGTCCTCGTCACCCAAAGCGTCGCGGAGGAGTTCGCCTTGGATCTTTCCAGGCTCAAAAGTCTCTAGCCAGTGAAGGCGGCTCTGCCTCCATTCTTCGGCTGTGTGCACTCGCTGCCAGTTCGCAAGACCCAGCGTGCCTTGAAAAAATTGGTAATATGAGCGAGACAAGGATATCAGCTCTTGATTTCGACGGAAATGACAATCCGAAACGGCATGCTCTGTTTCGCCACAATTGAAGCATCTCTGGACCCGCGAGGATATTCTCTCTTCTGCCTCTGGCGTGCTGCCTATGATGGCACTGTCAGCTCGGACGTATATTCCAAAAGGTTCCCATCCCATTGGCAGTGGCTCAGAAGAGATGTGATAGAAAAAAGGTAAGGTTACTTCATCGGCGGCTCCGCCTCTGTCGTTGCCTGCGATTGAGCCTGATCCTGGTCCCATCGCACAAGAGCTTGTTCCACTATCGCTGCGTCCCACCGTCCCTTCGCTATCTCCTTGCCCTCGAGGTGGAGAGCTGGTATCCAATACACATATCTGTTCTTCCACCTTTCCTGACCCTTCTCCTGGATATTGATGGTTTCCAGCTGAAACGGCCTCTGTAATATTGAAATTGTTGGTGATATGACACGATGAGGTAAAGAAGGATGACAAACTGATTGTCGAACTTTGGCTAGCTCTATCTTTGCCGTCTGATAACATAAAATGTTAATCAACTCTTTGCTGTGGGTTTTAGACAGTCTTACGTCGCAAAGAGAGCAGTTGGGTCCAGAAAACAGTGTTAAACGAGGAATGCGGATCCTTGATGTCATAAGAAAGGCAAAGGCATGGTGACTGAGTCACAGCATCACAGCAGGTACTCGATCACGTGATGATATGAACTTGATGATTGGTTGCCGTTGACGTTGAATTCATCAGGGTCGGTGCTCTTCTCTTTCTTCCATTCCCTTTTTCTCGCTGTCGAGGACAACGGTGGTCATTTTTGGACGCCTGTCTAGGTCAATGTCTTGCGATGACAATACCAGACCCTGCGTGGCGAGTGAAAAGTACGTTATGCTATTCTAGGCCGTCGACTTACTCACTCAAGCAATATATTCGCTGTACTAGCACGACCATGTCCATTCTACCAGCAAGGTCGCTGCTTATTTGCAGACTCTTGTAATTTCATGCATAGCGTCTCGGTGAAGGTTCATGCAGACAATATATCCTCTCCACCGTCTCGTCAGCCTCCGAACATGTCTACCCCGCCTCGTGTTGTCATCGATTCGCCACGTTCTGTTCGTTCTCCACCTCGCTCTCCTCGTCTTTCCGGGCTTCTGTTTGCGTTAAGGGATGTCATTGGGAATGACCCCGACGACGCTCCAGAGGAGGACGGCGATGCCTCTTTTGGTGATTCCGAGAATTGGTCCTCCAGTTTGCCGACCCTTACCAACCCCATTGGTTTTGGGCATTACTCACAGCCTGATGATATTGAGTCTGACGGCGTGAGGTCTTCTGAAAGCACAACGATACCTTTCAACGAGGACTCACTTGTTCCATCACCTTCGCTTGACCAAAATTCATCTTCGTTATTTGCCCCCCCAGGGGACATCAGCAACAGTGTTGACCACTCTGGTAGTCCGTTGACCGCTTTTTCAGGAGACCTGGGCGAGGATGACACATTGTCTCTGCCATTAACCTCATCTCAAGACATCCCTAGTACCCCTACAATCGAAGCTACCCAAAGCTCACCGGACGCCATACAGCGTTTGGATATTTCTTCCACCACTACAGCACAATTCAATGACCTTTTATCGCCAGTCGAGTTATCTAGTCTTCGTCTGAGTATCTTCAGTAATCGCGCAGCTAATCCTAGTCCGGCAACGGATGGGGATTCCATTGATTCTGGCTATGCAGATGCCTGGAAAGGGCCGGCATCTCTGCTCATGTCTCCCCCTCGAAGCCCATCGTTGAGCTCGACTTTCGATCTCCTTGCCTCACCCTTTCGCCCTCCTTCGTCACACATTTTGTCTCCTCGCCTCAGTGCCTTTATAGGGCGCTCTCCATCGTCACCTTTCAACACGGAATTCCCGGATAATCGTGAAGAAGGGGAACCAACAGACCTTAGTTTAGACTCACCTGATGATTTTTTACGTCCAGGACCTGAAGAGAATGAAGTAGAAAACTCGCCCCAGAAGATACCATTCTTCGAGCCGGAAGATTCTGCACGAATCCCTATAACAGAACTATGCGAGGACGAAGAAGAGGGGGAAGTGGAAGTGGAGGACGAAGAGGAAGAGGAGGCTCAGCTGGATTCTTATGGCCACACATCAGTCTGGGACGCAGAGGGAGGCCCAACAGCCGTATTCGTGGGTTCTGAAGACCCCATCCGAAACCAAGTTATTGACGCTATTAGGCGTATAAGTTCAACTCCCACTCATTTCCTCACTACTTCGAGGGAGATGCCATTTTCCAACGAAGAACTTGAAGCTGAATCGTCACACTTTTCGGATGATGAGGACGACGTTCCAAAATTTTCGACCTTTACACAGGATAATGCATTTGAAGAAGAATCTTTACAATCTGAGGATAATCCTGAGCTGGATTCGACTGCTCATCTGGCGTACCTTCAAAGCCCACCAGCTGATGATACTTTGCATTCATTATACGACGTCTACTCGGCCTTTGCGCCTCCGCGGGATATCGTTGCTGATTCTATTCGGAATGCAGGCATGAGCCCTCCCAGCAGCCCTCGAAGATCTGTTGAGCCACTTTTACGATCCAACTCCTCGACTCCTGCTAGCTCTTTGCGAGAACGAGTCTTTACACCCCCTCCACATCAATATAGTAGGGCTCGCTCAAGTGCGGTCGCAGACTCACCAACCTCACTGTCATCCCCTATCACATCGCTTGATTCGGGTCGCGCTTCTCCCTTGTCTGCTCGATCTGATACCAGGTCTTCTCGATGTCCTGACAGTCCCAATGAACAGGAGATAGAAGTCTCCAGGAAAATTCCCTTTGGATTCCGACATTCTTTTTCATTCGTGAGCCCTGTTCGTTATCTCTCATTTGCGTTTTGCTAAGTTGAGCAGGGTCGCTCTAGCAAGTCTTCCCTCATTTCAAATCGAGCATCACGCAACGCGTCTCGGGCTCCTGTCGACCCCGTAGAGGAGGAACAAAAGACTGCAGGAAACCCGCCCTCAAACTCTTCGGCTAACCGCTTAAAACCTCTTCGGCTGGTAAGTTGGCGTTTTCGGTTCCTACAGTACATATATTCATGGTTGCAGTCCACTATTCTTTCAAAAACTTTATCGCATCCTACGTCTTCTCGCATGTCAAATAGCTATCGTATGTCTGGTAAGTGACTGTTCGGAGTTTGCATGAGAGTTAAGTAGTAACTGACTATATCCAGGAAATCTAAACCGCGCATCTCTTTCATCTACAAATGTACCATCAACCAATGTCTTGCCACGAAACCCCATGGTAAAGTATTCAGTGGCCTTCATGTTGCCCTTGCTCAATCTCCCTTTAGCTCTCTTCAGCAGGCTCAAGTCTCATACCCTCTCATCTTCGCCATGCGACCCTTGATTCAAGAAATCGAACTCCGTCACTGTTAACAGATGATCTAAACCATCTCGCAAATTTTGATTCGCCTCAATCAGCGCCAGTCGCTTTTAACCATTCTTGGCCTGTGTCTCCGCCCTCGGATCACACCAAGACTGTCCATCGCTCCTCAAGTAGACTTTCGGAGCCTTCTTACCCCGTAGATGAAGATGAGGAGGAAGACGATACTATCCCTCGTAGCCATGACCCGTACGACGAAACTATCCGGAGGTCTGTTCTTGTCCCACCTCATACCGCGCCTGCATCGCGCACTGGGCCTGCCGCTCGCCCATCCATGTTTGCTATCGCTACCCCACGCCCAACCCTTATGTTCGCTATTGCTAGCGACGACGTCGAGCAAGTACGTCAGGTACTCGAAAGCGGGGATGCTGGCCCAAATGATTCCGTTGGGCCACAGTCGGCATTAGCGTTTGCTCTGACGAACGATCAACTCACGCATAAGATCGACATTGTCAAGACGCTCCTGGCTTATGGTGCCGATCCTTCAGTGCTGAAAAACCCAGAACTTCAACCACGGAGACGAAGGTCGTCGGAGTTGGACGAAGACGCTATTGCTCGAGAAACTCAAGCGTCAAAGAACTTGTTTGATGAGATGGACCATGCTACAAGGTAAGATGACTTTGCATCATGACGATGATCATTGTTGACCTGGTCATTTATCTGCAGGTACTACGTTGAGAGAGCAGACGCTGCTCACACCCGTCGAACATCTGCTCTCATTTTCCGGTCATTCTTCCGTCCACTGACTCGTGTTCGGTACGAGATTGTGGGCCAAGACAGGGCTTTGGAGCAGCTGTTCAGGGTACTGAGCATTCACTCTCGAGAGCTTTCTGTGACCCCTATCGTCGTCTTGCTTTGTGGTATGGATTTAATTTGACACTATCCCGCGCTCAGATTACTGACTGCATTGATCAGGCCCTAGTGGACACGGAAAGAGTCTTCTGGCTCGCAAATGTACGCTATCATGACTTCTACATCATTGATGCTGATGAACTGATGTCCATCTATAGTTGGTTCACTGCTTGATGTCCCGACGCATACAGTCAACATGACCACGCTGAGGTCAACACGCGATCTATGGCAATCATTTTCAATGAGTCCTCATGAGGTATGCACGCTGTGCTTGTTGCGATGATCAATGCTCATCCATACCACGAATACCTGTCCAGACGCCAACAACCTGTACACTTGCCGAATTCCTGATCAACAACGAAGGCAAAAGATGCGTGGTTGTGTTGGACGTAAGTTTAACATGCTTTACCCACTTTAAAACATGATCTAAAGTGCATTCTTTACCAGGAAATTGAGAAGACAGACGACGAGAAGGCCCTTTGGTCGTTGCTGGTACCCTGGGAACACGGGCGATGCTCATTCGAAGCCAATAGTCGACCAATTGATGTGCGAAACGTCATCTGGCTTGGGACATCGAATATTGGCCACGATCTAGTATTCCAACATCGTGACGCTTGTAAGCATCCCGAGGAGTTGATGACACGAGAAGAATATGTTGACCTCATGGGTCTTCTCCGACCTCGAGTATCAGAGCGCCTGGGTGTGAGTCTGCCAGCTTCCCTGTCTGTAATACGACGTCTGAAAAAAATTGATAGGCGTCTGTCTTGTCAAGAGTCACAACAGTGCTGCCCTTTGTTTCATTCACAACGGACGAGAAGAAGGCGATATCCTCTGAGGCTTTGTATCAACTTGGGGGAGAGGCGGTTCTGACACTATCACCACAGGTGGTTGAGTCGGTTGTGAATACTGCGCTGGCGAACTACTCGGCAGAGGAGGGTGCGAGATCTTTGTACAGAGCTGTATCGAACCAATTGGTAGACATCATTTGATTTACTCTTGCGTGACTGATGTATCAGTGATTAGGCGTCGGATGGACGTGGGCTGTTCCCGCTACCGACTTGCGGATAAGATCTTGCCAGTCTCGCTGTGTTATTGACAGCTCTTAAACTCTTTAAAGAATGCATCAACTTGAACGTGATGGCGTTTCGCTTTGTATATCTTCAGAGGCGACGTTGCCGCCATGGTCCTTCCTTTCCTCCTCATTTTGGGCCAACTTTCTCTCTCTTTTTCTTCTCATTCACTATACCGATACTCACACTCATTTGATCAACATTAACATTCGTTAGCCCCAACATGCCATCCCACGTTCTAAGGGATCAAGGTCCACCTTCCACACTCGACTCGACAAGCGCCCCAATCCCTGTCACTGTTACACACTTTGTCCCGCCGAAGGTCACTGTGACTGTTCAGCTTGACCCTGCTGCTTCTACTCTGTCTGCAGACCCATCTTTTGTCTCGGTGGATATTGATCCCTCTCGAGCTACTTTGGTGACTGACCCAAAGGTTAATGGATCGAATTCCACGATATTAACCAAATCTATGATTGCAATTATCGTAGTTGGGGTCGTAGCCGTTATAACAGGTGAAATTTATCCTCTCTCTATGTTCAGGGTTTGGGCTGATGAGTTCCTCAGCAACCACATTTGCACTCTATACATATCGTGGCTGGATCTATCGACAGCATGGGAGGCGGCAGAAAAAGAGAGGACATCCGTCTATAGTCGTGAAAGTGGCAGAAATGAAGGAGACGTTTGAAGTAAAGCACAACGCGGGATTGGGCTCTGCGGAGAGTTTCATTGGTGGCTCGCCCTCTTCAATGACCTTCTTGGATGAAAGGCCACCGCGATCTAAGCCTGCCTCCAAAATAATGCCCACTATTTCAAGCCCCTTGAAATCACCCCCTCCAGCCTACGCTGCAGACTCCGGTTTTGCGCCTTCTACGTCCACCTCATTGACTTTCTCACACCATCGATCGTCATCGTCTCCTCAATCCATTCTATCACCTTCTTCGCCAGTTTTCGCTCCTCTTCCTGTTTTTGCCCACTCAAGATCATCCGTCATCAATTCCTTACAGTTTGGTTCTCTCGTCCCTCTGACCACCGCTGTAGCATACAGCTACACCCCTGATCCATTGGCCGCCTCTATTCAAATATTCCCACATGAAAGAGAAAGAGTCTCTCCTACTCCAATTCCTACGAGCCGAAATTCATTGCATCATTCTCGCTTCTCGGACCATTCGTCGTGGTATTCTTACAGGCAGGGACAGTCACACCAGAGGGACAGTGGCGCAACTTATCGTTCGTCACGAGAGGAATCGAATGAGCAAGACGAGGAGGGCAACGTGTACACTGCCACTATAGTATCCACCCACCATGCTGCCGCTATTCAAGTATATCCTGGCGAGAGAGAAAGAGAGCCACCCTCTACTCCAATTTCTCCTACGAGCCGAGTTTCGTCACCTCATTCACATTACTCAGATGAGGCGTCTTTGTACTCTGAGTCAGAGGAGGATGCGAATTTACAGGGCGACGGACCTCTCACAGCTGCTGCATCCAACAACATATCCCCCGATGTCCTTGCTGCCGCCATTCAAGCACTTTCTAGTCAGAGAGAAAGAGAGCCACGTTCCCCTCGTGATTCTTTCTACTCAGACGACGCATCGCTGTACTCCTACTACGAGGACTACCTTCATTCGACAAATAGCGGCACATCTTATCGTTGGTCACAGGCACAAGGGGGGGAACCGAATGGACAAGAAGAGGGCTTTGAGCCTCATTCCTTGGACGTCGTAACACAACATTCTCGCCCGTTTTCAATCGGAACCAATATCACTACATTTCGATCCCCACTCCTGAGAGAGGGACCAGACTGGCGGCCCCCCTCACTCCCACCGAACCGCTGTTCAGCTCTTGATCCACGGGAGGGGGAAGAGGATGAACTCGTCTCACGAAGTCCTTCTCCTTCTGGTTCCCTTCCAGTTGGAACAAGAAATAACGCTGGTTCCCCTATCGAGTTGAAGCGACCTCGAAAACTACCCACGCCATTGAGCATCGTGTCCGCGTTTGGTTTGAAGCCAGGGGAAGAGTAGAGAACTGGTTTTATCTGCACCAGCTTAAAATCCTCCAGCTATCGCATGCTTCGTCCAGAACGAGCGCCGGTTGGCGTGACTTAGCTCAAACCTCACGACGTTCCTTGGTACATTCATGTTGATATAGGACATTTAGTATTTTATCCATATAATCTTGGACCACTCAGAAGAACATCACCTTAACTTTTATTTGCTAGTTCAGTTCGGACGCTGCTTCGCCAGTCGTTTGAAAGAGAGCGCTTAGGGATAAAGATCGTATTCTAGGCAAATAATCTAGACGATGTGAGATGTGGATGCGATGTCGAAAACGTGAGGTTGCTGAGCTTCGCTGGCGGGTACTATCGCTATTTCTCCTCGAATACTGCTTTCCGCTTATACTTTCCTTGATCACGTAGCCACTAGGCTGATGTAAGAGACGGAACTCGCTGGGGAAAGGATACAAGGCGCACCTGTCTGTACTGGTGAAGAGAACCAATTTTCTCACCTAGTCAGATAAAACTCTTCGTCAGTATAAACATTCAAGGAAAGAGCAAGGTGTCTGACCATAATAATCTGGTACAGGTGCAGTGGGACTCTGAAGTGAGGCATCCACTCTGTTCTTTGCTATTCGCTGAAAGAATTGATGATCTTTGGAGTCGATTAAGTGGACAGATCTCCGGTGAGTAAAACGCCATAATGCGGTTCCAACTGTTGGCCCCAATATCGCGCCAACACCTGATACCGAACAGTTAGTCGCTGTAGCGAAATGAGTATGAGCCCATGGCGCACCAACGCAACCTAGAGTGCAGATTCCGTAGAAAAAGAATGGGTCGATGCCCTAACAAGCCATTGTTATTTTGAAGAAATGAGAATGAAAAAGAAGAGAGAAGTACGAAAACGGGTTTCATTGGATCTGTTTCAAGAGTCCCGAAGTAAGCCACGCCGCCCACGAAGCCCAGCATTGCGGAGGGAAACGTAACAGCCTGCAAGTCGGCAAAGTCAGGATTCCATGATTGAAATAACATAAATACGATATCGCACCATCTGCCACTTCCGTTTGTTTCGTTTGATTGCAAGGTATTCTGGCCATGTCAAGGTCGCAGGGGTGGTCGCCGCGGTGGCTGTTGTTGAGTTGGCTCTTGGCACAGTTCGTGGTTTCTTTACAAGCTGGCGAGTAGCTGACCTCGCCGTCGAGGTCAGCATTCTGAATTTACCGGCGTCAATCATGGAAATAGCTTTCGACGTCGTTCGAATTTTTGGACAAGGAACAACAGCATCACGTGAACGCAGCGATCAAGTCAAATCCCCAAATGGAAATGATGTCGACGGAACCGCGGAAAGTCAAGGTGCTGTGAAGCCATTGGCACAGCTCGACGTCGTCCAAACGACGTCCTGGATGCACTCATATCCGTGTTCTTCGTGTTGTAGCTCTTGTCGTAACAGAAACCTCTCAAGAGATGGTCTCAGCACCGAGGCCGGAGCGGATGAACCATACGCACTGAAGAAGTTGCTACCGGTTGGAACGGTCACCTTTCAGCTTGCAGAGCGCGACGCTCTTCAGGATGTATGTGATCATGTACATGCGGAAGACGGTTGGCATTCGTTTTTGGGAGCATCTCCGATGCTGCACTTTGCAAATAATTCAGACAAAACCTCCGCTCATGCAATTGAGTTTCTCCTCAAGCACCACTTTCTCTCGGCCACTTATCATGCAGCGTCGGACGGCTGTGCCGTAGTGCTTCGGATATATCTCATTCCTCACGATTTTAGTGGTGTCAAGGGAGCTCTGCGTAAACGAAAGGATAATGTTCTTGCCCCTGGACGTCGATATCTTCGGGCTTTACTTCCCAAGGTCACACAGGATCCCAACTTATGGAAGGGTGGAAGTTGTTCTGAGAGGGGGATGCCGCTGCTTTCTGACGTGAAGGTACGCCCTAGGGGTTTTCCGTCTCTTCTCTCTCAGCTGAAGGCTATTTGCAGGATCGACGGACCCTCGCTGAAATATACAGCGAATTAGCCTCGCCGCGAGTAATGCCAATGTCTGGCTGGGGAAATATATCTCCTCGTTTGCTCGACTACAATGACAGTTTGGATGGCCTGGGCATGCGAAGTACCTTGTACAAGTATCAACGACGCTCCATAGCTGCTATGATGCAAAAAGAGTTGGACTTTCGTGATGTCCCTGATCCTCTCTTTATCCCGCTGAAGACTATGGACATGAGACAGTTTCATGTTCAACCTGGGACAATGACGGTCCTTCAGGAGTGCCCCATGGTGGCTCCATGCCGTGGAGGAATTTTGTGCGAGGAGTTAGGTTAGGACTTTCTCGAGAATACTGATAAACAACTGAAGCTTTTTTTCAGGCACTGGGAAGACGGTGATGATCATTGGTTTGATCCTTGCTACCCTCCGACAAATCTCTGCTCCAGAAGAGTCCATAATCGACGACCGACCTGTCTTAACGCCGCTATCCCTTCGTCATTTTCCATCTCCTGAATCTTCTGCTGCTCGTCGTCGGCTTTCACGAGATCAACACGAAAAGTTCTCTCCCTTCCATGTGCCAAGTCTCGTGGAGCTTCTCATTCATCGTAGCCGCACGACTCCGAACATAAACGTACCAGATACGAGTGCGCCTCATGAACTACGGAAGAGCTTGAAAACCCAAACTATAGAAGATGACGTTGAGATGCTTCCTCTGGGACAGCTTCTCAAGGATAATGTGCCATTTTACCATCACTATACAGGAGACCCCACGAACAATGAACGAGTGCGCAGGGCTGTCAATAAAGTGGGTCCCAGAGTGATGTATTTGACATCTGCCACTCTCATCGTCGTCCCACCAAATCTTCTGGGTCAGTGGGATCGGGAGATAACAAAGCACGCTGAATATCCTGTACGAGTTTTGATTCTACGATCCAAGTCTCCATTACCAGCACTCAAGTCTCTTGCTTCCGATTATGATGTATGTTTTACGACAAATAGAAGTTCTTAAAGAAGCTAACAGGTCTCGCAGATCATACTAATGACATATAATCGTTCGTTTTCTCGTTCGAGTCAATACAACAGATGCTCATGTGTTGTACTAGGTTTTACCGCGGAGGCCAGCAAGAAAGACATATCGAAGCTTCATTCTTCGGATCCTTGCACCTGCCCAGAATTTCCAGGCTCACGAGTTCCCAACTGTACTTGCCAGGTTGTTGGTGTAACTCCCTTTCTTCAGATTCGGTGGAAGAGACTAGTCATTGACGAAGGCCATGTTTCGGCTTTCCTCTCCACAATTCTGACGCCTTTCACAAAACTTCTTAGTGTGGAGCGGAGATGGATCGTGACAGGGACACCAACGACAAACCTATTGGGTCTAGGTCTGGGGCGGAAGACTGCAGAGGAAGCGTCGCATTCTGAGGATGATGATGACGAAATGGAAGACCTTTTCGGGGATGAGGGAAATGGTTCGCCAATAGACATCACAACCTCGCCGTCACCTTCAGAAACCTCTCGTTCCCCTTCCGCTGAAACGCCAGCGTCGCGGGTATGGAATAAACACGACCGTGAGGACCTTCGCAAGCTAGGAAACATGGTCGCGCATTTTATCTCCGTGCCTCAGTTTGGAGCCGATTCAAAGCTCATGAACACACACGTCACCGAGCCTCTGCTTGATCCGCAAGGACCTCGCCCAGGTGCCATCTCAGTTTTGAACCAAGTTATGGAAATGGTCATGATCAGGCATCGGTGAGTCGTATCCTCTACATGCGATCGTATTGTTTACTTATGTACATAGGATCGAGGACGTGGAAGATGATGTTTTGCTCCCTCCTGTTACACATGAATCGGTGCTACTGGACTTGGACCCTCTCGTTGTGAGGTCCTATAATGCGATGCAGGCTACAATTGCCATCAATGCTATCGACTCCCAACGGACTGACCAGGTAGCGCTCCCCGTTTATGAGTGGAATGTATGATAAATTTTCTTCTTCTCAGGACTACATGTTTCATCCTAGGGTACGTTGTAGCCACGTTAAAGAACATTGTTTCGTTGCTAACGCTACCCAAATCAGAACAGTGATGCTTTACAATTGACGGTCAAGAACATGTCCCAGTATGTTGTGTCCTTTAGGTTTCTTGAGGGATACTTCGGGTGTTAACTATGCTATTTTAGATTAATGTTTTGGTCCGTTGAGGATGGGAGATACAACGTCGATCAGCTTGCCAGAGACGCTCAAATTCATATCAATCGAGCTATCGAGCGCAACACCCCACCAGAGGATATGAATTTGCTCTATGATGCATTCAAGCATGTGTACGTCAGAAAATGAGCGTTGATACCATTGCTCAATTTCAGAATCAGGAAGCTCGCATCAGAAGATCAACTCTGGAGATCGGTTCAAGATCATGAAGATATTCCATACCGTGTTTATCAAATGAACGAACAGGTGTATCACGCATGGTCAAGAACCCCAGGCTGTAGACTGGAGTCTGATCCCAACTTCCGAGGCTTTCTGCATGCTGATAGGCTTCTCAAGATCTACGACCTAATTCTCCATCGGCCCCTGATACCGGAGGAGCTTTTAGTCACGGAGGGGATGAAGGTCAACATCAAAGATCGTGCGGCACGCAAGGCTTACGTCGAATCGCAAAAGAAGAAATCCAATAAATCACATCATCACAGAAATGCACGCTCGCACGACGACGTATCCAGCCAAACGGTCGACAGTGCCATGAAGAAGGCTGCCGCGCCCGAAACCCTCAAAGAAATGCAGAAGGAGTTAGATACCTCGATGGCCCTTGAAAACATCGTTGACGATGACGAATGTTCTTCTGCGCCCATTATAACGCCAGCACCAGCCCCCGGCCAATCAGGTCTCCCACTTCTATCCGATCTCGTTAGGAACTCGCCGCTGGTTAATGTCAGAATAGGCTCCTCGGCTTCTAACAAGTTGAATTACATCATTAACGAGGTGTGTCGATCTCAACTGAAGGCTGCCGTCTCGATGTAACCTTGATTATGATTAGGTTTTGAAGTATTCAGCCAGAGATAAATTTCTTATTTTCTCAGACTCAGAGCTTTCATTGGCCCATATATCAGAGGCCCTACAGCTCGTCCAAGTCAAATTCCTCAGGTTTACGACCCAAATACCTGCTCAATTCCGTGAACAACTCGTGCTGACGTTCGAAACGTCCCCAACGTATCGCGTGTTTCTAATGGAGTTGAAACATGGTGCTCGTGGCCTGTAAGTGTCTCGTTGTTTCGATTGTCGGTGTCATTGACGCGGTTATCAGAAATTTGATTTCTGCTTCTCGGGTCATATTCTGCGAACCTGTTTGGCAGGCAGATGTTGAAAGTCAAGCAATCAAGGTAAGAAACGGCATTTCAAGTGTCATGAGAGATGGTTCTGATTCTCTCGTCTTTCTAGCGAGCGCATCGGATAGGACAGACGCGGCCCATCACTGGTAAGTGTCGTTTGGCTTTTACTTGGCTTTTTTGCCAATGACGCTCAATCAGTGAAAACTCTTGCCATCCGGGGCACTGCCGAAGAAAACATGGTCGCACGTCGCAATGCTTTAAGTGGTAGCCATGACAAACTTCCAAAGTTAATCGAGGAAGCGGGAATGCGGCACTACATTGCTGTAAGCACCCAGCATGTAATCCTATTTGTGGCTGACCTGAACTCCTCCCAGAATCCTAAATTCATAGAGTATCCACCGGTTTATACACCAAATATCAAGATCGATTTCCCGTTGTTCAAGCTCCCTCAGATTCCACATAAACACCCATCTGAGGTCATCAAGTTGAAGATACCTGCTCTACGTCCTTCACCACAGCATCGAGTTAGCGTTGAGGGAGTCGTTACGCCTGAGGCCTCAACGTCGCAACGGCCTCCCTCTCCTTGGATCGATGCTCCACCAAAAAAGAAATTGAGAGTTAGATTCGAGTGATGGACTTGTATGTATTGTAGTTGTGTATTTATAACGGACCCTTTTGTATGTATGTCTACCTTATTGCGTATTTTGGTCGCGTCTATTGCAAACTACGTATTTTCTTTGTCTAGGAACTTCCAGCAGTCTAAGCGTTTGTCGGTTGGGGAGGGATGCACAACTCAAGAAAATAAATGTTGGAAATTATACCCAGCCATTTTACAGCATTTTAAGCAGCCCATGACTATCATTTTTTCAAGCCTTGCGCCTCCTACTGGTGATTTTATAGCTTGGGCGCTTAGTACTTGGGCAGGGTTAAGCATATAATTTCGCCCAAGCGGCTAGATTACTGGCTAAGCGCCTGCGAGTTTGTCAGGCGTCTGCCTGATCAAGATCGTTATCCAAAGAAGTAATAGATTCCTGGTATTTGGTATACCGCTGCAATTCCTGCTCGTGCTTCTGAACCTCATCGGCCGTAAAACGTATCGGACACTGAGTGCCCTCATGAGCATAGGTGTCCCAAACATCTCGGAGGTGCAAGAGCGCTTTTCGGAGTGGTACCAGGCTGTCACTCCAGGATCTGAGAACATGGTACGGCAAAAGCGCCAGCTCCGTGGAGAAAGGCATCGCACACGCGATCATCCTCCTCTCGTTCTCCGTCACGATCTTCTGTTCATACGCTTTGTGTCTCATCGCGAGCTTCAAATGTAAAAGATACGGCACTTGCTGGTCTGGGTTCAACGTCGACACGTGGCTGGGCAACTTAGGCGCGACACGACCCACCGGGATGTCGATCAGGCCACCGTCATAGGTAAAAATAGAGGGAAATGTGGCCTGCATGCAATAAGGAGCTATGATGCTATGCTGCCAATCAATAAGACCTTGGACCACTGCCGGACCCGTCTCAGCAACGAATAAATTTGAATGACTAATGTCGGCATGCCAGAGAGTTCGGCTGCTCAGCATGAGTGGCGGTATTATGTGCGGAATCGCGAGGGCAAGCACATCCAAAAGTTTAAGGTGGGCAACAGCGTTGTAAAACGGAAAACGACGAAACCTTGAGGTCGTGTTCTGCGAAGCATGGTGACGAATCCAAGTACGTTCTGAATCCACAGCAGCAAGAAGGAAGGAGCCCATGTCAGGCCCTGCCGATGAGTTGAACAGTCAGCTAATGTCCATGTCTACGGCATACAAGGGGAACTCACATGGACCATGATCATATGTCACTTGGGCTCGTTCCGACCGCCACCATTGACGATCTGCGATTGGGCCAATACGATATTTGTCCTTCGCTGCATCGAGCCTTCTATGCAACTCGGTATCGTTCTCTGGGAGGGAACCTGGACGAAACAGCGGGCGGTCCCGTAAATCGGCTCGTACATCATCCCTGAAATAGAGGCTGCCTATCTGCGAGAAGGGCGCACCCTCGAAGCTCTGCTCTATACCGAAGACACCGTCTAAAAGTGGAAAGACTTCAGGTGCTTTCGCAATATGCGTCCAGCGATGATGGGATTCTACGCCAGACATCTTCTCCATGACGATATATTCGGTACCGACAGTATTTGCAGTAGCATCAGCGCTCCATGCGAATACTCGCGGCGCACGTATGCCAAGAACTTCTCGCACGAACTCCAGCGTAGCAACCTCACTCGCCATGGTGAAGAAAGGGGCTCCAGCAAGGCCAGTTGGAAGGCGTGCGATTGCCTCCACCCCGTTATCAAAGTTAAGGGCAAAAACCTGGTTGTAAGATCCTATAGAACATATCATATGGCATAAATACACAGAACGCGAAGTACATACCTTCACCTAGTTTCTTGAACATGACGCAACGTTGAGCTCCGACTGCCGCACAGGCTACATGTTGTATCTCATCAACGTTGAATTCGACATATCGTGGTGCGGTTTCTAACACCCGATCGTAGTATTCAGAACAATTGAGGAACAAGGCTGAATCACCCACGTTCTTCCTCGTTGTATAACCACCGCGCACTAGTGTACTTGAAGAGCTCTCTTTGTTCAGACCTTGTGAATGGGACAGTACGGGAGAGACCCGATAGCTTCTGAGCGGTCTTAAAATTTCGTTGCAGAGACGCGAAAAATCCAATTCCCAGATTCTTTGGGAAAAATGAGCTCATTTTGAACTCCGACGTGTGGCATTATGTAAGTAGTCCATTTTCGGAACATTGTACTAAATTTAATAATGAGCTCCTTTCCGTTCTCGGCATTCTGTTGTTGGTAAATTTGGATCCCATTTTCGTGCCCGAGTACACTACTTATCTACGGAAAGTTTCCCAACTCCATTGTTTTGGCTCCTGTCGAGGCGGCTTCATTCCGCTGGTGCTCCAACTCCCAGAATAAATTCAACTAAATTCAGGCGCTGGTCAGTTCTGGGGTGGCGAAATCTGGACAAGTATGCACAACTCGAAAAAACAAATGTTAGAAATCATACCCAGCCATTCTGCAGCCTTCAAAGCAGCCCACCACTACCTTTTTTTCAGGCCTTGCGCTCCTACTGGTTGTAAAAAGATGATTTTATAGCTTGGGCGCTTAGTTCTTGTAAAGGGTCAAGTATACAATTTCGCCCAAGCGGCTAGACTAGTGGCTAAGCGCCTGCCTGATCACCAGCCTCGTTCAGAGGAACGGTCAAGGGTTCGAACCATGCTCCATGCATCCCGTTACCCCACCGTTGACGCCACCCACACATCTACAACCGCCGTGGCTGGCTTACGATAGCCAGAACAAGATAAGAAAGAACGAAAGAAAGAAAGAGAAAAACCCTATCATAACACCCGATAACCAAGAGAGAAAGAAAAAGAGATAACGAGGATGTAGCGGCAGAACCGTGAACCTCTTTTTTTTTCAATGTCTTCAAGGTCGCAATACGATAGCAAGAAGGCGTAACATCTTGAACTTTTAACTGCCATGTTGTACATCAGGACAATTGTAAGAAGCTCGTATCGATCCCATGTGAAAAGTCCCATATACATATCCGCTATTGAAAAGAGTGGTCAGTCTTATATCAGTTCTTGTTTGAGGCGGGACAACTCACATGATCTTCACCGCACGAAACAATCTATTCACAAGGCGTCAAATCAACGAGTAAAACTAAAATGTGAAAAGACAGAGATCCAACCTTTGTACAATCAAACCCAATGCAAAATATCCGACCGGTATGACCTCCCGTCAAGTCAGCCACAAGCGCGCCAGTACGACGATCCCAAACCTATTCAAACCTTGGAAGTTAGGTGACATCCAACTCGAACAAACCCAAAGTTTTCTCGCCTTTATACTCAAATCGTAGCTTCCGCTCAACACAAAGTCGTACCCAACAGCTACGCTTCTCACAAGATCACCATGAATACACCGCCCACCGCCATCCGTAGAAGGCTGTGGGAGCGGTGTCGGCTGGACGCCGCTACTCCCACACGTCTGGCAAACGAGGCCAGGCGTGGAGATCAAGGGGAAGGGAAGGGACGTGTTACTCGCTGGCGTTGTTCCGTCGTATTCTGGTGAAGTCGACCAGCCTTGGAGACTTGTTATGTCAAAGAGACGAAGATGTTTGTCCGATGATCCTGAGAGGACTATGGGGGGTTTGAAGTCGATGGATGCAATTCTACACATGCGTTAGGTTTGGGCGTGATACTATTAGGGAGAAGAAAAGGGTTCGTACCCTCGAGTATGGTGGTTATCGAACGTTCGCAGGAGTTTGCCCGTTTTGGCGTCCCAGAGCCTGATGGAACGATCGCCAGACCCCGAAACGATGAGGTCCTTTGATATGGAGACTGCGTTGACGGCAGCTCTGTGGGCGCCCAAGACGAACTGAGGAACCAGATCTGGGAAAGAATACGTTCGCACAGTACGATCTTTGGGGTGCGTCATATGTCATGATAGACCATGAAGCCTCATAAAAAAGACATACCTTTGGAGCAGGACACCAACCGTTCATCGTCAAAGCGTACGCAAAGAACGCTGTCTTCGTGGTCGCAGATAACACCCACGAGCTCGTTACTCTCCAGATGCCAAACCATTACACGTCGATCACTCCCAGCACTGGCCAGATAACCATTCTGCGCGCATAGACTGAGGACTGAGCTGGAATGCACGCCAGATATTATCCGCTCCACCAAGCCTGTCGTCAAGTTCCACTCTCTGATACTCCTGTCGCGTGACCCCGTAAAAAGTACTTGTTGGCCAGTCTCTGGGTATGTATAGAGCTGGAGGCAATAAATTGTGTTTGTATGCGCGTTGCTGGGGGCACCGCGGGTCTGTAAGGCTGAGAGGCGGTAGTTGGAAGATAGAAATCGGTTTCGTAACTTGATAAAAGTCTGGTGCAGTAATTTGTAGTTCGGCTTTAGATATGCAGTTTCGCTGGCAGTCTTTAAAACTGAAGGCGCAGAATGTCTGACGTAGGACTTTGAGCGGGTGGATGATTCCGCCGTTGATCCTGAATAAAGGGTGTCCCTTGCATTTGAAAATAGCGGTATGCCACTGGAGGAAGACATGGACGCAAAGCCAGAATCCAGCTCAGCGTGCATCAAAGTCAAGTCCGCTTGGGCAGCTTCCACCCCACCAATGACCTCGTCTTCTGTACCGCCATCATCGGAGTCACCCATGCCTTCATCATCAGAGTCATTCCATTCTGCGTTATGTCGCGGATAGGATGGGTCAAAGATGTGGGTGCGAGCAGGTTGCCGCCACGTCCATCCACGAGCGGCACATAACCTCTTCCAGATCGTTTGGTCGTTCGCTAGAGCTTGCCATCGCCGACTTACAAGCGCGCATGTTAAAAGAGTCTGAAATGGGAGGTGCGAGAATATTTGGATTGAGACTTCTGCTGGAAGGGACTTGTGCGGGCAAGTAAGCTTTACGCTTGGAAGGAAGAGAAAGGTATTCCACTTACGCCGACAACGTCAAATAGGAGAAGAGGTGCTATCTTTCTTTGAATAGCTGCAAGTCGTGATCTGGGAAGTGCGGCGAGGAGCTTGTACGCCATGTCTGTTGTCCAGTTGAAAGGATACGTCGATGAACGATATAATGCTCCATACCTTCACGCTCCTGCTCAAAGTTTATTCCTGGCATGGGTTCGTTCATCATCAGAGGCGTTGTGGAATTCATGGTAGTAGGAGACGAAGATTCGGCTTCGGCGGTTTGGTCCAGCATTTCTACAAACAATGTGCCAGGTTTCGGGCGATGTGTGGATTCAAGGACGTTCAGGTTTTGAAATTGAGAAAGAACCTCCGTTCAGGATACAGTGCCATGGTTGAATGGCAGAATACGGTGCACGTGGATGATGGAAAGGTACCAAATTGAAAAAGATACACATGCACATTGCACAAAGAACACAAAAAACACAAGGATTGGCTGAGATTGGTTGAAATCAATAAGAAGCTACGTTGCAATAAGTTCCTTGGAAGCCCAGTAGAATGAAAATGAAGTAAGTTACATAATTATCAAGGTTCTGCACTTTCACTGGCACGTCCATTGAAATGTCGTCATATCCATCACAAGCTAACACAAACAAACAAGAGTTGTCCTAAAGTTACCACCGCCACCTTTTGAAAGATATGGATGAACATTCGTACGTTGGTTCGGATTGTCCGGTATCCATCACCCAAACTTGAAGTTTCCCAGCAGCGAGGAGGATAAGGCTATAGAAGAAAAAACTCGTGGGATGACCGTTATGGAAAAGAGATTTTACTATATGAAAATCTATGGACCACCAGCTCCATTCCCTGAACTTCCACATCCAGGTTACTTTTTCTTGGAATTCTTTAGGAACCGAGACATCTGGAGTTCCTTACACCTCACCTACCCAGAAGATTTCAACACACGAGCCAGAATCCGGACTTTTATGGTCAAGACGTGGAAGGGGACTCCGGTTCTCGTCAAAGCGCCCAGAGAATTGGTTGGCGAGTGGGTGGAAGGATTTTGGTGCAAGGCGAAGTCGGAAAGGAATATTTACCGCCTGGGAGACAAGTTTATGGGGGGGAACTTCAGGATGGGTAGCATTGCGTTTCAGAAGATGGTGGATGGGGAGTGGAAGAGCCCGCCCCCGCAAGAGTCGGTTGTGGCGCTGATTTGTTGGCGGGGTGATGAGGCGCAACTCGAAATGGCTTGAGCAGGATGGGATCTGTCCAAAATTTCGAGTTTGTGTATATGTCTTTCCCCCTGCAGCATAGTGCAAGCTCTTTCAACGTGTTCAGTAATTTGTGATTTGTCGATTGGTTGAACAAACGCTTTCGGCTTGCTTCCAGCGTTGTCAGAATGATGGGCTGACAAGACCGTTTAATACGACACTTGCATCCCAACTCCCCCCAGGTGAAGTATGAGAAGCCATTTTGTGGATAAAAAACGTGATTTGGATGAGCGACCTCTTTTTCGCCTCCATCTGACTTCCATCGCCTCCTACATGGAGGCCCGCCTGACTGAAAAACCAATACGAGTCGGGTTCGAGATCGAGCTCATGGTCACTCCAAGTATGCCTCAACTGCGCGACTTAGGAGGCCTCGAAGACGATAATAAGATTTCAAAGCCCCGTTACTTCCACACAGTGCTTCCCATACAAGGCGACAATTACGAACCAGATCCTCGGTTCCTGAATCTCGTGAAAAGATTATTACGACTGGCCGATTTGCCTCTAGAGAATGTATACGTTCCGGGTGGAAGGCCGACGCAATATCGAGGCTGGTCTGTTCATGGAGATCTGTCTTTGACTCCCGTCTCGCCGGAAGCGGGTAAGGTGCCCAACTCTTAATCGCCTTAAAAGACAAACGGCTTCGAACTTTCATCACCAGCTTTCGACGCGCGGAGCCTGATTTGGGAAGAGCAAACAACGAGGGCATTCGGGCAGGTGAATAATTATTTCAAAATCATCTCTTCCACGAGCTGTGGGACACATGTCCACGTCAAGCCTGAGGAAGGTGACTGGGAGCTCAACGCCGTCAAAAAACTGGCAAAGGCAATTGTTGTTTTCGCCGTTATCAGCCAGTTATTAGGGCCAGCTCGGCAGATCAGCGTGTACTGCAAAGATAACACACAAGGCCGATACGTCCATCGCGATTTAACCAGCAGAGGAGGTCCAGCACTTGTCTTGCATCAGCTCCAAAGTAAAAAGAAGACAACAACCCTTGTCAACTACATGTGCCCTCCAGAACCGGGAGACGAGCTTGGACGCAACTATGTCTGGAATTTGACGAACGTCTGCGACGCCAACTCATGTGGGACTGTGGAGTTTCGGGGGGCAGAAATGAGTGTGGCCATGGATAATGTGAGGAAGTGAGTCGCGTTTGTGATTGGGTTCGAGGGTGGCGCGAATCTCGCGACGAACGAATTCTTTAAGCAATACGCCACCACGGATCCAACCCGCGATGATCTGCTCGACTTCGTTGAAGGAGGGCTTCTGCCTGAAGCGCGATTAAGCATCCGTGATTGGTTTTCGAGCGGAAGTCAAGGTGGTGGCGGAAGTCAAGGTGGTGGTGATTGATTCCAGAATGTGGCTGCTACCCCAGTCTTTTGATACCCACAGGCAAAAATAATGGTATTTTGTTGGATGTACACTCCATGTATATCATACCATTGGTCCAAAAAAGGCTTGAAAAAAAAATGATCAGTGGGTCGAAAGAATACATAGATATCAGAGCAATACCAGTATTCATCCCCAGCGCCCGTCAAACCTCGCCCTCATATATCCCATTCTCCTCTCCTTCCACATCCCCCTCCGTCTGCCCCCCAGGCCCTGTCCTGCAATCCGGATACCAATCAGCACATTAGTTGTTATCGAACAAACACACAGCTCGGCATTAAAAATAGAAACTCACGGCGCGTAGGGCATGTGGAGTGTTTGTGGTGAGGGGGGTTGTGGTGCAACGGATGCGGGTGCTATGCCACTGCCAACGCTGCTTTCGCTTAGGCCTTGGCTTGTGGAGGCGAGCGACATGTTTCTACGATGGTGAAAGGGTGGGATCGCAACGCATTGGTGGCAAGGAAAGAAAGGTGCACGTGGCTGAAACCAACTTGAAGCTGAAAGTTTGGCAGTGAAACTTTTAACTGACAAGAACTATGATTTTACAAGAAAATGTTTAAATTGTAAGCACCATGACCGCCCAAGTCTGTCCGGCTCAAGCAACTCAAGTGCCAATCTTTCCTAGACAGTTCCCCGTGTACTTAATGCGAAGTACATCCTTTTATTCGGACTTGTCGCACTCCCCATAAAAAGGCAACGCCATCGAATGGTCACCGTGTGGCAGAGGCTGTCGCATTGTTCATCCATGTGTCTATTGACCTTCCGTAGTTGGCCCGCATACTTCACAAAAGGGTTCCTAAGCTCACCAGGCTCCTCGCTCAAATTTCCAAATCTCCATGATGATTCCCTACAGGCACCATGACGGTATCAGGATACAAGCATCGATATCCGATTGGCAGTGGTGTCAGACGGGTAAATGTGATCTCAGGCCCTCTTTGAATATCAGGGAGATCGTGAAACTTGATGGGTTCCAGACTGGTTGACTGGATTGAAGCCAAGAACGATGAGCATACGTCCATTGCTGAAGAATTTGTAACAAGGTTAATAAGAGTATCATTTTGGGAAAACCCTTACGCACACAGCTCCTTTTGATAGTCATCGCGTGGAACTTGAAGCCCGCGTCCCTTCTTTTGTTGAAGTGCTACTCCAAGAATGTTATTCATGATTCCAACGTTTTCCTTCAGCCACATGACGGAGACATGTCCACGGTCGAAGACAATATCTTCCCAGGTGCGTCCTGACCATTCATGGAGGAGTCGCCAATATGGTCTGATCCTCGGACCAACAATTAATTTGATGGTGTATTCACAAAGCTCCTCAAGAATAGTGACCGCCACGATGAAAGCCAAAATTGTGAACAGTGGTGAGTCCTGACAAATGTGAGGTTTGCTAGGTGTCAAATAATTTGTATACCTCGGGCACCTCCTCAAAGGCGTGGATGAGATTGCCATTAATCTGGATTTCAGGGACCGCTCTCCCGGCCGTTGAAACCATTCCCCAGTAAGAACTATAGAGGTCATTTGTCCGATCCATGGAAAGCGGTTTGAATTTTGGCGCATTGACAAGGATGTCTCGGATGTGGGGGATGGAAGAGTCATAGTTATTATCGCCGAGCCTTCGATATTCAACAAACTTTTCAAAGACTGAACGATACAGCAAAATGGTGAAGTCCGATGAAGCAAGGTGGTCCAAGACTTGTGAGAAGGCCTTGGAATCGAGGACACTTGTCCAAATCAGGAGGATTGAAAGGGCGGCATCGCCCACAGAGCGTCTCATACTTGCAACCACAAAATTTATAAGGGCTCAAGCCGATGAAGTACAAGAAAAAAAGAAGCATTACAGTGTTTTGCATGTGAGATTGGAATTCAAATCTCACGAAAACTTGTTTGTTCTTGTGGTCTGTGACTGATGGGAGTCAAGTTGAATCAACATTCAATCATCGACGTAAATGCTTCCAAGCAAGTTCCAAGGGAGGGGACTCCTCCACTTGAAGAAAATAAGGATCTAGTCGGAAGACTAGATCCTTTATCGGCTACCCGTGACCTTCACTAAGAGCGCTCTGGCAGAGGAAGTTCAACGTTCAACGCTGTGACACCGAGGAAGGCAACATCACACATTACAACTAATACAAGAACAAACAACTTTTCGTGAGATTTGGATTCCAATCTCACATGCAAAACACTGTAGAATGATCTTGTCAGGCCAAGTCATGATCATTGTTGAATGTTGCGGTGCACAGTAGAGAAATCTGAGACCGTCAGTTCAACATTTCTAATGAAGTCGTGACAAGTGTAGCTCCGACTCGATGGATGGTGGTGCAAATCAACAAATTAAAACCAAAGTTACATTGCAATGAAACCCTCGGAAGCCCAACAACTCACGATGGAACGAAAACGAAAGATCTTACATAAATTAAATGTTTTGTACCTGTTCTTCCATCCACGTCCATAATTCCTTGGCAAGTTTTGGGTCTTGTGCAAAAGCATTTGGGGTACCCACTCGTGCCCAAGGAATGAGATACTGCAAATAAGGAGCGTAAGTCCCTCGAGTAGACGGCACATTGAACAAAGACAATATTACCTTGCCACCCAGAGTCAAGCCTTTGTCAGTCGTGCCAGCCCAAAGCAGCGTCAACGCCCCCATGGCTGGGGGGGACAAAAACAAACCCTGTAGACCACATTCAGCAAAGAAACCATGGGAAGACGATATTGATATGCTTACAATAACGAAATTCTCGATTCTCGACATATGGCGGAATAAATCCGAACGCAAGCTTCCTGGATGGATCGACGTTGAGATAATCCCCTCATCGGCGTATCGGCGGAACAACTCATTCGAAAATAAGATACTACCCTGAACAAAGAAAGACAATGTCGACACCATGCCTCAAGAGGAAAAAATGCGAAGAGACAAACGAGTTTACTCTGACCGTACAGCATCACGCTAAACTTCTTTTTCCTCGCGGGGCCATCCTTCAGTGTGTTGAAATCGATGGAACCGTAGTGATGAGCGGCAGAGCTGACGTTGATGACCCGAACCTTCCCATCAGGACTGGTCTTCGCAGTTGACAGGAGAGTAGGGAGAAGGAGCTTCGTAAAGTAGAAATGTCCTACAAAGTGCTCATTAACACCCACACAAATGTCATGTTTTCGAGACCTACCAAGGGTATTAGTACCGAACTGAAGATCGTAGTCTTGAGCTGTCACATCGGCAACGGGAGGCACCATAACACCAGCATTGTTGTAAAGAACGTCAAGTCGCGTCTCTTTCCTAATATGTTCCCCAAGGTATTCAATTGTCAAGCACAGAGTTCAGGATAAACCAGTCCTCACCTCTGAAATTCCTCAGCTGCCGCCTTGACTGAGGTCAAGTCCGCAAGGTCCAACTTCAAAAACAGCGCCTCTTTGCCAGTTTCCGCCTTGATGTCCTGAATGGCTTGCTCAACCCTTTCCTGGCTCCGCCCTGCGATGTAAACCTTTCCATTGCGCGCAACAAGCACCTACAAACGTCGCAATTTAGCCAGCACTACGTCATATCGAGTATAAAAAACTCGCCTTGGCTGTCTCTTTTCCAACTCCTTCAAGACCGTCGACAATCAGCCTGCATTATAGATAGACATAGACAGTTTCTCACCTGCGTTCGCCCCAGTGACAATTATCACCTTGCCTTCTAGGTCTGGTACGTCGTCCACCTTGAACGTAGGCTTCGGTGCGTGGTTTTCGCGGATAATAGCGAGGATGGACCCCATGGCGCACGTGGTTCGAGAAGGTCGAGCAGTAGGAAATTCAGTGTGCAACACGTACGTCTTTTATTTGATGATGACATTGCATACGAACCTTATGTACTATGTAAGTATCAGATGTTTCATTCAATTCGGCACAGTGTGACGTGTTGATACCAGCCTGCCGAAATTTCGATAGGGCTGCATTAGGGCCGCATGACCAGCGTGAAATAGGATGAGAGTATAAGCCTCCGTTGAGGTCGGCTTTTGCTTTTGATTCGACCTCAATCTTTTGTAGATGTAGACGGATGACAATTGTAACAAAGAATGGAGGCTGTCATGCTATGTATTGGGACATAATAACCGAATAGAATACATGGCATGATGGGCATCTTGAAGATGCAAGTTAGATATACAGTATACAACAGGCGGGGACAGCAGGCGCACTCTGAAGTTCAGCGCGAAGACCAGAATGTGGGTAGGAGGGAAAGATGTGAACGAAAACAGGGTTAATAGATGTCCAAACCCTCTATTAGATTAATCAGGCGAACGCAATGATGGCCGCCTGTCCTGGTTGGAGGTTCCGATAGCGCTGGGATGTTATTGATGAACCGTGGTAGGTGGCTGACCTTCGTCGAAGTCTTCGACTCTGTTCGTAATGTCGATGGCTCGAAAGAGTGCTCACAAGCAAAGGGTCATGGTCGTTTGAGAGGGCCCTGCCTTTTCTGAACTCTTCATGTTTCAATAAGTCTATCTTCATTACCTAGTAAATGCGGTAGCTAACGAGTCAGCTAACTCCCGTAGTATGAGAAACAAAGGTATTTACCTTCTCAAAGTTCCGCTCCTTGGAAGGATCAATCCGACGTTACCGCAACATCAAGTGCAACGTCGAGACTCACGAACGAACCCCTTCCACTTAACTTCAACGACGGATGATAACAATCTAGTCTCTGTACTGACCTCCCTGCAGTTACATTGCTTCCCTTGTCTCCCATTGCTGACTCGTTTCATGGCCACAACTTTGGGACACGAGCCGTGGCCAACCCATGCGGAGGGTAGTGCTTGAGCGTGAGGGACGCCTAGCTTTGAGGTCTTGTAGCTGACGCAGACGTTATTGAGAGACCCGTCGCAGATGGAGGAATTTCAACAAAGTAATTGGTTAGGAACCTCCCAATGTATCCTTAAATAGTTAACGGGGATTTCGAATGTAGATACGGCAGCGTGCAATCGCTCCATCGTTATTAGCCTGCAGGTACCCACAGGTGACAACTGGAATGGTGGGTGCAAATCAACTAATCAGAACCGAAGTTCACCATGAAACCCGAGAAAGCCCAATAACTCACGGGGGAATGTAAATGAGATTAAATGTTTTGCACCTGTTCCTCCATCCACGTCCATAATTCCTCGGCAAGTTTCGGGTCTCGTGCAGAAGCGTTCGGGGTACCCACCCGTGCCCAGGGAATCAGATACTGCAAAAAAAAAAAAAGCGTAAGTCCTTCGAGTAGACGGCACATTGAACAAAGACAATATTACCTTGCCACCCAGAGTCAATCCTTCGTCAGTCGTGCCAGCCCAGAGCAGCGTCAACGCCCCCATAGCTGAGGGATACAAAATGAGATTCTATAAACCACATTCAGCAAAGGAACCATGGGGAAGATGATATGATATGCTTACAACAACGAAATTCTCGATTCTCGACATATGGCGGTATAAATCCGATCGCAAGTTTCCTGGATGTATCGACGTTGAGATAACCCCCTCATGGGCGTACCGGCGAAACAACTCATTCGAAAATAAGATGTTACCCTGAACAAAGAAAGACTACGTCAACGCCGTGCCTCAATAGAAAAAGATGCGAAGATACAAACGAGTTTACTCTGACCGTACAACATCAAGCCAGACTTCTTTTTCCTTGCAGGACAATCCTTCAGGATGTTGAAATCGATGGAACCGTGGTGCCAGTGATGAGCGGCAGAGCTGACGTTAATGACCCGAACCTTCCCATCGGGACTGGTCTTCGCGCTTGCCAGGAGAGTAGGTAGAAGGAGCTTCGTAAAGTAGAAATGTCCTACAAAGCGCTCATCAACTCCCACAGAAATGTCATATGGTCTTCGAGACCTACCAAGAGTATTAGTACCGAACTGAAGATCGTAGCCTTGAGCTGTCACATCAGCAATGGGAGGCCCCAAAACACCAGCATTGTTATAAAGAACGTCAAGTCGCGTTTCTTTCCTAAGACCAAGCGGCATTCAATTGTCCAGCACGGAGTTAAGTAAAGATGAACCATTCCTCACCTCTGGAATTCCTCAGCTGCCGCCTTGACCGAGGTCAAGTCCGCAAGGTCCAACTTCAGAAACAGCGCGTCTTTGCCAGTTTCCGCCTTGATGTCCTGAATGGCTTGCTCGACCCTTTCCTGGCTCCGCCCTGCGATGTAAACCTTTGCATTACGCGCAACAAGAACCTAAGAACGTCAAAGATTAGCCTGCACTACGCCATGTTGAGGATAGACTTGCCTTCGCTGTCTCCTTCCCAACCCCTTTAAGACCATTGAAAATCAGCCTACATTATAGGTAGACATAAACAGTTTCTCACCTGCGTTCGCCCCAGTAATAATGATCACTTTGCCTTCTAGGTCTGGTACGTCGTCGACCTTGAACGTAGGTTTCGGTGGGAGGTTTTCGCGGATAACAGCGAGGATACCCATGGCGTTCGTGTTGAGGAGTGGTGTGGAACACGTCGCTAGGGAGTGGTACGTCTTTTACCTGGTGACATGATCAAAATGCATACGAACAAGTGCCTGCTGGCTCTAAATTTAGATTTCCGCAGTGACCAGGCTCAAGAACCAACAAAAGAATAGTTGCTGTCATACTATGTATTAGGACATGAAGGTCATAACCGAATAAAGGTGATCTATGCGAAAAACGCAAAACGAACGGAAGATGGTGATGGATACAGAATATATGGCAATACACATGATGGGGGTTTTGAAAATGCAAGTTAGATAGCAGGCTAGGAGAGCGGGCGCACCCTGAAGTTGAGTGCGAAAACCAGAATATGGGTGGGAGGGGAGATGTGAACGAAAATTTTGATAAATGTCCAAACCCTCTATTAGATTAATCAGGCGAGTCCTTTGAATTGCCTTTTCGTCGTAAGAATTTGCGGCGGACGGTGAACACATGGCTTAGTGTGTCTTTTCTTCTCCTCGGCGATGTATTAGGTTCGGAAGCTAGGCTTCGGCTACTCTGTCTCCGTTCAGAAAGGTTGGTTTGCATCCTCTTCATCGCCACCCCGTTTTCCTCCGTAGAGAAGTCGAAACCTCGATGTACTACAGAACGCATGCCAGTCGACATATCCGTTCGACTTGCGGACCGTACATCAGTCGAAGGTCCAGGAGCAAACGACGCGACACTTTCGGGGCGCGACACCGGGTAGGATGCAACAGAGGCCGGACGTTTCATGGCAGCCAGACCGAATCCATTTTGGTCCTGCGATAAATCTCTTGTGGGGTCCATCTTGTGAATGTAACGAACGGTGTCCATGTCGTCCGGGTGGAAACCGAACTTCCAGGCTTTCCAAAGATATCGTGGCAGAAGGGCGAGGAGGATGGTGAGTGGAAGGGAAAGCCAGAAATATGCTGATGGGAACAAGAAGTGATTGTTGCCGAACACGGGAGTAACGATCCATCCAGGTGAGATAGTATTGTAGACGGCCTAGTGGGATATCAGAAAGGGCACTAAATCAAGAAGAAGAAAAAGAGGACTGACGGTGTACACCAATATCAGGAAGTCTCCAATAAACACGGCGAAGAACACCCAGGCGGTCCAAACGTTCGTGTTAAGACCGTTGAAAAAGTTTGCGGTAAATACAGCAGCAAATGCCATAGTCTAGAAAACCTTGAGAACAAGCAAGGAAACAATGCGCAAAGGGCGTACCGTTGAAAATTCGTATGTGCTAACCGCCCAGCCAGTAGTACGGCTAGACGTAGAGAAATACGTATAGAGAATGAGGAAGAAGATGATAGCAGACTAAGCCGCTTGTAAGCCATAATCCTGAACAATGCAACGACTTGCACTAACCTGCACAACCCCGTCGAACATGTAAATCGCGAAGTCCCGAATCCCGAACCACTTCCCCTCACGTCCATACCAGTAAAGTTCAGGCAAGGCCATCAAGACATGATCATCTAAGGAGGGTCGGAATGGGAATACAATTCGAAAAGAGAGGACGACATACCAGCTACCCGATCAAACAAGCCAATACCAATGACAGGCGCAATCGTCCAGAATGAGTTCCAGAATAGGAGGTAGGTATATTCGAATACACTTCAGAACAATAAATCAGCACCCAGCCGGCATTTAAACAAAAAGGGAAGTCAACATACTAAGCGGAACTCCAGAAACAATAGATTTGAAACCACCACAATACACCGATACAAACTATATTCTTGTAGAAAAAATTCAAGATCCTGTTTGGATTAAATTAAGCGTCCGAGAATGACGGAGTGTAAAAATAGACCTACATGTTCCCGTTTCGTGCATATGACCAATGCCCATGGACCAGGATCAATCGTTTTAGGAAACGGAACTGTCACCAAGCCAAAGTAAGCCGTCTGTGGAGCACTGGCATTATGTCCAAATGGATTCACCTGAGCAATCGCATAATCTGACGAGTTGACGGCTTGTAAACCTTCTTCACCTGAGATGCCAACGCCCACATCAGCAGCCTACAGATGCACCCATTAGCCCACTACAACAAACAACAGAAACAAGATCAAACGAACTTGAATCATGCTAACATCGTTGGCTCCATCGCCAATGGCAAGAGTCATCGCTCCGATTCCATCCTTCACCAGCAGCACAATAAGAGCCTTCTGCAACGGCGATACACGGCAACAGATGACACTCTCGCACAACATGGCGAGTCTGAGAAGGAGGTTTTTACTGCTCTCATCATCGAAAACCTAACAAGCAAGGTGTTAGGCAGGAAACAAGAAATGGTTTCATAACCACATACAAGGTCCAACGCCGCCCCATCAATGACCAATACAAATCCACCAAGTCGTTCTCCGTTGTTAGCTCCAACAATTGACGACATGCCCGTTTGCGTTCTGTGCAGGTGCCCACCGTTCGTAGGATGGTGACTATACGTCGAGTCTGCAGTTGACGGACGAGCAAGAGGCACTTCTCCATCCAATATGCCACTGTCCGGGAAAAACTCCTCAGCAGCATGTACGAGCTGGTCATAGACAGGTCGCCCGGATTGGTTTCCGCGGACCACGATGATGTTGGAGTCTCTGGCAATGAGGTTTGTGCTGTGGCCAATGGCTTCATCGAGGGTCAGTCACGAAATCGAAAAACGCAAAAAAAATTCGTACCGATGGACGTCTCAAGTTTGTCGCCTGTAGCCACCCACATCTTGATACCTGCCCTCTTGAGATCTGCAATGGTTTGGGGAACGCCATCTTGCAACTTGTCTTCAATGGCTGTAGCGCCAAGGAGGCGAAGATCCCGCTCAAGCTCGTCGCATAACAGTTCAACTTTCCCCTCGCGATCTTCCATTGATACTGTGGCTGCATGATAGCGTTCGCTCCATTCCCGGTATTCCTCCTCTGAAAGAAGTAGAAAAGTGTGACGTTAGTCCAATCCTGGGCATCAACCGAAATGGAACAAGGGCCATCACCCACCTCCGATGACCTTATAAGCCATCGTCAGGGTCCTCAATCCCTGGTTGGCGAACTCGTCCAAATGCTTCTCAGTGGCCGCCTTCAACTCCTCCCCAGACCCCGGCTTCAGCCTCTCAAAAATCACATTATCCGCGCCCTTGCTCAACAAAAATATCCTCCCATCATCATCCAGCTTCCTTATAACGACGCTCATCCTCTTCCTGGCGCTCGTAAACTCCAATATGTTCAAGAGCTCGTATCGTTCGACCCCATCTCCGTGCTGGCTGTCTCTGTCGATATCGGACCCAGACGCAGAAGATTCTTCTTCACCGACAGCCATGTGAGAAAACGGTGTCTGTAGAAGTAACACCTCCTTATCTCGCCCCCTAAAAATAAACCCCATGTCTGCGGCCGCCTCTACCAGCGCAGCTTCGTCCGGACTCTGTGCCTTGTATTCAATCTTCCTCGTCACTGGATCAATGTTTGTCAACACTGTATGGCAGAGCGCCAAAACGGTGAAAAATCCATTGAGCTGTCGGGCATGAGCGGCATTCGGAGTGTTAGGGTCGACGTGAACAGCCTCCCTCAAGTCCTGGGAGAGCTCGCCGTCGCGGAAGTGGCGTAGAGGCTGGTTAGAAGCCTTTTTCATGGCCGGAACGGCGGAATCCCTGGTGCCCGTTTTGTCCACCCTTGTGGAGGAGCCAGCGGAAGACGACGGAATGTCGACGAGTGGAATGTCTTTGCTGTCCTTTTCGGAAGGATAAACTGGGGGTTCTTTTTTTATTTCCTCTTCCTCCTCCGGATTGCCGTTGTAGATTTTCCCGCCAATGGAGCACTTTTGGAAGATCATCAAGTTCTAATATTTCCAAGTGAACATGATGCGAGGAAGGATGAATCAGAGGATGAAAATACCTGCGTAAGTGTACCAGTTTTGTCCGAGAATATGTATTCAATCTGGCCAAGGTCGTCCGTCAGATTCCACGTTCTGGCTATTGTTGGCTGGCCCGTTTTTTCGTAATACATATCGGTATCGAAATAGATAAAAGCTGCCTGACACGTTCGAACAAACTCAATCGATATGTAGAGCGAGATGGGAACGATGTTCTGGAACCTGTGGAAAGTGTGAGTGAGCGCAATTCCCTGGTAAACGTTTCAGCTAAGAACATACGTGATTAGGGCGAACACGAATGTGATCAGTCCGTTGATAGAGGGATTGTCGTCCGACAGCGTTTCACCATAGAGCCAAGGAGCACCCCTTGGAAAATATCGGTGCTCAAGAACGGAATCGACAACACCACAAACCACGGCCATAATAGCCAGAATGATCAAGTTTATGAACCTATAAGTGTTCAATGAGCACTGCGACAAATCAAAAGGCGAAAAGAACGTACACCTGCGGATTCATTTGTCGCTCCACTTTGCTTCTCTTGCTCGGAGTAACACCGGAATTCATCACAATCCTGGTATCATGACCGGTGTACATAACCACGCCAATCACCCATTCTGTATTCCTCAACACAGTGCCCCTCAGCAAAGCCATTTGCATGTCCACAGGGAATACCTCCTTGCCAACCTTCACAGCCGCGTTGAGCTTGTACATGTTCACATCAGGCCGGTCACATTCAATCCGAAATTTATTATGCGCGGACGCACAATCCGCTGCACTGCGAATATGAGTCAGGTCTGGAACCGCGTTGCGGGATTTGAGGTTGGTCTCGCCGTCCAGATTTTTGGTTTCTATGAACGCCACGTTCTCGTCCTCTGACGTCGAGCAAATGAGGATGTCGGCAGGGAAGGACTCGTTGTTCATGATCTTTACGAAATCACCGACAGCCACGTTTTCCCAGGGCGTCATCTTCCAATGCGGCCGAAGCCGGTCCGTACCGTCGTGCGCAAAGACGGTAGGAAGCATATGAGCCTCTTCCACTTGATCATCGTACTCGACATGTTCTGAGACTGCAGTTGCAGCAGTTGTCACTCCTGCAAGTTCCTCGCCGTTCGAATTGGACGTCAACACCTTTTTGATTTTGGGGCGCTGTCTTGGCACCAACCCCCGGACAAACGTCTTGCTCTTCTTTTGCATGGCATTGGGATTGACCCAGTTACCCCCAGCGAGAACGCGAATCATGGAGTGGTTAACGGTGCGGTCAGACTGATGTCTCTTTACATCCTCGTACCCATCCTTAATAGCAGTTATAGATAGGACGATAAGAAGTGGGAGGAGAACAAGCCCGGGCGAGATGGTTGAAAATATGTTGAAAAACTGCAGGATGGCTATTCCGAGGAAGAATCTGTCAAATGAACATCAATGAAACGCGCGCTAGGAGAAACTGAGACAGCCAAGCGTACATGTTTGCGACACGTCGAAATTGCTCTAGTAAATTCCTGGGTACGAAGGTGATGATAGTGTACTTTGAGGTGATAACTTGATTTGTGGCATATACATGCTCGCGTTTCACCCGTCCCCGGTGGTCACGATAGTCATCGGGGAGGTTCTCGTTCACAAAAATGGTACGTTGAGGACCTGGCTCTGTCTTTCGCGCGAAAAGATCTTCGACCTTGAACGCGGCAAATTTCTCGTACCAGCGTACGATAGCGGATTTGTGGTGGCCCGGCGCGGACATGTTGGGTGAATGGATTCGGCGGTGAAGTAATCGTCGTCGTAGCCTGTCGTGATATAAAGAGATTGTGGGTCGTCGTAAAGGCTTAAGCCAACATTACTGCTACACGGGGTAGGGGAAAGGAGACGACGAGGACGAGCGGACAGTTCGAAAGATGACGCAGCAGCCTATGTAATTGACAAGATCGGCTCGGCAGCTCACAAACACAAAATGACAAATCCACCCTGACACAAATAATTGCTGCGCGTCCTTTGGAGGCGTTCATCGTTTCGACCAGAGAGCAAGCAAGTCGTAGAACAAATGAACATTTTCAGCATGCCTTCTCTGCCCCTCGGAGCAAAGGCTAACTGTAGATAGTCTACTTCTTTGCATTCTTCTGCGTCAGCGACTCAGCATCATCACGCCGATGTCGTGTGACACGCATGGTCATGACAAACCACCATTTCGCCAACGTGCCTCAAAAACAAAGGCGGGTTATAGGTAATCATTTTATCATGAGGTGAAAATGAGTGGAAGAATTCCAAGGTACAGGGGCAACCGTAGTGTAAGTACCAGGAATTTGACGAGGACAAGAAAATCAATGAGAGAAGATACGATATAACAAAGAGTGAGGAACTCCAAAAAACCGTGTGGCAGTTGAAAGATGGTAATAAAGCCAGTCGCTAGGGGTATCGTATTTTTCGGACCACACCAAGAAAGAAAGTCGTGCTCGCCATCTACTGCTGGGAAGCGCCCCCAGCAGGTCGCTGGTTCACACCTTCCTTGAGAGCTAAAAGCTGCTTCGACCGGAACGCCTCGTAGTGGATCTGTGCCGTCGTCTCGATCAAGTCTTGCAAATGTGTCCTGTATTACCGTCAACATGTGTTGATGACACCAGGAGAAAAGCCAACAAACCTGGTAAGGAAGTTGCGCAGGTGAACAAACTCGCAGTGGTTCGCGTCCTCGACGTTCACAACACCCCAGCGGTTCTTGCGACCACGAACGGACTTGCCATCGATGATCACATTGTTTTCTGAACCGACAACGGCAAAAGGAATAATTTGCTATGATAGATATGAGCAAGCAGAACTTTGATAGAGCATAAACCCAGGCCTACCCTAATCGACTCGTTCAAGTGAATTTCCTCCTCGTCATCCTCATCGGTATCGAAAGGATACAAACGAATGTTGTTGTAAATCAGCTCCTCGCGAATCTACGAAACCCAAGTACCATCAGCACGGTGAAAAGTAAATCCTAAGTAAACCAACCTTAAACTTGAACTTCTCTCTTTCTTCCAACGTCAAGCTATCACTCTTTGCAATGACGGGCACGACATTGACCACCTCGCTCAGCTTCTTCATCACAATGACATCAATGGGGCGAAGGGCATGGCCAGTGGGATTGATGAAGTACAAGCAGCAGTGGATGCGTGTGTCCTGGATGTAGCGGTCACGCATGGCAGTGAGTTCTTTGCGGAGATAAGCGCTGTGTTGGTCCTTGATATACTTAATGATGGGATCCCAGCTGTAAGGTCAACTTCATGAGATGGAAAACTAACTAAAGCAATGGAAACCATACCAGCCCTCGTTGTTGATCTGATCACCGTACCCTGGGGTATCAACGATGTTGAGACGGAGTTTGACGCCATTCTCAACAATGACTGCATGGGGAAATTAGTACTAAATCCTAAAGTCTAGAATGCGGAGAAAAGTAGGAAAACAAGCTCGCCAAGCAGGTCTTCTCCAACGCACCCACATCAAGTGACGGTACCGCAAAAGAAGGCATAGAAACCAAGAAGAAAACGGGAAAAACAGCATACCATGAGAGACGGCCTGAATCTCCGTCGTTTGCCTGACGGGTTCGTCAGAAGCGAAGCGCCCCTTAGAGTCGATAAGGTGTGACGCGAAGATGGTGTTTATCAGAGTCGACTTGCCCAACCCCGTTTGGCCTGTAACGTGAATTGTTAGCTTTAACTCCGACTGCAGACGCGAAAGAGGAGGAGAATTCTGTGGAAATTGAGAGAAGCAGCTGGGTAGGAACGGAAACGTGTAACAGCCGTTGGACGTTACGTAGTACGTGGGGCCATCCAGAATACCTCTCCACGACGGGGAGAAACACCCAAGCAGCAAAGAAGAGGCAACGTCACACCGTACAAGACCACCCCACCCCCAAAACCACCCCAAAAACAGAGAAGCCGTACTCCGTCAAACATCAACTCACCGACAACGATAACGTTGAACTGAAACCCGCGTTTCAAGAGCTTGTGCTCAATCTGCTGAGTGATAGAGTCGAAGCCGACATAAGACTGCGCTCGGATTTCCTCAGTCGACATTTCTTGATATTATTCGTGAGCAGGGGGCCTATGCGTTGTCAAGTCCAATTTTAATTTCGTGGTTTAGCCCTAGAGAGGGATTATGATGAACTCACTATGCAGTAATGGGATGATAGGGAAGAGGCGACGATAGAGGAGGATGGACAACAACGACGGCGGCGACGACGAACAACGCTGTTTGAAGGGGGCGAATTCGAACGACTTTAGAATGTAAATTTGGCTCTGGCACAAACAAATGTACACAAACGTTTGTGGCGCTTTTTCAGTTGCTCAGCAAATGGTTCAAAAAATTTATTGGGATTGCCACCAGCAGACTCGGACAAAAAACCCAAGAGCTAGCCTAATAACTAGGTAGGTAGAAGGGTATGTGATCACAAGTAACCCGACTAGCGAACACCCCCCTCCTTCAACTTCATTACTTGATCCATCTTTAAATGTGACTTCTTATTTCCTTTTTCTTTCTACAGTCCCTCTGCCCATCATTGCCATTCCTCTGGCCTGTGGAGTTTGAACGAGGCCAGCAGAGACGACAAACGACTTAAAGTTCCGTTCCCAACCTGAGAGAGGAAAGAAGGGAAAAAATTACTCAGTAAAATGTATTCGATAAAGAAATTACTTGGCAGAAGGAGACGGGGGAAGAACAGAAACGGATGAGAGGTAGGGTATTGAAAACGCGACAACCACGACCAGCACGCTGATGACGATAGCTGGAATGTAAGATGTTGTGCTGGTTGCAGATTGGCGTGTCGCCGTTGCGGATCGACTTTTGACGGGGGATGCGGGGGTAGCGGGAATAAGGTACACGTACCCAATGGATTTGAAGCCGTGAATGCTGTGAACTTGAGTTAACAGAGGGGCGTTATCAGGAGAGACTCGGACTAACTAATATCCTTCGATGTTGCGCTTAATTTCATCTTCCTGGCCTTTAGGAACTCCAACGAGCGAGAAAGTCACCTTGGTTGAGTCAGAGGATTGTTCAAGTTTCGTGGTCAATGTTGCAGCATGTCCTGTACAACAATGAGCTGATATTCGAAGCAAATGATGGAACAACATGCCAGATGGCCATGTAGGACTTTGCACAGCCCAGGTTTGCACAATTTCAGTGGACGGCGTGAGCGAGACATATTTGCCTTTGACACCTCCACCAAACAGGGAGTATTCAGATCCTGGTTGAGGTGTTGACTGGGCGGCCCTCAGTGAACATCAAGTCCAAGTCTACAAAAAACAGACCTTTGCTGGAGCACGAGTCCATAGAGGAATCCTCTTCTCATCTGTTAGGAGCCCGAAAAGATCGTCAGCTGACGCTTGGAAGTTAGCTTCCACAGTAATAGTCGACGTGTTGAGAGCTTTCTTCTCGGTGGGCTTCTTCACAGGCGCAGCAGACGACGTGGATGCGACTGCAGGAGCAGGAGTAGAAGTCCCACTGCCTGGAGCAGGGGTACCCACGCGACTTGGATCAGCGCTGATAGTAAGGTCCTTTCCGTGGGTATCGATGATGGCACTTGGGAACGTGGCGAACTTCGTTTCCAGCGCTGTGGGCAAGCGCGTCTTGGCCAAAGCGAACAACGCGTTGACGTCTGTCGATGACTGGGTGGTGAGGCTCCAGTCGTACTGTGGCGTTCAACGTGTTTGTCACCGAACGTCAAAAGCATGAAGGGTAGGTGTTCTTACCACATAGTCAGACAGGTTGTCACAGACAATTTCATGAGATACCTCCGGGATGGTGAGCGTCCCTTTCACTTCCGTCCCTTCACTGGTTGTACCCGTCCATGCCAAAGAGATTTTGCAGTCGAAGATCGTGATCAATCTGAAAACGTCGTAATAAAATATCAGAGGCAGGAAGAGATGAAATTCGGGATGTTATCTGACAGCGAAGAAAGAAAAACTATTCACGTACTTTGACTTTCTCTGACCGAGCTCGATATCGCCATCGACCTCTGTCACCTTTGAGATTGAGATTACCTCGCCTTCCTTGTCGCCCTGGATGCTAATCGTTGTCAATTCCCTTTCAAACCACTCCTGGCCCCAGCGCGTGATGTTCTTGTTCTTCCAGTGCCAGTTCGCTGTGGAGGGTGGGAGGGCCATTGTTGGGATCTAAAAATCTAGAGTAAAAGGACTCAGGTAAAGGAGGTGGAAAGAGAGTGGCTGATGGGGTCAGAAAATCACGCCTCTGATCATGTTTATTTGGACTATTTTTCTGCTTATCCTCTTTCCACAACGTTCTAGCGATTTCTCTGCCATCACTCTATGGAAAAGCAAGCGAAAGTAATCTGGTCAGCAGAAGCGCGACGCGACAAATTTCGCGGCACGAGGACTTTCTTGTCTTGACCTCGTAAACTTTGTGACGAGAGGTCATATACTTATGGATATCTGAAGGGTCCACCATGGAAGATTAACTTCATCCCCATTCGACACCCTGCTATGCAAGTAGTTACGTTGCTTCGAAACCAGGTCGTCCTCCTCCAAGTGTTTCGCATTCCCGCTTGTTTCTGGCTTGTTGGTGCGCCTTGACGGCCTCGGGCCCCGACGCAACCCGCCAAAAAGCGGAGCCGTGAAGCCCTTCTCCATTCTTACGATTCAAACCCACCCGAGGAAGTTGGTCCCTGACAGGTACTCAGGTACTTTTTCCTTTCACCATGTCGTCACTTTGAACTCATCATATTCTGTTCTTTTAGCACCCGAAATGTTCGGGATTTTTCAAGAACGTCTTAGATTGGGTTCACCGTTCGCAGAATCTTGGTGAGAGAATTTTCAGCACCTATGTAGCATGCTAAACTTACGACATGCCTCAAAGCAGTGCTATGTCCGTACTTCGTCCACACTTCCGCCAGGGAGGCACGTCGAAACGTTGCCCACGCTCCCCTATTTATGGTCGTTTGCCCGTAGTTTCCCCCGATTTCTGTGATGCCGTCGTGCAATTGCCATGTGCACCAATCAGCGCCTCCCTGTTTATTCACAGTGAACGCTGCGGTCACGATGTACCCCTTTGCTCCACAGAAATAAATTGCTTTTTGCCACGAGATTCACGCACAAGAAAAACCGGTCACCCAACTTCGTTTCCTTTTGTTTTGCCGACATGCCCATGAATTCTCATACATTTCGTGTTATTATATAGGTACCATTGTGGTGGGTAGGCACTTGCCGCTTATTCCTTGGAGAACAAAAGAAGAACATCGCAGTAGCCCTCGAGAGATCTAGTGGAATCTCATCGGGGTGAGTGGTGACTTGGTGGAGTGTGACTCATCGCGTGACTGCAAATTGCCGGCAACTCTTTTTTGTTCTGAACGTTGCGTTCATATTGCGCGAACAGGTCTTGGTCCCTGGTATAGCACAATTGCCAGCGCCTAGATCGACCAATCTGAAGGTCAATATCGTTTAATCTCAATTGAGGTTCATTCCTAACTCTGATTTGGCTTTACCACCATAATGAAAGACAAAACATGACGTCCTCGTCCCCCATCTCACGAACGCCCCTTGCGGCAAAACTCGACCGTTATAGGGAGCTCGGACCTCTACCGACACTTTCCCCACGAAAAGTGAAACTCCAACGGGCCAACAACATGATGTCGGCCGCAATTATCTTAGGCTCGGAATCGAACACTTATGCATAGACACGCATGTCTCCGTAATGGTATGGGAATTCTCCGTCCTTTTGTTCTGTCCACGATAAGGCGGATTTCATATCGTATACAATCAGTCGTAGAGGGTGTTGTGTATGCTGTGGCCACCGTCGCACTATATTCCGGCGTACAGAGTCAATGCCAGGGGGACCCAAACCATATTCGCCTCCTAAATTCAAAAAAATGAAGACAATGCCAATATCGACGTCACCCTTAGCGATCCTTCCCGATTCCCGAAACAACCAATCCATCCGCTCCGACCCTGGGGAACACAACAAAGACGATCTCCAAATGGCACCGCACCGAGTTTAAAAGAACCCGCAAATCTCCTCATACCTTTCCCAACTTCCCACCAAAGCCATTCTTGCGTACAGCAGAACTGGGCCCAAGCAAGACGCTTGCTTTCTCCACTTTCCACACTCTCTCTTCCTACGCCGACATGCACGCACCTACTGAGATGCCCACTTCTTTCATTCTTCCGGACCTCGTTTCTCATTGCAGTTTCCCGCTCACATACCATGTTAATGGGGATGAGATTGCTGCGCAGTCTGTTGACTGGCTCGACACCAATTGCCCCGACTTGAACGCTAAGCAACGTCGTGCGCTTCGTGGTCTTCAGGCTGGCGAGCTCACGGCGTTCTGCTACCATTTCGCCTCGAAGGAACGCCTTCGTGTTGTTTCGGATTTCATGAACTATCTATTCCACCTGTACGTTTGCCTTTACTTTTTTCAGCTTGACCCTCACTCACTTTACTTTACAGTGACAATATCAGTGACGGCATGATGACACGCGAAACTGACGTTTTGTCTGATGTTGTCATGAACGCTCTCTGGTTCAGTAACAAGTACATGCCCACTACAGCTCCTGGGAAGGAACAGGCCGCTGTCGAGCTCAACCCTGGGAAGCTTGCTCGAGAGTATGTCATTTTTTCAGAAACACTTCCGTCATTCATTAACCTCCAATGACAGTTTCTGGGCTCGCTGCATTCCAGACTGCCCGCCTGGTCCTCAGGCTCGCTTCAAGGAGACGCTCGAGCTCTTCTTCGAGTCCGTCAATATTCAAGCGCGTGCTCGCGACGAGGGCGTCATCCCCGACCTTGAGTCCTACATCGACGTCCGGAGGGATACGTCCGGCTGCAAACCTTGCTGGGCACTTATCGAGTAAGCTTTTCCTCTCTGATCCGCCCTGATGCCTGAAGCTTATCAGACGTTTCTTGTTAGATATGCTCTTAACATCGACCTCCCCGATTATGTCGTCGAGCACCCAATTATGGAGGCCCTCAACCAGGGCACCAACGATCTCGTCACTTGGTCCAACGACATTTTCTCGTACAACGTCGAGCAGTCCCGTGGTGACACGCATAATATGATCGTCATTCTCATGCTCTACCATGGTCATACTCTCCAGAGCGCTGTGGATTACGTGGGCGATCTATGCGCTCAAACTATCGACACTTTCTGCGAGAACAAGAAAAAGCTTCCGTCCTGGGGCCCAGAGGTTGACGAGATGGTTGCTAAATACGTACAAGGTCTCCAGGACTGGATCGTCGGGTACGCGAACCCCTTTTCTTTGCCACACGCCTCATTGGCTGACGTAATTTGCTTCGCAGTTCCCTTCACTGGAGCTTCCAGACCCACAGATATTTCGGTACGAAAGGTCTAGAAGTCAAAGCCCACCGTTTCGTCAAGCTCCTCCCTCTTGAGCCCACCGCGCAAGCGCCCCCTCAGCTCGCCAACATCAACCAAGTTGCACGAGTTCCTCCGACATCAAACAAGACGACTGGCAGTGTGCTGCAGGGCATGCTTGAACTGGTAAATGTCCACGCCTCTCACTGCGAGCGCTGCACGATATTTACCTGAGCCCTCGTCTGTCTAGGTGCTGCCGTCGTCAAGAATCATACTATCGGTGTTCTTCTGCACCGTCTTTTTCTCGTTTGCATTAGCTGCGAGTGCAAGTCTGTGATCTTGCCGCACGTAACGACCCTCATTGATCCTCGCATTTGTGTTTTGTGATACGCTACGACTTATGATTTGATGATCATCACCCCCTTTCGACCTTCGCATTCACTCATTTACGTTTACGTTTTATCTTATAAGTTGACTATTCATTTCCGCCTCTCTGATACAATAATTGTGGGAGATTATAGTGATAGTGTACACGATATACTACCTGGGACGTTGTCTGTTTTCGAGATTACATAACATTATAAAGTAAATATATAATGACGTTTAGTGACGTCACTTGCACCATGTCTCATACCTTTTAAATCGACAACAAGTGCTCTCTATACTCTAATAATCAACCAATATGAACGTCCTATCTCGCCCAATCCTACGCTCCCTCGCTATCCGAAAAGCCCCGCAACTCGCCTCCTCGCTCCGCCGCCCCATCCCCCTCGTGCGTCCCTCTATCCTGGGCGCCAATCCTGCAGTGTTGCAAGTTCGTTGGGAGGCCAGCCGTGTGTCCATGAGGCCCGGCAGCCAAAGCCTTGAACACGCAGCTACAAACGTCAGAGAAGAACTGGGAAACTCCGCTACGGACCTCGCGAAGGTCATTGCAGGTGCGAACGTTGCCGGAGATAGCGTCGTTGATTCCAGTGCAGAGTCATTCGTACGTTTCCAAGTTCTCAACGTCACGTAATCTGACATGGGAGAAATGTGCTATAGATCGGAATCACTGGGACGGTGGCTAATCAGGTCCCTCAACATATCTTTCTTCTCGGATTGGCGGGTTCGTTCTTGTTCTTGTCTTTTGTTTCTTGTTTCGTTTCTTTCCCGCGTTGTCTCCGAGGGAAAAAAGTAATGTATGGGGTGAACATATGACTGATATTGACACTTGAATAGGTGGTCTGCCGTACGTGTCTGCGTCCGCAACGACCGTCTATCTTGCGTACCAAGCCCAATTGGCGACGTCCGGCGTGGATATAGGCATGGATCCCGGCGTGGCGCTTACCATTCTCGACCAGGCATTGAACATCCAGGTGACGTACGGCGCGATTATGTTGTCCTTCCTCGGTTAGCACACTTGAACAGTTATTGTTCTGCCACAAACGATTAGTTGACACCGCGCATATATATAGGCGCCTTGCATTGGGGGATGGAGATTGCTGGGTATGGCGGTATGAAAGGCTACGCGAGGCTTGCATTGGGGACTGCGCCGATGTTGATTGCGTGGCCGACGCTTGCCATGCAGCCTATGATGGCGCTCATGGTGCAGTGGCTTGGGTTCACGGGGTTGTGGTACGCTGATTCGAAAGCGACTATGGCTGGTTGGGGTACGTGTGTACCTTGCACGCGAGAGCTCCACTGATGTATGGATGAATTACGTGCAGCGCCCAGGTGGTATTCGCAATACAGGTTCTATTTGTCCATCCTCGTGGGGACCTGGTACGTGGTATCATTGTTTTAATATACCTCATTAATTACGTTGGACAGCATTATCGGCTCCCTTGCTGGGACGTCTTTCTGGGGACCTGTTGCGGGGCATGGGTTGCTCTCGCACGATCTTGATTTGCTGAGAGAGCAGAGGAGGAAGATGATGCCCATTAGGCAGGGAATTGTCCAGGGACCGATTGAAGCCGTTCCCGCTGGACTGGAGGCGGAAAAGTTTACGAGAATTCACAAACGCGATGTGTCAAAGGGCGAGTAAAGAAGATTTAAAAAGTAGCAATCGAAAGTTGTAAATTAGTTGTAACGATAGGTGTATGGTTGTGTTATAAACCCAGGGCGTTGTGCATTGTTCTGCGTTAGTAGTTGTGTGTGCCCCTTTCTTCCTCACCTGGATGTCTCTATAGTAGCATCTAGCGCCCTTCCTTTTGTCTCTTGGTCACATTACTTTTCTTCCACCCTCTTTTCCATTTTTACGATAGACAGTTATGCACGCAAAGTACTACCGGCGTGTCCCACACTTGGAGCAGGCTCTTCACGTCAAGCGCACACCTGCTGATCCTTCTGGCTTTGTTCTGACCGGTCCAATCACTATCACTGTGATAGAAACAGCCTCCGCACACTCCTTGGACTTAAAGACCAGCAGCACAAAATCAACCGAGGCATCCGTAACTTCCACTTCCACTTCCTCCACCCGCCTGACCCCCCTTCCTACGTCCACGACAACTTTCTTCGTCAAAGTTACACAAACTCCTCCTCCGCCTACCCAAATACCTCCTTCATCCACACCCGTACCCTCAACCTCCGTCATCGCGCAGCAAAATGCTGCTCTCAACACGTCCCAAACTTTATCAAGCGGAGCTATCGCAGGCATAGTGATAACATGTCTATTCGTTCTCGTAGCCGCAGTTGTCTTTGGGATGCGGCGTCGCTTCAAGTATCATAGGATGAAGATACGGGGCATGTGGACTACCTCCAAAGCTATAGGTATCCCACCAACTAGCCCGTTTGAACCTCAGGAATACCCAGGGACTATCAGGCCATATCCGTTCCCGGTTCCTTCTTCCTCTGCTGGCAACAACAGCCAGTTTTTAAACGTACCGAGCTCGCCAGGCACTTATTTTGCTAGTGCGCAAGCAGCCTCCCGCCAGGGCCCGTCCATGTCATCCGTCCTTGCGCCACCCGCATCGTACGGTACCGGATTCGGCTCTCAGATTCCGTCTACGACGACCGCCAACACCCCCTTCACCTCGTCAGACGCTGCGTTATTTCCGTTTGGCGCAACTGTGATCTATACGTTTATCACTTCGTTGCCGGACGAACTGTCCATTAGGGTCGGGGAGACTATTAGGGTGTTGGCGGAGTATGATGATGGGTGGGCGCTGTCGCTTAATGCGGGGGGCGAGCAGGGGATGGTGCCGCTTCAGTGTTTGGATCGTGGGGTTGGGGGTGGGAGGAGTTTTGATGGGGATGCGGATGTGGATGGGATGAGGAGGGTGAGCAGTTTGAATGTGTTTAGGCGGTGATTCTTTTTTTTCTCTTGGGATTTTATTTTATTTTATTTTATGATGGGTGAGTGCTATCGTTCCCTGTACCTACTCATCGCTGACCATTTACCAAGCGAACAGAGTTGAAGCGTTCCTTTTCTTGACACCCTGCGATACCCAGCCTTTTTTTCCCCCTTCTCTCTCTTCTTGGAATTCCACGGTAACCCGCGCCATTCCGAATTCGATTCGAGAAGGTTACCTAGCAGCTTTACAGTTTGTCTTGCAGCTCAGGAAGCAAGCGTTGTGCCGTCTTTTTTCTATGTATATAATTTACAAGTATGTACATAGACCTGTATGTATGTCCACAACGTGGACTTGGATGTACTAAATATCAGAGCAATACCATGAATCGCTTGGCAAAAATTACCTTTTTCCAAAAATAGGGCGCATATGTAGATAAGATAAGAAATGTTAAGATCCTTATCAACCCCTTCCAATTTTCGAAAATCACATATCCTAATAGATGTCTTCCGAATACACCTCGTCCACCTTCCGACCCTTGCTAAACAGGCTGGTGCAAACCCCCGAATATTTCACGCCTGATGACCTCAAACTATCCCTCAACCACCTCTTCACACCCGACACCCTCCTCCCCGCCCAGATCGGCGCCTTCCTCACGGCGCTGCACATCCATCGCGTGGAGAGGCGGCCCGAGTCGCTCGTAGCTGCTGCTGAGGTTCTGAGAGAACGGGCACTTAAAGCGGCTGTTCAGGATACGGAAGGCGATTTTGTGGTGGATATCGTCGGCACTGGTGGGGATGGACATAATTTATTCAATGTGAGCACGACGGCGGCAGTCGTTGCAGCTGGCGCTGGTGCGCGTGTTATCAAGGTACGTTTATTCCCTCACAATTTAGACCTATGACATTCCAAAACTCATTAATTGACTATACTCCCATTCCCTCCACACAAAAAAAAAAAAAAAACTCGGTACGCCACACTACATACATACAGCACGGCAGCAAAGCCTCAACCTCCTCCTCCGGCTCCGCCGACCTCCTCCAATCCCTCTCCTGCCTCTTCACAGCCCCAACACCAGGCACACCCATGCCCATCGACCGCGTCCCCTTCACATTCATCCTCGCACCGCACTACCACCCCGCCATGGCCTCCATCGCGCCCTACCGCAAAGCCCTCCCCTTCCGCACGATGTTCAACGTCCTCGGGCCCCTCATCAACCCCGCCCGTCCGCGCGGGATGGTGTTGGGCGTAGCGGAACCCGAACTGGGCGCGACGTTCGCTACGTCCCTACGGGAGGGCGGCGTCGAGCGCGGGTTGGTGGTGTGTGGGTTCGAGAGGCTCGATGAGATCAGCTGTGCGGGGAAGACGCACGCGTGGCAGTTGAAGGAGGATGGGAGCATCACGCAGACGACGTTGGCGCCTGAAGATTTTGGGTTGCCTTCCCATCCGTTGGCTACGGTGGCGGGTGGGACACCGGATGAGAATGCGGAGGTGTTCAGGACGCTGTTGACGTCTGGAGAAGACATCCCGGAGAAGTTGATACCGGTGTTGGACTTTGTGTTGATGAATGCGTCTGCGTTGTTGGTGGTTGCTGGGATTGCCGAGGACTATGTTCATGGTACGCAGCTTGCGCGGGAGAGTGTCAAGTCTGGAAAGGCTTGGTTGGCTTTGGAGACTTTCAGAGATGCTGGGAGGAAGGCTGCTGGGCTCGGGAACTTTAGTGATGTGGGCGGTCAAGAGGAGCTGAGGAAGGAAAATAGATAGATTTGCGTTCGAGAAACAATCTAGCACGAGGATATGGTGGATTTTTCTTGGACATTCCGAGCCGTAGAATGGTCTTGATCTGCTTGTACCGGATCAATTTAGTGCCATATTAATCTTGATTTGAGGGCTTTGTCTTGAGTTGAGAACAATCTGAAAATAGTCACAAAATAAAACAGAGACAAGTTCCAATTACATTTCTTGTGATGATACAAAGGCCCTAGAGAATACAAAGCATGGTTGCATGTTACATGACGGAGAGCAAGGAAGAGAAAAATGACATCGGGAAACTCAGACTGGCAGGGTCGATTAAATCAAGTCAAGTCAATGACCTCTCTGGAGTAGGGCTCCTGTTTTATTCGTCTTCTTGCGCGTGTAGGTGATCTGTGAACGCCGGATGGCCCACTTGTGCTTTGTCTAGATCTGTTTGCTTCTGCGTCTTGACTAGAGCGAAGTGCCTTGAGGCGCTCCTTGAGAAGGGTGAGCATCATGACGATAAGGGGTCGATGAATGGTAAGTACCTCCAGTCTGCGTATCTCAGAATGTGTTCTTGGATCATCATCTGTTAGGACTTCCGGGCGAGGTACGATGTCGTTTGCCATGAGAATTGCTAATATAGAGATCAATCAGTTTATTTCGCGTTTAAAACGAAAATTTTACCAAGGGGCCTATACTTGAAGGTGAAAGTGATAAATGGGGTCGTATCCATCATAAACCCGTTGACAATATCGACAGTCGGAGCTGGTGAGGGATATTCCTCGCCGAATCTAATCAAGGGTCAGGGGGGCTTCAAACTATGCAACGATACATACTTGACGTGATGTGCTCCCGCTTTCTTGGACCGCTCGTGGACGACCTGTTCCTCCAAGACAGGACCTCCATAGGAATGCTCCAGCGGTCGAGTGACGACATTTTGGACCTGGAATCGCCAGAGCTGTAGCTGAATAGTACCAATGTCCAAAGAAGCATCAATAGTATTCAAATACGCGTCATCGTCTGCAATTTTGTGATGAACAGCGACCTGACGAGCGCTAATAGCAAAATGACGGTACCAGACACTTGGATAGACGAGAAGACAAAGTCGCGGCGAGTATAGTCTGACGTGCGTGTATACGATACCCCAACGCCGTTCGGTTTGTCAGGATACCGCTCGGCGTCTAACATGATGTGGTTATCACAGACTGTGCCATCGATCAGGACGACAGCTTGCAAGGGAATTTGCCGTGTTGTGTTGTACCAATTAACAGAGAACTTCTACAAACACCGAACTTGAGCACAAGAGAGTCAGGAAACGGACCACGAAGCAACGTACTTTGCCAACCTCGGAAGCAACCCAGCAGGAAGCGCCGTTTTTCGAGCGCTCGATACCATGCAACGCCGTTCCATGACCCTCGACTGAGATCCAGGCCATGTAATCACCAATTTGCATGGTTCCCATGGTTAGAAGTGTAAGTGAGGAAGTGGAGGTAGAAAGGCAACCATGATTGGGGTGCGTTTTTAAGACACCCCGGAAAGGCGCCCGTGTAAGGTCCACGTGCTGACCGCGGCATGGAGCCCAGAGCCGGCTCCGAAGACCAAACGTCCTTTGCGTTCGGAGCCTTTTTGACCTGCGGATATACTTGATAGAGGTTGTACGTGACCATCTGGAGTTCCTCCAAGTGGATGGATTAATCACATCTAACCGAAAGCCCAAGGTTGTGGTCACAGTCTGCCTGTGATAGTTGAGATATGAATAAGCAGAGAGAAAGTACATCCTTACCTGGTAAATTTTGCCGGGAGAGAACGATTATCGGAGGTTTGTGGCTGCAAGACGTAAGAACTCATAAAGTTTTGTTGGAGATGATGGCCATTCGTTATCGGAAGAGATGACTGTCTTTATATGTTGAGAATAATGACGCGGAACGAGTTGATGAAAACGAGATTCATTCGATTCAGCTCGAGACCTCTTAATCTAAGCTTCAAGTTGGGAATCAATGGTGGTTGAGGAGAACAGGCAACCGTTTTGGGTCTGGGCTTGACGCGTAACGCGTTGAAGTGCACGTGATAGCGTCACACCCATTCTTGACTCTCAACCACGATGAACTCGCCACCAGATCCAGGCTCTCCCAGTGGACTATCCACCCCATCATCAGCGTCCCCACCACCCGAAGAGGTCAACTTTCACCAGTCAAGCGCCCAATTCATCGGCAACCTCGCCAGTCAAGTCACCTCAGCCTTCACGGGTGGCAGCTCTTCCAAACGACGGCTTCCGGGCGGTTCATCGTTCGGGGCTGCGTCGTCCGCACGCGATCCTAAATCTCGAAGACGTGGAGATAGCGGCCGTAATACTTGGGAAGGAGGAAAGGAGGGCGGCGCTGGGAGGAAGGAGAAAGATGAACTCCTCGATACCAATCTCGTGGATTGGTTGAGGAAAGGTGCCTTGCTTTCGATTGTTCCGCCCGTTCAACCTACTTACTATTTGTCAACAGAAATTGGCGATCCATTCCAGGAACAGCCCGTATACAAATGAACAATGGTGGTTCCGTCTGGTGTGTCAGTCGCCTGCATATATTCTCGTCCGCTCACTCAGTACCATAGCATTACATTTTCTCCCCCTGTAACACAATTATTTGTATTTTAGACCAGTTATGGGACCATTTATTTTGGCTCATGGGCTTACATCGGTCAACAAATCACTCAAAACGTACTAACTTACAACCACAGGGCTTCATCATGGCAATCGCTCTACTTTCCCGTCGAACATTTAAGCAAACAACCCTGGGAGGTTCTCCACCAATTTCTTCGTTAACGGATTGGTAACTTCCCTCGGTTTCATCCCACCCGATTTTTTGCAAGGAGATCGCCACAACCGAGTATCTTCCCAATGTGCGTTATTAGGAATTGGGACGTGGTATGGGGTGAAGATGAGCCACCAAACTTTCTTGATAACGCGGTAGTTCAAGTTTCCGTCACCGTCAAGGTAGACGAAGGGATGCTTCTCGAGCTTCCACTCCTGGAGCTTTGACCATTCCTCATCATCCAAGAAATCTGCACTCCCGACATCTTCAGCCCGGATCAACACCATCTCAAGATGTTTATTTCCTCCGCAGCTTTGAAATTCTTCGCCGGGCTCGTGCCCGGGCTGGATGTTGTATGGTCGAAAAGGGAGGAGGTAGTACTCATGCTCTCGGAAAACTTGGGTTGCTGGGAGGACCACTTGATGGCTCGCATAGGGCGATATGGTGGGCCTACCCTCCCTGCGGTTTATGTTGAAGACACTCCCATCATCACTGTGCCTGAGTCGACACAAGAACATGGACAAGAGGCCAGTTTCGCTGCCGTTGCACCGCAACTTCTCGGATCTTACGGCTTCGGTGCTGGCTATCTCATCTGTTGCGTGGTAGACTGAGGGGACTATCTGCCACGTCTCCGGCGTCTGCGGCGGCGGCGTCTGCTCAAGATTAGAGTGAGGACAGGCAGAGAACCAGTGCGTACCGTTGTCATTTTTTTTACCTTTCGGCAGGGGGGCTAACTCCCAAGATCCAGTTTATATATGCGAAGGTTTAGCGCTAGCGCTTGGCACAACCCTTGACCCTAGGAAATCTGTATGTCCTCCTAATCCCAATTTTGATAGGGTTCATTGCAGATATCCGCTAAACCTCCAAACCAGGATTCATGGCGGTCCGAAAACCAAGTTTCATCCAAAAATAGGGTGAGAAGACATGTCCTTTTCTGAAAAAGAGTGGCTGTATGAGGTGGCTCCTGATTATAGATAGTCTCATTCCGTCTACTACAGAAAAAGCGTGTTTCTCGATTTGAAAGCGAAGTTCTTGAATTGGTCGAGGAGAGGTAGGCCTTGCGGCTCTTGATTCCTCTCTCTAAATGATGACTATCGTCGACAGAAGTGGCGATCTTCGTCCCGATACCAGCCTCTACGAATGTGTACACTTTCGCAGTGCCATAGTTCCCAACGCACTGCAATAGTTGACACGCACTCCAATAGTTGCCGACGCACTGCAATAGTTACCAATGCACTGCGATAGCTGCCAACGCACTGCAATAGTTCCCAGCGCATCGCAATATTTCCCAACGCACCTCGAACAACCGAAAAAAATTGGGTTGAAAACCACACTGATTGAACATTGCGAATCGCTTGCAAGGCTGGAGCCAAGTCTGCGGCGATCCAGGCTATGATGATTCCTTCTGGTGGGTTGCGCCGCTAGCGGCTATTCCAAGGCAACCTAGCCAGCCAAGTCACCTCAGCCTTCACGAATGGCAAATGACGCTTCCTGGCGGTTCATCTTTCGGCGCTGTATCATCCGCATGATCCTAAATCTCGAGGACGTGGAGATATCGGACGTAATATGTATTGGGAAGGGGAAAGGAGGGGCTCATCGATGTTGTGGATTGGTTCAGGTATTATGCTTTACTCTCGGTTGCTCTGCCCGTTCAACTGACTCATATTATCTGTCACAGAAATTGGCGATCCATTCCAGGAACGCCCCGTATACGAATTAGCCATGGTGGTTCCGTCTCATGGGTGTGTTAGTCGCTCACATATATTCCCGTCCGCTCACTCAGTACCACAGCACTACATTCTCTCACCTGTAACACAATCACTTGTATCATAGACCAGTTATGGGTCCATTCATCTCAGTTCATTGGCTTACGCCGGTCAACAAATCACTCAGTACATATTAGCTTACAATCACAGGACTTCACCATGGCGAACGCCCTCCCTTTCATACTTTCCCGTCGAAAGCAAACAATCCTGGGAGGTTCTTCATCAATTTCTTCGTTAACGGATTGGTAACTTCCCTCGGTTCCATTCGACCTGAGGGTTTCCAAACAGATGGCCTGAACTCAGTATCTTCCCAATGTGCGTTATCAGGAATCGCGACATGGTACGGGGTCAAGATGAGCCACCAAACGTCCTTGATAACGCGGTAGTTCAAGTTCCCGTCGCAGTCAAGGTGGACGAAGGGATGGTTCTCCAGGCTCCACTGCTGGAGCATTGACCATTCAAGATCATTCAAGAAATCTGCCTCCCCGACGTCTTCGTGTCGGACCAACACCATCTCAAAATGCTTCTTTCCTCCATAGCTTCGGAATCTTTCGCCGGGATCGTACACGGGCGGGATGTCGTATGGTCGAAGAGGCAGGAGGTAGTCCTCACACTCTCGAAAAACTTGGGTTGCCGGGAGGACAACTCGGTGGCTCGCATAGGGCGAGATGGTGGACCTACCCTCCCTGCGGTTTATGTTGAACACGCTCCCATCGTCCCTGTGGCTGAGTTGACACGAGAACATGGGCATGATGCCAGAATAGTGAATGGTCGTTGTTTCGCTGTCTTCGTACCACAACTTCTCGGATCTCATTGCTTCGGTGCTGTCTGTCTCATCTGTTGCGTGGTAGACCGAGGCGACTCTCTGCCATAACTTCGGTGTCTGCTTGAAATTACAGTGAGGACAAGCAGAGTGGATGTGGAACCAGTACGTACCGTTGCCATGTTTTACCTTTTGGCAGGAGGGCTTACTCCCAAGGTCCAGTTTTTATAGGCGAAGGTCTAGGGATCGGACCCTTGACTCTAGAAAGTCATTGATGGAAACAATGCGGACTTCTATGTCTCTCCAATCCCAGATCTTGCTATTTTGGTAGGTGCAATTCTGAAAATGCTTGCTAAACCTCCAAACCAGGATACTCACGGCGGTCTGAAAGTCAAGTTTCACCCAAAAATAGGGTGAAAAAACTTTGACTATTCGTCCCTTTCTGAAAGAGAGTGGCCGGGGTACCATTTATGACATTCCATCATCGGGGAAAGGAAGGTGTTCCTGGATTTGAAAGGGGGGGGAGTGAGCTCGTTGATTCGAACTCTTGAATTGGTCAAGACAAGGTAGGCCTTGCGGCTTTGGTTGCTTCTCTCTAAATAATGACTCTTCCTTACAGAAATTGGAGATCTTCCGTCCCAACACCAGCCTTTACGAACGTGTACGCTTTCGCAGTGCAACAATTCCCAACGCAGTGCAATAGTTGACAATGGACTGAAATAGCTTCCAACGCACTGCCATAGTTGCCAACGCACTGAAATAGTTCCCAGCACACTGCAATAGTTCCCAGCGCACTGCAATAGTTCCCAACGCACCTAGAACAATCAAAAAAAATCGGGTTGGAAACCACACTGATTGAACATTGCGAATCGCTTACAAAGCTGGGCTCAAGTCTACGGTGATCCAGCCTAGAAGTAGTAAACGAACAATGATGATTCCCTCTGGTGGGTTGCGCCACTAGCATCTATTCCAGTTGCTCACAGGACATCGTAGCATTCATTGTTTCATTATACCACAATTACTCTTTGGTGTGTTGAACAACTTCAACCCAGCGTCTGTCTTTGTTTTCTCAAGTGCAAGTTGTCTTTCCCCCTTGACACAGCGTGATACCATCCAGCCTTGAGACAAAACTCCCAATTACTCATTTGGCTTTCGTTCATCGATTTACACATAACATGCAACAGTTAAACAAAGTGAGCAGACCCCGCCATGCTACATCTCATTTGCATCAGCTGATGACTGCAGAACGATGGCACGCGCACCCTTCTACACATTCAAATCCTCGTCAAAGACTCAAGCGAATGATGAAACACGGGAAGGTTCTCGACCAACTTTTTGGTCAACCGATTGGTAACTTTCCTCATCGTCATCTTCGTAGCGTTATACGGGAATGGCGAGAATATCTTCTCAAGCTGCATCAGAAGGGATTGGAACATCATACGCGGTCTGGAGGAGCCACCAAACATCACCCGATACTCCAGGTTTCCAGAACCATTGGATCAGACGAAGCGATGGTCCTTGAGCCGCCACTGTTGGAGCTCTGATCACTCCTGATAGCTCAATGCGAGATGGGATTTTTCAATATCATCGTGTCGGATCAACACCAACTCAATGAGCTTCTTCCCTCCGAAGCTTCGAAATCTTTCGTCCGGATCATCTGCAGGCGGCATGGCGTATGGAAGAAGGAGTAGGAGAAAGTCCCTAGGATCTTTGAACACTTTCCTTGCGGGGAGAACAACTGGGTATCAAGCGCAAGGCTTCTCCTGCCTACTGAATGGGCTGTGGACCTTCCCATCCTTCTTGTGCTTGAGTCGGCACAGGAACATGGACAAATGGCTAGGAGGACGAAGCCACCCAGTTTCTTCGCCTATGAACAACAAGACCTCAGATCTGTCGGCTATGGTGATGTCCGTCTCGTTTGTCATGTGGTAGACCGAACTGACGGTTTGCCAAAGCTAGGTAATTCATGTCATGCCTACAAAGGCTTTGACCCATGGTCAACTTCGTATTTTCGTCATTTTCCGCCGGTAAAAGACTCGAGGAGGAGTTTGACACCAACAATATCCTGCAGGCAAGCTTACACAGTGCTTACACATGGTCCCTTGTTTCTGATTCTGACTGCGTTAAAAAACCTTAAAAACAACATTGCAAAGTTCACAGTACAACTATACATAGATCACATCCTCACAAACGCTAATCAAGTTCATGGGTTTTGTAGGAATTATCAAACACCCTCGTCGTCTGGGCGATCAATTTATCTGGAGTCTCTTTATCAACTGCCACGTTATAGGGTGGTCAACCATCCTGTTCCATTTGGTCTCTCGTGAAACTCCTACTGGAATTCCCAAACCCTTGTCCCAAGTGGCGCCAGCCGGGATGGGGACAGTATACGGCGTCAAGATCAAGGGCCACACGTCTTTCATCACCCTATAATGTAATGCGCCCTGATCGTCCAGTCGAACGAAAGGATGATCCCGAATTCTCCATTTCGCCAAGTTGACATCCTTGGTGTAGCCTGGAATTGCAGCTACATCTTGATTGCGGACATAAAGCAACTCGATATAATCGTTTCCACCCCGATGACGCCGACCCCGATAAATGTCGTTGCAAAGGGGGAGAAGGAAATCGTCAGGAGATGAAAGAACTTTCGTGGCAGGAAGAACGACATGGTTATCTGCCCATGGGGAGAGGTCGGGTCGTCCCTCCAATCGGTTTGGGTTGTGCACCTGCCCGTTGGGGTCGTGCCACAACCTACACGAGAACATCGAGCAATTCCATGTGGCAATGCTGTGATTGGAACCATAAAATCCGACCACATCTAATTTGGGGACGACTGCAATCGTATCGTCGTCACTAGCGTGATAGACGGCGTCGACGGTCTGCCACAATTGGTTTTGAACCTGGAAACGGGATACGATGAGAATAGTTGCAGAGATGTGGCAGCCCTTGGGTAATTACCAGAGTCGTCATTGTGAAAATGGTGATAGACGCTAGTTGAAGAGGTGGGCTGACAATTGAGAGAGGGTGTAAGTTGGCCAACCATTCGTCTTGTTAAATACTTGATCGTCCCTGCAAACGCGCTGATTGAGTGCAAGTTAAATGTCAAACACAGCCTTCCATTGTCAGCGCCAGAATTCACGCCAGAACTTGGACGGATTTGGTCTAGGCTTCTGCCTAGGACTGAAACTGATTCAGTGACTGCACATTGGCACGTAATCAGAAATGTTCGAGGGAATCGTTGTCTTAATTCTTGAAGCAGTGTGGAGGATCGTGTACAGCATGTGAGAAAACGAAGGAGATTGCTCCGAAGTCCCACTTACTCGTTTGAAAGATGCCGAAGCGGGGGCAATTACTTCCCCAGAGCTTTGTTCAGGGAGTACTGGCAGGATGCTGTGCAATATCTAAAGAATCTTCGTTTCAGTTGACTGGCGGACGAGATTGACCAGCTCCAAGAACTGATTTAAGGCAACTTCTTCGTGAGCTTGCACCCACGACCTCGAAACTGACAGATGGATGCTCGTTGAAGCCACTAGCCTCTTGCGTATAATATATACCGAAAATCGATTGTAGGCTTTCGATCCACCGGATAGGTGTTTGCGAACTAAGAATGGTTTCAAACGTTTCCAGCACAAAAAGTTTTCTGGTAGCTAGCCGCCTGAACTTCAGTATAAGAATACTAGATGTAAAACGGACATTACTTCTCCAAGCTCCGCGTACGGGGCTGTCGGCGACACTCTAGAGTTTCCGCGCCAACGGCGTATTGAGAAAATCTGATCAACCGAAGGACGCTCGAGCTGGAGGGTCCACTCTACCAGCAAAACCAGGGGCAAGGCTACTCCACTACCCTGGAGCACAGTGCTACGCGATCAGCTTGCTGTCCAGATGAAAATCAAATCGCAAAAGTGGCTGGGCACAATGAAAGCGCTCCCGATACCGGGGCGCTTGCCGAAGATTCATCGTCGACTTGGGTAGGCGAAGAAGGCTGGGGAACAGCGAGTTAGGGTCACGGACAGGCCTCGATCCCGATATATGGAATCCAGGCTGCAATGTTGCAGTAAGGATATGAGGAAGCTGACTGGTGAGATCTTGAAGTAGGCGCTTCGCAATCCGTTGCACACAATCTATTTCATCATTATGGCCACCTTCCTTAAGTCTGCAGATCGGCGGAGAAAGGCTCGCCTTTCCGCCTGATCCGGTGCAGAAACGAGTTCCTTGTTGAAAATCTCCCGAGTTTTTGAGTTCAAAATTGCGACGTCTTACTCACCCAATTGACCATGATAAAGTCAATGGGTGCGCTGGTTTGAGGAGAGTTGCCAATTTCCTATATTTGTCTGAGACGAATCTGCCAAACAGTGACCCTTCGCCGTGTTCAGCTAGCGAAGTGGATAGAAAGTCAGATCGATGGCTCAGCGGGATATGGAATACAGCGTCAAAGTCTGAATGAAAAAACTCTTGGCTTTGGGCGGCCTGTTGAACATGAAAATCCGAAGGAAACATGTGTGACCACAAGAGCTGACATTCGTCCAGAAAATGCAGAATCATCCACTGTAATTATCATCATCGTTACCTTCCCCGAAACCAATACCTTTCGACAGCCAATATGATCTTCGACGATCGGAGTCAGGTTCTCGTCTTGAACGTTCTCTAGTATCGTCGTGCTTGGAGTTTCCATCGCCCTCCTCTTCGTCGAAACGATCCCCGTCTTCTTCGTCGTCCGTGTCGGGGATGAATACCGTATGAGTATCTTTGAGTTTCCCTGTTTTCCGTCGCTTTTTGGGGGGCTGCCGCCCGATGTCGTAGCGTCCCCCTTCCTCTCCTTCATCATCTTGCCGGGTGTGATGTTCGTGGTCATCATCATCATCCCCGTAATCCCGGAGGTCTTTCCAAGAATTGGAATCACGGGCGGCAGATGTCTGTCGAAAAGACGAGGTCGAAGCTGGCGCGTGAACAACTTGAACGACTGTCTGTGATTCAATACCAAGAATTTTGTGCAATGTTCGTCTATCATAAACCTCTTGAACGAGCTTACGATGATTTATCGTCTGGTCAATCCCGTCAATTATATTCAACTCAGAAGACGGCGCAATGTGCTGACCTCTTGAGTTATGCCAAGAACAGTTGACAGTATACTGAGGTCTTCTGAATCGTCGTGGGATCTTAAATGAACTGAACGGCCACCCCGTCTGGCATTAATCATACCAGCTCGTAGATACGCCGTTGAAGTAAGAATCCCATGAGCGCCAGCGAAAGCGGTTCGAACTTTGTGGAAGCCATACGAGCCCTTGGAGATGTCGTTGGCTGGCTCGGCGATGTATGAGCACGATGACGCGTAAATCCAACAGAGATCGCTTACATGGGTCAGCGGGGTCTTCCAAAGACAAGATACCCCGCCTGTCATAATCGTACCATCCTCTCTTCCGTTTGCTGAAGTACATCCCTCCGTCCCTTAACGAAATGCCCACTTCGTCGTAATTGAAATAGCACCCATAAAGCTCGAAAAATTCCATCGCTAACACGCCCAAATTTTTCTCTGGATCAATTTCACCGTTCCGTATTTTGGGGTGCATCTGCAGGAAGCTGACCGCCAGGCAAACTATGCTGTAACTCCCAAGACCCCCTGTATAAACTTCATTCATGCTTCGCTGAGTCAAAAACGCCTTCGTAACCATGACGAGACTTCGTAAGGCCATGCTGCCTTTGCCTTCAGCGCCGTTTCCGTGCATGTCCTTCAGAAACCCGTTGATAATTTTCCCCGATAGCAGGCCATTGCTTTGATTTAAGCTGATGTCGACATGGAAGCGGCCGTGCGTGGTGACGAATTTGACGATGGGAACTTTGGCTTTGGCGATGATAGTGACATGCGAAGTAACCCCGCTGCGTTTCAATGTGTTGGCGAGGGCATGAAGTACATTGACTTTATTGCTATATGCCATTGAATCTGATAAAATTACCAAGTCAATGTCACTGAATGAAACGTCAGGTTAAACGAGAGGGAAGTGACCCGTGAAATGGACATACCCTAGGGGTAGATATAATTTTGTCTCATAGCTTCCGAACGGTAGCACTCGAGCATCTGGAAAAGAGGCTTTCACGGTGTTGGAAATCTGTGTCACAATTAAACCTCGAACTTCATCTTCTACTGGCGACGGTGATATCCAATGGACAAAAGCCTTCACTTCGGCATGCAACCTAAAGTGACTGAAATCAGCTAGCACAAAGCCAACAGAGGAATAAACATACATCTCGGCGACATTCTTGTGCTTGTCCCAATCTATCCCGGTAACCCAAGGAGCCTTCCTTGACGATGCATCCAACCGCTGTTTCTTATTGGCGTAGCCGTCATCGAAATCGAACAGAAGATCATGCTTCCTCTTCGTTCTATGTCTGACGTCGTCCCTTCCCTGATCCCTCTTGCCCCGATCCCACTCACGTTCATTCTGTCGATCCTTCTCCCTTCGTGACTTTGATTTTTCCTCAGACAAACCAGGTTCTGGGGAGTAACCGTCCCGCGCTTTTCCCTTTCCCTTATCCATTATTGACCCCGTGTCTATATTCTGTGCTTCACCGTTCTCCTCCCTCAACTTGTCATGACTTGACTCTCCGTCCGAATCCGAGAAGGTAAATGGTATGAAATCCACAGCCTCTTCAAAAGAGCCGTTTATCAAAGGGTCGGGTGGAGTGATTCCATTTGATGACGAGATATTCTTTTCTGAAGATTTTCTTCGAGGAGTGGAGGAGCCGCTTGCAAGTGGTGTGGACTCTGTGGACCGTTTAGCACGTTTGTCACGCCGCCGAGCCCGTCTATTGGGATATTCGGATGGAGGAACTTTTCCTTGCTTTGGCGAGGAAGATCTTCCCATATAAGAGATAGCGAAAGACGAACAAACTTCAAAGAGCTTGGGTTCGTTTAGTGTTTGGCTCCATTAGGCTCTCCAAACACTGCGATTTTACAAGATCACCATTGTATGCTGTTCGTATATCTACAACATTTTTCTATGAACAACCAATAAATACGACAACAACAACCCAAGTAAAGCCCAAGTGCGAAAGATATGATACAATTTTTTGACCCAACTGACAACTCTTTCATCAGAACCTAGAAGCCGTGCCCTTTCTCGGTTAAACTCAAGTCATCAGGATCCATTACATGGGTTCTCTAGGAGAATAGGTCAGTCGTAGATGATATAGGCAAGAAAGAAGACGTACGGTGTGGGACATGGGCACCCCATCAACATCAATATCAATAGTCTGATGCACAGCTAGAGACTGCTGGGCTTTAAAGTTGCTAAGAGGGATATCACCAGCCGAAATCATGGTTTGAGAAAGGTTGATGTGATTAGGTCCCCGAGCACTGTCGTTGTTCCTCGACCCTGAACCAGTTGCTGGGTTGGAACTGGAAAAGGCAAACGAGTCGTAAGCCGTGAACACGTTACGAAAGACGGTGGTTGCGGCGATAACAGAGACGACGAGAGCAAATGGGAGTGCAATAATATTCATGACAGGGTTGAGACCGAGAGAAGCGAGGACGGTTTGAATGAAATTGGCACCAAAGGCGGCGCAAAAATATCCCTAATCAGAAGGCTGGTATCAGAATCAAGGTTGCTGTGAAAGAAGAGCGGCGTACAATTCCGTCGCGGAGGAGCAAATTGGACAAGTTGCTCGTGCGACGAGAGTTGTAGAGTCTGAAAGCGCAAAGGAGCAGGATCACCAGATCGAATGCCATGGCTACATTCAAATTTGACATAAGCGTGGTAGCGGCGACGGGGCTGCGACTACTCACTGTACGCAAAGACAGCAACCAGGAGTGGCTTGGGAGCCGTAGAAACTACGGCGCAGACATTTCTCTGTGCGTTCCATTGTGCTCTGGAATATCTGAAAGCTAAGATATTTGGTGGGTGAGCACTCCCTAATCGATCAACCTTGAAAATTACTTACTTTGGCACCAGAGGGCGATTTGACCACAAAATAAAAGTGCCAACGGAATGGTGACTTTGTTGCTTCTATGCCACACCGCGCGTGTTCTCAGAATGAGAATGAGCGATGACCCGCACGTTCCAATGGCGTCAGAAACTTTTTTTTTTTAAAATTAGGGAACGCTTCTGGAGAAGGCGGCGTTTACATACCCTTCGAGATCCAGGTAACCTCCTGGCATGGAATTTGGCTGATAGCATTCAGGTTGACAGCAAGGGCGAAAATGTGTAAGAGCATGCAGATGCGACAAACATAATAGAGCACCTATCAAAATCAATATTGCTTGATTCGAAGTATTGAGCGAGATGGAGAAAAGAACTCACCATGGGCCATCGCCAGGTACGCTTTCCTCGAATAATTGAGATGTCGAAGGTTAATGTGCTGATGACATTCCAGGCAGCCATTCCACAGAGGACAAGGGTGAAGGCTGCGAAAATCTCTGTTGACATGACGCTCAAATTAACCTCAATAAGCGGAAGGAGGATAAAACGTACTGCTGTCGCGGGCGATCTCAGCTGGGCTCAACCAGTTTTTTGCCATGGTGCAAAGCGGTAACAGGTGGGTAGCAAGCACCCTTCAGTTCTTATCCTTTAAACAACGCGGATCTCAGGGAGAGTGCACATGTAGAAGCACCGACGGCTAAGTTTATCGATAACTCTGAACCATGGAAAATTATTCATGTCTAATCGCGAATTTTGTCGCAAGGTAGGGTCAGATTCGCATTCCCTCGATCCTGCCTGGAAATTCTGGAAACAAACCGCAATCCCACCAATTTAAAAAATGTCGACACGGTGGCAGATGACACTCTTGGCGTAACCGCTGGCAAGAGCATCGCTGAGTATCGTCAGGCATCGTCGCATCAGCCAGGCACGGACACCTGAAAGAGGTTCTGAACTGTTCTGGATTGTGTTCTGATTCCAGGATCGCCTTGAATCCTCGCATGTTGCAGTGGACCCTGGCTAATCCGTTCCTCCAGGTGCGGTCCGCAAAAGTCAATCTAAATGACTAGCTTTCAACATGGATGTTCAGTCTTCAATTGAGTCTTAATTGAGTCTGGACTCTGAATATTGTCTGAATAAGTACCTAAAGCCACCTGGCGGTTTTGCAAAGTTGAGCCCATGGCTCCCAAAACGAATTCTCTAGAGACTTGATCAAAGACGACGGAAGTGACAAGTCTGACATCGACAGCTCGAGGCGGCGCCGCAGATCGACGATGGTGTTGACGACTGTTGTCCATCGTCTTCATTGCAAATTCCGGATCCGCTTGTTGCTTCCCCGCTCAAATGGAGGTTGGCAAACCTCACAAGACCTCGCATGCATATCAATCGCTCTTTTGAACTGCCTTCGAATTTCGAAACCTTTATGTATGGTCTAGCATGATGATGGCGAGCTTTTATTCAGTAACACTCAGTGACTGCTTTAGTAACAATTTGGCCACGAAGGGTTGGTCGGGGAGGGGGTGGCAAAAGCAGCTAAAACGAGGCTAAAATTCTCAAATCTGGATTGCTTGTCACAATTACAGGGTGGCAACAAAAAATCAAGGGCGATTCGAGTAACATCCATCTGATTCCAATGTCATCCATTGAAGTCGACATGGGCATGTTCAATGGAGAGATTAAATCTTGTGGTCACGGGAAGTACTGAGCATCGACCATAGGCCTCTCGTATTCGATCAAAGCCGTCTGGAGGTCCGAAACGATTAATTACCCACCAGGACAAGCGATAAGTACAGGCATGTACAGGCAAATATAGGCGCCGAAAATGTCAACTCTCCAAGGTACCTTACCCACACAAACATTCATGAACGTGAACAAACACTTGAGGCAGGGCCTAATAAATAATCAGGACAAATGTACCTTACAGCTGAAAGCAGAACGATAGGCCATGCCAGATCGACACATACATAGGGCGGACTCTCAACTTTTATTGTGGTACTAGCGTGACATCAATTCGGAGGTTGAAATTTAACACGTTGTGAGAACTCAGCGGCCCCAGCCATCACGTCGCTTTGAAATTTTGGGAGTCCGCCCTGAACATGTGTCGATCTGCCGTGGCCTATCGTTCTGCTTTCAGCTGTAATTGTGGCCACTTGAAAAATAATGAAGTGAATGTGCATCCCGAAAACATTAATTCTCAAAATTAGAAAATGAAGAACAATGGGTGACTTTCCGTAACTCAAATCTATAAAAATGAATAAATTTGACCCTTATCGGATTTTGAAACGAGAACTTCACAGGAGAGTTTATTGGAGTGAATAAACCGTAACGCCAACTGATTAGATTCTATTTGATGTATTTGCTTGCCTTCACTTCCCTCCTGTCTGAGCTGCTCTGAGGTCGTGTAGGCCCATGGATGGGTTTATTATACTGATTATTCATCCACCCCGCTGTAAAATTAGACCACACACTGGGTGAAGCCCAAAAAATCCCAAGTTGAGCTGAACATGGCTGTGGATCAGTGCAGCGTTGTGCCGGTTGCGCAACTGTTCTGAAAGTCGCCGACTGTCAGTGACTGTGACTTTTTGCAACCAAACACGACCGCGACTTTGCGGGGTGCCAGGGTGTCCTCATATATTATGTAATGTAATTTTAAGGAGATTTCGACGTTAGGTCCTGGCAGGTGGATTTGACTTTCTCACGATCTACAGTCGGTGACTGTGACCTAAGGTCGGTGATGCAGAATAACTGTCACAGTGTGGTAGCACGCAAAATGGATTGCAGTGGTAGATATGGAACATGATATAGAGGAATCTAGAACAGTGGTAGATATAGAATATGATGTAGGAATCACTGTACAGCGTTAGAAGACCGCGCAGTGCGATATAGCACGCGCCCAGAGGTAGGACCCCATGGCACCGCGCAAAGTTGCGAACACCGTTGACGACCTTTGGTGACTCTCTCACGATTTACGGTCGGTGACTGTGACCTCAGGTCGCCGACCCGCACAACGCTGGATCAGTGAGTTAGGTGTCAAGAAGGGTGTTTGTAAAGGGAGCAACAGTTTCCGGGAGGGGATTTTGTAGCCATAAGACATTGACACTTCTAATAGGCTCTGTAGTGGCTTTGAACTGCAACGAGAGGGAGCAGAATGCCGTAGAGCTGACTAAGCCATGTGGGAAGGAATCGTACCCAGGAAGGAAAGGTGTCCCCTTGGCAGGGTTGATTCCAGCGTTTGAAATCTGTTCGAGGGGTCTGTACCCTCTGAATAGATTAAGGTTTGTAACTGGGTTCCAACCAGGGACTCCATCAGAGTCGAACCCTTACAAGACTCGGCATCCCGGCAAAGGACCCTAGATTTCGTCGATTTATTCAAATCTAGAGAATTTGTGTTACGGAAAGTCACCCAATAAGAACTTCAACCACATTTAATTTGCATATTTAAACAATGTCTTTGAGAAATAGTCTTGGTAGCCATGGCAACACCACTCAGCTGAAGAATATGTTAAAGAATAAAATAATGGAATTGGTCTGTCAAGATGTTCTTATTGTTCAACAGTTTAAATTTTTGTTAATCAATGTTTTTGGCATACACAACAGCTTTATTATTCTAGGAGTGTCGACAATTATGGAGGTACCTTTGCCTAGATCAAACATTGGACCCTGTCTCAAGTGAAAGGAGGAAATTGTAAGGGTACGTTCATGTTGTCTGCTCTGCGGGCTGATACTCATCGTATGTACAGTAGACCACTTTGAACGGCCACTTGACTCCACTTGATAGGCTTCGAGTCTTTAGTTAAACGTTCAGTGTTTTGCTCCACTCTTCTTCACTAATGTGTGAACTAGGGTTCAACGTTCAAAGGGTACGAGGGTATGTCCATATTTGCTTGGTATTTTAAACCCTTTTCCCGATCATTTCAATTCCATCACCAACTTATTTCATCGCATCCACAACCCATTGACATGCCTTATCTATCCCTATTTATCCCTAGCAATATGATTTTCCCGTCTCTCTACATAAACCTCTTCTGTTCTCATGTCAAACTTTGTGCGGAACATTTCCCCGTTGGCTCACTCATAGTTTCCTTCAACCGGCTCTCGTCAGGCCTTTTTCAGTATGAAGACGTCCATTCTCTTTTCCCTACTAGGCTCTGCAGCTCTATCCTTGTTCACTTTGGCCTCCGCATCCGATGTCGCTGACACGATCATTTCCAACGCTTCTGCTGGCAAGTGTCCCTTCGCCATGACTCTTTGGACACATGTTAACCCATGGCCGTAGACGATATCGATTTAACAGCCGTACCCAACTTGGATGCTGTGTTAGCTGAAATCGCTGCGGCTTACGACACAACGCCTACGTCTAGCAAACGTGATATTGGCCGCATGTTGCGCCGCCAAACACCCAGCCCGAACAATATTGTCGACGTGCATAGTGGGTCTTCGTGTTTTGATTTTGCAGCGATGGAATTTAATCTGCGGTATTGCCCCAGCCCACATTGTGCCTGATTGGTATCAGGCACTTGTCCCAATCACAGGCCAGAACCCTACACCAAGCTGGGATCTCGCTACCTATCTATCCTTCATGGCGTCGGAGGGCATATCACACTCCGTCATTGGGTTTTCTGCTCCTGGTCCGAATGTGTATCAAGGGAATAAGAAGCAAACGCTCGCCCTTGCTCGCCTTATGAATGAACAAGTAGCTGCCTATTGCCGCACAAACCCTAAGCAGCTGAGCTTCTACGCCGTCGTGCCACTCCCCTATACCGCGGAAGCTATCAACGAAGCCAATTACGCTTTGGACACCCTCGGCGCTGTCGGCATCTTCCTTACCTCGAACGTGGAAGGTTTATATCTCGGCAACGCACAGTTCAAGTCCTTCTTCGACGCCATCAACAAACGTCAAGGACGTCAAATTCTTTACATACACCCAGGGACACCTTACCTCACAGTCGGGAACAAGTTGTACGAAGCTAACCCAACAACTTATGCCACGGGAAACATTGAGTTTTAGTAAGTTTCTCCCATTCAACAAAGATTCAACATTTCCTAAAGAGTGCTTACAGCTTTGAAACCGCACGCACCCTTATGGACCTCACACTCACTCAAACTATTCACAACTTTACCAACATACACTACGTGATCCCACATGGTATGTCACATTTTCAGCATAACGGCTACATCGCTCTAATGCACCCCAGTCGGTGGAGCGTTTACTACCTCGATTGATCGCATTCTCAAGTCGGTCCCACCCCTGTACGATGCTTCTATGCAAATCTACTCCACACGGTTGGTCGATTCGTAAGGACCATCCGACGTAAACTGAGTTTTCATTCTAGCTTCTGGTGGGATTCCGCTGGACCAACCTACTTCCACCAAGTTGCAGGACTTATTGGTTATACTATTCCCAAATCCCAGTTTTTGTTCGGAACTGTGAGTGATTTTTTACCCAGTACCCTTGAACAAAGAACTCAAGCAGATCGCTTCTAGGATTACCCCTATGCACCTTCCTTCACCCAGCCGGGTTCGCTCGCTGCGGTTAAAGCGTCTACGTTGTTTACAGACGCAGAAAAGACAGCCATATTCTCAGGCAACGCGCAGAACTTGTTCGGCAACAAAATTAAGTGTATGTTTCTAATGTTTATGCTTTCAAGGATTCCAATACCAACCTTTTTTTGTTCAGTCTACTAAAGCCGCATCGTCTATTTAAAGACTATTTATCGCTTGCATGGGGGGGATGGTCCTCTGGACATTTCAGCGGATTTCTTTTTGCCTCATTCGGACCCTCACGTCATATATCATACGTACATAGTTTTTGTTGTCGTTTTCTGCTGAAATGAATATTTCTATGTACGGATGGCCCTTGAGCTTGAAATTCCAATGGGGAAATGGTAGCCTCGTTCCCGTGTAAAGAGCAGGATCAAGCGCTTCCGAGTGGCAGAGGGAGGAGGGGACCGCTCGAACCCTCTCGGACCTCTTTAAACATCCGGAGCCGAAATTACCTCAAGAGATAAATCCGAAAATGATTCCTCCTTGAGCAGTGAGAATCTCTTTCATACACACTTAAGGGGAAATGGGTAACGAGTCTGCCAAAGGGTCTATCGGACGCTTTGTAAGGCTCGTGTTCAATAGTATCCGGGTCTTACCCATACGTTCGTCGTCAGCCCTAATATGCGTTACTGCGCTTCAAATCTGTGCTCAAAATGTTCCCTCAGGGATTTCCTGATGGTGGCCATAGTAGGCTTGAACGTTGAACGTTGAATGGTCACATTGGACTTTGAGCAGTTTCTGATGCCTTGATGCTCGATGCTGGTCACGCGATGTTGATGATATTGTAGATTGAGCAAAATTCAAGAAGATGCACGCCATTCATTCGATCTTGCTAAGTTAGGACTTCGTCGCGATGACCATCAAGTTTGCTGGGCCCAGGGTCTTATCTATGCCCCGCGGGTATGTATGTATGGACCCATACATTTTTGAGACCAGTTTAGAAGATCCATCATACTCGAGGCGTGGACGAGTTAGGTTGTAACTCTAGGATTATTTTCAGCAGTTGGCCATGTAGGGAATGGAATATACCTATGTCATACATCATTCTCTGTAGCTAGGCTGCTTCCAAAACGGTCGATTGTCGTCTCCCTTGCTTCCAAAAGCTGAATACAAAACCTAAAATATTGAAGAAACCAAGCAATGCGATCGCAGTGAGTAAAGACGGGATGCCAGTCGACGGCTCCAGGGCCACGGCGGAGTTTGATGCGGTCAGCGAAGAGCCCATCGCTGTGTTCGCAGTGCCCCCCGACCAGAAGAGGAGCACCACAGACGAGATGAAATATAGAGAACCCCTGGAAGGGATGTCGCATAAATACTTTCTTCACGGTGTCATAACATAGAAACTCGCCACACCGTCCAGACTGAGGGAAGAGATACAATAATCCAAGCACCCCAGAGCGAGCGATGGTCAGTACTTCGGAAGTTCTGCAACATAAAGAATCGCGGTGAGGATATGACGGGAAGTTTTGCGTGCAAGCAAACCTCGAGCCATGTTTGAATGAACACAGGATCACGCGTTTCTCCTCCAAGATGAATGATTACGATTGACGAGAGTAGGATGGCTGTCGTCATGGAAATGAGGGTTAAGTACGCCAGTGCAGGAATCATAAGGTTGTTGTTGAAGCTAGGAATCTGAAACGTGGCAAGAGCAGCGCTATGGCGATCCCTTCAGAACGATTACAGGCAAAGGCAACAATGGGATACATACCCGGAAGTCAGGGTAGCCAGGACGCACACGGTTTTCCACTCCTCCAGCAATGGTCGAATGAGCTGCTCCCAGGCCGTCAATTGTGATTGGGAGTCATCATCGTCCGATAGACCATAGAGAACATGTAATGCCCTACCGCGATGATACGCAGGTAGGTTCAAGAGAATGAGAGTGCTGGCGTTGACGACAAAGCCTAGAAGAATGGGCCATACCCAAGCGAGTGCAACTCCCCCAACGTCTGGATTGGGAACTCCGGTACATTGTGAAACACAATCGGAATACGCAGTTGGCGGACACCAGCACCAGAATCCACTTGGGTTGAACTCATCACATCGGTGGTTCCATACTATTTCAGCATATAAATGGCTTAAACGGTCGTTGAAGAAGTCCTAGACAAAGATAGTCAGAAACAAGGTTTGACCGCAAAACAAGCAACATACCCATCGGATTGTATGGTTCCCTCGCGACTTTTTGGAACAACCAACTTGAGAGCCCATCCAAAGTTGCTTCTCCGCATCGGTGCGGAATAGTACCAGACATCCAAGAAGAAAGGCAATTGAAGCAATTCGCAACATCAGGACGGGGGAGAGAACAACGCTCAAAGTGTTGCAGTAATAAGAGTGCCTTCCTTTTCGCAGATAACAAGGAGCCAGCCAGGGAAAGATGGGGTGCGCTGTGTGGCGCTAAGATCATGCCGTGAGCCCGCCCGTAGTGCTATGTCAGATAAATTGCTTGTCATTTCGGGTGAGGACAACGTAAACCCGCTGGCGTTGTGAAGAAGGGTGGTATCTGTAATCTGTGGTGTGATGTCTGCCACGGTGAGATCCTGGTCTTGGATGGCAGGCCCAGTATTTGCGCGTTAGACATAAAAGGTAAGGCAAAGGTAAGGAGAGATTGAACTATCTGGTTGGCTTCATAAGTATCGGGAGTGGGATGAAAAAGACAAGGGATTTTGTCAATTGAATTGGCAATGGTTTGAACCAAGTTCGACAACAAAGATCGGCCCAGGCCCCATTCGGAGTCCGGTTAGCCAACGTTCAACATCGATGCGAGCAGTGATCCAGCGAGTTTCCTCTGCCTCTGTTACTGGTGACTACGCTATGACTATATTATTTTGATCCAACTTGACGACGTTTAGTGGACAACGAAGTCGTATCGAGGATTTCCAAGGGGCTAATGGTCTTCATAGGGATAGGCTCAGGTCTGAAAAGATGTTCACCTCTATGCACTTGCTTCGCATCTAATGTGTAATAACGCAGGACAGACGATACTGACACTGATGTTGTAACCCTGTCAAATAAGATGTTGGTATCTTCAATACCCCCTCTCTTCTCAAAGGTGAAGGCATAGTGAGGGACCAATGGCTGAGGACGTCTTCTCCCCCAGTCTTTCTCTCCGGGTTTTCTCAGATCCGAGCAATGAAGAAAAGTCGTGGAGAGCGAGCGTCAAAGACGTAGACGGCGACATCCTTTGTGTCTCTCAGTTCACTCTAATGGCAAACACTACGAAAGGCAATAAACCGGACTTTCACCGTGCAATGGTTTGGATCCTTTCATTCCAGATCTAAGATCAACGAGGTCATTGTGACTTATCTAACCACGAATGTTAGTCTACAGACGCATCGCGCCAGCTGTATGCCTCCTTCTTAGAAAAACTAAGAAAAGATTATAAACGGGAGAAGGTCCAGGGTATGTACCATGTTTGTCTTCAAAAACCTGCTTCTTAACTACCGCAGATGGCAGATTTGGAGCTATGATGAGTGTCAGCTTGACCAACGAAGTTCGTCGCTGTCGGGACATTGGCCTGTAATCAAACTGACGGATGCAGGGTCCTGTCACATTTACGCTCGATTCTCGCAAATTTGAATACATCGAAGGCGGTAAAGGTAACTCTAACGTGACGAAAGAAAAAGATCTCGAGGTACGGAGGTAAGAAGCATGATTCGCTTGCACGTATTTTAAACTTTATGCCTGTTTTTAGAGACATATCAGGTACTGCCAATGAAGAGTCCTGACGAGCAACGATTTTCGCCAACTCGTGTTCCCCTGTGTTCCCTTCTACGCTATAGAATGGTTGGCTGGGATGACATGTCTTTTTTTTCTTTACAAGACATAGATTTTACTTGGGAAAGTCCATGTTGTTGAACTGCTAGACACCATGAATTGAAACTTGAAAGCTATGGCAGTGCTAACTAACACTGAGCAAAAATATCCCCAAAATTGAGCTTCCCAGAGATCCCAAAGCTCCGTTCATCATCATCATCCTTCCAATCCTGGTCGTCGTACTCAAAGGCGTAAACGGAGATACTGGTATCATCACGACAAGCACAGTTCAGGTTAAGTAATGCTGAAAGCTCATTAGGTATTGAAGGGACGGCCAATCCGTCCGTCGAGCCACGGGATGGCCAACCAGACCTGCAAGAGCGATATTCAAAAGACGGGAGAAGGCATCTTTCCAGATAACGTTTACTCTGTGATGGTAATCTGCTTCCCTGGGCAAGCACGTTGTAGTGCAGGTACGACAACCTTGAACACAAAATCCCCAGCTTTAGCCGCAATGGTGTTGGTGTCATAGAATGCGCTGTGGTGACAAATATTTCAATTGCAGAACGATGACCAAAATGAAGGAGAAGTACTGCGCGTTCGCCGCGACGAAATCGGTGCGGCAAAGAATCGTAGGGTTGTCTCGAATCATCACCCAGGTATGAGAAGTGGAGACAAGGGTTTGCACACCAGCTGCACGAAGTTGATCTGTCAAGGATGAGTTAAAAGACTCCTCGTCAACGTGAAAGGGGACACGAACTTCTTACATCGTCCACCTCGGCTACGACGTTATTCAAAGTATCACTATAGATCTAGAGCGTGTGGCATGAATATAGCCTATTGGTGGCTAGGAAAATGCCTGACCTCGTTTCCGACAGTAAGACCAACATATCTCTTAGCCCCATACTTGTTCCATGCGGCGAGGAAAGTTTTCACATCATTACTATCGGTAGAATGGGTCAGAAGAAAAAATGACACGAGCCTGATATTGGCGACGAACTTTATGGAAGGCCTGCTAGAGGCCACGCTTCCCTTCATAGGCATAAATCAGCAAAGGGTGTTCTCGCTACTTTGTGCGGCGTAGAGGGCTCACTGTATAGTAGATACCAGCAAGAATCGTTAATCCCGCGGCTTTAGCAGCAGAAGACGCCCACTCCAAGGCGTTGCAATCAAAGCCGATAATGCGGATTGACCGAAACCCATTGGTTTTCGCGGTGTTCGCAAGGTCGTTCCACTGTTAAGGGTATCTAAGAACCAGACTATCATACCAGAGGTCTGGAATCTGACCTGTTGTGGTGTTCGACAGGTGAACGTTGAGGTGCCGCCGATGCTGTTGGAAGCGGCGATACCGGCAAAATGATTCGTCGCAAGAACCTGAGCGAGACAAAAGAAAGCGGCGAGAATAATGGCTAGTTGTCTGCTCGTCGCCATTATCCAGGTTGGGATGGCATTTGCGAAGCCACCCCAAGAGATTTTATAGTGAGGTCCACACAGCGTCCAAATAGAAAGATCAAGAAAGAAGCCAAAAGCCATCTCGCCTGCAGAGCCTTTTAATCAATGCGCCATCCTAGTGGCAGAAACCTGATGATGGTTACTTTGTGATCATAATAGAGCTGTAGAAGGAGTCTTGTTGCGTAGTTCAAAGTAAGCGGTGGTGTAGCTTCCGGGGATGCTCATACAGAAAAAGAAAGTATAGAAATCTTGTTCGTCATTGGACTTGAATCGACCTTGAGCTTGAGTAGGAAGTTTACGAATCGCTCGAAGTCAGCCTCAACATTTCGGCAACAGATCGCCGCACATGATAAAATCCCCATCTAACCCTTGTTCATCAACAGCTTGTTTCTGTAGAAGCGCACACCTATACTCACTTAAGCGCTAGACCAAAAATAGTGTCGCCCAAGAATGCAGAAGACCGGATGTCTGAAAGCAGCGCAGCTCAGCCATCAGTCGAAACGGCGGCTGGACGCTCAAACTGGTTCCCATCTGAGGATGAAGCTGTCTTAGAAGAGAAGCTGTATTAGGCGTCTTGGGAGTCCGCAGCAGATTCCTGTGCAACGAGGACCCCGTGCAATCTGTGTGCCAGTTCGAATTCCAAGTGCTGTCGACCTGTAGTCCCACCTCAAATGTCCTGCCTCGACAGATCCATCCTGCCATCGCCGAGTGCATCATCATGATCCCAGGTCGGTTCTCCAGCACCTTTCATATTCTCGAGGACACCTTGGAGAAAGTGGTCACGCAAGAGGTCGTCGAGAGGACGCAAGTCCGGATCTTGGATGTGGTCCAGCTTCAGGACCTTACCTGCAATGTCGTCATAGCCCGCAACGAAGGGGGTAACGACATAACCACGCTGTTGTAACTTGCTGTGAGAACGTACGTTACAGATGCGCGAAAAACATAACAAACATTAGGATTGACACCAAATTCATAGCTGTCCCATGCATCACGCAAATCGCTACGCAACAGCAGCACGTTCTGGATAGAGTCAAATTTCGCGGGCCCTCCAACTTCTGCAAGAGGTGCAGGATCTGTGATACGACTTGGGAAGCCTCTACTGACCCACTGGGATACAATGTCAGGACCGAACGAACGAAAAAATAATTGCGCACCTGGATGTTATGCGCTCGCGGGAAAATGTGCGCTGCCTTTAATCGGCTATAATCACCTCTGACGGCCTGAGATAAGACAGCAAGGGTCGCGGGCACGTACACGGCTTCGGTAGTGCTCTGTCTGCGCATGGGTCAGGTATGTGTTACAGGTCTCGCTGGGGTGTGTAACTTACTTGTGTAGCAGTATTGGAGAGGGTTGGATGACGGACGCGAGCTGCAAGGGTGGTCCAACCTACTTTAATCGGGGTGCCATCTACACAAGATCATACATGACGGCGTCAAGGAGGAAATAAACCTAAACATACCTGGGCGGAGGAGTATGTATGTCCCTGGTTCAGGGATTTTTGGGCTTGGAGGATAAGAAGCCCCATGCTGCCCGGGAGTGGCTGCTTCGTAGCGAAAAACTGCCCAATCCTCGTTTGAGGAAATAACGGACCTCAGGCAGTTGTAGAACAGCTCCCAATCGATGATGCCATACTGCCAAAAACCTAGAAGACACGAAGGTGGTTAGAAGGGCAGCAAACGCTCGGCGATCGGTCAAATAGCGAACTCGATAAGATATTTCCATTGAAATCACGAAGGGCTACATCCAGGTTTTGATCCATAGTCAATGTAAAAGCTAAGGCATATTAGTCGCGGTGTTTTTGCGGCTGCGTCGGTGACGGTCGTTGTGATCGTCTGAGTCAGCAGGCGTCAAGTTTGGTTTACATTTGCTCTTGAGCCAACTCTCTTTCCTTCCTTTTACTTCCATCATGGATTCATTTGACAATTTTCAATACGATTCTGCTTCATCTTACGGAGGCATAGGTGTTGTCGACGACAACTCTTCTGTTTACACCGCCAACACTCAAGACAATGCTTCGGTCGATCTATCCCACCTTTCCCTCTCAGAGTATAACGAAGGAATTGCTGGTAATGGGCACACCCACCAACACCATACCCACAGTCAAGAGCGCAGTACGATTGATGAGGATTTCGATGCTGTACTCGATGATTTGAAGGATGAAGCTGCCGTCGATTTGCCCCCTCATGCCTGCAGGCAAGTCTGATCCGTCAGGTATTGAGAGTTCTTATCTAATATTCAACAGCTACTGTGGCATCCATTCCCCTGCCTCCGTCGTTAAATGTCTCGTCTGTTCCAAATGGTTCTGCAATTCACGCGGAAACACTTCAGCATCCCATATCGTTAACCATCTTGTGCGCGCCAAGCACAAGGAAGTCATTTTGCACGCAGAGAGCCCCTTGGGTGAAACCACCCCGGAGTGTTACAATTGCGGCAGCAAAAATGTATTCATGCTGGGTTTTATACCAGCAAAGAGTGACACCGTTGTAGTGTTGCTGTGTCGGTGAGTCACTCCTCTTTAAAATAAGATGCATGATAACACAGCCATATCTATAGGCAACCCTGCGCTGCAATATCTAAAGATATTCAGTGGAATGCATCTCTTTGGGCTCCTCTGATTGACGATCGTTCTTTCCTGTCGTGGTTGGTCAAGCCGCCCAGTGAAACTGAGCAGCTCCGGTCGCGCCAAATATCGTTCAATCAAATTAATCGTTTAGAAGATCTCTGGCGCGACAATGCCAATGCCACTTTGGAGGATCTTGAGAAGCCAGGCGTGGATGATGAGCCTCAACCAATTCTGGTGCGCTACGAGGATGCATATCAGTATCAGAACATCTTCGGCCCTCTTGTCAAGATTGAGGCAGATTATGACAAGAAGCTGAAGGAGAGCCAAACGCAGACTGATATCACTGTCCGGTGGGATCTTGGTTTGAATCAGAAGCGAGTCGCTTGGTTCTGTCTCCCAAAGCTGGAGAGTGGGGAGGTCAGGCTTGCCGTCGGAGATGAATTGAGGTTGAGGTATCAGGGCGAGCTTCATAAGGCCTGGGAGGGTATCGGGCATGTTATCAAGATTCCCAACAGTGAGCTAATCTCTAACTTTTCGTTTCGAATTTCTACACAATCGGCTTCATTAGATGTATCCGACGAGATTGGGCTAGAATTGCGAAGGACTGAGGGCGTTCCTTCGGAATGTACCCACAACTTTGCGGCAGATTTTGTATGGAAATCAACCAGCTTCGACAGAATGCAACTTGCGATGAAGACGTTTGCTGTGGATGAGAAGAGTGTCAGCGGATATATTGTGAGTTTCACCGTTGTTCTACCATTTCCTTCGTTCGTTGATCGTCTTATCTGTAGTATCACAAACTCCTCGGACACGAGCTTGAACCGCAATCTCTTAGGACGCAAATGCCTAAGCGATTTTCCGCCCCTGGACTGCCCGAGCTCAATCATTCCCAAATGTATGCGGTCAAAAGTGTGCTTCAGAAGCCTATCAGTTTGATTCAAGGCCCTCCTGGCACAGGCAAGACCGTGACTTCCGCTTCCATCGTTTACCATCTTGCAAAGATGAATCCGGGTCAGGTTCTCGTTTGTGCGCCATCGAACGTCGCTGTCGATCAACTTACGGAGAAAATTCATTCCACTGGGCTCAAGGTTGTCCGCTTGACTGCAAAGTCCCGAGAGGCTCTCGATTCGAGTGTTGGATTCTTGACTTTGCATCAACAAGTCGCGAATAGCACCGTTCATGTGGAGCTACAGAAGCTCATCATGTTGAAGACGGAACAGGGAGAGCTGAGCAGCAACGATGAACGAAAGTATAAGACATTGATCAGGCAGTGCGAGAAGGAGATTTTGGGCGTTGCTGATGTTATCTGTTGCACTTGTGTCGGAGCTGGCGATCCGAGGTTGAGCAAGCTTAAATTCAGGACGGTTCTCATTGACGAAGCTACTCAGGCTGCTGAGCCAGGTATGACTCCACATTGACGCTCAGTGTGTCGTGCTTACAGATTCTGAATTGTAGAGTGTATGATTCCTTTGGTACTTGGTTGTAAGCAGGTGGTACTTGTTGGAGATCATCAAGTATTTTTAATCATTATACACCTTCGTATATGCTGTTGACTGTCTTCCACAGCAACTTGGTCCCGTCATCATGAACAAGAAAGCCGCTCGCGCTGGGCTGACACAATCTCTTTTCGAACGTCTCGTCGTTCTTGGCAACAGGCCTATCCGTCTCCAGGTTCAATATCGCATGCACCCTTGCCTATCCGAGTTCCCGTCAAACATGTTTTACGAGGGAACATTGCAGAATGGTGTCACTGCGCCTGAAAGGTTGAGGAAGAACGTCGACTTCCCGTGGCCAGCTCCCGATACTCCTATGTTCTTCTATCAGAATCTCGGGCAAGAAGAGATCTCTAGCAGTGGAACTTCTTTCTTGAATAGGTTCGTTCCAATTCTCCTATCTTTTGTCGCAAGTTGTTGACTCACGCTGGTACACATAGGACCGAGGCATCGAACGTGGAGAAGATAGTCACTAAGTTTTTCAAATCTGGTGTCGTTCCTGGGCAGATTGGGGTGGTGACGCCTTACGAGGGTCAACGTTCTTACATTGTCAACTATATGCAGTTCAACGGGTCGCTGAAGAAAGACCTGTACAAGGAGATTGAAGTTGCCAGCGTCGATGCTTTCCAAGGTCGAGAGAAGGATTACATCATTCTCAGCTGTGTCCGAAGCAACGAGCATCAAGGAATTGGGTTCTTAAATGACCCAAGGCGTTTGAATGTCGCCCTCACGCGGGCTAAATATGGAGTTGTCATCTTGGGGAACCCGAAAGTTTTGAGCAAGGTATTTCATCCTCCTCACTTGCACTTCTGTAATTTGAATTGACTACCTCACAGCATCCTCTATGGCATTATCTTCTCACTCACTACAAAGAGAAGAACACTTTGGTTGAGGGGCCGTTAAGCAACTTGCAACCCAGTATGATTCAGTTTAGCAAACCTCGCCGCTCACTGGGCAAATCCATGGAACAATTCCGCCGACACGAAACGAACGCCCGTGATTACCTTCCTGGATCTAACGGACCAATGCTCTCGGATCGTAAGTTGTTGTTATTCAATGACGTAGATGTTTCCTGATCCCTTTAAAGCTCTTAGCCGTCGCTCTGGTACTCCAAGTCGTTTTGACGCGAGCTTCTACCGTACACACGATGCCCTCGGCTATATTCCGTCCGATGTCCAATCGCTCCGTTCTCAAGCCACTTACTCCTCGGGCCTCCCCATGTTTAGTGCCCCAGGACCATTTGGGCCTGGCATTCCTCGTGGAGTCAACGGTGGAAAACGCAGCACATACAGCTATGCGTCGTCGATCGTGTCCCAGGACGTGGGACCCAATGTCACGGACAATAGCAGTGTCATTGGTGGAGGAAGCAGCATCGCTTACTCGCAGAGTGATCGTCTTCGACGCCGTACTTCGTTTGGCTCTGCCTCCGTCACTGGTGCCAGCGATCTTGGGAGTTTGTCTCAGTACGATTACAAGAGCCAGGATGATGTTGGTGATTTGGACGATATGAAGTCACAATACGCTGGCACGCAGTCAGGAGTGACGGTGTTTTAATCGATGTCCGTCCATCCTCTGGAAGGCCCGCTGACTTATGCATCTTGCATGATATTTGCCGTTGGATCCCCGGCCCCCGTCCGGCCACGCTTTTCGCGTCCATTGAAACGCGACATATTGGCAAAACCTGACGCCCCACCCTTCCCGTCGCCTTGAATGCGGTCTATCACAGAACTTGCTACTTCAATCCAAGACCCGCCGTGCAAAAGGAGGTTGCGAGGGAGCACTTGAATGTTCCTGCAACTTGAATGTCAGTGGTGGATACGTATACAGACCCTGCAGACAATTGGTTTTATGAAATTTGTTCCGTCGCTGTTTTTTTATGTAGTCCCAAGCGCCGATAAAGTATTTTTTAGGAGCTCGTGAGAGTGTTCGGTTTTTGTAAACAAGGCGGCCAGTTGTGTTGCCAAGCTTGACACGAATCCCATCATCACTGGATCCATGTTACCCTGAACCCCAATTATCGCCCCTTTGCTCTTCGCTTTCTTGAGTCTTGACATCCAAGCCAGCCGCGCTCGCCAATTCGGCACTGCCCTTTTTTTTTTGAAATTCATTGGCATTGGCCAACTTCACACACAAACTTACGTTCCTTCCTTACTAATTTTTTTCTTTCGTCTGTCTATACCGCAAGAGCAGCGCTCCCCGTTCAAAAATTGATCCATAACCCACCTACTACGATTGGTTCGTTAGCGATAACCCGGGGCGGCTATCGTCGTCGTCGTCATCGTTAACGCCCACCACCACCGCGCCATCCAATCCAATCTAATACCGATCTAACCAAACCATGTCATTGGAGGTCGAACCGATCGCCTCACCCCCACTCACCGTCTCAATACCCTCATCCACATCCACATCCACACCATCATCGTTGTCCACCGAAGAAGGCCCCTCCTCCTTATCCTCATCCTTGGACTCGTCACAAGCCTCCTCACCTACGGGGATCCAAGACTCGTCGACGTCAACGCCAACGAGCGCATCGTGTTCTTCTCTGCCTATACATCACCTCACCATTAAATTCGCGCCGTTGCCTGAGTTGGCGCCTAGGAAGAGGAGGTCGACGGCTCCGCTTGGGATGGCTGCGCGGACGCAGCTTACGAGGAGGAGGAGGGGGAGTACTACGGCGCCTCATTCTCACTCGCATTCGCATTCGCATTCACCCACGACAGCGAAGGAGAGTGTGGTTCATCCGATGTGGACTGAGGAGGAGATGGAGGAGCATAAGCGACGGCAGGTCGAGCAAAGGCGGTTGAGGAGTTTGAAGGTTAGTGGTGAGAAGAAGGGTGTTGTGGAGGAAAGAGGGGAGGGGGAGGAGGGGGTTGATGATCCGTTGATGGTGCTTGGGAGGATGGTGAAGGTGGCTGGGAAGCAGTTGTGGAGGAAGGTGTCGCATAGGGATCGGGATAGGAAGGAGAAGGGGAAAACGAAGTCTAATGAGGATGTGTCGGTGCGCTTGGGTTTGACGACGACGACGACGACGACTAATTCGTCTAGTGGGGAAGATAAGACGGAGGATACTCCGACGAAGGCGAAGGAGGATGAAGATTGGGAAGACGCGAATGACTTTTCGAATGTTGGACAGACGGAGACGTTTTTGGAGGCGCCGTATTCGCATTCGAGCTAATTAGCTCTGGCTCACTCAAGACAAGACAAGAGCAACGAAAACTATAATGAATGGCCATTGGTATGGTCGACAACCTATTACTTGCGTTTTTATTTTATTCAACAGTATACCTTTCCTTTCCTTTATTTTTCTCTGGTGGTTTGGGTCTTACTTATCTATCTTTTATCTTATACGTATACCAGGTCGAACAGCTTGTTACCCCCTTCTCTCATGTAGTACCTGGTTTTGACAGAATTAATGGATGGATTTTGTTTTCTATGTGCAGTGTAATTTCATCAGGTTCAGGTTGCCCAGCTGCACAGCCTTTGTTCTTTCGCAGTCGTCTCGGATGGCCATCATCAATCACGGCAACGCTTCTGTTCGGCGGCGACTCCTCACCGCATCACAAATAAAAAGCTAGGCTAGCGTTTAATAGTATGTTCATTCATCCTCCTCTCAACCGTGATCCTTTCCAATTTCCAATAGGCGGCTAGGAACTTGAAAAAAGCGTAACCGCATCTAAACGAACCAAAATGGCCGCGGCATGTTCGACCTCGCTGGCTACGCAGACGACCGTCGCGACGTCGCAGAGCTTCTCGACGTTCACATCTACAGTCGTGTCTACTTTGTCTCCTGGCGTGACGACTATAACGAGTACCCATCCTTGTTCTGCTGGTGCTGGTGGTTCTGCGAGCGCGGCGGCATGTTCGCCTGTGGTTACTACGGTGACTAGCACTATCCCTGGTGCGTTCCTGTTCTTCCTATGTACATTTTAGAGGATTGACACAAATATTACTATGTAGGCGGAACAACGACACTAACGACCATCGGCACCTCAACAATCGACATCCTTTCAACCCAAACCACAACATTCCTCAACAGCTCATGCAGCAGCAGCACCATCTCTACCTCTTCCTCCCTCCCCTCCGAAGCATCAACGACGACGAGCGTGGTGATAGTGACGAACCCGAATAATGGACAGGTGTCGACGCAGTATATTGTTAGCACCGTTTTGCCGGCGTCGTTGCAGACGAACCAGCCCAAGACGACGGGTGGGACGGGGAAGAATGTGGGTGCGATTGTGGGTGGGGTGTTTGGTGGGTTGGCGGGTTTGACGTTGCTTGCGTTGGGTGGGTTGTGGTTTATGTGCGTGCGATTTCGAATCTTTTTCTTATTTCATGTTTTTTTGATGGTATTTTTTTTTGTAGAAGACGGAGGAAGAGGTGGGACATGATATTTGATAGCGATGATAATAATGCGTGGAGCGCGCCTGGACCTGGAGTTAATAATGATCCGTATGCTTATGGGCCTGTTGGTGTTGGAGGGAGGACGGATAGGTTGGAGGTGGATGATAGTGGGCAGGGGAGACGGATGGTTCTTGATTGATTGGGCATTGAATTTCGGACCTACGCCTACGACCTGTGACGACCTCTCATGGTTTCTCAACGCTCTGATACGCATCTTTATCCATCGCGGACTTTATGGTATACCTTACAGAATCGGAGTAATTTATCGCTTTGGAACATTGGTGTTATTTCAAATGCCAAGAGTTGGCTAGTTGCCGAGTGTTGTCGAGGGAGTGGCAGCATCGAAGACTCAGGCTGTAGAATTATGGGGCTTGGCTGCCGCTCGAGGGAAGAAAGCCATGAATCATACTCACAGTCGGAGCAAAGTCGGACAAATACTAGAAATACGCTCGAACTCTCTCTGAAGGACTTGCTTCAGCTTCAACGACTGCGTCATTTGGGTCTGGCGTCGTCGGCACTGCCACGTCTTCATAAAAACGCGAGGCAACGGTTGCCCTGAATCTTTCAGCTGCAAAGGAAAGAATTGCAGTGTTTTCTCGGACTTGTTTCCTGATTTGTACTCTTGCGGCGTAATTCTCACGTTGGTGTGCCTGTGTTACATTTGTCCTTTCACTGCCTTGTTGGTTTTATATCTTCACGTTTCTTGTCGGCGCGCCTCTGCACACGCCATGGCCACCTGCGTGTCAAGCCCCACACTCACAACGACGTCTGTCGGCTCCTCCGCCAGTCTATCCACTACAGTCACTCATATCACTACGACCGCGCCACCTACCGTGTCCACCATCACCATCACCTCATGTATCGCTCCCACCAACACTAACTCCTCTGCCACTTGCGTCCCAACTCTCGTAAGGTCCCTCCGTACAGTAGGAGGTACATAGCCCACGTATCCCCAGCTTCGTATTCCCTGATCATTCATTTCATTTAGGTTTTACCTCCACCATTGATGCACCTGTCACTATTACCGTCCAAGTTCCCTTTACACAGATCGCCACCTTCTATGGCTCGTCATGTACCACTCCAGCTGGAGAGGTCAGCATTACACCATCGTCCGTGACATCCACCCTCATCAGCGTCACCACTCCGCCCCCGACTGTCATCACTTCACAATCGTATACCACCCTGTCAGATGGCAGCGTGTCTACTGCCACCCTCACTAGCACCTCCACCTTGCCCGCGACGACAGTAAGTGCCCCACCAACGTCCACCCAATCACACGGTACAAACATAGCTCCCATCGTGGGTGGTGCCGTGGGTGGTTTCGTGGGTTTCGCAGCACTGGTACTGCTAGGCTGGTACTTCATGTAAACCCCTCCCTCCCTTCTCTTCTCACAACCACCCAATTAACCTTCTTTTTCCTTTCTTCTAGTAAAAAGAAAGCCCGATACAACGACATATTCGATAACAACGAAGGATACTCACCACCACCCAAAAAAACCAACCCCCTCAACCCGTCCCAAACCCAGGGATACCACTACACACCCGTCAGCCATACCCTCGCAAACCCAACTGTCCATTCTCCGCCTACATCACCGCCGCAAGGCCAAGCACCGCTCGCGAGTTTCGGGAACGAGTCTGCGTTCCAGGGCCCTGCAAGTTACGGGAACGAGTCTGCCTATCAGGGCCCTGCAGCTGGAGGACACCACCACTCTCCGTCGCTTGTCCCGTTGTTCGCTGCGGGTCTTGGGGCGGGCGCGGCCGCGCAGACGGCGCAGCTTGTGGTTAATGCGACGGGTGGGAACAACACGAATAGTACGGCTTCACGGCCTTCTTCGTCTGGGTCGGCTGCGCCGCTTGTCCAGCAGCAGGGGTATGGGCAGGGCCAGGGATACATTCCGCAGAACTTGCCGCCTGGTGCTGGGGCCGGGCAGGGGCAGGGATATGGGTATGCGCAGGGGGGACAGCAGGGGTATGCACAAGCTGGACAAGGATATCCGTCACAAGGATATGCTGGCGGGCAAGGACAGGGATACGCTGCTGGTCAGGGCCAAGGGTACGGTCAAGGACAGGGATACGTACCTCCTGGACAAGGACAGGGGTATGCGCAGCCTTCTGCACTGTCACATGCTACTAGCACGAGCTCGGCTGGGACGTCATGGGGCGGGTCTTCTTCTGGCGGCGGCGGCGGTGTATATGCCCCACCAATCCCGGGTATCATCCCCGTCATGGGCGCGACGAGACACCGACAACAGACTTCCGACCCCGTATACAACAATAATCGGTCTGGAAGTCCGGTAAGTATACAAGAGCAGCGGGTATTGCAGGTATCGAATTTGGGGCCTGAGGATGCGTCGTCTTCTTCTGCCGCGTATCCGAGCACGGCGGATGCGACTACTGCGTATGATGGGAAGGGGCGGCCGATTAATTTTGGGGGGGAGAAACCTGCGATTGTTCATTTGGATGGGGGACGGTATGAGGAGCCGACGACGAGTCAGAGTCAGAGTCAGAGTCAGAGTGTTGCACAGAGGCCGATGGGGGCTGCGCCGCCTGCTTATGAGGGGTGAAGCAAAAAAACAAATGTGGTTCTCTGAAATTTACGTGCTTTTACGACCTTGAAGATTATATTATTTATTCCCCCCCCCTTCCCCTCCCCGGATTTCTTTCTTTCTTTCTGACGTTGGCATGGTTTTTGGATTGCTTTCAAGTTGGTAGTTTGGGTGGAACAATAATATTCATTCATGATCATTTACTATCGTTGTTTTTATTCCTGCAAGTTGTACTTCAGTTACTGACTATGATATCGGATGAGATACCAACCACTAATTAGTAGTCTTTTCAAAAGATTGGGTTGGTGGGGGTGGGGGGGGTGAATTTGTGTCAAGGTACCCACGGACTAAGTTGAGACCAGAAAATGCCGACGGAACGAGGCGGCGGGGCAGGCGGTGGGGCGGACGCGTTGTGATCCTCGCGTAGTCCACGTCGTTTGGGGCGAAACTAACATTTCTTACGTCTTCGTGTTTATTTTCCGGATCCGAAACTACTGACAAGGTACGGATTAGCTAAAAAAAAATCGACTAGAAAATGCCGACGGAACGAGGCGGTGGGGCGGACGCGTTCAACGTTGTGATCTTTGCCTGGTTCACACGTTTGGGGCGATACTGAGATTTCTTGCGTCTTTACCTGAATTACTGTACGCGATCATCTTTGGTGTTGACGACTTGGGGTAGAACAAAAATATCAGTTACTATCTCCTACTAGTATCTCCTTGAAGGCGTATCGTAGTCAAGTCCTTGGAATAATTGTAACTGTCGACGTTTCCACGTATGTGACAAGACAGAAGCTTTGACTGCCTAGAGACGCCCGGAGCGTATTTTATAATAGAAATATACAAGGGCGTGGCTACGGTGCGCTGATAGTGCGCTTGGAAGTTGCGGGCATTATTGTGGGTGTCAATCACTGCACGTGATCGATAATGCGGGTGTACAAACAAAGCGCGCCGTCCATTGTCCTCCACATATGTAACAATGCCTACAATTCTCCTTTTCCCCGAACAGCCGAGAAGAATGGAAACCCTTGGTTGGCACGTTGCGGCCTTACTTCGCCTTGAGCCGCTTTAAAAAGCGATTGTTTTGCTTGGGGTGGTTATCTTTGACTACTGCCCATCTCTCTCTAACTGCAGGCAGCTTCTCGCTTGCTCTTGTGCTTGGATTTTTTCACGACCTTCATCTTGGTGCTGGAACACCTCTCCCTCTTTTGCGCTAGACCTTCTTCCTTCACTAATCTTTGTCTACTTGACCTCTTAACGATCCGAGCTATGCTTCCCCCACGAGCCAGTGAGTGTCTTCGTCGTTCCAGGTGACGAATGTAGTTGCTGATTCATTTTTTTTTGCAGTTACTTTTATGGGCTTGAACGCCGTACGCGTTCTCAGTCTCGTTTCCCTCATCCTCGTCTTTTCGAGCACGATCTACGTCATGGTCACCAACGTCAAGGCTGTCAACTACTTTGAAGCCAACAAGGTCAACGCTACAGACCTTGTTGATTGCGATTACATCGAGTGAGTCATGCCAGTCTTTTTTTTTCTCTTGTTCGTGTGCTGATTGCTCGTTGTAATAAGAGGAAGCACGGTGCCCAACCAGCCCGCTGGCGTCTTCTGGGCTGTGGTTGCTAGTCTTCTAATCATCTTCCAGACCATCATTCTTTTCCGTGCGTGATTTTATTTTATTTTTTGAAAAGAAACTGACAACTCGTTTACATACAGTTTCCGAAGTCAGCTGGCCCATGTCTTTCTTTGACCGCTTCTTCCCCGTCCTGGGATCCGGGTTTGGTCTCGGCGCTTTGGGAATCTTCCAATGCCTGTCAGAACATTTCCCCCTTCTCAGTGTTTCGCCTGCCAACTCACATATGCCCAATCCAGAATCTCAACCCAAATCCTCTCTCACCACGTAGATGACTTCACCCTCGTCTCTGCCTTCTTCCTTTTCGCCATCGGATGCCTGAACATGCTTCTCGGGCTCATCTTCCGCGAATCCGCGAAACACAAACGATCCATTAGAGGCTGGCGCGCAGAGGCCAAAGGCATCCTCCCCACCGCCTCTGACAAACGGCCCGTATTCGTCAACGCCACACCTTCCTCCATCTCGAGCATGTTCTCCAACAACGAGAAGGCTCCTCAGGACGCTGGACTTGATTACAGCACTTCCTGGAGGAGCACGCATAAGCAGGGGTATGGGTTTGGTAGACAGGGCGAGAAAGCTGCGGGATTGAGGGACTTTATTCTGCAGAAGCCAGAAGAGAGTTTGCCGAGGTATATGACGCCTACGCCTCTCCCTCAGAAACAGGCGAACCTGTCGAGGTCGGCGACGAGCGTTTCGTCAACTTCGAGCTTTTCGTCGCCTTATCGGGAGAGCAGGCAGACCCAGGACCAGGAGTATGAGGCGCCAGAGACGCCTGAGGCTGTGAGTGGTGGTGAATATAGGTCGGGGACGCCGGTTCGGTTTTTCAAGTCGAGCAATACTGCTTTGTGATTCTGAATGAAGAAGGCCCCCTTGGATGGATTTAGCGAGACCTCTCAAAACTTAAAACTGGACTGGACTTCCTCATTTACAACACCTATTGGACTCTAGATGAAAACGAACTTTAGGCTGGCCGACGATGGCTGACCCTCCATTTACATTTGCTTTTACATGCGCTTCTTACTGTACATATCGTCCTAATGGTCGACTCTCCCGACGCTCTTCGAGTTGTAGCACTGGTTTTCTTATATTTTATTTGTATCATAGTGTATCTATATGATGAAAAAGGATTGATTGAAAGACATCTCCGCAAAGCGCTTGGAAGGTCGAGGAAGCAGTGGACAAGTAGCAGCAAATTCATGTTCTTTCCGAGCCACCACTTTGTTGCGTTCCATTTTCATCCAGTCCTCCAAAATGATGGCTCTAAGCTCTCATTGGAACTGGTGCCTTGGACATGCCATTCTGACGCGACACTGCCCAAACCATCACCCGCGTTGAATAACAAGCAAGTCCGGACCCCAAGTGATACCTTCTACTAGCGTCTTTTCCCCCTCCTCATTTGCCAAAGATGTATCTTCGTCTTGCTTCTAGAATGCCTCCGATCTCACATAAACGCGCAAAAGCAACATTCACTCCCAAAGCACTAATGAATGTAAGCTTTGTTTTATGGAATCACTGGTTGCAAAATGCTCAATTCAGCTGGCCACAGACGAAATATTGCCGGAATGTGAATGAACACTTGAAGTCGTCAAATCTATGGATGAGTTTCTCCTCTTCAATAGTTCATCTGGAAGCAAGGGAGACGACGACGATCGACGCCTTTGGAAGTCGTGTCTCACTGGACTTTGCTTGGTTGGGTTTATGACCCACTTCTGTTTCCGCCGGTACCAACTTATGGATGCGTTCGCTCTCGAAATCTTAGAAGATGCAAAGTCCTGGAATTGGCCTATCGTAAAGCGCATCCAAAAAGCTCTATTTCCAAATTTGCTATCGTGTTTGATCAAGGAGTCTCAAGCCTTCGGTGGTACGGTGCTGGATCAGTTCTGGGAATCGGTTAGAAAATGCGATGACAGGCTCAAGGATAATAGTGCGTCACATTCTTCTGCTTCAACAAGAACGTCAAGGTCTGACTTTTGTGAACAGTTGAAAATGTCACCTCTGTTCCGCCGGGTCAGGCATCAGCAATGCTGTTTGCGGGGGTGAACAGAGAAGACATCAACCTAAATCCAATATTTGAGATGGCAGCTGAGTATTTTACACATCTCGCTGTTGTATGTACGCATTTGGTGATTTTCTGATGGGCACCTCATAACTGATTTCGTCATAGTTTTGAACCCAGGAGGACCTCAAGCAGGGCCCAGCACGCCAGACTCAGTCAATGACATTATATCGATGGAGACGAACCAACTGCTCGCTTTGGCTATACATGGGGGGTTAAGAACGCGAAAGCAAGAAGCCCTCAAACGTTTGGTACGCTTTAACGTGGTATCATCTCCCACAGCTCTGACAGACAGTATTGCGGTACAGGCTTTCGAGCGTGATGGTACACGATGTGTGATGACCGGGGTGAAGTTCAGTGAGCTCCCCACTGACACTAACTTCACACCTATTCTGGACCATATAATCCCAAACTCGATCCATGGCAAAGTCTCTGCTATTATTATAATGGCACCCATTTATTGACATGCTCTCCAGCCGGATACCCTAGAATGTCTTGCCAAGTTTGCCGGTGAACTGGCTAGGGATCTTGTCTTGAGATATATGACTGGTATTGGAAATGTTGCAAATTTTCAAACCGACGCACACTCGTGGCGTAATAAGTTGCGATGGGGAATTGAAGCTCGAGAAGAAGGAGGAAATGTACGTGCCTGAAGCTCTCTGCAACATGATGGACTTTTAACTCCTTAGTTCAGGTGAAGTACATCTACAGGAGGGTTCCTTACTCTTCCGACACTGGCCCAGCAGGGATCAGTTTGCGAGACGGTGACGAAATCCGCTTCGGGGGTGGTACCAAGGGGGTGAGGCTTGGAAAAGGACCAATTCCCCTACTCTGCAATGTTCAACTTGCTGTGGCTCGTGTTTTGCACATGAGCGGAGCTGCAGAGGCGGTTATGCAGCTGAAGCAGGATTCTGATGATTCTGATACCCCTCATGCATATGTTGCCTCTGACTACTTTCTGGAAATTCTAGATGCAAAGTTACTCCTCCAGAGTATTCGTGTGTAATCGTTATTTAGACATTGTGCTTGCCCATAGTTATACTTGAGTACAGACCGTTTCGTGCCAATGCCTGGAACAAAGTAAGCCGTTGACCTCTTCCCGTATTCCTGAGCACCAAAGTGGCCAACATGACGGCCTATTACCGCATTGGACACCAACGGTCAACATGTGATATCCAATTCTCAAGCATGGAATGGAGCAATGCTTGTGATCCCTCGCCTAAGACGGACTCGGAAAAAGCAAAGTGGAGGTCTAGAAGACGAGAACCCGACCGCCCCAAGTACGCAACAAGTCGGTCAATCAGAATCCGTTTTGGCAGTTCAGAAACGTTGTACCGAAAGTTGGACTTTAGGGATTGGAAGGACAAGGCGACGGCACGCCATTGCCTACAAACATGTGAGATGGTGATTTCTATGAGAGGGTTTTCTGGAATCCTCTCAATAAATGACGCTTCATGGGCCAGCTCGAACATGCGGCACATTATTTCGATAGGAAGGTTCAAGATGAGCGCTGTCTTGTTGTAGAGCGCTTCATATTCGGCTTGAGTTTGGAATTTTGTGGAGTTCTTCCCTCTAATTGAAGTTTCTCTATTTTTTCTGCGAGCTCGCGAGGTTTCCTTTCCCTGGACAGGTCGTCTGAGCGGACAGTTGACATTGGGGCTGTGATCACCAATTAAATGGAAATTGAGGATGAGGGGAATACGTTTATGCCGGAACGACTTTGGACAATGTTCAAGTTGAAAGCAAGTTGGCGCAAGACGACACTTTGTATGTGTATGTTTTCCACCCTTTCCTCCTGCCTTCATCTCTCAGAAACTTGTATTTTATCCAAGCCTGGCAAACGACCAAGACTCGCGACGGTTCCGTTCCATTCGGTAGTTCAGTGGAGGCAGAAGCAATAACCATTCAATCATTACAGCCAGCGAAGTACTGAACACTCACCACTAAGAAAAGGTCACGTCACGGAATTGGAGTCATAATGCATTGGGCCCCCAACGAGCCCCCAACGGCCTGTCCCAGCCTCTCTGAGCCCTCTCCGCCAACCTAGTTGCCGGGCCAACCCTGGACCTATCTCAGCGTCGTCTGTAGAATATTCCCGGAATTAAGGGTTACGTACTCTCACTATGAGTCATCCGTGTAACTAATGACTCGATTTCAACCAGTCTCATCGCACAAGCTGCGTTACTTCACCTTGATACCATCCCCAATACCTACCGGAAGCCCAGACTGGTCAATTCTTCAAGACCGCCCAGGGCGCTCAAGGTCATCGGCGATTTGGCGACGTCCCCCGTCGGGTGTGATCTGGGCGAAGGGGATGGTCTCTCTTTGCCATTCGGCTTGGTTGGCCAACCTCTGCACTCCTCTTCCTTTCAATTCAGCGACAAACAAAGTGCCTCAGACCTTTAAATTTAATTTGGAACGAAAATATGATCATCATTGTTCAGACTCAAATCAACACAGTGCAGGAGATGAAGAACGCCAACTTGAAGAAACAGGGACATTCAACCATTGCAAAAGGGCACAGGCAGCGTGATGTGAAGGACAAGAATTTGCAAGCATTGTTCGAAGACCATACTGTGCATACAGCAACGATGACCACTCAAAAATGACCGCAAGCTCATCTGTATAATCGTCCGAATTCAACCTCATGCTGCAATGAGTGAACTATCCAATTCTCGCGCTGAAGACCTTCAAGATCTCGACCAAATTGGTTGTAGCAAGGCGTTTCGTTCGATCTAACCAGCTGACTGTCAGTTGATTGATGAGTGAGTGAGTGAGTATTCACGCCGATTGCAATATCCCCTTCGTCAAATCGACGATACCGAACGACGTCTTAGTTTTCAGCAAACAAGAAGCAGGATATAACGCGGCATCCAGCGCGGCTCAAGACACCTCAAGAATGTTCAATGCGACAAATTGCTAGTTGATTGCAAGCGGGTAGTCCGAAATTATGGTAAAGATGTGAGTAAACGAACGTGAGGGCTAGATCTTCTGAGGACAACAATGACAACGATGACGAGGTGAGATAGCAAGCGAAAAGAACAAGATAGCAAAATGTGGGGCACTGTCGGCACACCCCCATGCTCAAGTTTAAACGAACACGAAGACCAAGCCCCAAGTCCACCTTTGACTTATGCAAGAAGTTATTTGCGTCCCAAGCCCTTGATTTTGCAGAACATCATCAACCGGCGCTGAAAACGGTATGATAAGTATGTTGTCATGACGTTGAACGGATCTACATAACCAAGACGTACCCAAAAGGATCGCTTCGTATCCGCCTTCTCTTCAAAAAGGGTCGCAGTGTCTTGCTCGTGCTGGATGAACGGCGAAGTAAGCACTCGAAGGTAGACAAGATCACGAAAAAACTGACTGAATACTCGCACTTGTAGACGATATAGCCCGTCGGTGTTCGCACGTCAATGGTGTCCTGCAAGTAAAAGGCTCAGCACAAAGTTCAATATAGCTTCAAAAGTCGGAGCTTACCATGAGACCGTCGTCGCGTGGGCTAAAAAGAGGGATTTGAATCTCGCGGCTCTGTGCTTGTTGGTAATCTCTGAGAACAGTCGAGCCGCTACTCGAAGTCAGAACGACAGTGAGGGAAGGTAAAAGGAGCTGTGAGAGAGCCATTTCTGTTGTAGATATAGGATGTTTGTATAGCAAAGGGTAGAGGTACGAAAAAAAAAACTGGTAGCGGGGTGGGAGGAAGTGGAGAGAGGAAGTGGTGGGGTTGTGATAAGAAACCGAAGAGCAACAAAAGGTATGACAGGGTTTTTTATACCGCCTCTTTTTAGAGTGCAGAGGCCCAGATCGGAGGCGACCGATCACGTAGACGGCCAACTCAGAAATTCGAGGCACTAATTGGGCGCTGTGGCATTTAAAACTGTCCCTGGCGAGCCCTGTCTCATTAGCTTGGAAATTTGCCTTCGCCTGGCAATTCACTTCATCCAGATTTGAATTGGGATACATGGGCGGTGGCGAGCTGGGGAAGGAAGCAGTTTAGATATAGGTGGGTGGAGGCTGGTCTTCAAGCTCGAGGCTGGCTAAGAAAGGCAGACCTGAACGGCAAAATTGTGTGAGAGAAAATCAACATTCGTTGGGATCAACACCAACTAACCTGCGAACGATCCAACATCCGTAGTCCATATGACCGCCAATATTTCAGGCCTTCTAGACATGGTTCAGAGGGTGGGTGAGTGACCTAGAATCTTTGAAGAAGCTGATCGAGCTGGGATCCAGGATAACGTCCCAAATCTGCATGCTTTAACAACCTGGTGGACTGTCCGCCGATTCCGGTTATTTTCTCCCTGACCGACTAGCCATGAAGTTGCCGTTAACGAAACTGGATAGGGAAGCTTCCATGCATTGACCAATGCTACAGCCGTGCGTCGGTTGGGTTTCAAGACAAGGCGGAAACAACGGTCTGGCGTCAACTGATGATCGAGCACAACACGTCTGCATGAATAGAGGACCTCCTTTCTGGACGTGGCCGGCGACGATTACAACCAAATCACGGCTGCAGGTCTCTCTTGATTATAGCCATGCTCGGAACCTCAGCCATACATCCGCTACTCAGAACTTTCTGAGGAAAGGTGGCAGCGAAAGTCGATCATAAACGAGAGGACAATTGGCCGACGCTGGCAATTCGCAAATCGCAGCCATAAAAAGGTTTCAAATTCAAATATCCCCCGGGGAACCAAGCAATGAAACATAGCTCAGAGGCATCTGTTCGAGGGAGCGAGATTGAGATCGCTTTCCCGATCTCGGGGTGGGTTGGTAGACAATATTTCCAGGGAAGGCGCCCAAAGTCAAGCTGAGAATGGACCACAATTCCTGGATAAGCGAATCACCACAAGAGGCCGTCCCACATGCCATTGAACAAGCATAGAGCAAAAAAAACAATCTCCATTCCGGGTCTGACAAGAAAATCGGGTGAGACAGCTGCATGCATCACTCCTTCAGCTCTATTCCTTGAAAATTCAGGCTAACCGTGGTCTAGATGTGGCTTCCAATCAATGACCTCGTTAAGGGATATAGCAGCCGCCCCCGTCGAAAGCAGCTCAAGATGTTGGATCTGCCGCATCGGGTGAATCGGATCGGGAGCCAAAGACTGCTGTGGATCGCGACTCCTGTGTATTGATCCATTGGGTTCCCATGGACATGTGGGCGGCGTCAAACGACCTTCAAATAATGGACGTGGATACGACGAGGGTGAGGTCGGAGTGAAAATGGCTACCAAAGTGGAGAGCAGATGGAAGCTTGAAAAGTGACATTCCGCAACCTCGATCTCTGAATAATTTCCGACACACGCAGTTTCCGCCCGAGGGCGCAAGTATATGAATTTCCACCTTCAAGGCTGGGGCGAACATTCCGATTTAAGGTGGCCAACGACGTCCTCATACGTTAGGTCCTCTGTAAGTTCCACAATCTTTTTTGGAGTCTCATGAAGCTAAGAAACATGTAAGGCATTGAAACGAGAGAGAAGACCAATCAACCTTGGCCTTCCTTGGCCCTTCCCCGATACCACCCCTCTTCTAAGTTCTTCGACGCAGCCCGGACTCTCCCAGGTTTTCAAAGTCCTTTCTTGCTAACGTTTATCAACTTTTGAATATGAGGAAATTCAAATTGGGTACTGGAAATCCGGGTTTGACGCTATGTGTTGCGTGCGTATGCCACATGGTAAGGGCGTGAACAGAATTTGTGTGACTGTTTGGCTGCTCGCACCTCCCTTCAACACGGCCCTATAGTCCCAAGCACCTTCTTGATAACCATGGTTGCTTTCCGGACTTGTCGTCCAATATTATGGTCAGCCGGGAGTGATTATGACTTTTTTCCCTGGCGTTGTGGCTTTGCAACTGCTCTCTGTAAAGCAGAGGCCAACAACCTTTTCGACCTTCGTGCCTCGGAATATTCCAACAGCGCCCTTCTTTTTGCCGCATTTCTTCGCATTCGTGAATCATATAAAAACACAGTACGGTCTGTCTGCAGAATGCACACCTTCAGTCTGCTAATTATTATTCAGCTGGCCCAACATTGAACACTCGCAATGACCCATCGACCTCTTTTGTCAAGATGTTTTAGAAGTAATGGAAGCTTTTTCAAAAGCGGTCATAAGTATATCTAGGTACCGCGCTCACTCACCCAACAGTCATCAGTGGTCCCCTACTCTGGGTCCATATCGTTGGAAAATATCAAGGAGGGCCTAGGACCTTAAGGATATGAACAAATCGACCGAGTCTATTTGGCCACCATACAAGTGCAGGTCCTATCTGGACTGTGGCCGTTGGCATTTATTCAAGGTTTTCTTCTGGCTGGGAGCCAAATGACAGTCTGTTAGAGACCCCGTATTGGTTGTCCTGGTATCTTCGGCTCTCCAACTAAAAATCTTGAAGGTGGATTTCTGCATTTTTTTCTGGACACTCCCACCGCGGATGTTCGCTTTGCCTTTCCTCCTAAGTTAGTCATAGTATCAAGGCTGAATTCAAGTGAGTGTTAGAAACACTGTTGTGTTCAAGAGTTCCTCTACAATGGCGTACAACTCTAATACGTATGCGTGAATTGTTGATTCCTCGTTCGTTTCGCGATGCCAGTATAGATCTGATTCTCAAGACTCAAATTTCCCTTGAGCTCCGCGAACAATGGGCTGCTCCGAGACTGATTTTTCTCTCTTATCGGAGTGCAGTCCAAAGTCAATCAAACATCCTCACACCAGTCTAGCCCCAGTATCCACAATTCTGTGCGTAAATTGTTTTATTCATTTTTATTATTACCGAAACATGACTTCGTTCATTTTCCAAGGTTAGACCAATCTAGTATCCGTCTCATTTAATGCCTGAGGTGATAGTCAGTATCAACTGTTTTAAAAATGAAATCAAGGTTCTCACCGTTCCTGAATCATGGTCAACATGAAGTCAGACGCCGAAGAAATCAAAGCACATACCTTTGTTTTGCTCTTTGCAAGTGGAAAAGGGCGACTTGCATATGCAGGTTTAGGCTCTGGTTGAGGGTGAGGCTGAATGGCACGCAAAATTAAGTGCGTAGGTCAGTGTAAGAGACCGTTTACACACACCGCCTGGACGGGATTCTGAACTGGAATAGGGGGCAAGGGCCGAGGGGCAGGAGGAGGGGGATTTGAATTTTGACGAGGGGCTATGCGCGTGTCTTAGGCTAAGGTATGTCATTTGCAAGGTCAGCGATCGCTCAATAAGTTGAAGATTTCCTGTACTTTTCATCTTATGTTTCAAGTAAGGTGGAATTAGAATCATAATTGGGCAAAAAAATAACCCCGCGTGCGATGAGCCAGGACTTCCCCAGCTCTCGTGTCTCCAGATCCTCGGCGCCACTGCGAGGGTGAAAATCAACATTGGAGCAAAAGCGCGATTTTCGAGGGATCAGTCAAAGAGTCTCCGCGTCTGTGCTGAAATGAAAATCGTTGAGTTTCATGGGATGGGGTGGAAATAACGGACGCGATGTACCTACCGTTGGGAGTGCCGTTCCGAGGTACACTTGGGACAAAACCAGAAGAATTGCAGCGAAGTTGGGGGGATGGAATTGATCGCTGGAAGGTTCAATAGGCGACGTAGAATTTAATCAAGAACTAAAGACCAGCTTTACATGTCGGATAAAAAAGCTGGGTGAGTTCCAAAGCAAGCTGACCGAAATCGTGCTCACCACTTCGATGATGGGATTTCAGCACCAGGCTGGGGGGGCAAGAGTGTTGTTAAGGGCGACTCCTCCTCATTGCACTGCATTCATGGGTAACTTTTGTACTTCATCTAAACGGCGTCTTGGTGGTGATGTCAATCATCATCAAGAAACCAACTTCATTGGCCGTGCTACTTGAAGCAGATGGTGAACACGAATTTGGGTCAATTGGAATCGAGAGTTCGGAAATCTAGAGGAGTGACGTCACGCCACTACAATCTGTAACGGCACGGGACAGCTTACATAGCCGTGACAGTCGCGAGCTGGTAGACTCGGCACTGACGTTGTTCAACACTTTTTTAACTTTCACCTCTCCATCAACTGTGGTCTTAGGAGTCGCTATGGATTCAGTGGTTTTGGAAACAAACTTGGGAGATGTTCAATTAGAGCTCTATTGGGATCACGCACCGCGAGTCAGTCACCACACCCAACTACCGTTCGATGTATTTCTGATCCATCGCATTTACAACAGACGTGCAAGAACTTTGCAGAACTGGCGAAACGAGGGTATTACAATGGTGTCGTATTTCATCGCGTTATTGCCGTATGTCTGATTTCTAATTCGCCAGACCGATTCTAATACCATGCACGAACAGGATTTCATGATTCAAGGCGGTGATCCAACGGGAACAGGCAGAGGAGGAACTAGCATCTACGGGCAGAAATTGTATTTTCTTGTTCTCCCCCAATTTTCGTGTTATTTTGTTGACTTATCTGACAGTGAAGATGAAATTCACCCAGACCTGAGATTCACGGGTGCTGGTATCCTCGCAATGGCCAATTCAGGTCCGAATACCAACGGTCAGTGTGGCTTAATAGCATTGAATTCGAACCGACCATTGATTCTTTCCCATGTGGTATCACTTTCAAAGGATCGCAATTCTTCATAACTCTTGGCCCTACGCCTTATCTCGACAACAAGCACACTATCTTTGGGCGGGTTAGCTCAGGAATGCGTGTCGTACAACGACTCGGCGCTGTGGCAGTTGATGCGCAAGATCGGTCTGTCCCCTTTATCCCCAATCTCATCCCAAATTGACGCTGACTCTGGCGTTTTCCAGGCCTAAAGAAGATATCAAAATTTATAAAGGTCGTGTGGTTTGACTCTGAAAACTCAGAGAGCTCCTCTTGGAGCACCACTTGACACAATGTAGCTACATTCTCGGCGTTCTCCACCACACTCATCAATCTCTGTACCTCTTGTAGCTTTATAATGAACTTGGTTGTGGTTAACGTGTGGCCTGTAAGACTTCAAATTTTAAAGAGGCGCTTGCAACTATAAGCTCTCCAATTTCCTTCCATCTCGTTCTCTCACTGGGTCTGACGCCCACACGCCCACAAAATGACTGATAGTACCATGTATTTGTGCTTTTGCAGATAATTGTAACAATTGAGGTGACCGGATCGAGAGCGAGAGTGAGATTACAATACTACGTATGAGGAGTATCATATGTCATGAGGTGAGGCAGATGAAAGACACAGAGAAAGAAAGGAATAATGGTTCATCAATGCAGGCCGTCAAAGGCCAATTCTATTAGTTGCTCATAGTCTGCGGGTTAAAGGTCGCCGAGGTCGTGTTGGTGTTTCGTTATTGTCAGGTAGTTGACCAATCAATAGTGCTGTTGATGGCCCACCAGAGGAAGGATGGAGATGTGGTCGTCGAGAGAGGCCTCTCGGCCGGCTGTTATGGGTATGCGTGGTCCTTGTTGTGGTAACCGTAGTTGTAGGGGCCCATCGAGATGCTTCTACACCCATCGGTTCGGTATCAGAATCCCCCTGGATGTCTATGTCCACATCGTCATCTTCGCGACGAGGGTGGTGACGAGGCTGGAGCTCCACTTTAATTTCGACAGATTCAGATTCGGAAGGGATAAGATCTTGATCCATAGCATTGATATCGGCTTGTTCCTGGTCGTCGTTATCCTCCTCGATTTCAGTCATCCGCTTAATCCTCTTTGTGAATTCGTCTTCGTCTTCTTCCGCATCACTGAAGCCGTCTTCATCGTACAACCCCCCAGGGGGCTCCCCAAGCCACTCTTCGTCCTCCTCATTACCAAAGTCCCACACATCAAGGACAGTTGCGTCATTCCTGTTACTTGCCGCAACACACCAGCGTCCTTCAAAAACGACCTGCCAGACTCCGGTAATGCCAGTCAGGAGGTCTCTGACGACTGCGCCGTCTCGAATGTTCCACATCTTGAGGTTGCCGTCCGAGCCACTGAGAACCTTGAACTCGTCATGTTGGAAACATGTAATGGCTCCTGTGTGAGCCGCGAGTGTATGTCGAAGGTCACCAGTGTCGGGATCCCAAATCCGAAGGGTGGAATCAGCAGCTGCGGACACAAGATACGAAGGTGACAAGCCAAGGAGTCCGACCAGTGACGTATGGCCTGTCAATGTATGTTGACATTGACCTGTTTGAAGATTCCAGACACGGACAGTTCCATCCATGGAACCAGAACAAGCCTGATTGCGTCCTAAGTCCAGAACAACGCTGTACACTGAAAGAGGGTCAGCGTCAAACAAGACAAAAGTGAAAAGTATGCTACCTTTCTGAGTATGGCCAACCAAAACCCACCGACAAGCGCCAGTAATGATGTCCCAGATGCGTACAGTACAATCGTAGCTGCCCGAGACGAGGGTTCTACCCCGAGCGGCCAAAGCTCTAACGGCATGGTCATGCCCTTCCAAATGCAGTCTATGGTAGGGGTTTTCGTCAGCGTCCTGTTGATCACTGATTAGCAACTGGCTTTAGAAAGTGGCTAAAAGCACATACGCAAACGTCTGCGGGGTCTACCTCTGTTTCCTCGGGACCAAAGCACCGATACTCAGCTTCTCCTGGTTTGGGTAGAGTCCACACCCTGAGGGAGTGATCTCTACTACCTGTCACAATTAAAGGCCGTTTGGGCCACTTTTCTCGTGTGACAATCCCGCTGTCATGTTCAACATCGACGAATTCAGGTTTCACGATGGCAAGACACCGGACAGTACTTGTGTGTCCACCAAATACATGCGTGCACTTGCCCGTCGAAAGGTCCCATATTCGCACAGTCCGGTCCGTGGACCCGCTGACCAAGGTGTCTTTGCTAGCTGCCAGAGCCCAGACGCCACCTTCATGACCTTCAAGTGAACGAAGCAGCTCTCCAGTATCCGGGGAATAGACGTGGATAGAATGGTCATCTGAAGCGGAGATGATGCGGCCATGAGAGAAGATGAGACATGTGACGACCGCAGAGCCATGTGCGGGGAACGATACGTGTTTGGGTTCTGGGTTGTTAACCCAACGTGTCCGTGTTAAGTGTCTGGATTTAAAAAGAATCTTGTAAGGATGCGGCAACGGCAGATGGTCGGGAATAGAAGTTTGGGATCGTTGTGCGTGTCGTCGGCGTGCATAGATCGAAGTGGCAAATGCGTTCTCAGACTCCCCCCCAAACCAAATCTTTGTGCTTTTGAGCAAGTCACGCCATAGAACGGGATCAGAATCGATGATTGCCCGCCATGACTTTGAAACACGCGAAGCGCGTGCTAGTGTGGGATATGGGAGGTAGCTCAGGATGTGTGATACCAACTCGGGTGGTAATAACGTTAGAAAATCGCGTGCCAGAGTTGGCGTTAGGACGGAATGGAGGGTACGGAGAACAGGAAGCGGGGAGTGGCGTAAGAGCGTCAATAGGAAATGCGATTGCAATGGAGGTGGAAGGCTTGTGAAGTGAGCTAGCAATGATGGCAAAGCCAGCAGCGTCGTCAAAGACAAGTCCGGCTGTAAGGGGGCTTGCGGTAGAGGCGAGGACGCCCCACTTGGCGGCGCAGATGGCCAGATCGTCTCTGGTGGCGGCGAGCCATGTGGTGACGGCAAGGGTGAAGGGGGGGCAGCTGCATTGACGGTGGATATCTGTGGAAGGGGAGTAGCCCTTGCTTTCTTTCGTGGGGGAATCGTTGTATTGGTTATTTCAACGCCCTCCATCATGTTGTCCGCGTTATGTGCCCTCTTCTTCCCATAACGCTCAACAGCTTCCGTCAGGCCCACAACGTTCGAGTCTTCAACCTCTTCATCTCGCTTCAACATACGCCAGCCAACACCCCCCACGGCCTCCTGCTCTTCTTGCATTTCATCATCACCACCCTCACCATCAGCACGAAATGTGGCGCGTGCACCGTTCGGAAACACGAGTGGAAAGTGCCTCAAAGATTTGGGCAAATTTGCATGGAGCAGTGGGTAGTTCTTGGGGTCTTTTGGTGAAGATGGTGGTGGCAGAGATGGTAGTTGAATTGGCGCGTATGTTGTCGTTGTGGTCGTTGTCGTTATTACTCTGCACAGTGGGTTGGTGAGTGGCCTTCGCGAGGACAAAAATGAAAGATACTAACTTTGTTGTGCTCACTGAAGGCTGGAGAACGAGGAAAGGCCTGCTGGCGCTCATTGTGTTAGAGATGTGGAAGAAAGACAGGAGAGTTCAAGAGGGAACAGCAACCTCGGCGTCGGAGTTGACAACAGTCAACAACTATCAACATCGCGGCCACTGTCCCTTCCTTGTGCCCTTGCATCATGGCCTGGCCCCTTGTTCTTGCTTGCTTCAAGCTTGCCTCCTTGTTCTCTAACCAGCCGGATACATTGCTCTGATGAAGTATCCTTCTCTGATGTTCTTGTAATTCTGTTCGGCCTTTCGTCGGCAAGGACTCCCGGGGAGCACCTCGGTCGGCAAGCGAGAGGCCACGAAAATAGATGCGCATATGGCTTTCATACTTGCTAATTGCTCTGGCTCTGAAGGGATTTGCGGCGTCGTCCAAGATGCTAAGGTGGATGCTGAAACAAGAATATGCAAAGGACGGGTCCCATTCTACCCCAACGTCACATTTACTAGAAACGTACTTGCGCCATAAAAGCCACGAAGCTGCTGGAGAGAAGCAGGAGTACGTACTGCTGTTCTGCAAGCGGACTGACGAGACCGCCGTTCAGCCAGTTTAATTCACTGCTGGCTCAGAAATTGCCTCTGCTCCTTCCTCTTGACGTACATCTGGAAGGCTTCTAACCACGTTCCACCTGCTGTCTCTGGCGTCCACATGTCTGTGCCACTCTTCACCGTGTAGTCTCGCATTCAGATGGCGATATTATGTCCGCCTTTCGGACTTCACTCTATTTTCGCGGCCGACCAAGTTCCGATGGACCTTTTACTTCGTTCATTGGTCTGTTCTTCAACGTGTAGAGTTATCGTGTGTTCCAATGCTACAAATATGTCTTTGTTCACTATCGGAGAACTTGAAGGCGGCCAGCGCCCATGCACCTGCCATCAATTTTACAGAAAACTTCAACAACTCCCTGAATGACAAAACGAATTTGCACCCGTACACTGCAGTCGACAGAGGCCGCCTTGTGTGAATGGCTTGGCATTAGTCCGCAGCTACTGCTACATCACAATCGTCTTCAAACTCTCATCACCCGTTGGCGGCCGTCATGCTTGTCAAATGTCGGAGCGTCTTTGTGGATGCTCATTGTTTCACAATTCTTGACGCGTCATGGCTGATCTCATTCACCAATGCGCCTATACCGGTCTGTCGATCCAAGGTCGATCCTCCCACTCAACCTTTGACGTTATCATCGATGTGGTTTTTGGTGACCGCCGATTCAAGCGTGAAAAGTTCTCCTGCCCATATCGCATTGACTAGATGCGCGATTCCCAAGGAGTCTCCGTGACTCTCGTAGCGCATCTTCACTCGCACCCTCAGTGAGAGCGCTGATCGGTCTTTTGGGAAAGAAGCGCGTCCCACATGCTTCAGTGGTGATGATTGGTTCCAACTAATATTCTGTAGGATAACATTCCTCGATACCATCGAAATGTCGAGAAACCTCGGTCCGCATGTCATGAGACAGCGCACTCTGGGATGTCCTGCGATAACGTTTCAGCTGATGCGCACGATAAACCACAGTTTCAGTCGAGTGTCTACATCTACAATCTCCCCGTTGTCTTCGGATTCTGATTGTGCTGCTTGCTAATAGTAATGCCAGTGTGCGATTATATCTTTCCACAAGACGTTTCCTGTGAAAACGATGTACCTTTTTTTGACAAACAATGACTATTTCCAACTGACACTCTAAAATCTGTAACCTTTGCTGCCTTGGGCTCTAGACGACATCGCGGGCTTATCTCTTTCAGATACAATCGAACATGTATAGTGATCCAAGCGCAATCCTCATGTCGTGTGAGGTGATAGTACTAAATTAGAAAACCGTCATGATCAAGAGCCTTATTTTCCACCCCTTCAAACAACAGTGTTTAACAAGGGAACGAGGCAGTGAATGTCCTGATTGAGGTTTTTTTGTCAAAAATGTCTCTGGCTCCCTTCTTGGGCTAACGGTAGTTTCAATTGATGTCAAAATATGACCACTCGACGGAAACGCCGCTGGGTGTCAACATGCGTTGACGTCGAAGCGTGCCTTGGTCCTTCTGTCAGCAAACATATGCATCACCTGAGTATAGCGCAGGGTCTCCCACTCGATGCACTCATCCTTATCGACGATCGTGCATTCCGCCATTCGCAACTCTGATATCTTTATCCACAGCCCAAGCATCATCGTCGCCTGTAAAAAAGTCCGCTCGAGAATCAAGTGAATGAATCGGCCCCGATAGGCCAGTGAAGTAAGTATTCGAATATAATCGAAAGAGAGGAGAATGTAGAAAAATACTATTAGCGTTTAAACATCTTCATTAACAAGATCTCCAAGAGGGAGATCTCGATTCGTTCACGTAACTCACAGATGAGAGACAAGAGCGAGAGCGAGAATAACGAGCGATGCGATCCCATCGCGCACCGTGAGGTTAATTCTCGGCCTCGGCTCGACCACAAGTCTCTCGAGTCGGCTATGTTAGATTTTACAATGCTTACCCCGCTCGACATGATCGATCGTGGGTGTCGTAAAGTGCTATAAATACCCCCGTCCCCGCGTTGCTAGGTCGATGCCGTAAACGATAAAAGTTACTCGAGGGGAAGGCAGCATTTTGGATCTGTTTGCGAGAATTTAAGGAAAGTAATCAGTCGCAACGTTCTTGCAGAGCCGATGGATGAGAAAGGTGAATCGACGCTTGGAGCACCTCTAAGGAACGCCAGTAAGGAACGAAAGGATGAGACTGCTGAGTTTATTATAGAAAGGTAGTTTCTTGCCGTGGGGGTTAGATAACCCTGTCTAGCTTGGCTTGAGGCACAACGTGCGTCGTAGCCCGCAGCGGCTTCGACTTGCGTGCACGAGTGCGAGTGGTCACGAGAATTTAGGCCACGAGATCTAATAACCCCAGGAAATTGTAGGCGGTGAAAATGGGAGGTGAGAATAGTTTCGTTCTGCCACAAAGATCGATATCATTAACCATCAGGAACGCGTGTAGATAACAGCTATGGAGTCCGACACTCGCCTTGATTAAAGAACAGGATATATGTTTGTATAGGGGAAAAAACAATTTTTAGCAGCTGCGATGAAAACGTGTAAGAAAAAAAGCCTTAAGCATTCCAAACGGTCGTGAAAGGCGACTCTTGCGGTAATCCAGTCGCAGCCGCGTGCGCATCGGAAGAGATGATCGTACTTGGTCAGATATGGAGAACAATTGCTGTGGGAAGTCTGTCTTTTGTCGAAGTAAAACGACTGCTTTCCTTCCAAATCGCATCGATCCATAAATCTGGTGGAGTCCCCGCAGCCTACGGAGCCATCATAATTTCTAAAGAAAACGAGGATCCATCGCCATTTTATGCATGGCAAGAGGTCACTGACATCAAGGCACCACACAAGGATTGGGCGGAGAGAGGCTGCGGAAAATTTGACAGCGGCCTAACACATTATTCGGTGGAGTACAGGCAAACAGTCAGCGTTGGTTCCCAAAGGAGGACAAGTTCTTCACCAGTTTTTACGCAACAGTTGGTGTCTATTTTGACTGTGGTGGGATCTTCAGGGTCGTCAAGTTACGGCAGCGCAAGACTTATCCCAACTCAGTAGTATTTCGAGAGATCAAGGATTCAATGCTTACCTCGTTGTCCTTATCTTGATAAAACTCATGTGACCTGGGTGAGCACTGTGTAAAGTTGAAACACATAGTGGCGATGCGTTAAAATGACTGTAAAATGCTGGTTGATAAGTCACACGACCAGGGAAAGCAATTAAAGATAAAATTGGGAAGTAAGCAGGCCGCCGAGCTGCATTTCCCTCTGGCAGGGGAACGGAATCGTATCATAATTCGATTACGACCTGGCAAATGCAGTGAGAAGTGGTGCCTTGCTCTAGATCTTGATATAGTGGAAGTACTTGACATCTCACTGTCACCGTTGTATAGTGGAGGAGAAAGAGAATGTGTATAGTCTTCTGACGTCGATTTCACCTTTCGTCAAAAAGTCAATTGGCCAATTAGGATGCAAGGCGGTAGAATAGGCGAAAGTCACATCTGTGAGCGGCTTCATTCTTGTCGGTGTTGGGAAGAAGCCCAGTGAGGGACATCTGCAGGCTTCGACCAGCAGGTTATTTGTGATGGCATTTGATCGGGGGCAAAACCATTGACTTACCGAGCTTCTGTATCTGAAAAAAAAACCAATGCAAAACAAGGCTCGGGGCTAAGTAGTATGACAGCCGTCATTGGTCGAATGTCGAGAGATTTACCAAAAAGCCGCTGAATCACTGGTCAATTAGGGATTGACTGGACAAAAAAGTCGTGCGAAGGCGAAGCAGTTTCAGCACCAATCCACGGCAACGTTGGTTGCAAGATAAGTAGTAAACCGCCCGCAGTTCCGTGCCTACTAACCCTTTCGATCTGAAGCGTGGTATCAATCTAAAAAAATATCGTACGAAAGCCTCTATCATTTTGCGAAAAATTTCAGTAGACGCAGACTCTCTGGAGAAAAAAGGCGGTTCAGTAGAGATAGAAAAGAGGGATGAACGTGACCGTAACTTTCGTGACTGGACGGGAGAGGCATGTGACCTCAACGTCTCTTTCCCTCGACCGTGGTATTGCACTTAAATTTCATTCAAATCACTGTGTTGCGGCTTGCCCACATCTTTTCTCTCCGGTGGCGGATTTTTAGACTGCGTGGGCGTTCTACGGATTCTTGGTTAGTGTTTTCTCAGGCCCGAACTTCTCCTTTCGACCGTGTTTTTCGCTCCGACATATATCGTAAGTCTTTTCCATGCTCACAGCTGTTTCCTTACTTTGGTTGTCAGATCTCAAAGCTCATTCTGCCCCGTATAACTCCAAAAAAGGTCTCATCTCTTCCACGCGTGAGTCTCACGATGCTCTTGCTTTAAAGGATCTTCAGAATAGTTGCCCTCACCCCGCTGCCGAGGGTCATTCTCCTCACAGTTGGGAAGCGAGGCTCGCTTTCATTCTATCCTCATGCATATTGAAATGTCCCCATCTCACTTTGCTTATTCCTCATATTACTCTCCTGATCCACAACATTTCTCAGCCTTGACCTATCCTGAACTCATTCATCTTCCCCCCGACCAGGACTACTCAGATTATACAATGCCGCACCAGGATCAGTCTACTTCTCACTCAATGCACCCACCGACGTCGTCTTCAATTCCAATCGATCCATCACTTGGTCTCTATCCGCCATATTACTCCAACTACCAACAACCTCCGCACCATCTCCCGCACCATCTATCTTTGCTTCCCAACTATTCCTCTCCATCATCTCAAGGCTCGGATACTATTGGAACTCCACCAACGGAGCATGTCTATCCTTCGTCATCAAACAGTAAAAGGCCCTCCTCGTCGCTATCAAACCATACTATGAGTGCCAGCAGAAAGAAAGCGCGGAAGGACGACGAATCAGATCAGGGTCACAGCCCATCAGCTGAGAAAGAGGAAACCAAGGCCAAGCCTACTAGGGGGTCACGGTCAATGCTGCTCTTATCTATTTTTGACAACCTTATCTCACACGTTTCCATCAGTGCATGTACTGTTTGCAGGCGCTTGAAGATGAAGTGCGTTGGCGCCGAGCAGGGTCCTCCGTGCAAGCGCTGCTTGTCCGGAAACCATGAGTGTATATTTGAAGAATCCAATCGCGGGAAGCGTTCTTCGAAGTGATTTTGATCGCCCTCTTTACCTGATCACTACTTATTTGCTCTCCAGGAAACATGAACTGTTGACAAGGTCGATCCGTAGGGTTGAGCGAACCCTGGAGACTGTTTTGCGCTCGATTGGTAACCCCAGTATTGAATCTGGCATGGTTTCAAGGTCCCCTTCACCCTCGGCACAGACGACAAACACCCAAGCGTTGATGGCTGCCTCGCCGTCGCCGCCTCCTCAGACCTCTTTCCCACCTCAGCATCAGCAACCTTCAGGCTCGCCCAAACTGCATTCCCTTCCCGATAATTCATTGAATCCCTTAGGATTGCTCGCCGAAGCTAGTCTTGCCAACCGCAGAGCACAGGCGTATCCGAGCGGCATGGTTGCGAGGGGATCAGATCCCGGTGAAAACCCAAAGATGGGCGTTGCAAGCGACAATTACTTCAAACCTGGCCCGATGACGATCTTGCCGCTTCGACGACTGTATATTGAGCGTCAAGTACAACCCGAAATGCTTAGTTTCGTAACAACTGCCGAAGTAGTTGCATTATTCGACATGTGAGTATCGTATCTTCATCGCAGTTGACCTTGCTCAATTTTCTTCGTCTTGCCTCAGTTACTTTGATCACATCAACGTAAGTGTAGCTGTTTTGCGACGAAACTCCCCTCATTTCGTCTGCGCAGATGCATTGTAGCCTTCTTGATCGAAACTTCCACACTCCAGCACTGGTTTGCTCTCGCTCACCTTTCCTCCTAACGACCAGTAAGCAGTTTCTCCTTTTCTTCATCCTTAGTATCTCCTGACCTAGGTGCAGTTTGTTCCATTGCGAGCAAATTCTACACTGAAAAACCGGATTTACATCCTCGACTCACTGAGCTGGCCAAAAAGCTCGCATTCAGCGTTCCCGCGAGAGGCTACAAGTCGCTTGAAATCGTGCAAGCATACCTGCTTCTTTCCTTATGGGGTTGCGGTGCTGTTGAACGGTACGAACAGGACAAGACGTGGCTTCTTTTGGGAATGGCCATAAGGTGGGGATTTTCTGGACTCCTGGTCTGGTAAAAGTCAACTCCCACCGACACCTATCATTTTTTCATCAGGATGGGGACCGATCTCAACTTACACCGAAAGACGGCTGTGATCAGTCAAGATACACCAGAAGGCAAAGCTCGTGACGTCGAGGTGCATAACCGGGAACGGACTTGGATTCTGTGCTTTTGTCTCGATCGAAGCTTTAGCGCCCAGATGGGAAAGCCAAATTCGATCAAGGAAGAGTGAGTCGACGAGTGCTGATCAGTACCACCATTTTAACCTTGCCTTAGTTGCATTATTCGCAATGCAACCAAATCGTGTCGCTCTCCAGTCGCAATTCCGTCAGATGTCTCTCTTGTAGGATATCTGGTATGTTGTCTGCTCTGGTCGATCGTCGCAAATACTTAAGGGCTTCTTTTAGGAATTGCAGCGGATCCTTTCGAGAAGCCTCGATTTCTTGTACAGCGGCACAGATTCCCCCTCTGGCCTGCAAATTAATTGTGATTACTTGCTCATTATCAAGACCTTCGAGACCCAAGTTTTGGCTTGGAGACAGCAATGGGTTACGGAGCGGTTCGCCAACGGTTCGTATGCCTGCCTTCATCTCACGCCCTACTCTCACGCAATCTGCACTACAGGAGGAGACGGAAGCAGAGCAACGGAGTACAAAAAGAAGATTTCTCAATTCTACTTCAACTATGCGATGCTTGTTCTGAATTCTTTTGGCTTGCAAGACGCACTAGACCGCTCGCCCTTGAATATTGGACATTTCTTCGCTCGTGTCCACTCGTCTGCAATGGCGTGCGCCACCATCGTCCGCGATGAGCTTGGGCCTAGTGGCTTCATGAAGTTCTCGCCAGATTCGCATTTTGTTCAGACGTCTTATGCTGTCTTGAGTTTGTTGAAGGTATATTCCCCGTTGATCCTTGATATGGGTTATTGCTCATTGACAAAATAAGTTGGTAAGACCCGAATTTCAAGCTTTCCTTGATAACGAGAGGAACACCTTGACACTGGTCAACGAAGTCGCCGATGTACTTGACAACATCGCGGCCAACCCTCTCCACACACCCGCCCTTTACAGTGGCTTCCTTCGCGCTCTCATTTCTGCCAAGCTGGACAACTCTGCTTCTGCGTCCACCAACAGCGACGAAAAACAATCTTCTCAAGTACAGCCGCAGTTCCAACAGTTGGATCACGATCGGGGGAACCCGATTCGTGGTGACCTTCCTGCTTATTCGTCGAGCTACGGGCAGGATGCTTCACTTCTCCTGAACGAGTTCCAGTTCGACAGCGAAATGGGTCCTGTTGCGGACATATCCACATTCCCGCCAACAATGGCTCCCAATCCTTCGGAAGATATGATGAACGGTCTTACCATGGAAAATATTCTGAGTAGCGGCTTCTGGGACAGCATGCTCGTTCCAGGTAAGCCATGATTCCTCTTCATTGCACTACTTTCGATTTTCATTCTACTTTGATTTAGGGTATAATAGCATGGACGGCCTCAGTGGGGGCTTCGTATTTGGCGCCGGTGGCAGTGGTTTGATTACCCCACGCTTCGGGGCATCCCCTGCGCAGTCAGGCACGAACACTCCTGCCAGAGGAGGCGGGGCGGGTGCGCTGACACAAAATATCATCAATGCTGCATTCAATAGCATGCAGAATAACGTCAAAATAGATACATAATTGCAATTAGAAGTTCTCCCCCACTGTAGTTGTATATCCATGCCATTGGCTCGCCCTTTTTTCCCTATATTAGTTGTGATGTATCCTACTTATTGCGTATAGGTTATCTCTGCTGTATTGGAACCCCAAAATTCGTCTTGGCGACAATCACTTCGGATCTACTATAATTTATGGGCTGCGCATATACGGAAATCTGATTCTCTATGATTCAACTGAGGCCACGATCAGCCTCAGTATCTTGGACACGTTCATGTCCGAACGGAGTTTAGGGGTTTCACAAGACCTTGCTCGAAAATCATCATCACATTGGCGCCATTCACTTTTGGACATTTCGAGTGGCATTCAATGATTCATTACACTGACCAGTGCGCCCTTAGACCTGGGATGGACACGTAGATTACTTACTTACGTAGATGACTACTTCATAGCTACTCCGGCTCAGGGTCCGCTGCTCCTCGATATCAAGCAGGGGCTTTCCAGGGGGATGGAAAACGGAGTTGCGATCCGAGATCGATGGATTTCCTTTGAGTCCGCAACGGTGAGTGGGTGGCTTCGCAATAATACTATCCGATGTGCTATTTGGAGCAGAATTAAGCAGATATTGCGGGTTGAACAGTAGAGGACTGCGGTGGTAGGGAGTTGAAACATGTATTCTCCGCCCCTCAAGCCACAGTGGCCGACTGTTGAAGTCCGACGTAAACAAACACAGCCAAATGCCGGTCAATGTCTTGCACAGCTTGTAACTCACACCTTTCACCTGTTCTTCACCACTGGCAGCACATCTTATCAAGTACTATTGCTCCTAGAATCGTATGCGTTTGATTAGGCTTGATCGGACTCGTATGGTTTTAATTCTGGCCCTCGGGGAAACGTCATTTCTTGTCATAACTCCAATACCCAAGACCCTATAGTCCGGATCCCCAAATACATAACGAAAATCTACGTTGCCACTTTGCGTCACTTGCAAACGTCGTCGTCACCAATAGCTTGGGCTCAAACAACCTATTTCAATGCTTTTGAGTTTATCTGACATTGTTTCGCTGGGATCACGGAGTCGTCGTCATAATGTTCATTTCAAAACTCCAGATTATGACAGGATACACTACCTGCTTCATTTCCTTCATCTTCGCCAGTGACAATTTACCCTGGTTACAAAAATGGTTCTCGGCGTAGTGCTCCCCTGATACACTAAAGCCACGAGTCCTTTCGACGCTTATGGTTGCTCCACCTCTTTGAGTCGCCAGGCTGGTACACTTCTCAAGGTCTTACAGAGCTTCCCGTCGTGTATTGCCGTCGTGTATTCATTTTAAGGATAACAGTTCAACCTGCATTCAGCTGACGCGAACTCGTGATCAGGAAGAGCGCCCACCACGCGTAAGAACCAGCTTCCCCATTGTTCAAACCTTGTCACCCGTCCTTGTTGCACTGAAGTACGTCAACCCCCTTTTTTGTGCTGACTGCTTGGGAGGAACAAGTTGTATATGAAATCCGACCCTACATTTTGTTGTGTTATGTTGAAGTGTTTGTGAGCGTTTCCAACAATTTTAAATAGTTTATTCTTCGCAATTCCGTTGGCAATGACTCGTATATTGACCAGGCACATCTACAGCTCTCGCAATGAAGGCGGAAGGCAGAATCTATCTGGGCTATGACTGGGTAGAGGGCTGCGGGATCCCACGGCTGGCTTCCTTCGGCCCAAGGTTGCCTGCCTTGAGGTCAACACGTTCTGATCTTATCCAAGTATACTCTTGAACGATTATCTGGCGTACCCCTGGTGATTCGGCATCCTGCTAATTTTAAGGTTGCAAGCTGTTGCAAGAGGCGAACGACCAACCCCGCAAAGTCCTCCGGCTGTTGATTCCAGGCGCTTCTTTCTTCACCACTATAAAGCTGGGTCCCAGGATCTCGCACTTTCCAACCTTTGCCGCTTCCACTCCGCTCTCTTGATCGCACACAGTACGAACTGTCTGAGTTAGACGTTAAGTCTTTGTGATGACCGAGTATACTGCATCGTCGCAAGCTCTTCGCCAGTATATGACCTCCCGCGAGAGGACTGCTTATTGGGTCAAATCTCATGAGCCAGAGAATGCGTTCTATTCGCCGTCGGCTCCTCCTACAGTCATAGATGACTATCTACCTCCCTCCTCACCACCTTCAGAAGTGGGAAGCGTTCGATCCGTTCCCCCGAAAATGTTTCTCCGGTATAACGACGGCCGACCAGACCAACCGATTCCTTACTCCAGTAAGACACCTGGTGGCATGACCAGTTCCAATGGATCAGGACGTCAAATATCGCAGCCTCCTCACTCACAACGGACGAGGTCGGGTTCTCAGGGAACCTCTCCACTTGGTCGATCCCATCCCCACCGTCCCGACGACCGTCCGCGCCCTCCACCATTGAAACCGGAAGAGATCCGCATTTTACCGTCTCAGGGTGAAGTTTTTACTTCCCCAACTTCTTCCTCGCGCCATACTCGGTCAAAATCTCTTCCACGAACTACAGCTGAGCTCCGCCCCTCAGCGTATGCTCTAGACGTCCCTCAGGTACCTTTCTTCCCTCCGCCATCTCACCGTTCCCCAACTCCCTACCAAACTCCACCACATTCAGCCGGCGCCGTACCCGGACAGCAGATTAGCTTTGCACAACCTCCCCTGAGGCATCAACAGCCAGGGAGGCACAGCAATTCGAGGCAACCACCTGCTATTATTTACGCACCTTCGCATCACGCAAATCGATCCCATTATGCTCCTCCAGCCATTCTTCACCACCCGCCTCAAATGGGTCCGAACGGCATGATTTACAGCCATTCAGCACCCGTGGGATCCGCGCAATATCCGCCTGCTGTCGCGACACCTTATCCGTCGGCTGGTGGATCAGCGCATCACCACTCCTCTTCGTTGCACGACGTACGCCGCGGGCGGGAGTTCTATCGCGAACGGGGTCGTGCTGCTTTTCAAGGAACTGCAACTAGGATTATTAGTCCTTCAGCGTCATCCACATCTCTAGCGGATACTCATCATTCTGGAAGCACCTACTACGTTCTTCCAGCCCATCATGGCCAAAAAGTACACGTTATTGTAAGTCGTTCACGGCACTAACATCTAACCGTTCATCCTAACAGTACATCCTTGATAGGCACCCAGCCGTGAGCAATCTGTTGACACAGCAACATCGACAACGGCTACATCACCGTATGCACAGAGCTTCGGAAAAAAACCATTTTTCCAGCGACTGTTCAGTTTTGGCGGAAAGTTCTCATCCGGGGGCTCTTCGAAAGCCGCTCCCACTGGTGGCAGGAAACTTCATCGCCGACATTCTACTGGCCCTTCTGCTCGCCCCAGGGTAGTTGCGTAGGGCTGGAAAAGTTCGGACATGGACAAGAAGACACGAGCGTAAAGACAAAAGGGTTGGACTACGTCCTCAACCTACTTATCTCTCTGTACACATATCCCTGCTTAATTTCACTTCATCGATGGTTATCGATTCGAACCGCATCACCGCTATAGCTTCCTCTGTCCCCCTCTCTGCCAGTTTTTTTAACTCATGGTATCTGTGTCCTTATCCTCTTGGGTTGCTGACCGTAGGCCAATTATAGAATCCGTTTCTGCCTGCACTGAAGACGTTTACCCGATCTCTCTGTCTGGCCCAATTTGGAAGAAGGTCCCCGTAAACAAGATATAAACCGTCGCAACGTGGCGATATCGAACCTCGAGATCATGGGATGATTGTGATAATTTCTTATCGTGGAATCGACCTCCGCCACAATTTGGCCAGGCTTGACCCAGCCTAACGAACAGAACAAAAGTACGACCGGTGACTCTGGTTGTAACTCGTGAGCAGCGGAACTTTTTCGAGGTGACAGGAATCCCAACCAAAGATTCGACAGGACGATGATAATTTCCTTCGCCACTGCCTCTAGAAATACCGCATCTCGACTTGAACATGGTATTACTTAAATATTACCTACTTAAAGTTGCAGAAGTTACCTTCCCTATTTTTACAAGGCTGGCCAACCTATTATTCTTGCCTTGTAAAATCACAACTTTCAGTTACGCGGACACTCCGACTCCGAGGAGTGCGCGAGGTGAAAGAAAAAAGGAAGCAATTGAGATAAAAGGCATTATGTATGCTTGAAGTCGAACGCTAATACGGTATATTTTGGCTATATTATTGCAGCTTTTTCGTATGAATTGGACGCGTCCGAGTCGCGTGATGACGCGCCCAGACGCGCTTCCCTGACAGCTAGTAGTATGCCTTGTATTTGGCCTTCAACCTCACCATCATCGCCACCCACATTCACCGGCATGATTTCACCTCGAACAAAGACACTATCATTAGGTGCCATTGACCAACGAGTCGCTGACATCTCGCAGCAGCTAGTCAAATCGGTTGGCCCTTCCGAAGCGGGAGAGTTGATCTCCGAACCTCGAGGAAGACAGAGAGCGAGCACGACTGCAATGCTACCTGCGAAGACGAGTTCCTTCGGGAATCAAGTAGCTTCTTCGTCAAAACCCGTGCTTCAATTGTTGGAGACAGCATTCCCAACCCTCGACAGTTCGTCTACATTTTTTCCCATCTCCTCCCCCACTCTCACCGTGATATTTATTACAGAAGGCAAAGAAAAACAGACTTACAATGTCCAGCCTTGGAGTGGTTCTGACTTGTCGTCATTGTCGTCGTCGTCGTCGTCGCCCACAGAAAACAAGAGCACCCACACACCCTCTCCAATTTTGAAACGGGAGTCGTTAAGCTTCCAGGAACCCGCTAAGTTGGCGGAGAAACTCGAGTTGCAGGTTGGGAGTGGCAGCAGAAGAGAATGGAGTGTCGATGGGCTAGGAGTTTATGTATGGGTCTTACTTGAGACGAAGTCCTGGAAAGTTGTCGAGGACCAAGATACTGTCGACGAGACGATCTGGTGGCCAGGACTGGTGTGTAGTGCTTGGTTTCAACTTGCACTTGTCTGACATCGCCCTCTTCCTGTTTTAAGCTCGAAAAACCGACCAGGGCAAAAGCACTCAAAGTCAAACTCTTTGGCAACTCCTCTAAGCAAGTCAAGGTCAAGAAGCCGCATGCAACAAATATACTATCAAGACTTGACTCTCAGGGCATTCACCGCTTCACAAGCTATGAATCCTCCCGGTCATCGACAGCTTTGGAAAGCCTCCTGGCATCTCCCAGGAAAAAACCGAAGTTGGGAAAACACGAGAAGATCAGGGATTTATGGGAATGCGCAGCGCATGAAATGAGGCAGCACGCAGAGGAAGATGCTGGGAGCGACCATTTACCGGACGTTGCTGAAGCGTTCGTCTTTACCCCCTTCTCCACGTTGGCAGACGTTGGCAGCAAGAATCCACCTGAGAAAAGTAGGAAAGGGAAGAGGAGACGTCAGTCAGGTTCTGAATCGGAACCACAAGCGACATTGGGGTCGGAGGAGGAGGGTGATCCTCCTCCATGGGACGGGAACATGAACATACCAGGGGAGCTTGTTTTGGGGAGAGAGAAAGAGCTATCTGACTACTGGCCAGCGAAGATATTGGGTTATCTCCCTCCCATCAAGAGGAAACGAAAAGAGGGGCTATACAAGGTTGAATGGGTTGACGGAACTCAGGGCGAAATTCCACGACGATGGTTCTACTGCTTTGAAGAGAACCAATTCGGTGATTGTAAAGTATGTTTTTAGTCTCGGGTCGGTTTCCCCCGTAGAACTTATCTTCTTTTTTATTAATAGCTCGGGGCTTTAGAACATCTTTACCCAGACCAAGTCAATGACGAGGCTGCGGAGGAGCCTCTCTCGCGGTCGTCAAGTCCCATTCCATCCGACACACCTCCACTCGACTTTGGCCCAAGTGGCATGTCCATTCGACAACAGTTCGCTTGCACCAAGAACGTCCTTATCGCGATCTTGAACGAGAATTACCCTCCTGCGAGGGAGAAACATGACTTATTTCTCCTGAAGGACCCGAAAGCCAGAAGAAGGTTGCAGGATTCGGCATCCAGAAGGGGGATGTTAGATGGTCGTAGTGTGAACCTCCTTCAAAGGTATCTTAGCAGATGGTGTCTGAGAGATGAAGGACGGGCGGCCAAGCCAGATGACGGCGCCTTGGACATTTTTCCTGAGGCTGACGTTGTCACAGAACGAACAACGGCGAGCCAAGAGGTCAATGGGCAACTTCTAGTTGCGTTGGATGACGATATGCACAGTGGTTTCGACTCACCGACGTCAAAAGAATCGCACATGTTTCCCCCTCCTCGAGATTCTTCATTCAGTCCTTCTGAAGTTCCCGACGTGCGTACTTCGCACTTTCTTAAGGTACTCGGCAAGGACTAATAGCAGCTTTCTTTTAGCGAGATTCTTCTCCACTACTTTCAGAGCCGTCACTTGTGGGTTACAAAGTTGTTTCGTGGCAAATCTCACGATTACTCTACAGGCCTTAGGAACCTCTCTGTCGGGGGCCAGTTCAGCACCTTCTGTGTCGGCCACCGAGGTATTTCAAAGCTAATCTTGTTCCTTTGTGAATCTTATCGCTCCCTAGCCCGAAACTAATTGCGATACTGTGGATCATTCAATGGCTGACGTAGATGACCTTACTAATGAGCGTCAGCGAGGTTGCGAGAGATATGAGGCACTCGACGAGAAAGACAGAGTCCAGGTGAGGATTCAATTGCCCACCTGCTTCATCCTTGGTTTACATCTACATTTCATAGTATTGTGTCGATGTTCTTCTTCCCGAAGCTATTCGTCAAATTCTCCTTTGGCGCTCTGGAGATCGCAAATCCATAGCTCTCTTATCGGAAGACGAAGAAATGGAGTTGTATGAGAAAGGTGAAAATCTGTTGGAGGAGAGAGATTGGGTGACGGATGTATTGATACTTCGAAAAAAGAGGAAGGAGCAGAATGAGAAAGAGGAGGAGAGGGAAAGGACTAAGGAAATGGCTAGAGCAGAGGCGAATGGGAAGGTGGTGAGGCCTAAAAGAAGAGTGGGCAGACCTTCCTACGCCGACTGAAAAATATCTATGGCCACGCACGGAACAGGCCAGGACTACAGACTACTCAGCAATGTATTCTACGCTGATACACACACACTATCTGCCCGTTTGTTTTGAAAGTTTGAGATTCGCGATTTGAGCAGTCCAGTGGTATTAAATCTTTGGATTTAATACACGACATTGAAGGCCAAGCCCGAGCATCGCAGAAGCACAGGAATTCAGATGGGTCTTCCACTGCCGGCGGCCAGTACTAGGATGGTTCCAAGACGGTTCTGAATTTAACGTGAAGCCGCTCGTCATGATTACTTCGCCTTGAAAGTTTTGGCCGGAGTTCAGCATCAGTTGTTGCGGCAGTGGAAAGTACACCTGACAATTGAGTACATCGAAAAAAAAATTGATTTCTTCAGCCATCTGGATTTTGAGCTTGTTCTGAGCGCCAGGGATTTCCTAGGAGGGTATGTTTTGATCCACGTGGTAGGCCAGCTTTAGCCTAGTACTAAGTACTCCCTGCAACAAGATTGGACTGAAACTCAGGAGCCGTCTGTGTTCATTCTTGTCCCTGTTGTTCACGGCCAGCTCGAGTTCTTGGCGAGCATAATGCCCCCACCAAACGCGGCCCACTCATGGCTAGCAGGTCGCCACTTTGGTATCGTTATTGACGCCGGCTCGTCAGGTTCGAGGTTGCAGATTTACAGCTGGAAGGACCCTCGGACTATCACTTTGGAGAAGGGGGACCCTCTTGCGTACACCCTGCCAAAGGTGGAGAAGGGTACTCAGGACGAGGACCAGTGGGTGAGCAAGGTAGAGCCTGGTACGTCCCTATCTACTCAACTGTCAACGTGTTCGATACGAAATAATCTCTACAGGTCTTTCATCGCTCGCAGATAACCCTGAAAGTGCGGGCGCGTACTTGCGCCCTCTGCTAAGCCATGCGCGAGACCACATCCCCCCATCTCTTCAAAAAGAGACGCCGCTCTTCCTGCTCGCAACCGCTGGCATGCGTCTATTGTCCCCAACTAAACAGGCTGAGATTTTGAAAGAGACGTGTCGTTTCCTTATCACGCATTCGAACTTCAAAATCGATGGCCCGTCTGCAGTTGGGCCCTGTGGTTCCAGTGTCCGGATAATTACTGGAGAAGAGGAGGGTCTTTTCGGTTGGATAGCTGTCAATTACTTGATGGACGGGTTCACGGGGTCAAGCAAGGAGCGGACGACATATGGGTTCTTGGATATGGGAGGGGCTTCAACTCAAATTGCATTTGAACCCAGTCTAGCTCATCAAGGAAACACTAAGAACCTTATCGACGTGCGGCTTCGCCTTCTTGGTGGAGATGAAATCCGTCATAAAGTTTACGTGACGACCTGGTTGGGATATGGCACCAACCAAGCCAGGGAACGATATGTCGGGAAGGTGGTGACGGAGTTCGAAGCAAGTCGCGGCGAAGAAAACGATAACGATGTCGTACCTGACCCTTGTCTTCCAAGAGGTCTTGAATTGACAGAATCTCCAGTTCACGCGTCAAGACCTGCGTCATCGCATTTAAGTGCGACACATCGATTACGAGGGACAGGTTCTTTTGAGCAGTGTGTTCAAAACGCTTCGTCATTGCTCAACAAAAACGCCCCATGTCCGGATTCACCATGCCTCATGAACGGCGTACATGTCCCCCCAATTGACTTTTCCGTGTCCCACTTCATTGGGGTTTCAGAATACTGGTACTCTTCGGAACATATCTTTGGTCTGGGAGGTGCATACGACTTTGTTCAGTACGAGCGCGCCGCCTCTAAGTTTTGCTCAAGAGACTGGCCGGGAATTTTGAAGGAGCACGAGGAGTCTCGCGTGCGCCATCGTCTGGGCGGTGATGGCGAGGTGGAGGTGGACGGGAAGATTGTTGTAGCCGGCCAGTGGGGACCAAACGTGGAATTACCTCGTCTACAGATGCAATGTTTCAAGGCAGCTTGGATCGCCAATGTTCTTCATGAGGGCATTGGAATGCCGCGAATCGTGGATCCAGGAGGGAACTCGACGACTGACGCGGATAAAGTGGTGGAGGAGGCGGAAAAGAAGGGTCTGGGCAGACCCAGGCCAACCTTTCAGTCACTCGATACTGTTGGTGATATCGCTATCAGCTGGACCCTTGGGAAAATGGTACTCGAGGCGAGTAAAGAGGTTCGTCCTCTCGTGAAAACAGCAAAGCCAATCGTGGATCCCATTGACGATATTGAGGACATCGAAGACTCTCCGATACAACCCATCCGACCTTTCTTCTCTTTGGACGCACTTGAAGATAAGATTACTCCACACCTACCTTCCTCGCTTTCTAGGTCATCTCTTGGGTTCTCTCCCGTGCTATTCTTGCTCTACGTCGCCATCATATGCCTATTGATACTTCTTTGCCCAATCCGGCGACGCAGGCGTTTGTTCTGCCTCCGCTCGGTGCGTTCCGCTGTAAAACGCGATACGTACAACTTGAGCGATGCACTGGAAGAAGGCAAAGCGAACGGTTCTACTCCTGGGTCTCCATCTTTGTCCAGCCAAAAATGGATCCATCCTCTTCGTCGCATCTTCTTCTTTTCCCAGTCAAAGCAACATTCCGGTCTATCGGTCTCTACGTCAAATAATACTGCCCTGCGACATATGACGAATGGACATGCCCGTGCCTCTCCGACAAGGTCATATTCAATGCCTAACGACTTCTTATCCACGGCGAGCTCGACTCAGTATTTACATGGTTCACGTTCCCCTTCCCCTGTTCCTGGTTTTGCAGACGATACTATTGCGAGTAGCCAGTCGTCAATCATGTCTTCACGATCAAGAAACGCATCTCAAATGAGTCTTGCAAGCCTCGCTTCTCGCCAAAACGTCATATCACGATCATTATCTGGGAAAGGTCAGCTTCAGTAACCTGCTGCGGCATGTCATTAGACCTTGCTGTCGCCCTGCCCCCATCTTCACATTACTTACCGTTCAATGTTTCGTTGAACCCCAGACACTGGGCACCACCAATTGGTGATACAAGGACACGCCGTTGAATTGGAGGGATAGGTCGTGGTTTGGAGGGGCATGTTGTTGAGGATAGGCTAAGTAGATCACCACTGCCTCTCTTCCAGTAGTAGATGTAGAAACATGGACATTTACCGATACCGATCATGTGATTCCAAGGTATTGATCTCTCATGTCGATTGACTTAGAATGGTGCAAGCTCGACTCATCGCTGGCGACGTACCTCGTTGAAGTTCTAAACAGGCAGCTTGGAAACGCCGAAAGACCGTCGTTCATAGGACCAGTCGAAGTCACTTCGCTAGACTTTGGCTCTGCATCTCCAGACGTTGAGCTCGTCGATCTGCGCGATATTTATCGCGACTTTCTCGAAGACGATGAAGAGGGCTCCGACAGGGGCCCTGTTAAAGTAACTGAGGGCGCAGAGGACGAGGAAGGATTTGAATGGGTGTCAAGAAGAGCGGTGGGCAGGGAGGAAGCCCTCGCATACCAGCACCTTCCACCGCACGTACGCTACGGCCGAGGCGGGCCCACAGATATGTTTGCATCCATGCCGTCAATACATTCACCTGCGCCCGCATTCTCAGACGCATGGAACCCCGGTGCGAGTATGCCCAATTTCGCTGATTTCAGGCCACCATTACGGCCCAATGTCCCCACCCCAATGTTCCGGAGTCCTACACCGTCTACGCCGTTTACTGCGGGCCCGGTTCACCGCAGCAGCAGCAGCAGCGGCGAATACGATCGGGGTGCGTCTATTCCAGCTACGAACGTTACATCCTCCCTCGATACCCGATCTGACCAGCCCGACGATCAGAAAGCCCCCCTCCTGCCACCACCCCCTGCGGAAAACCCGCATCCTAACCTCCAGCTTCACTTGCACGTCAATTGGCATTCAAATCTTCGGATTACGTTGACTACCTCGCTTCTCATCAACTACCCCTCCCCGATGTTCATGTCTTTGCCGATAAAACTATCCGTAACTGGACTCATTTTCATCGGCGAATTAGCGGTTGCTTATGAGGGCGAACGTCGACGCGTTCACCTTTGCATTCTTGATGATCTGGACCCGTATGGCCCAGCTGGTGACCGTGCAAAACGTGATTCTGCAAGCAACACTCCCCCAGAACCGGACGACGAATCCCCGCCATCAGACATCCCTACGCGCCCCCCTAAACCGTTACCGGTAGGACAGCGACTATTGCCGTCTATTTATATCGAAAGCGAGATAGGTCAAGCGGACAAGCATGTGCTGAAAAACGTTACACGCGTGGAACGATTCATCCAGGATGTCATTCGCAAGACTGTCGAAGAGGAACTGGTCTTTCCCAACTTTCATACGATCGTCATGGCTGATTCATAACACCCTTCCTCATGCAAAACCAGTCGTGTGAGCCTCCACTCGGTGAATGTACAACCCTCCAGATCCAATTAAGATATAAAACTTACATACATTGCACTATAATCTATCTATCATGTAGAACTTCATAACAAAGACTTGCTCATGTACGGCCCATCTAACTCATATCCTAGCTTTCTGTAGTAATCGCGTGTCCCAACACCTATTCGCAACAACGTTAGCAATCGCGTACGGGGAAAGGACAGCTGTCGCTTACCTGAGATCACAGCCAACTTGATACTCCCATGCTCCTCTCTCGCTATTCGTTCAGCTTCTTCCATTAACAATGTGCCGAAACCCTATCAAGTCAATTTGCGTTAATGGTAAATGGACAGCAGAAGGGACCGTAACCGACCTGATGTTGGAATTTGGTGGGGTCTCGACCATGCACAGGCACAGCGGTCCCGTAGACATGAAGTTCCCGCACAATGCTACACCCACCTGCGTCACCGTCCTTCTTCACCAGCTCCGGACGGAAGGTACCTTCATCCGAGCACTTTCTCAGTCGCAAAAGCCCAACAAGGATGTCCTTCTCTGGATCTTCATACGAAAGGAACGTTTCCCATCCTCCGTTCGCGGTGTAGTCTCGCCGGAGAAGTTCAACTGCTTCTGGACGGACCTTGTGATGTATCTCGTGGATCTATGAAGAAAGTGAGTTCAGCGCCGACAGGCAGACAGATGAGCAGGATGAAGCAAAAGCAGCGTGAGGGAAGGGTAAAAAAGTTGCCACGTACGCCAACTTCACGGAAGCGAACATCTCGACACACGGCACCAAAGTCCTTCATTCGATTCAAAGCCAATTCTCGCAGATTCCCAGAGTTTTCACAGCCGCTTGTCACCAAAGGCAAAGGAATATCACTGAAATCTCATCAGCATTGTCAAAAATAAAGACGGCAGCAGCACCGCACTGACCGCTGAACTCGATAAACCCTCGTCCATGGCGGAACAAGCGCCAGTATACGCGCAACTACATCCACCAAAACGTTCGGAGTATAATTCTTATACCTCCCGGTCCGCCAGAGCTCATAAAGCCCCGTACCTCGGATAACGAGTGTTGGATATATCTTCAATCCGTCACTTCTAAAGGCAGGGTTCTCAAAGTATTCCTTGAATTGCTCCAAGTCACGCTCAACGCCGACGTTCGGAAGGTCAGGCATCATATGCGCGACGACTTTGAAGCCAGCATCTTTGGCGAGGTGGAAGGATTCGGAAACTGCGCGTACTGTGTGGCCGCGGTTCGTATCGCGGGCCACGTCTTCGTAAACCGACTGCACCCCAATTTCGAGACGAGTGCAGCCGTATCGGAGCATTTGACTAGGATACAGATGAACGAGGATTCGCTTGGAAAAGCAGTTTAAAATCGTACCTAAGATGTGGTCGTAAACAGTAGTCCGGTCGTGTCTCGATGGTAATTCCAATAGCTTTCGATTTGCTCTGTTCGGAATACCTGTAGTGGGTCAACTGAGAACATACGGGCTGCGATGGTTCAACGTACCTAACAGCCTCATCTACATCCGTGCCTGTGAAACCAGAAAGTGCATTATGCAGTTGCGCAATAAACTTTCCACGATAGTCCTCTGGCATGCTCATGAATGTCCCTCCCATGACGATGAACTCAACCTTGTGGCAAATCAGTGAGGTGAATGGTATGGAGTGGACTAGCATATACCTTGTCAACGTTATGCCCCAGACTTTTCAACTGCTCAACCCTCCCTCGCGTTTGTTCGTAGGGGTCGTACCGCGCCCGAATGGCACGCATACTCGTCGGTTCGTATCCAGTATAGCTCTGCGTGCTGTAGTCAAAATCAGAGTCAGGTCCTCCAGGACAGTACCTAGCCGATAAATCAGCCAAACTCGTCGATATCATCCCAGAACAAAAAAATTACACGCATATATTCCCCGTCATCGCAATATGCGGACACCGATGTGGTTTGCACATCACGGCCACCACAGCTATCTATCTCATCGAGTCAGCTTCAAACCCTCTGAAGTTAAAATGACCTCACTCACCCCACTAGCGGTCCTGATAGGCCTCGCCTTCAACTTGGGCAACAATGCCTTCTTATACTCATCAGGAATGGCACTGATAATATCCACAAGCCTGGGTACACCCCCAAACACATATTTTTTGCTGATTCGTGAGCGGATCTCGTTAAGTGAGACCGACTCGTTGGCGTCGTGCGCTTTAATCAGTTCTGACGCAATTCCTGATGTTACGCGGAGGAGTTGTTCCGCCTGGGATGGACCTGCGTTTGTTGTTGGAGACGGATAAATGAGTGAGAATGACGAAAGTGACCGTCAATTTTTGTTCCCTGCACCATTGTTCGTGCTGCTTTTGATCAGACGTGTTGAGTGCCAGACTCGTTTATTGAGAGATTTCGGTCGGTCCTACTGACGCTGTTTATCGAGAACGGAATGTTCCACCCTTTTGTGGATGGCGTCTATGTGCAAGATGGGAAGGAGAAAGAGTCAAATACCATCACCCGATCACCGATCACAGTATCTTATCTTTCTCCTCAACGGCCCACTCTCGAGCTCAATTCCATACCCATAGCGTCTTCGGGAGAATCATCTGTGATACCTACCGATACCAATATACCAACTCTTGCATCTCAGGCAAACCTCCCACACCAGACCCGAGCCCGACAATCTCTGGCATCCTTGCTTTCACTCTTGCTTTCCAATTGCTTTCACAACAAATCTCTGGCATCTTTGCTTTCGCAACAAATCTCTGGCATCCTTGCTTTCACAACAAATCTTTGGCATCCTTGCTTTCACAACAACATTCCCTGTCGCAGCTGTTACCCAACCCAGCACACCTCATACCCATTTCTTTTCTCAGCTATGGACGTAGACGAATTTCTATCTGATCAGACCGACGAACACCAAGAAGAGCTGGATTTCGCTCAAAAAAGAAGCTACGCTGAGGAGGTCTATCGGGGAGTCTATACAGAGTTTTTCGCCTGGGAGCAAGAAGAGTGCCGTCGAACACTCATTAGTCTTCGAACAACGACTCCAAAAATCTTGCGATTACCTAGAGTCTCTACGTCTTACCACCCATCCCAGGTCACCATTGTAGAGGGCTCCGAGAAGTTCTACTTCGACGATCTTGTCGACGACAGCAACTCATTCCAGGCATCTTGCCTTACCATTAAAGCTGCTAAATGGAGCCCATGTCCAAGATACTTCAGCTGCACCCCAATATCACAGAATACTCAGCGAGACACGGTCCAGGACTGCACATTACCATTCGTGCCTTATGCAGATGATCCCAATTTCCCTGTTTTTGATTACCTCGAGAACTTTAGTGAGTTTGCTTGGCAGGAGGAATTCAAAGATCCAGACAGTAAGCAGATGCTTTATTTCAACTGGTTTTATTGACCTTTAAATGATGAAAAGTGGAAGAGATCCAAAGTGAAGCTGTACGGAGGTTGATCTTTGGGCCTCACAAGTTCACACTCCAAGACGTCGACGACCTCGGATTTTTCAGCCTGACCCGTGTCACAAACTCCTTTGGCTTGCTATGGGACACCACACAAAGGTCGGTATATTCCCAGAGGATTATTCATTGTAGTCACATATCTTCTTAGAGACTCATTAATCTGGCCTGGAGCTCAATTCTCTAATTTAGACCGTCTCCCAACAACATGGATCATCGATACCCCAGATATATTCTCAGTTATTTCAAAAGACATAAATACTTTTTGTCCCAATCTCAACTGCTTGCACACATTCTGTTCTGTGCATGGTGGAGTAAATTCGCCTACCCAAGATATAAACAGCTGATTTTTTTCATTTATATTTTATTTTTAGCGGGCAAGGCGGATGTTCCATACGTGATATGTGATGAGGCTTCGGGGGCTTATCAGCTTGCCACGATTGAACCTGCCAAAGCGGCAGAAACAAATGAGAGCCTGAAATTGTCAGAAGTTGAACCGTGTGGTGCACTCTGTTTTAAATTACAAGATTTCGACTCAGAGGAAAATTATCTTTTGGTATGCCACACTTCCATTATATATCTTCTAACATGTTCAAGTTTTCTAATTCTTCTCCTTAGGAATCTTCACCTTGGAGCAATCCTGATGATATAACAATGCTTGAGGGGATTCTCAAGCTCACTCCTAATACCATCCCATGTGATCTTGCTATTATTTGCAGGAAACCTTGCTTTGAGGTACATATAAACTACAATCCATCATGACAACTCTGATTTGGAGTGTGCCTTCTGATAGGTTTTCATATACCGTTCAAGATTATTACCGGATGAAAAAATTCTAGAAACCATAAGTTACAACTTTTCTCCCAGTCCAAGCGAAATCATCCTCCCAGAATTCGGTAAGGCACCGAAATTCATTGAATCTTCAACTTCTTATTTCTATCATGCAGTGAACATGTCGGTACCTGACGAGTCAGAGTCCAAACTAAAAATTTCTCTGTCAGTGGACTCAGCCGGGTCACCGCTGTATCCACACTAATTTCTAAATTTACCAAAGTCTTTCACCATGCCAGCACAAAGGTCCATGTCACGAAGCCTCTGATTGTCACTGTTACAAAGAGGCCCATCATTGCAGTCGCAATTGTCGGTGCAGCTTGGACTGTAGGCTTTCTCATTTTTCTTTTACTCATCATCCCAAATGAAGCACTCTAGGTCCTATCCGTTGGAAGGGCTGTAAATGTGGTACCCGCAAGAAATCATCTGGGCATTGTGGGACTGAAAAATGCCCATGCTGGGCAGCGGCGCGTGAGTGTGATCCAGAACTTTGTGTCAAGTGCGATGCTCGGTCCGTTTTTTTTTTTTTTTCGAACAACGCGCACTGCTCCATGATGATCGTTTTCAGAGGACGGCATAAGAAGAAAAAGTGTTTGAATAATGACATTCAAAAGGGGAGATTCCAGGTACTGTTGCTTGATCAAATCCGAAGCTATATGAGGTTTTTATTTCACAAACTACAGCCCATTAAAATCGCGAAGGGTTTATATGGAAGTGGAGCATACGCCCAATGTGCACTACCCAAGGGAGTATTTATTGGAGGTATGAAATTATTCTGTGCATTTGTTATCCAGACTTCTTAGCAGTGGGATGACTTTTATTAGAATATGTCGGCGAGTTAATCTCCAAAGAGGGCACCGCCTTGACGACAATAGACGTGTAGGTGGCATTCAAATGCAGTGTTATTCCTAGAACCTTGACCTCCCAATTGACAGATTGTGCAATCATTTGGACCTAAACTACATATTTGACCTGGACACAACATATGCTCTTGATTCTGCAAATTTCGGGAACGAGACGCGATACTTGAACCATGTTGACAAGGACCCGAATTGTGATGCGACAGGTAATTGATAACACTTTTGTTCCTTTTTCTATTCTGCACTAACTTTGGGGGTTGACATACCTAGTCATCAACGTGAATGGGGTTCATCGAATCGTCCTTGTAACAAGTGAGTGCTAACAGAGTGTCCACTTGATGGCACTTATTATTTCTTGTGCAGTAAAAAGTGTAGCAATCGCAGAGGAACTGTTTTTGAACTATGGAGAAAATTACTGGAAAAAACACCGTGACTCTTCAGTCTCTCCTACCTGATCACGGAGACCTTTGGTTTTGGACCCTGTACTACTACCTTGCGCGCAATTTTGAATCTTCTGAGCTCCAAAAAGACAATCAAGCGATGTTATAAATGCCATCCAGAGAGATGATTGACTTTAAAATTCCAACATTGAACCCAATAACAAGCTAATTACAAAAGTGTCGCTGACAGACTTTACTCTAAGTAGGGTAGATAAAAAAAATTGAGAAATCTGGTCTGCTGCATGGGAGGAGGGTGATGGAAGGGTGATGGAGGAGAGTGGGATCGGTATGAAGGTGGCAGTGGAGACGCGTCCAGACATGCAATGAAAAAGAGAGAGACCGCAAAATAAACAAAACGTCAGGATATAACTCGTCTCAAGTGTCGTTGGCCTAACGCATTGGTGTAAAAGCGAGTTCTTGTGCGTTGGCCATTGTCTACGGAAGGTAATGAGATTAGAGGGAAGAGGGGTAACCAAATCAAACCTGTGGGTATCAAGAGATGAATTGAGGTGAATCAGGCAGGGGAGATGCAAATGAAGGAGGAGGAGGAGGAGGAGAGGGCCAGACAAATAAAAGACGGGGATGGGGCGGGGAAAAAAAAGGAAAGTAGGAGATGAGAGGATGGGGTGGTTCATGGTTCTGTGACGAGGGTTCAGGAGGAAAAAAAGTTGAAAGTATCATTCGTGTTACTAGTTGTATGAGGTAGTAATAATGAAAGCAAAAATAAAAAAAAGAAGAAAGATAATCCAAATCCCCGCGTTTGGGTCGCCGGGGGTGTCGAAAAAAAATATCGTCAAGGAGCCGTTTTTTGCCGGCGAAAGCGACAAGCCAAAAAGAGTGGCTTGCGGACATAGCACCTTTGAAACATAATAATCATATCGTCGTCAGCCCCACGCAAGTCTAGCGAAGCAAAAAGTTTCACGAGGAGCCCAAAAGGAAGGGGGGGGGGAACTTGCACTATAGCGGATTGCTTCTCTCCGAGTACAGTGGGCTAGTCGGGATCCGCGGACTAGGCACGCGCGAAGGGATCCTGGACGGTGGTCTCGACGGGTACGGCGATCCATAGGGTGCTTCATGGTACTTTGGCGTGTCAAGCGTTTCTGAAAAGTACCCATGCTCTGACTCTGTTTTGTCTTGCCCCATACTAAGTGAATTCATCAACGCCCGAGGGCTTCCCAATGGCGAAGGCTGTTTACGCGTGAACTGGCCTAGAATGGGCGCGTCTGGGGAAACAGGGGCGCCAGGGAATGGCGTTGACTTGCCTGACCCTGTTCCAGTTAACAAGATGGAAACTGGCTCCTTCCCCGCAGGTTGATTGTACATCCAAGTTGACCCGAGCACAGTAGACGCTCCGATGATGAAAGAAGGCGTGATGTGGAAGTCGAACAAGGCCACTGACGCGAGGAATGATAGCACGATCGATAGACTCGTTGCGAACCCTTTCAAAATGTTATCGGAGTACTTGATGACCACAGCTGTGACAAGCCCGCCAAAGACTTGAACGGCGACCGTAGCCCATGCCCATCCACCAAAGTTCCGGAACAGGTCCATAAAAAATCCGCGAGAGTTCGGGGGTACAGGTGTGTACAGGATGGGTAGGAAGGCGGGAAGGAGGGAAAAGAGTGATAGTTGGACGTTCCGAACCCACAAGTCAGCCTTGGAACCCTTCAACACCATCTCAAAGTACACGCCAGCCAACCCCGAGGTGAAACATGCAGCAGTGACCGCACCAAAACCTTTGAGAGGACTCATAACATGAACATGGTACTCATGTGCGCTACCAACGGCTGTGGGCTTTGGGACATGACTGGAGGACGTCTGGATTTGCACAATGCCGACACCGATCGCCAAAAAGAACAAGGACAGCCATTTTGTGGTGCTCAATTTTCTCCGCAAGAGTGCCACGGAGAAGGCCGCCGTGGTGAGAATCTTCATTTGGTATGTCACCTGGAAGGAAGCGACGGGGAGATTGCTGATGGCAACGAATTGGAGCGAGTTTTGAACCACATAGAGAATGGCAGGGATTGACAACTTCCAACAGTCCGGGCTGAACACCTCTGAACACACTTCCCCAAAAGCTACCGTCCAAAGATAAATGATGCTCCAAATGGACTTCCGATGGCGCGTTGACTGGTGGTCGCTGAAGATAGGAGCCCGCGTAAGCGCAATAATGAAGGATATTGAACCCTTGAGCAGTTCGTTCAGGAGCACGGCTGATGCTGGCGAGTAAGCGAGGGCTGGCGTCGTTGATACGCGAGAGTAATGCATCACGATTGATAGGGCAGCGTTTTGGACTGCCAGAGTCACGAGTCTACAGCGCTATTGAGCCCTCGAGGAGAAATGAAAAATCAAAGAAGGACATACGATACATATTTTAGCGGCATGCCACATATGGTTGGTTGAGCCTGGTTATCTAGTTGTTGCAGTGCCCCATTGACTGCGGAACCATTGACGGGATATTTCTCTGCATAGCTAACGGTTGCGGAAGGAAGTAGAGGCGACAAGCGTGGACTTGAAGTTTTACTTGAGACGACGCTGGCCGATAGGGATGATGAAGAGCGAACGGTGGGCAGGGGTCTGTGGTACATCTCCGGAGAAGGAGACGACGAAGAGGCGGCGGAGATATTGACCGAAGAAACTCTTGGGTGTGTTCTGGGTTGAGCCATAGGGGTGAAAACTGAAGAAGTAAGAGAAGGTGAGAGAGGAAATCAAGCTAGAAGAAGGACGTACAGAAAATATACTAATGGGCAGGTGTAAAGTATTATAAGGGGCGAGAACGAAGTTAAAGTGGGTGGTCGTCGTTTCGAAGAAATGTCGAGGAGGAACTCGACGTTGTGGTCCAATTGTGGCCAGTGGTCGAAGAATCAATCCAACGTTTAGTCACATTTTTCGACAACAAATCCCACCAGAATTCGACCGGAAATTCGTTAGCGCATTCCCACACTGTGTGATCGGAATTTGCTCAGCCCTGACTTTGATCGTACAGTTGCGGACAAACAAAGTCAACAAATTTATTGACCTATTTTTTGGGACTCCGAAAAACATCGGAATTGGTAGATAATGGTATAAATGGGTTCCTATTGATCTCCTTGATCAATTCCAACGAGCAGAATTCCCAGAAATGACGATATAAGGGTTTTATACCCCAAAAATTTGGCCAGTGCCTGAAAAAATAGCTAAAAATACGAAAAATATGCCAATCGACTCCTTTTTGTTTCCTCTCTTTGATTTCATCAAAGTCTCCCTGAAATATCGATGTCTTCGATGGTGGGAATTTTGCTAAAACTGTCACGTGGGCATACCCTTTCCGGTCAATGTGCCCCGGAAAAAGATATAAATGGACCCTGGTTCATTTTTTCACGTATCTACTGCACCAGGGTTATAAATTGCACAGAATTGATCCAAAGATGGCCGACTCTGAAGACTTTTGGGTGCGTTGAAAACACCCAAAAATTTGGCCAAACCAAAAACGCGTGGGAAAATTAAGGGAACACCTTTTTTGAACAGTTTCGAGGTCTCTGAATCTGAATCTGAAGTCAGAATTTTGATAAAAATTCTGGTTCTCAAGTTATCAAATTTGATGACTTTGTTTGTCCGCAACTGTAGCCTTGGCAAGAACGTTCGCAAGAAAGATAATGTGAAGAGAGAGGAGAACTGTGATTTATATATTTTATGCCTCGAACGCGAGTGAGTCAGAGAGTAGCCACAGCGCTGTGACCGAGGTAAAAGTAACAGCAGCAGACCGCCCGCGATAAGACGATTCTGTGCGCTTTTCTCTCTCATGCGGTCAAAGCACGCGATTGCCCTGAAAAAAGGTCAGGGCGCCACACAATCTAACAGAAGCTAACTTGTATTGAAGAGCCTAAAATAACTCGTTCGATATCACAAGTACCTTTTACCTCAAGGCTCACAATTTCTTCTATGTACCAACATGTGTCTACTACCAACGCAGCACCGTCGATCCTAAGAAGAGAACAATGAGCGCGTGTCCAAACTTCAACAAGAAGAATTGGAATTAGAGTGAGCCTCAGCCTCGCCTTCAATTCTCCATCCGCACCCAACCCATCAAGCCCGTTTTCCACCGCTTGCCATGATGACCCGCGGGGAGAGCAAGATGCCCATCCAAAAGCAGGATCCCTCCGTAGAAGAACGGGGTGCGTTCCTTTACCAGGTTTTTCGTCGTTGGCCCACTCTTCACAAAAACCAAAAACGAAGGAAATAAAACTCACAGATTCGACGATATGACAAGCCTTGATGCATCAAAAAACAATAGTATTGCACACTCGTAGAACAAATAGAGGGATGTAGAAAAGCTCCAGGTGATCCTGCGTCCTAGCCCCTCAACCAGAGGGAAGAGCAATCAGCAAAGATTGTTTTTGAGAATTCCCTCGTATAAGCGAGTCCCTCTTCGACGTTTGTCTGGACCATCCATCCTTGTGCACACGAGTGAGGCGGAGGACAGGATAGTAATTTGGACGCCGTTGAAGTTGAAAAAAAAATAGACGTGCGGTTTATGTACTCCCGGATAATGCCGTTCGGGGTTGCCAATTCAATATCCGACAATTCCCACTCTTCTCTGTTCACGAAAGCATTTACTTTCCATATTAATTTGCACAAAAGCTAGTTCTTCCTCTTTTTTTTTTTTCATTTACCGGAGCATATATAGTGCATGGTCGAAGTAAGCCGAAATCGAGGATAAGTCGTTCGGGGAAGCAGTCCTTGAAACACAAAGAATTCCGAAAAAATGCGAAAAGAATTGAGCCCGACATTGATGCTATCTTATCGTTCATACTGCGCACCAGCTTCCGGCGCCCGGTATTGCTGTTTTCGGGTATGCCAAGTCGTATGTTGAACCTCTAAAATGTAGCAGGGGAAATAGGCGGTTCATTTTGGTTCAAGACGAAGGGAGCAATAAGACGCAGGTCGCGAATGCTTGAACATGTGTAAAGCGGCACAAAGTCTAAGGGTAGTGTTAGGTATAATATCTTCTTCACGCCAGAGATGGCCCATAAATGATCGTCTTCACCCCTTGCTATGTAGTTTCCGCATGGGTTTTCTGCACTGCACCGTGTGTTTTGACGCCTTCAATGAGGCGTCTCCGGCTCTTCGGCGTCGACGTCGGTATAGGTAATAACTGGAGGTGGTGGTGTATCCCGCGGCAACCTCACAAGACTAAAAAGGAAGAACGAAAACACGACGCTCGCAACGGTCATGAAGAAGATGGCACGAGGGAAGGTCGCCACAGTCCTCATGTACACATATCCATATAGCGAAGGCCCTATAATTTGCGAGCTGCAGCGAGAGTAGGTCAAAGATGATCCAGCAATCAGACGCAAGAGGAAACAACTTACCATAATGCTTGTACGACGCTGAGAGCGCCAAACAACCTCCCCACCTCAACGCCACCTTTTCTAGAGTACATAGCCAAGGTGACACTCTGAACAGCTGGGGAGAATCCGCTGCCTATGGCGCTGAGCATCCCAAACACGGTGAAAGAAACTGGTGTGGGTGCGAGGCCCATAAACAAGTATGAGATTATTTCAATGAGCAGGGACGCTTGAGCGAGGCCAAGGTCAAATGCTGGCGAGTGGATCTCCTTCCTGATGGGGGGACTTGACACTCCGCTAGTACTTGATTCGGAAGACAGCAGTGGCTGAGCCTCAGCAGGACTGGAGGGGAACTCCACAATGAGCGGTTTGGGTTTGAACACTTTGATGATGACTGATAGAGGAACATATTCAATGATTGGAAAAGAAAGAGGCTTTGAAACATACCCGGCAGTAGGAAGGTCAAAAAGACAGCCCGAGCAGCGCCAACAAGACTGAGCCAATAACCGATCTGGAGGTAGGGAGATAAGACAGGCAGGGAAAGATGTTGCTGCGACTCCCTACCGTCTCCGAACTCCACCCAAACGCTGAAGCAGCATATTGGAATTTGAACGAGTATGATCCCTATACAACGTTATTAGACAGACAGTTGTCTTTCACCTGACGCAACATACCATAACAGATATGGTGCTTCCGTATCCAATCGCCATCAGTGCCAAATTCCAATTTCGCCTGGGTTTCCTCCCTTCGGACTTTTCAATTTCGGGCATGAAAATCGTCAAGGGGCTGAGGAAAGAAAAGATCCGCTTTAGCCTGACAAAAAACCCGACACTCGTTTCCGATTCCCGTTCCCGAGCCGAATTCCCCATTTCCTCGTTGTACTTGACTTTCGCCGCGTCCATGTCTTTCATCGAAACCGATTCTGGAACGACGACCCAGATGAGGAAAGCATAAATGATGTGTATTGCGAATGCCACGTAGAAGACAGAGAGGGTATATCCAGTGAAGCGGATCAGCAGTCCACCCGCCATTGGTCCAACAGCCATGCCAGTGAAAACAAGCCCGAGGTTCAGAGATAGAATCCTCGACCTATAAATGTCAGATATGTCTTATGAAGCAGTCAAGCTCCTACCTGGAGCCCTCGTCAGTAGTGTCTGCCAAATACGCGTGCATGGCCGCAATGGCGCTAGTTACACCTGCGGAGGATTGTTCAATACGAACTTCCGAACTAGGTCACAAACGACTGACCTCCGAGTGACCCTTCGACGGCAGGTCCCACAGTAAGGAACCAATATCCACCTGGAATGCGGTTCGGGAACAACGCAACCATGATAAAGTTGAAATCCGTGAGTAAAAGCCCGAAGACGGTTATTCCCATTATGGTCAATCGACCATGTCGGTCAGAAAACTATACGCTAGTCAGTTTGAGCTTTCGACAATTTCCGTGAAGGGACACTCACAGCACCCCACCATCCTGCCGTTATACAAGACAGAATCCCGGTAAAGGCTTCAATAACTAAAAGAAGAATGTATGAGGCCTCATCCGAAGAGAAATGGCTGGCACTGATAAATAGCATTAACCAACAATACTGGTTGTGTTAAAACATGAAAACCAGCAGAAAGGACAACACGCGTTCGGAATAAAGATCAGAAACACACCGGCTGTGAGTTTGGCTACTGCAGCCTGAACAACGGGATCCGACGCGCATCGGTTAGGTTTCGTGGTGGGACTTTCGCGAGTTGTCCGAACCGAGTTGTCAGTCAAACGTGGGCGATAGATTTGATCAATGAACAGTCCAGCCGAACCGTTACGGTGAGGAAGTTGGCCAAAAACCTCAAATGCGTCTACCAAACCAAGTTCTAGCCCGGGAAAGCTCTGCTCGAAGATATCAGGCTTGTGCACCCTGCACGCGAGTGTCGTGTAAATTTCGATTCTTGGGGCCATCATCGCAGACATAGCTATCGACGTAAATGGGAGAATGGTCAAAAGCCTTCACAGCCAAAATTTAGTGGATGTACGCCGTTCCCTCATGACAATACGAGACTCACCACCACGGAGAAGGCGTTTTCCACCAGGGAAGTTTCCTTGCCTTATTTTCCGTTAATGCGTCGTCCGAGTTTCCGACATCGCCACCTTCGTATTGATTGTGAAATGGGTGGACAAAGAACTCTGTTGCCTCTTCGTCAACAGCCCCATGTGCGAGAGTCAAACTTCCTGCCGTCGGAGCGTAGGGATTGGAAGAAGACTTGGTGTGTTTAGAACGCGAGTACAATGCGGACATTGTGCAACCACGGCCGTTCCTCGCAATTTACAGAGGGGCTGGATTGAGGGTAGAGAAGAGGGGAAGTCTGGATCGAAAAGAAGATAAGGTTGAAACGTCATGGCGGTTAGGGCTGAGAAGAATATTGATCAAATTCGGATGCGGATATCCTACTTATCTCCTACGTTGGTGACAGTCAACTTGGAAGTGTCCTACCGTCGGCGGAAGATAGCTATAGGAAAAAGCAATCTACTTTACTCATAGGCTTCGCTAACTTGCGAGAGAAAATGAATAAAAAGTAAGCTATAGGAGCGTCAACAAAACTGTGAACCGTCCGTTCATTTTTCGCCCTACACCCCAGAAGACGATCTCACCGCAAAGTTATTGAGCTTTACGTATACAACCAAGAGCACAATCGGTTAGAGCTGGCAAAATCGGCTGGTCATTCTAGGCTAAGAAACATAGCAAAGGGATCGAGCATAGGATCGAGCAATAGGAAGGAAGTAGTAGATCCCGAAGCTTGAAGGCAATGCTAAAACTTGGGTGTAAATGGAGGGTCGTTGTTATGCCAGAGGCTACATACACAAATCAATCATCAACGATAAAAACATAAGATCAACGGGCTAAATATTCACCTAAATTCCTGACCAGTCTACTTTTACGGACGCATTTTGGAGTGTCACAACGGCGAAGGAGAAACAAGGGACGAAAGCGCCTTGCTCACATCCCCTCCGTTTTCTGTTAAAACTCTTTCCGCCTGAGCTCGGGTGATCTCAAATTCGTGGACCTAGCCAAAACGCCTATCATCATCACCGTAGAAACAGAAGCATTGCACGCACGATGAGGTCGATGTCGTCCCTCTTCAAGGCGGCAGCAGCGGGATCCTTGACAGCTTTCGTGGGTGCTTTGTCGAGAATGTTACAAGCACGCAAAGCCTCTTCCATTTTGCCTTTGGAATACGAAAAGCCATCTGCATACTACTTATCATTGACCGTTAGAGTCAGTCTAGTGCCATAGGTTAGTTTAGCAACAGACTTACGTTCACGATGACCTCAGGTTCTGGTCGTCCATTGCTCCGAGACATTTCCGTTCTGCGATGGCAAGCTTAAAATTTTGATACGTTTGAGCCAAGTTTGAGCGCTAAGTTGTTCGCAAGGTGGAGCTCGGACCGGGTAAAAGCCTCCGGTGACTTTTGAGTGCAGACCCATTTCAAAGGCTAGCTAGCTCAACCACAGACACGGACTCTGTTCAGACCAAGGTTCAAATATACGAAATCGTAGTTTATCTCACTGTGCTGGATGTCTGCACCGATCCCGCTCGTTCGCCTGCCCCGGATTCAAGTCACCAACAGCTTAAGAAAATATACATACATTTCATTCACATGAAGAGTAAGAGCAGACAAAACGACAGTCAAATCCGCAATTAAGAAATTCATAGTCTGTACCACGGGGGGTATAAGTACGCCTGCCATATTATCCCTCATTGGCCCTCGACAAGAGTTTGCTCTTGAAAATGGGCTGCGCTCGTCTCCTCGGCGTCGACATCGGTATTGGTAACGCGGGAGGATGGCCTATCCTTCGGCAGTCTCACAAGACTGAAAAGAGTGAATGAAAGGACGACGCTTGCAACAGTCATCGCAAATATGGCACGAGGGAATGTGGCCACCGTCTTCATGTACACAAGTCCGTATAGGGAAGGTCCTAAAATCTGAGAGCTGCAGAGTGGAAGTGAATTAATATAGCATACAACAACCGGAGGAAGGAGCCGCTTACCATAACGCTTGTACGACACTGAGAGCTCCAAACAACCTCCCCACCTCAGTGCCACCTTTTCTAGAATACATAGCCAAAGTAACGCTCTGTACGGCTGGAGAGAACCCAGCGCCCATTGCACTCAACATCCCGAATACAGTGAAAGTAAATGGTGTAGGGGCAAGGGCCATAAACGTGTATGAAATGATTTCAACGACAAGGGACGCCCGCGCGAGCCCAAGGTCGAATGCTGGCGAGTGGATCTCCTTCTTCATAGGTGAAGCCGTTCTGCTGCGGGAACTTGAAGCCTCGCTACCACCTGAGTTGAAAGACAGCAGTGGCTGAGCTTCAACGGGCTCGGGGGGAAACTCAACGATGAGTGGCTTCGGTTTGAAAAGCTTGATAATGACTGATGAAAGACTATATGGAAAGATTTGGAGCAGGAATACTTTGGAACAAACCTGGTAAAACTAGGGTCAAAAAGACAGCTCGAGCGGCGCCAACAAGGCTGAGCCAATAACCAAGCTGAAGGATAGAAAATCAGAGACACAGATGAAAATGTCGCTGCAACTGCCTACCGTCTCTGAACTCCACCCAAACGTTGATGCTGCATATTGGAATTTGTATGAATACGATCCCTACACACAGGACGTTAGATATATGCTACTCATAATACTGTGCAACATACCATAACGGAAACTGTGCTTCCATATCCAAGTGCCATCAGGGTCAAATTCCAATTTCTTCTGGGTTTTTTCAGAGGATTTTCTTCAGCCCTCTCAATTCCAGGTGTGAAGATTGTCAAGGGGCTCAGGAAAGAAAAGATCCGCTTCAGCTTGACAAGGAAACCGACGGTTGGATTCAAGTCACGTTCACGTGCCAAATCGTGCATCTCCTCGTTGTACTTTGCTTTCGCCTCTGCCATATCTTTTTTCGTTAGAGATTCCGGAATGGCGACCCAGACAAGGAGAGCGTAAACGGCGTGCACTGCCGTCGCCACGTAGAACACAGAAAGGACATTTCCAGTGAAACGGGTTAAAAGTCCACCTAGCAAAGGCCCCACGGCCATGCCGCTAAAAAGAAGCCCGAGGCTAAGAGATAAGATTCTCGACCTAAAGACGTCAGAGATGTTCCATAAAGTAGTCACGATCCTACCTCGAACCTTCGTGAGTAGTATCCGCCATATACGCGTGCATCGCCGCACTGGCGCTCGTCATACCTGCAGAGGGGTCGTTCAAGACTAAGTATCAAAATTATTCCCAAACTGACCTCCAAGTAATCCCTCGACTGCGGGTCCTACAGTAAGAAACCAGTATCCCCCAGGAATGCGTTTCGAGAACAACGCAACCATGATGAAGTTAAAATCGGTGAGTAGAAGCCCAAAGACAGATATTCCCATGACGCGCAATCGACCATATCGGTCGGAGAACTGAGTCCACGATCAATCTTGAGGTGTGCAAAAATGCAAAGGAAGACTGACGGAACCCCACCATCCGGTGGTTATACAGGCCAGTATCCCCGTACATGTTGCAATTACTGAAAGGAAGCTGTTAACTAATAACTTTGATACTCCAGACAGCGTAAAGAACAGACTCTAGCCTGGAAGGCCCGTCTGGAAACAACACAAGATACGCGGATGTGGGTGTGCAATCGAGGTCGGAGAACGCACCAGCTGTGAGCTTGGCGACTGCAGCCTGAACCACTGGATCTGAGGCACATAAATTAGGTTTCGTGGGCACACTTGTGTTGGTCGCTTGCCCCAATTTGTTGGTCAAATAGGGGAGATAGATTCGATCAATTAACTGTGTAGAGGGGTCAGTGGGGAGTTGCCTTCGCTCTTCCACCAAACCAAGCTCCAACCCGGGAAAGCTCTGTTTGAAAATATCGGGCTTGTGAACACTACATGCGAGGATCGTGTAAATTTCAATCCTTGGGGCCATCGTCGCAGACATGGCTATGGATGTAAATGGCATAATGGCTAGAAGCCTAAGCCCCATACGCAAAATATCAGTGCATACACGCTAACCCCAAGCCAAACACGAAACTCACCACCACGGAGAAGGCTTCTTCCACCAGGGAAGTTTCCCTGCCTTCTTGTCAGTCAAATTGTCATCCGAGTTTCCGTCGTCGTCCTCCAGCCCAATAATGGTACCTTCATCGTGATGGTGATTCGGGTGGACGAATTCATTCAACAACTCTGCCGCCTCTTCGCCAACAGCCCCATCTGGGAGAATTAAGCTTTCCGCCTGAGGAACATAGGGGACCGAAGAGGATGCAATGTGTCTGGAACGCGAGTGTGATGTGTGCATTGTGAGACCACGCACGTCCCCCGCAATTTGAAGGGAAACCAAGTGGTAGGCAACGCTGACAGTTGGGGTTAAAAGAGGAGATGAGACTCATGGCTTGCCGAGGGAGAACGTAATTACTCATGTGGCGGAAATGCCACTGTGATTCCATGCGTCAGCAGATAAGATATGACAAAATTCGGCTTATCAGATAAAGGATGTACCCAGCAGCAGATGCTTGAAAGTCTGCACGCCAACAGGAAAAAATCAGATGCTTTCAGATGATCTTTACAAGTAGTACAGTCTAGTACAGTAGTGTGTTTTACAGCAGGCTCTCCGTGGAAGGTAACTAGCACACACACCAAGCGAATGATAATGATATTGATGGTGCCGCCGCATGTCTGCATTGCTTGCAAGCGATCGCGATGCGAATACGGTCAGGTGTTGCCTGGTGTTGCGCAATATGCTTCAAGTTCCTTCGTTTCCGTACCATCCATTGAGGAGGACACCATGACAACTAAGTCGGTTCGATGGTGAATGCTCCAAGAATGCTCTATGCTGTAAGTATAGAGGACTTAACTTACTGTAAAATTATCTGGCAGGTCATGATCAATGCCGAAAAGACTGCGCCTTTCATCTGGACAATTTAAAGACATGCACAAGTCCAGTCAGTCGATAGTATTCACACTTTTGAGGACGCCAAATTTTGATCAAGTCGATCGAATGTTGAGGAAAACAGCTGAATCCCAGAACGTTTCCTTCCCACTCCTCCCTTCCTTCAAGACTTGACGGGAGGCCCTGGATGTAGTCCCTTCAACAAAAGTCGATTGCGAACCATATAGAGGAACAGGATTGATGTGCCGACGTTCACTTTACGCGAACCACCGAATGATGGGGCATGGGGGGCTTCTGTAGTAACAGAAGGCAGGCCGTGGGCAGGGTACATATTCGTTGCACGGCTGGGGTGGACGCGGTTGAAAGAGGTTGGAAGGCGGATGATGATGGTTGTGGACTTGTGGTTGTGGGGAAGGCAGGAACGATCATATCTCGTTTGGTGTTCACAAATCAATCTTATCTCATCTCTCTCATCGTCGCAATGGTCAGGCATTTGTCTACTCTCGGTTGTTCATTTCAGGGTAGACTCATCCTACACAGTCCGCTACAGTTGATATCCCTCAAACCGTCAAGGATTCCCTTCGCAAATTTCGGTTTGCGCGACGAAATGCTGGGAGTGCAGCCATCGTCATCAAGATCAACAAGGCAAAACTGATTATGGAGGAGGTGGAGCAGTTTGACAATATCACCATAGAGGAACTTGCAGAGGGTGAGCGCACCGATTTCGTGCCAAGTGAATGTCCTCTCACACGGCGATTGGATAGAATTGCCTGAGAACTCTCCTCGCTATGTGATCCTGTCATATGAACTGGAACATAAAGATGGGCGGAAATCTTTCCCTCTCGTGCTCCTAAACTGGGCACCGTCGTCGAGTGAAATCGGAATGCTGACCTTGCATGCAAGCGCCTTTCTCAACTTCCAATCCACGGTGAGCCCTTAGCCAAGCAACTGCACTGCTGGTGGCTGAGTTTCATGTCAGGCGGACGTGAGCAAGGTGGTCGAGGTACGGGATGGGCCAGAAGGTCTTACGAAAGAAGTGATTGACGCGAAATTACTTGCCTGATTATTGACTTTTGGATTGACGCGCCCTGTGGTGCTGACTTTTGTATTCTTAGGACACAGCCACATATGAAGCCTGACCTGGCGACACATGTGCATAACATTTCCTAGCTAAGGCTTGCTTCCATGTGGGTGGCAGCGAGGAATTCATGTGAAAATTGAACTTGTGTGCGGATATAGTCCATAAGTATGGCTTCGGTTTTTTTAGTCCACCTTGATGATCATGGGACTCAACTTCCTGCGATGCGCTCTGCTTGTCTCCAGCGCTCTGTTGGCTGTTGCTGAAAGTGAGTATAGATTATCTATATCCCAAATTTACACTGAGCTTTTTTTGATTGAAGCTTCCATCGACTCTAAGCCACAGCAGACGATCATCTCATTTGGCGCGTCAGGAGCATGGTGGCCAAATGACCTCATTGACTTCCCCACCGACGTGCAGAAACGCGTCGGCGAGATGCTTTTCTCCAAGTCTGGTCTCTGGCTCTCAAATTACCGTTACAACGTTGGTGGCGGTGGAGTAGGTGTCACTGCTCCGAAAGCCGTAGCTCAGTCTTTCCTTCGACCGGACGGTACGTACGACTGGTCAAGTGACAAAGCGGGCGTCACATTCCTCAAGATGGCACAAGATTACAACGTTCCCTACATTACCTTCTTTGTCAACTCAGCTCCACCCCCGATTTCTCTGAACAAAGCTTCCTGTGGTTGGGATATGACCTCAGGCCAAGTGCAGCCTTTCGCCAACTACCTTGCTACGGTCGTATCGCACTGGAAGAATGAGGGTATCAACGTCACATACATTTCCCCAATGAACGAGCCAATCAACAACAGGAAAAGTTGCGGCCAAGAAGGCATGGGTGTCTCCGTTTTCCTGCGTGGATCGGTTTTTGCGGCAGTAAAGGCTGCACTGCGAAACGCATCGGCAAGCGATGTCGGAATCATCGGCGACGAGACATCTTGGGGAATAGAAGCGGATGCCGAATACCCTTTGTGGCTGTCGAGGGCCAAGGACTCCCTCACAGCCCTAGCTATCCATAATTACGATTTCCCGACCGACGGCCTCGTCTCTTCCTACGCTTGGGTTGCACGTACAGCCTCGGGGCTCCCCATTCGTTTTACTGAGACCTGTTGCTCCACGTCGGGTGGTGCTGGCCCATGGTTGTTCGGGGCGCAATACGACCCAACCATCGTGGGCGCTCTGATCACCTCACGATATGTTTGGCAGTTCCTCACGCTTGCCAACGCGGAGTCCTTCGACTGGTGGACAGCGCTTTCCGGGGAGATGGGATGTAGCCCAACCGCAGACGCTACTTGCGCTACCAAGATTAATTCCAATGGCTGGAACGATGGCCTCATCTACTTCGATCCCGACCATGCAAAGAATGGCAACACCCAGCTCTACCTCACCAAACGTTATTGGGCACTTCGCCATTTCAGCTACTTCATCCGTCCAGGCTCGACGCGTTTCAACATTAACAACACGCCTTCCGGTGTTGTAGCTATCTCCACCTTAAACGCGGGCACTTGGAACGTTCTTTTCATCAACCAAAATACGAAGTCTATTCCTTTCACCCTGAAGCTGCCAGGAACCAGTGCGGCGGTGACTGGCATCACCCAGACCACAGCCCAAGACGATTGGGCTGCAGTTACTATACCCCCTGTTGTCTTCGGCTCTGTCCAACTCACCCTTCCTGGGCAGAGTATCTTTTCCGTGCAGTTCACTACCGTCGGTGGCCCTACTCAGCGCCGTTCAGACGATTAAGTGGACGAAAGTCAGTTATAGCGATGACCTTATCAAGGAGTGTTTATTCTAATTTCTCGGGCGACATGTAAAGATAATATTTGGCAGAAATACCATTCATTTTCAAGGTTAGTAAAGTCCAATTTTGAAGTTGCATTGAGGTTCTTGCAAAAACAGCATCCCAGACATTTACTCCGAATTTATGAAACACGTCTCTCTAAGAGTTCCAAGCTTAAGTTGCTCAATTTCGCCTCATGAGTGACTCGCGACAGTCACTGAGACACCACTTCCATCTGCCAGCTTGGATTAGCTGAATTGATTTATATCTTGCGTGCAATGACTACCGGCAGGAAATTATCCCTCAAGTGTCGATTCCTCATGTTCCAGATCTCAGGCCCCTCCCCTTCACGCCGCCGTCCGCGGCTCGCTACGCTCCGTTTACTGCTCCAGCTCGACACCATGTCCCGTATTGGATCCTCCACGATCCAAGCCTTGCAAACTCCATGATGGAAAGACTTCGGACCTACCTAGAAACGGCGCCTGGTGGCGACTTTCCCCCAAGTCCTCGACTCCAACACTGCCTCGACAACTTACCTGACGATCTGCTCAATATTCCCTCCGTCAAGTTGAGCAGTGAAGAAACCACATCTGAGTTATGGAATATGTATATTTTGGAAGCCATTCGATATGCGGTTAGAGACATTGATCAAAATCCCACTCTACCTGCTAAACCGTTAACAACGCCGACATTGTACAGCGAAACTCGGGACTTTGTGATATCTTCTACCCCAGAGACTTCACCCCGCCTTTACTATGTCATTAAAAGTTGGTCGGTCTTTGATGCATTCGCCCTCGATATTCTCTCGCTAGCACAACACGTCGAGGACGGGCAGCTTGGGACATCTTTGGAGTTGAGAGTCAATGAGGAGGATGCACGATCCGTTATCATGAAAGTCAGCCGAACCTATTTCATCTCTACATTGCCTCCAAGTCATCAATGCTTCTAGATGGGTGTTTCCATGATTGGCGAAGAAAATATGATACCTTACGGTATTCTTTTTGGCGGCCACAGGTTTATGCTCTTCTCGTTGTTCTCTAATGCGAATGCACTCGGAGAGGTTCGCTATGGTTTGGCGTGTTCGGATATAATCGATTGCACCGATAACGCAACACCGCTTATACCATTGGTCATATCAACTCTTCTGGGCAGCGCCGATGGCCCTGCTCCACTCTGCTTGCCGACCTTTGCTGCTCCTCCCGTTCCCATACCAGCTGTTCAAGGTCATGAACCGGTAACAAAGAGTAGCTGTGGGAAGTTCATATCATCAATTTTACCTGTGTGTGGCTCAATTTCAGCAAAGGGCTACTAAGCTCATTTTTGTTTCCAAGAAAAAAGTCATCATCCATACCTCTGCCACCGGTGGTGCTATCCCCAGGACATTTGTGCTCCGCCAAGAACCTGCTACGCCTTCCAATTGGCTAGTGATACAGAAATTTAGAGATCTCTTCACGTTTGTTCCATCCGACGAAATTGAAATATCACTCTCTGAGTGTATCGGACATGGAGCCGCGGGACAAGTATTCATCGGCACCACGGAAAACGAAAAGTATGCCGTCAAGGTCGCGCCTTGGAAGACCGAAAGACGGATGTTGCAAATGGAAGCTGATATTTACAAGACTCTATTGGACCTGCAAGGACGATGCATTCCTAGAATTTTTGGATTTTTCGGCTCTGAACATCTCAAAGCATTGATTATGGAGTACCTGGGTCCCACTGTCGAGAACGTCTTGGACCTCAGTTTAGATCAACGGTATGCTGGATTTTGCTCACCGTTCTCTCTTTACCAATTCCATGATAGTCACCAGCTACTGGAGGAACTTTGTTTGATTCATGCACGTGGAATTGTGCTTGGAGACCTTCGAGCCGCAAACATCGTCTTGAAAAATGGATCTCCTCATTTTATCGATTTCTCGCATGCGCATGAACACCAGTGCACTGGATTCACGAAATGCTCTGAGCTTATCATGGCATGTCAATTCTTTTCGTTGAATGCCGAGCTCGAGAATCCATCGTAGATCGGCCCTCAGTAGTGGAAAGGTGTGGAGTTGACAGTTTCGGAAAGGCGCATGGCAAATGTAGTGATAGTTCTGAGCTTATGTAGCAAATGAGAAGGGCAATCATATTCACCAGGCCTTCATCTATCGTACCCATTTATGACCTGTATCAACACCCAGCAATTCCCAACGACGTAGAACAATCCCCTCACCCACAAAGTAAAGAATACATTGTCACCCAACATTTCCAATTTGTACGCCTCGGCGAGCCACAGTGCCTGTGTTCCGACCCACACACCCACACAAGCGACGACCTTCCAACGAGATAGCAACAGCTGTGGAGCAAGAAGTGGTACCAGCAAGAGATACCACAGGAAGTACTGGGAAGATATGAGGTCATGCAGAGGTTTCGACTGAATAGAGAAGTACCTGAGATGTGCAGACTTTATTGAAGATGACAAACGCGGTTGTTTGCACGAACCAAGTAAATACTAGATCTTTCTCGGAACGCCCGAAAAGAAGACCTGACCCCAGGGTCAGGATCATCTGTGGTACGAAGCTGGTTAGAGGTGAGCGGAGAATCCTGCTCCAAAGCTCGGGAGCCCTCGCATTGGAGGCGCCGTGTGAAGGGTATGTCAGATATGTGAGGTAGAAGTAAGGGGAGAAGTTGTGGCGATGGTCTAGCCTGTGGACGTGATAGAGGTACGATTCATGGAGGAACGGATAACCCCAGCTGCATTTAGATGATGAGTAGGCGTCATGAAATAAGAACCAGAAAGCCTACATTGCATAGCATCCTGCCCCAAGAATGAGGAATGTCCCAGCGCTGATCAAGGTGAATCTAGTCGTCCGCCAGTTGACTATGGTCCTGAAGTACCCTTTATCTCTCTCCGCTGCACCGATGACACCCAGATTCCCGATTCCATAGATGATGGGATATATCTTCCAATGGGTGCTTATACCAAGCATGATAGCAGCCACATCCCAACGACTGTTCAGCGCGGCGTACAACGTGAGGAGGATGAAGAGCGACAAAATGGACTCGGAAGAACCGCGCGTCGAGATTGAGAAAACGAGGGGATTGAGGAGATAAGATGCCGCATATATAGCGGCGAGTTTTTCCTTCCTGGCATTGTCTTCTAGTTGCACCGACGCGTCGGGAGACATAGCCTTCGTCGAGGTTGATGGTGTAGGGATACTTGGCAAGATTTTTGACACCAGAAGTTGGTAAATCAAAAGGCCATTGATTATATCGCACGCGGCAAAGAGATATTTCCCAAAAGATGGGTGCAGCCATACATTTGGGGTGAGGAGGAGAGCCAAGAGAGGAGTGTATCGAAATGTCTCCCTAGTATACGGGCTGTCCAGAGACGTAAAGTCAGTAAAAGAACGTGGCAAACGTGTTAATACTCACTCTCCTAACTTCAAGAAGCCACTGAGGAGTTGGTTGAATGGACCTCGCGCCTGATTGGTGGCCCCAGGTCCTGAGCGAAGGAGAAAAGCGGCTGCATCGCTGAAGACGCGATAATCCACGTCTGTGTATTTGACAAGAGAGCGGGCGTCATGCCACTCACTGTAAAGAATCAACGCGACTCTGAGGAGAACGGAAGAAAGCACGATATTGCGGAACAGGGGCATGACGATTACATAATTTAGACTTCTTCAACCCATGTCCTCAGATTCTGGGGACGACCAAGGAGTCTTCGTCGACGACCATGGCGAGCCCAGAAAGTTTATTCTACACAAGAGCATCAAGAACCTCTTCCAGAGATCAAATTTGAAAACAGCTATCGAGGTGCACTGTTCCTTCATTCCCAGCTAATTAACGCGTCTCAATGAACAACAAGGAAAATGGTGGGACGCTGGTTCATGAGGATATCGGAGACGTTACAGTTCTCGTCCATGCTGTTTTTGACCGCGATGGCCTTCAAATGACCTACCACGGGGACAGGAACCGACAAAAACGAGAAGTCTACGTCGAGTATCTAAGTTTTGTTCAGCATTGCATCGAGCAGGGATATTTCGGACACCGAGATAAAATTAGAAAAGGTATGGGTGGGCGGTCGGATGGTCGTTCGTGTGTATTATTTCTCTTCTATATATTTTTCGCGTCTGATTCTTACTGCCTTAGTCGCGTGAACTTTACCGGAGAGGACGATGAGAATTTATGCCACTGGCTCGCAATGTTCATTCCAGACAAAGATGCTGGCGGTCGCAAAGGGCGAAATATATTTGTTTCCCTTATGAGAGCGGTAAAGTTGTTCGCGTTCTCTACCTTCACGCGTCTTACATTTCATAATGAGGCTTTCCATGACCCCATCCGTTATGCGTGGGCGAAACGCCACACCAAAGATTCATGGCAAGAACGGTATAAGAAAAACGCTGCCGCTCTCGATGCACGCATCTCTGAAATTGTTGCTCTCGAAAAACCAAACCCACGTCAACTTTGGCCTCAAGATCGACGGCTTAACAAGGGCGCAGCCAGAAGACGTTCGGCTCATATTGAACTGGAGGAAGAGGAGGAGGAGGAGGAAGAAGAGGAAGACGGACCAGAAATGGACGAGCTGGGGGAAGAAGAACCAGAGACGGGCGGGCCAGAGCAGGAGGAGCTAGGGGGAGAGGGAGAAGAACGGGAGACGGGGAGGCCAGAAGAACCTATTGAGGGGGGTGTAACGGAAACGTCGCGTCGCAAGCGAAAATCAGGGAACGAGCCGGTCTCTAAGGCGAGTTTGAAGAGGAAGAGAGTTGATCAACAAGACATTGTCAGTTCAAGAAGCAAAGGACCATCGAATGGGGACGAAGGACAAAGAACGGAAGGCTCACAAGACTTTGTACAAGAGGCGGAGGACGGAGAACCCTCCTTGCACAAGTAAGTATGATTTCTATACACGTTCCTCATGTTCTCAGCGCATTGCAGCTCCTTATTCAGCGCAGTTGATTATACGTTCAACGAGCCTAGCTCTCCTGAACCACAAGAACACGCGGCCGCATCCTCAAATAGCACACCCCCTACCAATTCCGCACTCCTCCCCACACAAACAACTTTAGTCGGTACCTCCCCCATTGCTCCAACCCAACCTAGCAAGAGACGCCGGACGACAGAGGCCCGCTCATATCCGGCGGAACCAGAGGCCCCATATCGCAATACTCGCTCAAGATCCCGGTCTGTCCAGCCTCCCGTTAGGCCAGCCCCTCCCAAGAGGCGGGGGACGAAACGAAAAACTGATGATGCGGGGGACAAGCCACCACTAGAGCCCGTCAACGAGGCGTTTAATGATGATAAAGTCAATCCAGTCGAGCCTGATAATGTGGAAGTCATTCCAGCTACACCTGACGATGTGGAGTTCAGTTTACCTGACCCTGGTAATGCCCCTGACAACGCGGACGTTCCAGTCCCCGAAACTTTGATGGAAGAAATGTATGTTGAGGACCAGCTTCTTGCAGACAACAGCGTTCTCAGCGCTCTCACAAACCGCGATACCATTTCACAAGCACGGGTTACCCGCCATCGAACAATCTCTATGGCCACTGATGACGCTCAAACCCACATTGCACTGCGTGCCCGTCCACTTCCCGCAGTCCCAAGCTCACGGGCATCTTCAGCTTTCGAGATCGACCCAGCACATATGCTCATGCAATTCGAACGTGCAACCACCAGAGTCTCTCTACCCCTACTAAACCCCCACCCACCCGGAGTTCAAGCCTCCCATTCACACCCTCGACAAAGTGAACCCTTTCCACGTCATCTGCGATCTATGACTCCTGTGCCAAGCACACCAGTTCCTAATGTTGCCTCAAGGAAAAGGAAAGAGTCTACTTCAAGTGTTGATTCCTTCCCCGTCGCGGGGACGAGAGCCAGCGCAGTCAAGAAGAAGCTTGAACAGCAGGAGAAGACTACGCCGTATAAACCACCCGCTGGGTCAAGGGCGGCGCAACGGCTGGCAGAAATGGCTAGTAAGCGTGGACGAGCGTAATCCAGGGCAAGAATAAGAGTAACCACCATCATAATCCAACCACAAAGTGCGATAATTGTACCATATGTACTATAAAGTATATCCGCAAAAGGGCCTAACGAGCGCGACCCTATTGATACCTTCCTTGTAGAAGTAATTCAAACTGAATTCAAATTCGTAGTATGCGGTTTGGTGGTTATGTATCCGCACGATATGAATACGGTACCTATAAACATACTTCAGAGGGGGATGTAACGAAAACTCAATAGGCACGAACGTGTTGAGAGAACCACTGCAATGCTAAACATGGAAAATTAGGACAAGCAAATTTCACAAGGCAGTAGGTGACGGACCTTCTTCATACCCTCGCCTCTGCACCGTTGAACACATGAAGAGCTCAACTGGTCTCGTACCATCAGGGGGAAATCCAACCCCCTTGATTGATTACACATTAGATTCCATGTACCACTCGGCGAAACATTTCAAACTAACCTTGCCTGTAGTCTCAACCAATCTAAGCTGTTGCCTCAGCTCATACTCGCTTACCGCACCAGGAGCATCAATCTTGGTGCCAAGCACAAGAAAAGGCACGTTCGACAGCGCTTGAGCAGAAAGCAGGACACGGAGCTCTTCCCTGGCCTCCGCGAAACGATCGATACCTGTGCTATCGACGAGGAATATGACCCCGTCACGCGCTGCTTGGTAATAGTCTCGCCAAAGACGGCGTGCTGGAGACGAAGTCAGTATAAGGTTCCACTGGAAAATGCATTGAGTATACGTTGCCCAAGTCCACTTATATCGTATGAGTAGTAGTTGATGTTGGAAAACGTGAATTCGGACGTGCCTGCGATGTTTAATTTCATTAGCGCTTCGTGCTAATCATCACCACTTACAAGGGAACAACGTCGGCTGCAGTGGAGCAATGCGATGATACTTTAACATATAGAGCAAGGTCTACAGCAGGCATGGCTGAGCATAGCGTGTAGGTCAAGGTGGAGGAAGTGCATACACTCTTTCCGGAGTTATCCAAACCGAGTACAATGATTTTAGCAGTCCTTTTCATGAAACCTTGACATCCGTCAGTGGGGTTGGTAGTATATGGAGATTGCAAAGCTATACTTACCAAATTGGATGGCGGAGTCGCGAAGCCATTGTAAGATCGCCGACATAGTGAGGTTGTCTGGGAATATATGTATCATTTGACGGCGTAGATAAGTAATTTGAAGAGATGTCGTGGAATGGGATCCTTCCACGACAGTGGCACGCATGAAAACCTGATGGGGCCCATTAGGGTAGTTCCGAGTCAGGTTTGTGTTGGCATCGCCTCAATCCAGCATCGAACGAGACCCAGGCGGCGCCCTGCATTGGCAGTGGGCCAGATAAATGTGACCTTGCAGAACCTCTCCAGAAACAGGGTCAAGCAGGGCGTCCGAAGCGCAAACCCCAGTTGTTTACTTCCATCCTCTTAAGACGTGAAGCGCGCCGCTGCGGGGAATGTCCAGTTGTGACCGGTGACGGGAGTCTGGGAAGAGACGATCGGCCCGGTTCGGGACCACTGACTCTGACCACATATAGTAATCCACTCATTTTACTGTCTCCTTCTCCGCGTGTCACATAAGCCACTTTTCAACACGCATTCTTGGAATTTCTCGCTTGATAACACCTGTATGCCGCTAGAGTTTTACCTGGACACCACACCGCTCATTATAGACACCTGATGAAAGCAAGTATTTGACACAAGAATTGGAATCCTCCACCATCTATTGTCCGAGAACGTGTCCAGGTTACTCTGCACGTTCAATGCCATTTTGAAGGGCTCATAGATAATGCTCCTAAATTATCAGGTCAGTAAGCTACGGATGAATCCCATTGAACGGAGAAGGGAACCTACAGCAGATTCTCCCAGGGGATTGACATCGACTCGGGGACGTAGACATGGGGATATGGCCGATCAAGCCCCTCTCAGAACCACTCCGGACTGGAAGTACAGCACTCGAGCCCTAGAATGCGTGGGCACCGACAGCTCGAGAGGGACCGAACACTAAAGCGGGTAGTATTTAAGGGGAGATTGATGACCATATTTCTCCTGCGATGGTCGATTTAGGCAAGATGATCCAGCCTTGGACTATTTCCCCTGCTGGGTGGAAGCTTGGTTCAAGAGACGTACCGGCTTGGGACGAGCGCCAGAGACCAGAGACAGAGACGGAGGTTATGCAATTAGTGAAGCAGGAAATTTCAGCAAAGGGCCTGCAGCTTCGAATCAGCAAGTTCCCACGACTGAGTAGACCGTTTGCTGGCTGAACCGCTCACTGGCTCCCCTTATCGTTCAAACTTACAAGTTCATCTCAACTTCATCGCAAGTATCGATAACGCGCCTGTTCGACGCCGACGGTTTCTGGGCAGATATCCGACAAATGAGCAGTTCAGACGACGCAATCAGGCACCCAGACCCTCTCGTGAATGCGCGACTTCAGAGTTTCCCTGTAGGCGGAGATCAACGCCACTTACTGGAAACCTGGTTGAACGGCCGAAGCGAAGCAGCCGAATTTTGGTCGGTAACTGTTCTACATGCGCAGGTCATCCTCAAGTCAGTGGACAGAAAGACGGCATTTGAAGAGGATCTGAAAATGGCCTTGCACCCCTTGAACGACTCGAATGTTCGGACAACTTTCTTGTCTTTCAACATGGAGCCCACAATGTTGACGACACTCTTCGGCAACCCGAAAGACTATAAGGTGACATTGTGCTCAAACTGGTCGCTGGCTTATCTTCTCCGTCATCACGATCCGGTCGATATACTGATTGGAATGTTTATTTTGCGTTGGTGTTGGACTTTGCTTAAATTTTTGACCAGATCTGACAATAATGCTGCAGGGAAGATTACTGATCATGATGATGTCTTCATGTCTCAAACCCCCGAAGACCAACAAATGTGAGATCTGTGCATTTTTTCATCTACACAAAAATCAACCTAGTATCTGTTCATTTGTAGTGAAGAGGCTGCTCTACGCCTGAATAAGCATTTCATGGAGACATATTGCGGACCAGGCGCACTGTGTCTCGAAAAGGGATTGCATCAGTACATGAAAATGTACAAACCGGAAGTCCACTATGGGAAATCGATTGTTATTCTTCAGAGTAGTGGGACCGGAAAATCTCGAGTAGTGGCCGAAATGACAAACTCGGTAGGCATTGTTTCTTTTCAAAGTTTTGGTAACTGATCTGTCCCAGAATCCTACAGACCATTGGGGTATCAGTGTCTGTTTCCGTAACTTGGGATCAAAGGCAGGGCCAGATGCTCGGGATGGGTACCCTTTCGGGGACATATCAGTTTTCCCCTGCCTAGATGTCCGGCAAGTAGAGCTAGGAGATTCGAAGTGGGAGCTTGGGTCTCTGAAGGTATCAACGTGCAATTCTTTGTTGATTGGTTGAGGGTGTTGACATTCAGCAGGGCGAGGAGATTGCGGCTGCCTTCATGGGCGCGCTTTTTTCTGTCCTACATGACACAATTGTGGATGCGCGTCACCGTGGGCGCTCTGTTGAAGAAGCCAAGAAATTTTTCGATAAGAGTTGGGAACTTTCGGATATCAGGGGGTCGCCACGCAGCAAAAACTTCACAAAAGTGGCTGACACCGCTATTTCCTTACTGGAAACACACGCAGATAAGATATTACATGCTCGTCTCCCCACAACTCATGCAAAAATGGTCTCAACACCGGTCAACCCTGATCAAATGGAGGTGGACGATCCAGGATCTATAAAACATGCGGGAGGCTCGAGCCCTTCAGCTCTCAAAGAAAAACCCAGTGGTGAGTGAATATTCAAGTAATTATTTATGTGCTGGTGTGTTTCATACAAAGTCAAGACCATGCCCAATGGGCGGAAGAGCTGTATGCTATCCTCATCAAACCATCTGCGGCAGCCTTGGACCAGGATCGGGTTGAGTTAGGACTGTCCTGTTTTACCTTCGCATTCGATGAATGCAGCTTTCTGAATTTCCATTTCCAACCGGGCGAGGTTCCGATCAGTGCCGTCGGTCGTATCACACTTCTTGCGATGCAAAGAATAATCAAGGCCTGCGAGGCTCACGGTTTCTGGTATTTTCTCCTTGACACGACGAGGGGACTGCACGACGTCTACCCGGACGCAACCAAGTCCACAGCGTTGTCCAAGCGCCTTCGAGGTGACCTGAAGCCACTTCCAGCCTGGCCGTACTTACCATTCGACATGATGGTGCCTCCTCCAAGTCGACTACCCAAGACCCCTCTAGATTCCCTATTATTGTGTAACCTCAAACTCTATGGTCGACCGGTACGTCAACCTCAGTCATCGGATGAGAAGTGTTTGTGCTGATCTTCAAACCTTCAGCTCTGGTCGATGTATCATGACGATGAGCTTATGGATATCGTCGGTGAAAAAATCCTCTGCGACAGACCGGAGAATTTTCCCAGCCCAAATTCCGAAACACGCAAACTGCAGATTTTAGCTTTGCACTCGACGCGATTTATTCTCAACCTCTGTGCCGAGGGTGCTGCAAACGTTTTGGCTGTCGCCTCCGTCAGGAGCCATTTGCGTGTTCTGACTGAGTATGATGCGGTGACACGTATGCTGAAATCAGAGGTACCATCCGAGCCTATCTTGGCCATAGGTGCTGGCAACCTCCTTCTCAAAAATAAACGCTTATACATAGATGCCATGCGCACTCTCGTCGATGAACTCCTGCTATCCGACGATGTGATCTCTTTGGGAGAAAAGGGGGAGACTTTGGCTCGCATTATCATCATTGTAAACCGCGATGCTACTGTCCATGAAGCAGGGGGCCAAATCCAGTGTGTTGTTGAAATCTCCCATCATTTACAGAAGATTGCTGAACAAACCTCTGATGCAAGGAGCTTGGGGTACAGTCGCTGTTCTGCTGTGCGGCCCTTCACTTTGGAGGCATATCTTAAAAATCTGCTGAAGCAGGGGCATATTGGCCCGGAGAGTCCCGCCTTTGATTCTGGCTTGAAATGGGGAGAAAAAGTCTACTTAAACTTTACCCATTTCATACAACTGGACGACTTCGTGGACGCAGATCTTTCGGCTGAGTTTCTCATCATGTGCTGGCACAGAGGTTTCGCCCTGCAGTGTGTTCATAATCAACCTGTCATTGACATACTCCTCATTGGTTACCGAGGTGATTTGTCCAAGCCTTTCAACCCCAGGATGTTTGTCTTGGTTGCGTTGCAGGTCAAGAACCGGGCCGACCCCGCGGGTACGAACTTGATCAAGGCTATAACCTGCCCATTCATAAAGTTCGGGTCCCAACGCTGGAAGCCACAATATATGGTGATCCTAATGGATCTACGCACTTCAACTGCTTTCCAAGGAGGTTCGAAAAGTCAAAAGGTTCGCGTTGCGAAAAGTCAAGCACAAAAGGGCAAGACGTGGGCTGCTTTCGAGGAGGCGAATGATTATAAAGCAGTTTGAATCAACATTCGTGGATTAGAACCCTATCGCTCTCTCGCAGAGTGGGCACCAGCGATACTAAACCTCCAGAAGTTGGGCATGGGGTTGACCGATTTCTCAGTTTTGAACAGGGGCTTGGCATCTACTCTGAGGGCCACGAAAGGCGCGCTGACATTGACCGCTACAGAAATGGAAAAGAAATATCAACTGCAGCTACAAGGTGAAATCTTCGATGATGATTGAGGGACATAGAAAGCTGCACCGTATATTTATTTTCGACGCTTTCCTCATATAATTTTACGAGTTGCCGTCTACGCCCAATAACGGCTATTAGTGTGCCATAATTTGTCAATCACATTATCTTACGAGACTTGAGTCTAGCCAAGCGATACAAAATAGGTGCTGATGCTACACCACGTGAGAAAGGCCTGGCTCATGTTAACCTACGACTTTGGGAGCCTAAGAATGAGCAGCCCACCGCTGTTCTTCGGGCACCTAAAGGCAATAATCTAGGTCAAGGTGGATTTCATGCAGATTTGACAGGATGGGCAACGCAACACTGGGCAGGGTATGATTTCAAGCTTCAGAAAGTTGCTTTTTAAAGAATTCATGGCGCTCCAACAATTATGGAGGTACCTTTGCCTAGATCACACATTACCTCAAATGTTTGTTGCTGTCCCCTCTGATGGAACAGACTCCAGAGGAGGCTTCTGTCAGGACGATAACTTGTGTTCCCTGCCAACGGTCATTTGATGGCGTTCCCACGAATTTCGGGCTGTGAGGAGCGAACCGCGACGAGCAGGCGACTAATACAGATGGGCTGAATAATTTTACGTTATCGGCGGTCGGTTATCTTCCATGTTGTTGTTTTCAGGCAGAGTCGGGGACTGGCGCTTGCGCCGCTACTGAATCTCATAGTGTCTCATGACACATGTGAATGATTGTATTTGTAATTTAAACCTTTTCTGAAGTAGCTCGTTTTTGTCGTAAACCCCCGAACGACGGCTGGGTAGAAGGCTGATGATTTAGGCGTTGAGCAGCCTCTTCCCTGCCAACAAACAGATGTTGGGTTGATTTACACAGTTAAAATGATGCACAGATCTCACATTAATTGGCATTGGAGTTGAGATATGGAAACATCGTCATGATCAGTAATCTTCCCTGCAGCAGTATTGTCAGATCTGGTCAAAAAGTTAAGCAAAGTCCAACACCTACACAAAATAAAGGTTCCAATCAATATATCGACCGGATCATGATGACGAAGAAGATGAGCCAGCGAACGGTCTGAACACAACTTCACATGATAGTCTTTCGGGTTGCCGAAGAGTGTCGTCAACATTGTGGGCTCCATGCTGAAAGAAGAGAAAGTTGTTCGAACATTCGAGTCGTTCAAGGGGTGCAAGGCCTTTTTCAGATCCTCTTCAGATGCCGTCTTTCTGTCCACTGACTTGAGGATGAGCTGCGCATGTCGAACAACTACCGACCAAAAGCGGGCCGCTTCGCTTTGGCCGTTCAACCAGGTTCCCAACAAGTGGCGTTGGTCTCCGCCTACAGGGAAACTCTGAAGTCGCGCATTCACGAGAGGGTCTGGGTGCCTGACATCGTCCATGACTGCATCATCTGAATTGTCCATCGTTGGTATCTCGTGGCTGTGAGGGATACTGACACTGGATACGCGGAATTACAGAAGTTACTTATGCACGTGTTGCTTCGGCGTCAACTGAACGTCTCTCTGACTTTCAAGTACCACAGCATGGACAACGCCACCCCTTGGATGGATGTGGATTATCCAGAACCTCCACAACAGGAGTACCCTATGCTAGTTCATTTACGGTGCCTACCACTGACAATGCCTTTGTGCCTCGCAATCTGTAAGTACTAAGTGTTCTCATCATTCCAAAAACTGACCTCCTCGGCGCTCGCAAGTTTGTCATCATCAATGATCGTGTCGATTACGCCATTGGACGTGTCCTCCGAGTCAACCCTGCTGACAATGCTGCTGAGCAGCGTAAACGTCCCTTTCATTCGCTTTTACTCGTTGTTGAAGCTAAGAATTATGCCTGTGTTAAGGACTCTATGGCCCAGCTCATTGTTTACCTGGCATCTCTCCGTCAGTCCCCATTGGAACGAAAATGGAAGGATGCAACTGTCTACGGCGTCGCATCCGATGGATTTACCTTCGGCTTTGTCAAGATCTCACACGATGGAACTGTGAAGCGCAGCCAAGGTATGACATTATGTGCGGTCAACTGAAGAACGTGTTGCTGGTTTTGAGGCATCTCCTAGAGACAACGGCGAGCAGGAACCCCACTTCGACCCCGGAGTAAACTGCCGGCGACAATAGTAACGACGAAACAGTTGAAGGAGATCCAGCACTCGACCTGGACGACAATCCGTTCCTGATGCGTCCGGGCGAAGATGAAGAAGACAATTGGTAGTAACCTCCATAAGATTCCTGTCGGTGGGCTAGGATTAACATCCTTACACTCGTTTGTATGATAATAACATTGCCTTACTGCTTGTATGTTTTGGTATGCATGGTTTGCATGGGCATAGCAGAACATAACTGGAAATGTAGATGACTCGAATTGAGGTGACGCCGTTAAGTTGAAATTTATGCAACGGCGCAGTGGAATAGAGTTGGCCCCAATTATCAGGCCAGGATTAGTACTGAGGCCCTGAAAAGGACTATCTCAACATGACGACGATGGTATAATGATGGATCTGGAGATGACCTGGAATAACCTCTGCTTGAGTTTGAACTGCCATTGGAGTGCTAAAATGAAACCTGAGGTTTCTGTCACGCATTGGAGATAAAAAAAAGTCCAATTTCACGACGCTTTACAAACATATGAGGCTCAAAGGGCTGAAGTAGTCTGCTACACGAGATAGCATTTCTAAAGGCTATGAAGGCAAGGTCAGTAGATGGCTTTTCAGATGGAAAATAGGGAAGAAGTTCTAGCGGTACCCCATTCCGCTTGTTCGTCTTTCGCTGGTGTCTTCTTGGTCAAGCACAAAATCGCCAATGTTAACTATGAAAGACAAACCTGTGCCAAAGAGGGGGGGAAGGGGTGGTCAAAACGAAATGAATGCATAAGTAGCTATAAAGTCTATGAAAGGTCATACTACGATGGTAGAAATTAAATCTGGAGAAGGGTCAATGAAGCTGGTGATAAAGTGGAAGGAAGGGACATACGTATTGAGAAATCCACCGGAAACCTCAAGGACAAAGATGATAAGATTGCGTCAAGTTTTAGGAATAAACAGAGCTCACCCTCTCCATAGCCCTGCCTCTGGACCACTGAGCACATGAAGATTTCAATCGGCCTGATGTCGCTTAGGGGAACCTTGCCCTTTAAGCACAACGAATATCAGTTACGAAGTCCGCCAAACAAGCTACACGACACGAACCTTGCCAGTGGTCTGGTAAAGACCAAGGTGATGCCTCAATTCCTCCTCACTCACAGCGCCAGGAGCGTCGATCTTGTTTCCAAGAACAAGGAAAGGAACTTTTGAAAGATCCTCAATAGACAGAAGAGCATCAAGCTCTGCTTTCGCCTCTGAGAAACGTTCGAAGTCGGCACTGTCGACAAGGAAGATGATGCCGTCTACTTCGGGGAAGTAGTCACGCCACAGGCGACGAGCTGAGATGCCGGTGGGAGTTAAATTGGAGTGACGAGCTTGTACGAACGCCGTATACCTTGCGAATGTCCACCCAAATCATAAGTTGTGAATTTGACGTTGCCAATGGCCAGCTCCTCCGATGCTGTTGGTGTTTACTTACGTGGCAAGGCGAACGACGGTGGTAAAAGACATACTGGGATGGAGTGTGGGCTGCAGGGTGGCCAGCCTGTCGTTTTTGAGCATGTGCAACAAGGTCTTAAACGAAATGGTTAGGGCTTGTCGATAGGTAAAGCCAAGTGCTTACTGTCTTTCCTGCATTATCGAGGCCAAGGAAGAGAATCTTGGCGTTCTTGTGGGTTAGACCTGAATAATGTTAAGCGAGGCGTTCCGGACGACATTTTGTGGAGAAAGCGAACCCAGTTGAGCCAAAACATCCCAGAACCATTGAAGAATGAACATGGTGGGTAGGAGGAGACGAGTGTAGTGTGAATTGTGACGCGTGTGACACGTAGTGCTAGAATGAAGCCGAGATGCACAAGCGCCCGCGAACCATTTTCTAAGTTGGCCAATGCTCTTTAGCTTCGCCAACTTGCTTTATCTGGGCGCGCCCGCTTTTCTTTGGTACTCCTACCGCTCTACTCTCAAAAAATCCTCCGTGAGAGTCTATGGACCATGGTACCTACCCAACTTTATTCGTGGCGTCATCGCCATGATTCGTCTTGGCCAAGACGAGGATGGATTCCTACTCTCGGCTCGCAGAGTTTACGGCCCCGTAGTCTATCTACCTTGGCCTCTTGATCAGATTTTTGTTCTGGAAGGACAGGCCATTCAAAACGTCTACAATTCACCGGCTTCTACTCTATCTTTTGTCCCTATCCGCATCTCAATGCAGGGAGCTGTCTTCGGAAGCCCAACAAATGTAATACATCATTCAGCTCTGAAAGACCGCATATTCCCAGTCCACGCACGCGGTTTGACCAATGTTCGCCTGGACGCTCCCATCGAGCGCTTCGTCCAAGTCGTCCAGCAAAGAATCTCTGATCTTGGCCATAGAATCGACCACTGCGACGGTTCCTTCCAGATGCCCTTAGTGAGTTGGGTCACTCAAACCATGTTCGAAGCAGCCACCATAGCTCTCTTCGGCGAGGAATTCAACGCCCGCATGGTAGCAACAGGGTCTCGAGACCACTTCAACGCATTCGACAATTGCTTCCCCCTCCTTGTCTCCGAGCTCATACCGGACTTCCTTTTCCCTTTCGTACCCCCACTTCGCAGTGGTATCCGTGGCCGCGACGCTACCGCGAAACTACTCGCAGACTGGGTGGCAGACGGCATGCCTGGCCTCGAAGAAGGCGTCATAAAAGATACGGCTGACATCGGGCTTTCCGCGGGTTTTTCATTCACGGAAATAGGTACTCTCCTGAACAGCGATCTCTGGGCTCTCCAAGCAAACGCGCCTTACGCAGCCGCCTCGTTTCTCCTTTACATCCTACAATCTCCTTTACTCCCCGCCATCCAAAAAGAAATTGACAGCTTGCCTCGTGATGGGGTTTCCGAAAACCCCTTGATAACCATGAAGACACTAGCATCAATGCCGCTGGTCACATCGTGCATGCATGAGACACTCCGCTTGTGTACATCGAGTTTCAGCATCCGCATCGTGGAAGAGTCATTTATGCTCTCCACCCCCTCCTCACACGATCAATATCCCCAGGGATATCTCATCCCGGGTGGGTCACGCATCATATGTGCAACTCGCGCCGCGCACCTCACAGACCCTATCTGGGGTCCTGAACCAGCGGCATGGGACGGAGAACGATTCCTTGACAGTAAGTCCGACGCAGAGACTGGCGGAAACAAACTCTCTAGAGAAGTGAGAGGCTTTGGAGGAGGAGTTTCAATCGCAAGTGTTTTCCCCTGCTTCCAAGCTCATATGTCTAATGATGAATCCACAGTGCGAAGGACGTCATCTTGCGTCGGCAGAACTCAAGTGCCTGCTCGCGCTGATGCTCTCGAACTTTGACATTACGCCACTCTTCCCCACACAAGGCAGGGGCCCTCCTCTGACTGCTGAGGCAACCAAAATCGACATCAAGGGCGCCTCCAAAACGGGAATTGCGCCTTCGAGAGCTCTTGGTCGACCTGGGTTGGGAGCGTTCCAATTTGACGATTCAGATGTAATTGTCAATGTTGCTAGAAAAGCCACGTCTTAGCGTGCTTTAGATTGGCTATTTGCTTAGTGATTAGAGTGTTTATCGTTTTGCTCACTACGACTTGGAGTGATTTTACGAGAGACCTAGTTGACGATGAGGTTCGCTTCGTTGCTCAATGACAATGCCGTAGCCTAAATTTACAAGCAATGGGTATGATACAAACACTACAAAGCCGTTTCGAACACTTCAGAGCTGAGAATGATACATAGCTAATTCAAGGGTCTGTCCTATCTATCGTCGATTGTCCATTCAAATGTCCTTGCCATCACCCATCAGAGGCGCAACAGTGTCAGACCTCAATTTGAAAGAGGTCACCATGGCCTGGCTTGCCCCGTACTTGAGCTTTACCATTCTATCATTCAGAGATCCTGCTTCAACTCCATCATCGTCTTCGCGTCCTGCCGCTGGCATAGGAGCAGCAAATCTTTGGCGTACAGAGATAGATTGCTGACACGAGGGGCACCTCGTCATCGACGCAGAACAGTCCTCGCAGAGTTCATGACCGCAAGGTCCTAGGCTGATGGTTGCCATCTCAGAAACACATTGACCACACTTTCTGTCGAGGCTTGACCTCCCCTTCGTCAATTTTTCTTGTTGTGCCAGTTGGGATACTGACAGAACATTTGACAGAGGGGTTGGAGTTGTGGCATTGTTAGCAACCGGAATATGCTCATCATACAACTCAAACCAGGGGAAGCCATTCTCCAAGTACGTTTTTGTACTGACTGGGGACGGCGGAATTGGGAGACCAGTCACAGATGTAAAATGAGTGGCGTTGATGACTGTCACATATAGACGGCAACCTCGTTGAAAGTTATAGGCAAGCGGAGGAAGCGAATCTTTGTTTATCTTCTGAGATATGCGACCTCCCACGGAGAAGCCACCAAGCATATCCATATCTCCTCCACCACGCAGACGTAAAACGAGATAAATGGTGGATTCTTTTTGAATGTTGTAATCTTGGAAAAAAATAAGCAAAATACCCCTTTCAACATAGGAAAGCAGCACCTACCTGAAAGCGTTCTGGCATCATCAAGCTGCCTTCCGGCAAAGATCATTCGCTGCTGGTCAGGAGGGATGCCTTCGCAGTCCTGGACAAGCATTTTGAGTTTTTCAATAGTATCGCTTGACCGGACAAGGAGGTCTATAGTCTTTCCAGTGAGGGTCTCAATGAATATTTGCATTGTCCCTGTTCCCTTGACTTCGGCTATCGTCCCTGTTCCCTTGGCTTCGGCTATGAGGCTCTCCCTGTTTCCCTGACTTTGGCTATGAGGCTTATAAGTGGGGTATCCCGTAAGGTGAATAACAGGCTTCTGTGTGCTCTTTGTATCTGAAATTTTAGGCCCTAGCCTGCAATTATTTGCCGGACTGCGAGGAAGGGAGTAGGTCAGGCTAATCGCCGCTCAGATGACAATTTGCTAACTTATTGTCCAGAATCTCGATGGATTCTCCTTCAGCAAGACCAAGCTCTCGTGGCGTACGGTAAAGGTCTAAAATGTTGGAAGCCTTTGTAAACGATACCGAGGTAAGATATCTTGGAAATACATCAATTTGGATCCCTCCTTCAGACTGAATTCTGCTATCAGCGGGTTCATAACTGAAAGCTCAATTTCGAGGCTTACCTCTCGTCCAGTCAATTGGCCTTCAACAGTATGGTTATGACCCAGAGGCACTGCCACAAACTCTGTTGCGATATACTAGTGTATAGTTTGGTGAACGATTAGATGTTGAGGACACTCACGCCTAACCACGCCTGGGGCTGTTGACATGCCATCCTTGAGAACGCAAATTGAATGAATTAACAGATGTCGCCAAACAACAATCAAGCACGTACAAGCCAACTGTGAGGGGAAGAGGAAGTCCAGTATTGAAAACTTTGATCTGGCTATGATTTACCTAGAAAACTCACAGTTGTCCATAGACATCCTCCAATGGTAAATAATCTTGTTTCCCCTTCACCGAAAGACCTTGAGGGGTACCTGTGAGTGCGTTAATACCTCCAACTGAGACCTTCAGGGCGCATGGCTTGAGTGGCCGAAAGGACATCCACATTGCTTCTTTCTGATACATGCCCTTTTGGAAATGATTTGGTCATCTCCTTACCACAGCATACGAGGAACTTACGACGAATATGCCTCCCTTGGACACCACCGATTTTGGAAGACGGTCGGTGAAATCTCCGACGTTACTTTAAAGGGATTAGGCGAGATTCTCAGCAGACTACATAAACTTACAATAGCTCAAAAGGTCCCAGGCCAGGAGGAAGAGCATGAACTTTATCATTATCTGTTGAATAGTAAGCTCATTCGCCACTATGACTACGACAAGTGCTTTACCTGGGACACGGATTGTCCTGTCCAGAATGATAAACGACGATTAATCGCCCAGACGTGCTAAAAGCAACTTCACGAACCTCTCAAACCCTATGCTAGCAAGGTCACCAACTTTGACCTTGTTGTAGTTGCCAATTACTGCAGACGTTGCGGTAGAGTCAAAATTTTGAGAATCCGTGCTTTGGAGGTAGACATTGCTATAGAAATGGAGCAAAGGCTGGTCACTTTTCAAAATAAAGATTCAGAGGGCAAAATGTCATTCGAGCGACCAGCGTCATTGTTGACCCACAGATTGATTTGACCACTGACGCCGTTGAAATTGGACGGTGCGGAGGTAATTTTGAGATCGCACGGTGTAGGACGACTGACCAGAACAAAAAGTTCGGGAAAACCTTTGTAACTGGTCAGATGAATGTCGGATGTCACGTAGATGCATTGAAGAGGACGACACTTGCCCTGTTTACTCAATCTCTCCTGCAAGTCGCCAAATGTGAGGGGCTGAGGTATCGTTCCCAGATCCACACTCTGCTGTTTATCCTTGAGAGAAACAACGACTTGTACGTTTTCCGGATAGTTGTTGGAACTGAGCATCTTGAGGCGTTCACTTGTCAAAATGAACAATCTGTGGTTAACTTTGGGTTAACTTAGATGAACTCGCAGAGCCGAAGGCTATGCATGATGCATTGAAACGGTCACAGTTCACCGTTTCGGGAAAGTCCGAATGCAATCTCTGTAAAGATTCAACGATATACTTCGCTAGTAAGTATACGTATGAATATTTTGAGACGTCCTTTTCCTTTCTTCGCATTGAATGGAATTCAGGGACGTCGGCCAAATAGAGCGGACACTCCCAAATAACGCGCTATCTTCCTGATGTATTGATTTCCTTTGGTCTCTGCATTCTTTTCCACAGCTTTCCCATCTCCGGTGCCAGTCAACGGCGAAATGGCGTGACAACTCTGCTTGCAAGAGATGACCCGTCCTTGGCTAGCACCGTACTCAAGTTCCAGGACTAGGCTACCATTCGAGTTACCTGCTTCCACGCCATTATCCTGGTCCACGAAGGGCATGGAAGCAGCGAATGTATGACGTCCAGAGATAGCTTGTCGGCAAGAGGGGCACTGCGTAATCGATGCAGAGCATTCGTCGCAGGTTTCATGTCCGCAAGGTAGAAGGGTGGTGGTCGACATCTCTGAGACACAGTAAACACACTTTCTCTCCAGACTTGACTTCCCCTGTGCCATCTTTTCTCGTTTGGCTAGCTTGGATATCGACAAAATATTTGAAAGAGGGGTCGGAGTTTTGGTATTGTTGGCGACTGGGATGTATTCATCATACAATTTGAACCAAGGAAGTCCATGCTCCAGATACGTTTTGGCACTGACTGGAGATGGCGGACTCGGAAGGCCAGTTACCGAAGTAAAATAAGTCGCGTTTATGACCGTGACATACAACCGGCAACCTCGCTCAAAATTGTAGGCGAGTGGAGGGAGTGGGTCCTTGTTGATCTTCTGGGATATACGGCCTCCCACAGAGAAACCACTTAGCACGTCGGCATTCGCTCCACCCAGTAAACGCAAAACAAGGTGAACAAGAGAACCGTCGGAAAGTTTATAATCTTCGGGATAATAAGCAAGAATGGATGGTCGAAATATGGAAGCAACACGCACGCTCAACTTCGAAGTCGTCTTCAAGTTGTTGCCCACTAAATAAAAGTCGTTGTTGGTCCGGAGATATGCCCTCACGTTCCTGAATCATAATTTTGAGCTGACCAACTGTATTTTGAGGTCGGACATCAAAACATATGGATTTGCCGCTGATATTCTTTATGAATACTTGCATGCCTTTCAAAGCCAATTTTGTGTCCAGTGTATGTGTTCTGAATCCATCAAAGTGAACGACAGGCTGTTTTGTAGTCATTGTCTCTGAGCCTACGGGTGAGTTCCCGAGTCTCAGGCCACGGGATGACCTGGCGCAATAAAATGTGTTTGAAATTGCTTGCTGTAGTAAAGGGACCACCAACCTCTAGTCCAACATCTTCAAGAAATCATTTTCAACAAGACCCAGCTCACGGGGTGTATTGTAAAGACACAAGGCTTCGCCCGTTTTGATGAATGACACCGAGGTTGGGTATTTTGGAAAAACATCGATCTGAATCCCTCCCTCAGTCTGCGTTAGGCAGCCATCAGCACGATTGGAACAAGCCATCTCAACACCAAATCTGACCTCACGTCCAGTCAATTGGCCTTCTACGGTGTGGTTATGACCAAGAGGGACCGCCACAAATTCTGTTTGAGGGCAGAAAGCTTAGTTTGACTGGGTTGATAAAGGTTGGGTACTCACGCCTAACGATGCCTGGAGTGGTTGAAATGCCATCCTAAAACAGAAAATCAGAGTCCAGCCCGGACAGCGGGAAAGCGATGCATACCAGCCAACTGGGGGAAAATTATAAACGTTTGCCTGTCAACGTAGACACAAAAACTCACAGTTGCCCATGAGCATTGCCCAATGGCAGATAATCTTGCTTTCCTATCGCCGAAACGCCTTGCGGCGTACCCGTCAGCGCATTAATTCCTCCAACAGAAACCTTCAGCGCGCATGGGTCTGCGGAAAGAAAGGACATCCACATAGCTTCCTTTTGATACATACTCTTCCGAGGCAAAGTCATCTTCGTGTCAGAACACCGGCAAGTCACTTACCAAGAACACACCTCCCTTGGAGATGACAGACTTTGGAAGACGGTCGGCGCATTTTCCGACATTGCTGTGAATTGAATGAGTAGTAATCTCTTGCTTGGAGATTAACGCACAATAGTCGGAAAGATCCCAGGCTAGGGGAAGAGCCTGGACTTTATCGTTATCTAGTCAGAAGTGAGCTCTCCCCTGCTACAGTTTGGATCACAACAAATAATTTGCCTGGAACGCGGATTGTCCTATACAGAGTAGTCAATCAATTATAAAGGTGGAATAAGAGCAACAAACCTCTGGAACCCAATGCTCACAAGCCCACCGACGTTCACCGAGTTGTTATCTTTGTGAATTGTACTAGATGTTGCATCGGAGTCAACTTCCTGGACATCTGCGACCGCTTCGAGATAGATGTGACTGTAGAAGTGAATCAAAGGTTGGTCGCTTCCAGAAGTTGAGAATCAGAAAGACGCTCGATCAACGGAATCACAACAAATAACCCACAGGTTGATCAACATCTCCCCCGTGACATCATTGAAACTCGACGGCGCGGAGGTAACCTTGACATTGTGTGGTGGGACGGGACGAATGAACAGAACGAAAGGTTTTGGGAAGCCTTGAAACTCGTGCCGTCAGAGAGAACATCGCACTCTGGACGAGAGCAATTTACCCCGGTTCACTAGCCTCTCCTCAAGGTCGTCAAATCTGACGGGCTGGGAGATGGTTCCCAGATCAATTTCTTGTTTTACACCCTCGAAAAAAACATGCACTCGAACGCTTGGCGGGTGTTTAGACATCTGTATGCGCTTCGAAGTAGTGAGGTTGGTTAGACTTGGACGGCAGAGCAGGTCGGAAGGGTGAAAGGTAAGATTGTGCAATCATATCGGTTTCTGAAACCTTCTTGCCACGAACCGAAACAAACTGAGTCGATATTCCGTGCTACGCACAGTAGTATCGCTCTACGTACTGCCTGAGCCTTCCTTTTGAGTTCCATGCAAAGGAGAAACAGCATGAGACTCAAGTATGAATGAAATGACTGTCCCTCGGCTGGCATTATACCTGAGTTTGGCGAGCCTATCATCCAACGAACCAGCCTCCAGTTTGCATTCGCCTTCCCGTCCAAGGGAATTTAGGCGAGCAAGTCTTTCGTGACCGTGAATAGGGTATTGACATGACGGGCATCTGCCATGCGGATGGCAAGCCCGTGTCAAAAAACACCTTTTGCAGATGTTGTGATTGCAAGGTTCCAAACGTGTAGTGGGTAGCTCGTAACTGCATGAAGCACAGTATACGTCGAGCACAGATGTATCGCCTGCGGTTTGAAGAATGTCGGGGTTAGGAAGGCCAATTGACTGGGTGAAGGGGCTTTCATTCTCTACCCGAGCGTCCTTCGATATCTCGACAGGAGGCCCAACCCCCGGAGTGAGGCGAGATGCATCAATAATCGTGACGTTTAATCGACGTCCTCTTCGAAAGTCGTATGCGATGGGCAGCAAGGGATCTTCGTTCGCGGTCCGAGAAAAACGGTCCTCAACAGAACATTGGCCCAGCGGCGACGTATCAGCGCGGTTTCTCAACGACAACACCAAATGGACAATAGATTCATTGTCCAACTTGTAATCTGGAAGATTATTGAGAACATTTCATAGAAAGGGTCAATCACACACTCACGTCGTAAACTCCAACCATCTTTGAGCTCCTCTCCTGGCGCGATGATGAGTCTCTGTGATGGAGGAGGAATGCCGTCCTTTGCTTCGATAATGCCCTTCACCGTATCAACACTGTCATCGCGTCTGCACTCAACGTTTATTCTCCTACCAGTCAGGGTTTTAACATATAATTTGATTATCTGACTGTCCGGCATATCAAGGTACGCGTCGAAGTGAGCAACACGCCCTTCAACGGTAGTTGAATCCGGGCCCTTCGACGGGTCCTGAACCTTGAAGCGACGATACAAACTGTTGGGACTATCAGCCGGACCTCTCTTAGCATTGACACTGACATACGTCTTCTCCGTCATACGAAGGACATCTTTCTCCCCAAGTCCAAGTTCACGAGGGGTCTTGTAGATATCCACACTTTTGTCGCCAACGTTGAATGATACGGAAGCAAGGTATTTGGGGTGGACGTCGACTTGTATGCTGTTGTTGGTCTGATCTTTTTGTTAGACGTCATGCCTCTCCACTTTTGAGCAACCTCACCCCGAGTTCGCTCAAGGGTTCAAGGGAGGCAGAACCAGGATCAGAATGCAAAGCAATTTCTACCAGTTTTGTTTATTGAGGCAATGATCGCACGCTTAGTATCCACTTACGACTGATGACTCCAGGAGCTGCCAAAACGGTATCCTTGTGAGGGTAATTAACTATTGACCACCGCCGTGTGACATCCAGACGGACTTACAAGACAGCTAGGGAGGTTTTGCACATGAACTTCCGGAATGCAGTTCTCGACGGGAAACTTACATTTGCCGCTTGCCCACGGGTAGGACGACATAATCTTGATTTCCATTGGAGGAAGCATCTTGTGGGAGACCGGTAAGCGCATTTATTCCTCTTACGGAGATCTTGACTGCGCAAGTGAAGAGAGCAAATAAAGACAGGCACATGGCTTCCTTTTCATCCATATCCTTTTAAACCCTATGAGCTGGCTGTCAAGGCAATTCAACTGACACCTTACGATGAATATGCCTCCTTTCGACGTGACTGACTGGGGCAAATTGTTGATGGCGTCTCCGACATTGCTGGGGTCGCGACGCTCAGCGATGAGTCCTACAAGCGTGCAATGACTTACTGAACGTTGAAGGCACCCATGTCGGGGAGTGTGTCACGAGCCTCGGCATCTACGCGTTCAATAAGATACAGATTTCTTTCATACGGCAGACGATTTACTTGGGACGCGGGATGTCCTGAAGAGAAAAAGCCACCATCAGTTTGGAATGGCACTGAAGGGAAGACTAAGCTGCGCACTTTCGAAACGCTATCCTGACTAGACCACCAACATCAATATTGTTGTCTTCTCCAACCTTGGCGATACTTTCAGTGAAATCAAAAGGCTGAGGATTCGTGGTCTCCAAGAAAACATCATGGTAGAAGTGCAATAGAGGTTGATCACTGTGTAATTGTTCAGCAGAGGGCACCAAAGATATAGACATGACGAACATGTTGATTTCGCCTCGGACACCATCGCAAGTTGAAGATCCAGTCGAAACTGTGATATCGTGCTCTACCCGTCGTGAGACGAAAGATGAGAACTTCGGGAACCCTTTGATATCACGTCGTAAGGACGAGCGGTACATAGAAGCAACAAGTTCCTCACCTAAATCAACCAGGCGTTGCGAAATATCGTCAAACCTGACTGGTTGCTGTAACCCTCCAAGATTGACTCTTTGATCAGCATCCTGATGATCCTTGACAAACACGACGACCTCTGCAACCTCGGGATAGCCAGCGAGTCCTTTCATTTTTTCCGATGACCGTAGTTTGGGCTGGAGATGGAGAGTCTGAGGTGCGTTTTTCTAAAAGAGTCAACTGCGGGGCATAAAGCCACCGTGGTCTTCGAAAGTCATGGAAAATCGAAAGGCGACCGAAAGGCAAGATGCAAGAAAATCGAACCAAGGAATGTGATCGTCGTCTTGAAAGATTGGACCGCAACGTTCAAATGCAACAAGAGATATATTTGTGTTATGTAGGAAAGGTCTGACACTCACAGCACCAAAAGGTGGGTGGGCGAGTTCTTATACCCGGCCAAGCATCCCTCTACGCTTGACCTGAATCGCCTCGCCCGACATGAAGAGTAGGGTTGGGCGGGCACTGTCTAAAAGGTTGCGGTGAAGAGAAAACTTTTTCGCGTTGCCCTTTATATACCTGTTGTATTTGGTAGTATTTGGCCATACAATTATTTAAATGTTCTCCTCCAACCAAACCTCCAGTGCTTCAAGCCCGTCTTCAGACGCAGACTTCTCATTAATCACCCCCTTGTCCTGCGACGAATTTCGAGGGCGGACTGATGTTCCCAAAAAGATAACCTCTCCACCTTCCCATTCCTCAAACTTAAATGTGCCACCTTCCCCACATTCTAGGCCTCCCATATCTGATCGCTCGCCCTCTGCGCCCAATCCCTCAACCCCAACACCTCCCACTTGAGATGCACGACGCTTCTCGAGTTCTCGTTCCAAGATGGTCTTGACGCGATTTATCGCGAGAGTCGTCGAGGGTGCGGCTGATGCTGAGGATGATGTCTTCAGCAGATCAGCCTTGTGAGCGAGGATGAGTAGTGATGGTAGCTTTTGAGAGGGCGGGAGTGACGTTAACGCGTGTAGTATGGAGTGAAGGTGCCTGGAATGTGGATTGAGTAAAATTGAAACGAATTTAAAAGCCACTCACTCAGCGACGACAGGGGCGTTTCGAGACACGGTGCTAGAGTCCACAACAAACGCGATCGCTTTTGAGTCTACTAAATGCTCTTGGAATTGATCCCTGAGGCGAGGATGGCCAGGTACATCAATGATCATTGTCTGCTTCTTGTTAGAAAGGGAGAAGACAGATTGATTGGTTTGAAGAGATGTATGCGTTGGCAGATATTGAGAGTAGACCAACTATTCCATTATAAGAGACGGTCATACGATGCATTAAGCTAGTACAAACCTTGGAAAATATCGCGGTTTTACCAGCATCTGGAGGTCCCACGAGAAGTAACGCGTTTTTCCTTGAACCTGATTTTGTCTTGTTGAAAAAGAAGAGAACTATGTGGTGTGTATCAGCAGTGTGAATGTCAGATGTGGACACTACTCACGGGCCAAGAAAAGGACCGCTACCGACAGCGACGCAATCAAATACGTGCTAGGCGTAAAAGTGGCAGCCAGAGGCAGAACCTCTGGTGTTTCAAAAGGCCGATTCTGATCCATTGCTCTGCTGAACAGACGAGAGTGACGTCGATGAACAGGAAGAGCTTGTTTGCGTCTGTTTCATTACAATGATCTTGGCGAGAACTTTAGCAAATTTTGAGGTCCTCTTCGCGCGTTCAATTCTCTAAATCGAGATGGCTGCAACACCAATGATCGTGGATTCTGATAGCGCAAGTCCACCCCCACGAAAAAGGATTCGTCAAGATCCAGTCGCGTCAAGAAAAACTCCTAAAGAACCCCGACTATTTTTTCCATTTCGAGCCCTTGGTCTAATCACGAACCATGTACCATTCGTATTGCAAACCCGATCACACAAGGGTGCGACCGATGGTCCTCGAATACACCTTCTGACCTGCCTAGGGAGATCATGGGCTTTGTGGGAAGGAGGAAAAATGACACTTCTATTCGTCGGTAAGTACGTGTTCCTCTCAACTTCATCATTCTTGCTCTAGGCTAACGACCGACGAACAAATAGGACCGGATGCATCGGAACATATATCTAGTATGGCTATGGATGGAGACGGGGTATGGGTTGCTTCAGGCCCCCATGTCATAAAATACATACGCGGGAAAGAGGTGAGGTTCGAGGATCATTGCAGCAGGCAGGATGTTTAATGAAACCAGGTTTTACGTGCTACAAATCCATTGGATACATCGCTGGTCTTTATAACAATCTTCGGACCCCACATCTTAGCCTTGACCGAAGCGGGAGATCGAATGATGGTGTGGGATACTACGGAAGGAGGTACGACTTGGATGCCACTGTTTCTGGAGCTTTGTTGAACTTCTGTGCAGAGATGCGTTCCACCATTCAATTCGATCAAGATTTCGCCGCAACCTCAATTCTCCATCCTGCCACTTACCTGAACAAAGTGTTGGTGGCAAGCAGCCAAGGGACCATGCAACTTTGGAATACCCTCTCTCAGTTTAGTGGCTTCTCGACTTATTGCAATGTTTTATTGACCATTTTCTTCCAGGACTTGTATTTACAAGTTCACCTCCGCCAAATTACTATCGTCTCCAAACGTACCTGTTCCTGGCGCCGAACTTGGTTGCGCCATAACAGCTCTAACCCAATCGCCAGCCATTGACGTCGTTGGTATTGGTTTTACCTCTGGTGAAATTTCGGTTTACGATATTCGTGCCGATGAGCGCCTCATGCGCATGTTCATGGAAGGCGGCATCAGGTCGTTAGGTTTCCGAAGTGGTACGCTGCATTCTTGCTCCTTTACTTCCATATTAATTGGGTTTCAAGATGGTAACCATATCCTCGCGTCTGCCTCTTCTGCTGGGCATATTGCCCTCTGGGATCTGAATGCTGGAGGGCGACTACTTCACATGATTAGAGGTGCCCATGATGGAGCTATCACATCTGTCGAATGGGTGCCGGGACAACCTGTCTTGATCACCTCCGGCGAAGATAACAGCGTAAAGGCAGGTCTTGCACGTCGTCTTTCTAACTTAACTGTAACGTCCTGTATCTAGCAATGGCTTGTTGAGTCCCCCACTTCCCCGCCAAGATTGCTCAAGTTCCGGTCAGGCCACCACGCTCCTCCCCACCTTATCCGATATTATGGTGACGATGGCAAACAACTCCTGACGGCTTCAAGGGATCGCAGCCTTCGTTGCACCTCCGTCGTCAGGGATTCACGGTCGTTCGAGTTGTCGCAAGGTAGCTAAACAAATCCTCACCGCAGCTGAGGCGACTGATCCGGTTTTTCAGGATCCCTTGCTAAAAAGGCGACAAATCTGTCCATTCCCCTGGCTTCGCTCAAGTTTCCTCCGATAACGTCGCTTTCATACTCATCAGCGAGGGCGAAAGACTGGGACGATATCGTGACTGCCCACACGGACGAGACCTTCGCTCGCACCTGGACGATGCAAAACAAAAAACTTGGCAAGTATAGTTTTGGGTTCGCAGAAGCTGCGACCGTGAAGGGAAAGGGTAAAGAACGAGCTCCGTTAGGTTCCGTCAAAGTCAGTGGGATGACTCCTCATATCCGTTGTGGCACATCTGATTTCTTTTCTCTCCCAGGCAGTGTGTGTAACAGCTTGTGGGAACTTTGGCATAGCCAGCTCCTCGACTGGCGAGATACACATGTGGAATATGCAGTCCGGCATCCGACGTAAGACCTACAAGTTGGGATCATGTCCTCCCGAAGTTGCTGGCAGGTTACATTCGACAAAAACCAAGCGGCGTTCTGTGACGGGGCTGGCCACGGATTCTTTGAACTCCACCGTTATTGCGAGCACTATGGATGGAACGATCAACGTTCGTTTACTCTAAGATCGATGTCGTATCTGCCTTACTGACCTTGTTTTGCAGTTCTTTGATTTCCAGACAACAAAACTCGAACATACTCTGATTCTTCCTTCGACGGCTGTGTCAATATTACTACATCGTGACAGTGGTTTACTGGCTGTCGTATGCGACGACATGGTCGTTCGGGTGGTTGATATTGAGACAAGAAAGGTGGTCAGAGAGTTGGGCGGCTTCCGTGGTCGTGTCCTCGACATCGTATGCGTCTCTCATGGACTTGCAGATCTTATTTTTAACTACTCCATTAGACATTCTCGCCCGATTCACGGTGGATAATTACGACATCGTTGGATTCCATCATTCGGACTTTCGATGTGCCTACCGGACGCTTGATCGACGCCTTCAAAACGGCGACTCTTGCTACAAGCATGGCTTTCTCGCCTGCTAACGACTTTTTGGCGACAGCTCACGTTGACAGCGTTGGCGTGTATCTTTGGTCAGTCCGTTCCCATTCAATGGTTGTATCTTATCTTATGAATTATTGGCAATATAGGGCAAATCGTGCTCAATACGCCGAGGTCTCGTTCCACAGTGTTGGGGATGACGAAATCGCTGAAGTGGCACTCCCTTCAATGCAAGGCACGGCAGAAGAGGAGGGTAGGTGATGTTCCCTTATGTTTGGTGTTCATTGGTTGATTTCCCACCCGTGTTGCAGCTCTCCAGGCTCTCTCTGATTTGACTGTGGAAGACGCCCCTGTCGATGTGTTCTCCACTCCTCCTCAACTTGACGGAGAGTTGATCACGCTCACGCTGCTCCCTCGTTCGCGCTGGCAAACGCTCCTGAATATAGAAGTCATACAGGTACTTTTCTCCAACTACTCGCACTCGTCTAAGTTCAACATGCAAAATTTGACAGCAACGCAACAAACCCAAAGAGCCACCCAAAGCTCCTGAGAAAGCTCCATTCTTTTTGCCTACTCTACCCGGTGTCGAGACACGCTTTGCGCCTCCACCGAAGGAAAGCGAAAAGGAGAAGAAGAGCACGCGACGATTAGACAAGACGTTTGCGGAGACGGAGAGTATATTTTACCAAAAACTGGAGGCGGACGACGCACAAGGAGACTGTACGTCAAAATAAGAGCCTTCCCTCATCTCACTTACGCATGCTGCTTCCTCAGACGAAACATTTTTCAACTACGCCAAAACTCTATCACCAGCCGCGATCGACTTAGAGCTGAGATCTCTCGTATCCGTGGACAATCTCAAACTGTTCCTCAACGCCCTCACACAACGTCTTCTCTCGCATCGAGATTTCGAAGCGGTGGAAACGTTCCAAAATGTATTTTTGAAGATGCATGCGGATGTTATGACCGAAAATCCGGAGCTGCGACCGAGTTTGGAGAGGATGTTGCAGGTGCAGAAAAAAGAGACAGAGCGGGTGTTGGAATTGATTGCGTCGTCGATCGGGACGTTAGGTTTTGTGAGGGACACTTTGTAGTGGGGAACATTCCCGTCGACGGCGTTTTGGAATATGAAATTGATCAAGACGTTGAAGAGTGATACTTTGAATCCTTGTGTTGGCGAGATCCTTTTTCAGGCTCAGGGTACCGATAAGGAAGGCAAGAAGGGGTACCGATAAGAAAGGCAAGAAGGGGAGTGCAACTTTTGTAAACTCTCACTTCCAACTCTGCATAGGGGTCTTGCACTTCATGAGTGTAAGATTGGTGGTTGATCTTTGTTTGACAAATGAACAATTTTGAATTTTTCGGACTCACTGAGAATAGTTGAAGAAGAATCAATTCAGAAGTGAAGTGGCAGAGTACGGACAAAGCAGGTGTTTGATCCCAAGATCACGCCATCTACTGGACTCAACACACCTTTTTTTAAAAAGGGAAAAGTTATCCTTATATACAGTCTTCAAACCTCTGCAAAATACAGTACTCAACCTTGTAAGAAGGAATGATGTCATACATCACAATTGTGCAGTTTGGTCTAGTTTGGACTGGAAGCCACAGCCTTACTTCCCAACCTCGACATGGTGAAATGAAGAGCCAACGACACACCTGAAGAGCTGCCAGTCTCAGTTGACCTGGAAGAAGGATGGCTCGACAAGTTCCTAGAATTGCCAACAGATGAACTTGCTAAGCTCATTGCTGACATTGCCAACATTGGCAAAGTCAAAACTGCTGCCTTCAAGAAGGCCAGAACCAGCCTCCTATCATTCTCTGGTGTAAAATGGATTGATTTTGCTGAAAGACTTGGCCTCTGTGATAGGCTGGAAAATAACCAATTCAAGAAAGTTACTACCCCTATATATCACCTGCCACCATCCATTCATGAGATCATGTTTGAGGAGGCATGGCAAACAGAAGATGTCTATCAAGAGTGGCAGGTGCAGAGGAAGGAAGCAGCAAGGGCCAGAATTATGGATCCAGTATGTCTGCAAAGCCATTTGTCAAGCTTTTCTGATCTTAAGATGTGCTTAGTACCTTGTTCAAATCATAGGGCTATTTCAAGGTCAAGTAATAGACAAACCAGAGCAAGATATATTAGAGACTGAGTACACTAGTGGAGGAAAAGTTGAGAACAAGGTTCATATCAGTCTGTATCAAGTTTTGTTTATCAGGCTCATCATTGTCCTACCCAGATCTTCATGATTGGTGGAATCCTTCTTGTCATCACCAAATTCAATCTTGAGATAAGTCTGGAGGACAATGTGGCACAACTTTTTGTTGAAATTCTGGGTGCATTTTTTTTCTTCTTCTGATCCTAGCCAGTATTCAACAGGTTGGTACCCAGCTGCAGCCAAAGTGAACAAGACAGTGGATCTTGAGGATCAACACATATATGGCCTTCTTACTGACCTCATTGACTTCCATTTCTACTGTTATGATCCTCTTGCCAAAGAATTTGCATTTGATGAGACCCTAGTTGTGGGCATTACAAGAGATGTTGCATACACTGACATGATCCCAGGTATGTGCCTTCTTCTACATACATAGCTCACAATTGACCAGACACATCTAGTTGGTAACAAGATATTCAGTGTGATCTTGACTGCATATATTGAAGGTCTGGAAGCAATGACATTGAAGAGCATAGAAATGAAAGAGAAAGGGGATGTTAGTAACCAGCTCTCTCTTGTGTCATAGACATGTTGATCATATCTGTAGGTTTCCTCCTCTCCAGGCTCTGCATCTATTCAACAGACATGGGCACAGAAGGCACCATCCAAGCCAGTGGTATGCCTATAGTGAGATGTCATCACAGTTGGTACTAATTCTCAATGCAGCCTCTGCAGCCACATACTCATGGTAGGTGGTGGGCATCAACCAACTGCTGCTGGGAGGTTGCACTACAGCTTGCACAGCAGTGCTGTGATAAGTTCAAGGAGCCAGTCAAAACAGTTGATGGTATTCAAAAGAATTCAACTGCAGCATTGGAATTGTTGGCCAAGAGGTAAGTTCTGAATATTACTGCTCCCCTTACACCCTGAACACTGACCATGTTGTGCTGATACCAGTGTCTGGTCAATCCCTCGTGCTTCAAGTCTCACAGGAGCAGCTGGCCCTTCTTCTACTGAAGAAATCAAAGATCTGGCTCATCATATGGTTCACACAAAATACCTCAATATGATCAATGACTCTTAGTAGCCTGTTGCCTTGGTACAATGGACCATGAAACATCTGCAACTCATGTCTTGTACTTGCCCCTATTGGAAATCATGCACTCCATGGTCATTCAATCAAGTTGGACAAGAATCCTTTTTGTACCACACATGATTAGCATACAATCAAGGGGACTTTAAGAATTTAAAAACTACCTAAGGCTCTTGATATTCCAAGGTATGTTTCCATTCAAAAAAGGATTTTTCCACCCTTCTTTTGGAGAAACTTATGGCTGGTGGGCAATGAACTTAAAAACAAATCTAACATTTAAATATACAGTTTAATTGGTGTGTTGATAAGTTTGCAATTAGTACATTATTTTATTTGAGGTAGAAACAAGATGTGATTCATCAGAAGTTTGTCAATTTACTTTTTTGGGCTTGTCCAAGTGAGAAAAAAAAAGTGAGAGGAGGGGGAAAAAAACATGAAACTAGTTATTATCTGCATCCCTTTTCTATAAAAGCAACTCTAGGCAAATAACAAGCCATCAGTGATTTGTATGTAATTTCAAGAAGATTCTACTGATTTTTTCCACTTATTTCTTGGCTTGCAACAAGTCCAAAAAAGAGAAAAAAGCATAAATTGTCAAGTTGCTGATGTGTGCACCATGCATGCTGTCAACCAAAGTCCTCATTTTGTATAACAAGGAGGTTTTGTAATTTTAATGCATGCTTGTCATCCTTGTTGGCCATGATATCAAAATCTGCAAAGAAGAGATTCATCAAATTTGATAGAAGTGAACAGATGGAAGCAATGGTTGTTTATGAGTATCACCAGGACAGAGCCCTGACAACTTTCACCATCATACAACACAGAATAGAGGTGGACCAATGATTGCTTCCTCCTCCTTGCAGATGGTGATAACAACCTTGAGCAATTTGGCATGTGAATCTGCCTGCCTTAGATGAACCAAAAACCACCAACAATCTGTCCTTCACCTCAAAAGCAGTGGTGTCATGACCTTTTTGACCTTGGCCAAAAGGTCAGGCCGAAAACCGGGTCATGGCCAAATTGACTGGGTCAGGCTGATGGTCAAGGAGGTCAACAGTCACAGGAATAGAACTTGAGAAGCAGCAGAGCTGCCAAAGAGCTTCCAGATCTGGATTTGACAGGTCACAGGAAATGCCTTCTGCACCACTCACCCAACTTCGTCCCCAGCATAGGATCTTGAGTACAGGGTGAAGATATTGTAAATGTTAGGGAGTATTGCATCCAAAGCTCATGAATGTCATTGAAATGGCTTCAGGTCTTTTTATTTTCTGAAAAACAAAGGTTTGGTGAGTTTCTTTACTCATTTTCGTTCTGGCCAGCTGATTCTCACGACCAATTTCTGACTGGTCAGTCTGATTTTTGGCCATTTTGACCATTTTTGACTTACCCTGGCCTGACCAGTCATGACCCAGGTTATTGACACCACTGCTAAAAAGTGCTTCAAATGTCTAAGGCTTGTGAATATGTTGTGTTGGTCAATAAATTTTTTTGGGAGAATCACTACTAATTTTTTTTCGGCACTCTGACCTCCCCTTTACCTCAGGTCATGGCTTCAATTCCCAGTGCTCCCTTGTAAATGATTTATGTACTGTACCTCTGTCATATATGTAGACCAGCTGTGCCATTACTATGTTTGTTCATGATATTGAAACTTTTTCAGTGTTGCACGATTGTTGGCTCACCACTTTGTCCCATCCTTTCAATTTTTTGACCATTCGATGTACATTTTTGTCTTCTATATGAATATCAACTTTTTTCTATTTAAATGTATTATGTTCACTATTGGAGGCAATCCGGTCCTCAGGGTTCAAAAATATCAGGATATTGAAACTGTTGTCATGCCAGGTCACAATGGCTTTTACTGGAAGATGATGACAGTTTGGCAGGTGTATGTCATGTACAGTCATCCACCAGCCTGTGTTACACCATCACTGAATGTTACACTTTTGTTCCTCAAATAACTTTTGCAATATTCAACATACTCTCTTGAAACAAATTTTATCTGGAGCTCCTATATATGGTCTCTCCTCACATCAAGTTTTGTGTGCACAGGATGAGTATCAAATATGCAGTGATTTGTTCAAAATGAGGTACTTAGCAGAAAACCTCCCACCACTGAATGTTACACCTGTATTTTGAGAATTACTCAACAGAAACAAACCTGAGAGCTCCAAAATTTGGAGGATGCAAAGAATGTAGATCACCAAGATTGAATGTACAATTTTTAAGTGAAAATGTATCCCTGTCATGTTTTAAGTGAACTTTCAATTTTTGATGTAACACTAGCTGGTGGATGACTGTAAATGTCACGCTTTAAAGCCGTTTGTGAGCAAAATTTTGTATTTTGCACTCCCAGCCAACAGCACTTCATCTCTCTCTCTGGAAATTTGTATTTGGACTCTCACATACTATTTTAATGTAATTGGAAAGTTTCAGAATAAACAATTGAGCCGATCTGGAGGGATCTGAGAGAACATTCCAATACTTTTGTTTGGCTGGTGTAATGAAAACCACAAATTGATGTCTTAAGAATGCAATTCTTTGAATACATCTCTAAAAATTTGGAAGTACAGAGAAAATACACAAATACACTGGTCTCCGGAATTTGAGAACCTCAGAGTAAGTGGAAGCAAAGATAATCCGCATTTTCAATATCCCGACGAGTTTCAATATCGGGACAAACATAGTATGAGCTCGTCAACTCTTCAAGACCATGATGATGGTGTGAAGAAAGCACGAGATGACCGGTGACCTCGTGACCAAGAATTTTACCAGCCCCTATTTAGTATTTGGTGATGAACTATACCCTGACTTGCACTCACGTCGTGGCAGACTTGTGGCAAAGTCCCAAGCCGCAAGAATGTCAACCAAAGATATTGAGGGTACTGAACCCGCAGACGTCTTCTCTCTTGAGAAAACATTCACCACTCCAGCACACATCTCTTCACTTGCTTTTGGCCATCCTGGGCAGCTTTACGCAGGATCAGGCATGTATAGGAGTATCCATACAACAGGGTGTTGTCTGATGAATTACCTTCTATAGATGACGGTTCTCTGCGTGTTTACGACCTCTCGACTTTCAAAGTCCTGAAGGCCGTCAGGGGACTTGGAAACGAAGTGTCCTCTATAATTTGCATCAAAAGACCAGGCTCGGAGCTCCGCGATGCCTGGGTAGCACATGGGAAACGAGTTTGTCTTGCCTTCTCAACTTCTGGTCTACTCAAGTTTATGTGCTCTGATAGATTTCCTTGTTTCGGCTGGACTCTCCCAAACTGATACAATCCCCCGAAGATGCATTGAGCACCATCAACATTGGAAACCCAGAGGCCGCGTCAGAGATTGATACGCTGAATGAGGTTCGTGAAGCTTCAGCTGTACGCGTTTTGTGCGCTGAATGCGTTTAGTAAGCTTTCGTTGAGTAGCAATAAGAGTCATCTAGCCTTCAGCATGGACTCTGGAGCTGTGGGAGTCGTGAATTTGGCGACAGAGGAGGTTGTAAAGATGAAAACGGGTCATGAGAGTGTGCGTTTTTTTTTTTTGGAAAGACCAAAAGTGCAAGCGCTGACCGGACGGAAACGATCAGGTGTGTGGTTCTGTCAAGTGTGTACCAGGTCGACCACAGGAGCTTGTTAGTGGCGGGTACGACAGAAAGTTGCAACACTATGATTACACGCAAGGAGACGTTTTGTCCTCCTGCCTCATGGGTTCGTCGACTCCATTCTTTTGACGGCCTCATTTGATTATGATCCACTAGAATCATACGCTCAGAATGCCGGGAGCGCAGCACTGGCCCCACCGTTCGTCATGTCACTAGCCGTGTCGCTCTCAGGGGTTCTAGCCGCCGGTACAGCAGACGGCCGCTTATGGTTAGGTTTCGGCGGAGAAAAGAAGGTCACTGGTGCAAAGAGGAAGAAAGGGAAAAAATGGAGAGGTCTCGACGAGGACGAGACTCTCCTCATCAAAATTGCAGAGGGTCCCATTGTCGCAATGTAAGTGGGTTCCAAGGACGGCTATACTTCTGTTCATACTTTCCACAGGGCTTTCTCTGAAGGCAGAGCGCTTACTATATCTACCTTGATGGGCGTCCTGACTCACTACTATTTGGAGTATGACCCGACAGTGGGTCAAGTTGTACTCAAGCAATTGTGGCAGAAGGAGAGCGAAGGAATTCAAAAAGTTAATACCCTCATCGCCGATGAGAAGAGGTTCATCGTTGGAGGATTCACGAAGAAAGGCCAAGGTATTATTGAAGTCTGGAGAAAATTGTCGCCGCCTCAACTTGAGGAAGGCACTTCGAAAGTAGTTTCAAAAGAGGTGGTTGAGAATTAGTAGCTTCAGATGATGATTGCTATATAATCCAGGCTACGCCATGCTCGCTCCCGCTCTGCCCTACTGATTGCCGTTCGAGCTCTATAAATGGCACATCATCTTATGTACATGCCATTTTCAACCTACCAAACCCCTTTTCCAATCGCTGAATGGACACAACGGGCGCCGTAAATTCATCGTAGAATGTCGTCACCATTGGAAGGGGCAGCTTCGCCAGCGTCTCTATCTTGAACTGGGTGTCCTGTCAAGCTTGACATGGACAGGACACCCCTGGGACACCCAGTCGCTTTCAAGCAAGTCCTTTTTCCTGAAGGAGTGCTGGAACTCAAAGCCGAATTCGAGACAATCTCCAAATTGTACGAACTCTGCGACTATGCCTCTTTTTTTTTGCCATTCCTCGTCCTCTTGCCTTTTTACATAGACCCCCTGTTGCCCAACAGCTACATCTCCCCTGATCTCCCCTATTGTGTCTCCTTCGCAGCAAGGACGACGCAGTGCCACTCGCCCCTCTGTCAGCCATGGCGATATCAAAGCGCTCGGGCTGTCCAACGCCGCATATGCCATGACCCAAGTCCTTCCCTTCCCTTGTCCATCGAACAGTTAGTCCGCACGTTCTTCTACCCCCCTAGCCAGAAGGAAGCAATCTTACACTCTCTGTCGACTCTACTTTGGGACGTGCTTCCCACGAGTGGAAGGTCAACTCGTTTTTCAACTCTGCAAACTTTCCTTTAGATGCAACAAGATACCTTTGTTTGGTTGCAACTGGCAATGCCGAAGATATGGCAAAATGAACGTGTGGAATGGAAGATATGCTGGGTCGCTTGCATTGGTTTGGTGGATACGATGGTCGGGATATAGAATTCGCGGTCTCCTGCAGTGGTGCCCCCATGAATCTGATCGATTTCAGGTGTGTTGCTGCTGCTCCCAACGGGGATGTTTTTAATGATCCGTGTCAAGATGCGATGATGGTTGAAAGCGGGGGCGGTTATTCAAGAACTCGTTGACGCGTTATACACCAATGATCCTTATTATCCGCGTGCGCGCCCCGATGAACGTCTCTATAGCCACTTCCGTCTGAGATATCCGGCTGTATACCTAGAGGAGGCGATTGAGACTGGGAATGCCTTTCTGGCCGTCGAAGCAGAACCAGCCATTCGCGACTCCAGAAAGTACTAGACCTGGCTGTTGCTTATGATGGAGTTGGCTTGGAATGTAAGTGTGTCTTCAGAGACGGCTATACTTTTGCTTATTCTTTCCGTGGGGCTTTCTCCGAAGCAAGGGCACTTACCATATCCAGATGGGCGTCCTGGGTCACCACCATTTGTCGTAAACGATTCTCTGCTCGTAATCCTGATTCAGGAACGTAAGGGCATATCTCTGGACCAACAGCAACTTTCATATGACATACGTCAGCTTGAGGATAACTTTGAAGTTGAGCGTACGTGTTGCTTTCATAATTTGACCATCCCCTCTTGCTTATTATCCCGAAGACTATGGACTTTCTGACTGTTCTGCTGTTCATCTCTGTTTGCGTTTACTCGGTGGGGGGATTACCGACGTGCTTAGCGATTTCTCTGTGGGAGGCCGTATATCCCCTCCACTCGCCTACCATTTTGAGCGAAGTTGCCGGGTGTATGTCACGGTCGGCTTATTTTACTTTGGTGACTGGCCTTCCGAGTCTGACATCTCAAGTTCGTGCCAAAACGTACTGGGAGCACGAACTTCCGATGAATACATCCCAGCCGCCAACAATACCAAAACTCCGATCCTCTCTCAAATGTTCTGTCGGTAGCCAAACGAGGAAAAGTGGCACAGGTGAAGTCGAGTCCACAAAGAAAGTGTGTCTGCCGTGTCTCAGAGAAGTCGACAATCACCCTCGTACTGTTGCGAACGTGAAGCCTGCGACAAATGCTCTGCATCAATAACGCAGTGCCCCTCTTGCCGACAAGCTATCTCTGCACGTCATACATTGAATGCTTCCACGCCGTTCGTGGACCAGGACGATGGTGTCGAAGGTGGTACCTCGAATGACAGAATCCTGAAACTCAAGTACGGTGCTAGCCAAGGACGGGTCATCTCTTCCAAGCAGAGTTGTCACGGTATTTCGCCGTTGACCACTGGAGATTGGAAAGCTCTGGAAAAGAATGCAGAGACCAAAGGAAATGAATACATCAGGAAGATGGCGTGTTATTTGGGAGTGTCGGCGTATGTCGCGATTTTTCATTCAATGCGAGGAAGGGAAAGGACCTCTGAAACTATTCATACATATGCTTACTAGCGAAGTATATCATTTCATCTTGCTGAATGTTTACACAGATTGAAGAGCTTGCATTCGGACTTTCCCGAAACGACGACCTCCATGCATTATGCATAGCCTTCGGCGTCTACGAGTTCATCCAAGCTTAATCATAGGTTGTCCCAACTTACCACATAAAGATGCTCAGTGCCAACAACTATCCGGAAAATGTGCAAGTCGTTGTTTTTCTCAAGGACGAACAGGGTATAGAGCAGAGTGTCGATCTGGGAACGATTCCTCAGCCCCTTGTATTGGGCGACTTGCAGCAGAGATTGGATAAACGGGGCAAGTGCCGTCCTGAAAGCATCTACGTAACATCCGACACCCATTTGACCAATTACATAGGTTTCCCCAACCCTTCCGTTCTGGTCGGTCGTCCTACACCGTACGATCTCAAAATCACCTCCGCACCGTCGAATTTCAACGGCCATAGTGGTCAAATCAATCTGTGGGTCGAATGACTTAACAATGACGCTGGTCGCTCGAATGACATTTTTGCCCTTCAAATCTTAATTCCGAAAAGTGACCAGCCTTTGCTCCATTTCTATAACAATGTCTATCCCCACAGCACGGATCCTCGAACCTTTGACTCTACCGCAACGTCTGCAACAATTGGCAACCACAACAAGGTCAAAGTTGGTGGCCTTGCTAGCATTGGGTTTGAGAGGTTCGTCAAGTTGCTTTTAGCATGTCTGGGCAATTAATTATTATTCTGGACAGGACAATCCGTGTTCCGGGTAAATTACTGGTCGGAGTCACAGTGGCGAATGAACTCACTGTTCCACAGATAACAACAAAGTTCATGCCCTTCCTCCTGGCCTGGGACCTTTTGAACTATTGTAAGTTCGCGTCGTCTGCTAAGAAACTTGCCTAATACATTCAAGTAACGTCGGAAATTTCACCAACCGTCTCCCAAAGTCGGTGGTGTCCAAGGGAGGCATATTCCTCGTAAGTTCCTCGTATGCTGTGATAAGGAGATGACCATTTTTTTTCTATTCCAAAGAGCATGTATCAGAAAGAAGCCATGTGGATGTCCTTTCGTCCACTCCAGCCATGCGCCCTGAAGGTCTCAGTTGGAGGCATTAACGCGCTCACGGGTACACCTCAAGGTGTTTCGGTGAAGGGGAAACAAGATTATTTACCATTGGAGAATTCTTATGGACAACTGTGAGTTTTCTAGGTAAATCATAGCCAGATCAAAGTTTGAAGACTGGATCCCCTCCCCCCCCCTTCACAGTTGGCTCGTACGTGTTTAGTTGTTCAGTGACATCTGTCAATTTTCAATTTGCTTTTTTGAGGATGGAATTTCAACAGCTCCAGGCGTTGTTAGGCGTGAGTCTCCTCAACATCTATTCGCAAACTACACACTGTCTCGCAACAGAATTTGTAGCAGTGCCTCTGGGTCATAACCATACTGTTGAAGGGCAATTGACTGGACAAGAAGTAAGTCTAAGTTGAGCCTTGAATTACGACCCCGCTGATAGCAGACTTCAGTCCGAAGGAGGGATCCAGATTGACGTATTCCCAAGATATCTTACCTCGGTATTGTTTACAAAGGCTTCCAAAAATTTAAATCTTTACCGCACCCCCCGGGAGCTTGGTCTTGCTGAAGGAGACTCTATTCAAATTCTGGACAAGAGGTCAGCAACTTCTCATCTAGGCAACGATTCACTTGATGAATTCCCTTCTCCACAGCCCGGCGAATTTTTGCAAGCTAGGGCCTAGAATCTCAGATACAACGAGCACGCAGAAGCCGGCTATTCACCTTGACGGATGCTTTATTACTAGGTTGCATAGCGGAAGTCAAGGAAACAGAGGGAGAATGACACTATCCGTGAAGACCCTCACTGGAATGACTATACGCCTCGATGTCCAATCAAGTGATGTAGTTGTCCAACTCAAGGCGACCATTCAGGATCGCGAAGGCATTCCTCCTGACCAGCAGCGACTGATATTTGCTGGAGCAGAACTTAATGATGACAGAACTCTTAAGGGTGGGGGCTGCTTTCCTATTTTGAAAGTGGTATCTTGCTTATTTCTTTCCAAGATTACAACATTCAAAATGAATCCATCCTTCATCTCGTTTTGCGTCTGCGTGGCGGAGGAGATATCGATATGCTTGGTGGCTTCTCCGTGGGAGGTCGCATATCCCAGAAGATTAACAAAGATCCGCTTCCTTCACTTGCCTACAACTTTCAACGTGGTTGTCGTCTATATGTGACGGTCATCAACGCCACTCATTTTACATCTGTGACTGGTCTCCCAATTCCGCCGTCCCCAGTCAGTGCAAAGACGTATCTGGAGAACGGCTACCCCTGGTTTGAGTTGTATGATGAGCACATTCCAGTTGCTAACAATGCCACAACTCCGACCCCTCTGTCGAACATTCTGTCAGTATCTCAGCTGGCCCAACAAGAAAAATCAACGAAGGGGAGGTCAAGCCTTGACAGAGAGTGTGTTTACTGTGTTTACGAGATGGCAACCATCAGCCTAGGACCTTGCGGTCATGAACTCTGCGAGGACTGTTCTGCATCGGTGACAAGGTGCCCCTCGTGTCAACAATCTATCTCTGTACGCCACAGATTTGCTGCATCTATGCCAGCAGCAGGACGTGAAGACGATGATGGAGTCGAAGCAGGATCTCTGGATGATAGAATTGTAAAGCTCAAGTACGGTGCAAGTCAGGGCATGGTGACCTCTTTTAAATTGAGGTCTGACACTGTTGCGCCTCTGACGGGCAATGCCAAGGAAGATTGAATGGAAAATCAACAATGGATAGGACGGACCCCTGCGGCCTGGGTTAGCTATGTCATCCTCAGTTCTATGTGAAGTGTTCGAAACGGCTTCGTAGTTTTTGTATCCTACCCATGGCCAATTGTAAATTTAAGCATCTACACCATCAAAACGAAATCCTTACTTACGTTGCATCGTCGACGACCGTAGCCGAGTCAGCCTATATACAAATCGTTTTTTTTTGTGAATGAATGAGGGTTGAATGAGGGCGGCTTCGCGCAACGATGCATCTGCACCTCCCAGTATACTTTTCTTGGTCTAGCAATGTTTTTGGGCCTTCCTTGCCACAATCAGGCAAGATAGCATACAGAAAAGAGCTCCGCCATAATCATGACACCAGCTTTTGTCCTTTTTCTGAAAAATGAGAGGAATAAGAGTCGATCTGGGAAAGATAATACGCCAAACCTTTTCTAATCTCACAATGGACGCCGTAAACCCGTCGTGGAATGTCGTTACCATTGGAAGGGGCAGCTTCGCCAGCGTCTGTGTCTTGACAGGACGCCCGGTCGCTTTCAAGCAAGTCCTGTTTCCTGAACAAGCGCTGGAACTCAAAGCCGAATTCGAGACCATCTGCAAATTGTACGACCTCTGCGACACTGACTCGTTTTTCGCCATTCCTCGTCCTCTTGCCTTTCTCGACCCCCTGTTGCCCAACAGCTACATCTCTGCTACTGTGTCTCCTTTGCAGCAAGTGCGAGCTCGCCCCTTCGTCAGCCATGGCGATTTCAAAGCGCTCGGGCTGCCCAACGCTGCATATGCCATGACCCAGGTCCTTCCCCTTCCCTTGTCTACCGCACACTGAGTACGCACCTTGTTCTACCCCCCCAGCCAGAAGGAAGCACCCTTACCCAGTCTCTGCCGACTCTACTTTGGGAGAGTTCTTGACGTGCCTATCACGGATGGAAGGCCAACTCGCTTTTTCAATTCCTCAAACTTTCCGTTAGATGTTGCGAGATACCTTCGTCTGGTTGAAACTGGTAATGCCGAAGATTATCACAAAATAGAGGAGATAGCCTATGGAATGGGAGAAATGCTGGGCCGCGTGCATTGGTTTGGTGGATACGATGGTCGGGATATCGAATTCGTGATGGGCGGTGTCTCCTGATTTCAATCAGGTGTGTTGCTGCTGCTCCTAACATGGACGATTTTTATTCTGATTCGTGTCAAGATGCGACAATGGTCGAAAGTGACGGCGGATATTCAAAAACTTGTTGATGCGTTCTACACCAATGATCCTTATTATCCGCGTGCGCGCCCCGATGAACATCTCTATAACCACTTTCGTCTGGGATATTTGGCTGTATACCCAGAGGAGGCGATTGAGATTGCGAACGCCTTTCTGGAAGCCATCGAAGCAGAGCAGGCCACTCGCGACTCCAGAAGGTAGGCCTGGCTGCTGTTTATGATGTAGGTTGGAAGGTAGTAGGTCTCCAGAGACGGCTATACTTTTGCTTATTCTTTTCGCAGGGCTTTCTCCAAATGTGGCAGAGGAGAGTGAAGCACTAAAAAAGTTAACACCCTCAGGCCGAGGTCCGGAGAAAAGTGCCGCCGCATCAACCTGAGGAAGACACTTCGAAAGTAATTCAAAAGAGGTGGTTGATAATTAGTAGGGGTAATCAATGATAATGCCATATATAATCCAGACTAATGCTGAACATCTTTGAGCTCCCGCTCTGCCTCTGATTGTTGTTCGAGCTCTATAATCCGCTTCTGGTAAACTGCTCTAGTCCTCTTGAGCTTGAGCAAGTACTCCTCGTCTGATACGTGTATCAAGCCCAGAGCTGTCAAGATACGCTGGGCGACGGGGACGCGTTCAGACGGTTCCGGTGGTGGTGGGGTAGGAGCCACTGGCATTTGACCCGTTTCCTTCAGTTTGGAAACGTATCTAAGCCTCGCGACGGCTGCTTCGTTGTAGGCAAGCTGTAAAATCGTACACAGGGCTGCGGCAGATATGGCACCGGGCAGGATACTTCGCAGACCGGCTTTAATCCAATTAGTAACATTGAAAAGAAGGGGAGCAGACAACGTACATCTCCAGACTCGAAGCAAACCTCCAGCCGCTGCACCGCTTACTGCCGTGTCGAGTAATTTATTTGTGCGGATTTCAGACCATGTGAGTTCCGAGTCATTCGAAGAGCTTAGACCCAACTGCCGTCTCCGTCTTTCGTATTGCGTCCATGGTGCAGTGTGCACGAGCACCGGACCCACAGCGTATTCACGCAGAGCTAAAAGTAATGATCAGCACAAATGTGAACTTGGTCAACACAAAAAAAAACGCACCAAAGAATGTAGCAGCTGTGATACCCGTATTCACCGCCGCGTACGCTGCGACCATTCCGGGGAGTGGTTTTCTGGTAAGCACGGCATGGCTATAGAAGCCTAGCGCGCTCGTCGCAGCTAATTATGAGTAAGGGGAGTGATCAGCCACGCTCAACTGAATCAGGGCACACAAAGACGGACTTGCATGGTATGACTGTCCCAAGAGCGACTGTCCACGGCGCTGACTTCTCCATTCACCTGCAGCAGCTGAGAGAGGTGTAAACTTTCAAGTGTGGCATTCAGAAGCTTTCGCCAACTATGCTGACACTTTGCCAAACAAACGAGCAATTCAGTTCAACTTCGAGTCTCGACGACAGCCGCAGTGATCAGACATGAAACCTTCCCGTACTTGCTCTCTACTTTGCACCGCAACATTCAACAATGACTTGGCCTGACACGATCATTTTCATGCTTCTCTCTCCCTTGTACTTCATCTCCTTGCGCCCTTATAAATTTTGTGGTTGCAAGTACAAGACGCTCTGTGGGCGATGCCGCCCTTTCAATCCTCCTGATTTGGACAAGTGTCCTCGATTCCAAGGCCTTCTCAAACAAGTTTTGGACTACCTTGCTTCATCGGACTCCACCGTCTCGCTGTATCAGTCAGTTTTTGAAAAGTTTCGTGAATATCGAATGCCCTGGGATAATAACTATGACGCTTCCATCCCCCGCATTCGAGACATCCTAGTCAATGCACCAAAGTTCAATCCGCTTCCCATGGATAAGACAAATGACCGCTATAGCACTTACTGGGGAATGGTTTCAACGGCTGGGAGAGTGGCTCCTGATATCCAGATTAATGGCAATCTTATCCGCGCCTTGGAGGAGGTGGCCGAGGTATACAAGTTATTTGACACCTAACCAGGCTCACATTTGTCAGGACTCACCGCTGTTCACAATTTTGGCTTTCATCGTGGCTGTCACTATTCTTACGGAGCTTTGTCAATACACCGTCAAAATAATTGTTGGCCTGATTCCGAGGATCCAACCATATGGGCGAACCCTCCATGAATGGTCAGGACGCACCTGGGAAGATCTTGTTTTTGACCATGGACATGTCTCTGTCATGTGGCTGAAGGAAAACGTTGGAACAATGAACAACATTCTTGGAGTAGCACTCCAGCAAAAGAAGGGACTGGGGCTTCCACGCGAGGACTATCAAAAGGAGCTCTGTGCGTAAGGGTTGCCCAAAACGCTACCATTTTTATTAACCTGTTACAAATTCCTCAGCGACCGACGTATGCTCATCCTTCTTGGCTTCACTCCAGTCAACCAGTCTGGAATCCATCAAGTTTCACGATCTGCCTGATAGTCAAAGAGGGCCTGAGGTCACATTTACCCGTCTGACACCACTGCCAATACGATCTGGGTGCGCAACTCATGAGTTGGAAATTTGAGCTGAAGTGATGAGTTCAAGAAACGTTCCGTGAAGTAGGCGGTTACAATCGAATCAAGAGACACATGGACGAACAATGGGATAACTACCGCACTGGCGTTGTTTTTTCTAGGGGATCGTGCATGTCACGAAAAGAGGTGTTTCGCATTACATGGGGGACAGTCTAGGAATGATTCATTGATTGGCACTCGAGCGCGATCATCGTCCTTACTACTTAAACATTTTCTCGTAAAAGCATAGATTTGATATTTTTGTGGGTCCTGAGGAAATTTAGGCGCGAGGCACAAAATTCTTTTCCATAAAGTAGGATGTAGCGGGTCGAACTTGGAACGCGACGACGTCCCGCACGTGCACCTTTCTTTCCCTCCTCCTCCTCCATCAAAGTAAAGCTATGCCACCAATGTGTTGCAATTCCACCCTTCCACTCCTCTTCACGGTGCTAACTTCTCTCATTTAGACGCGACAAGTTCACCATTCACTCCAAAGCCGTCGTTTGCCAGGATGTCGAGCTCAAGGGTGACATCACCATAGGCTCTGGTAACACCTCTCCCACTCGACTTGCACTCCACCTCTCATACTTACACGTGTCAAATGTTTGCGTATAGGCACAATCGTACACCCCAAAGCAACTATATTCGCCATTGCAGGTCCAATTGTGATTGGGATGGGTTGCATCATCGAAGAGGGCGCTATTATCGTGAACAGGTTGGACCGTTCACCTCAATTTTTGAATAAAGGCAGCTTTTGTTCATGTGAAAACGTAGAAGGAAAGAAGTCATGCGAATAGGGGATGATAATCTCTTCGAAATTGGCTGTCGTGCGTTTTCTTTCAATTTCAAGGCCACTGAACATTAGCATGCTCACTTATTGTTTATGTACTTAGGCGTCGAATGCCCCTCCGTAGGCAACTTCAACACAATATCGACACGCGCCCGAGTCCACCACACCGTCCGCATCTCCTCGTTCTGTGTCATCGGTGCAGGATGCCTGCTTGTGCCTACAGAAGACGAAGTGCTCGAAGATTATACAGTCATCTACGGACCTGCCGCGGAGAAAAGGGTCTGGAGTGGGAGAGGGAAAGTGCAGGAGGCGGATCTGAGACGAAAACATGCAGAGTATCTGAAGGAGATGCTACCAAAGTTTAATCGGCTAAGACGGGGAGAAGGGACGTAATGTGTGTATGCTATTTCCAGTTATTGAGGGTTTCTAGGGAACAACGATGTTCTAGGGATTCATGATTGTATCCTAACACCAACTTTCTTGCGGCAAATCGAGAGTAAAGGAATCTACGATATGTTCAGCCATGCGGGATATGCGTCTAATCGCAGACTAGTTTTCTGTGCAGAGAACGAGGGTCAACAACCCGGTACTCGTCCGCCGAAATTTCTTCCGATCCTTGTGACACCTCTAGAACGATCATCAGCGCATCACATTTTTCCAGCCATTTCTCCCAGATTCGATCGAAGTCTTCACCCTGAAAAATAGAGTCCGCGATTTGACATGGGATTGAAAAACGAAGAGACCGCAAGCCGAGGAATGTCGAGATTAATTGGGACAAGTTGGTGGGGAGGACCTCGAGCATTCCCTCTGATGGGTTGGGATCGCCAATCGTCCAGTGCATCATTCGTGAGATGCTTTTATCACTTTGTAGCCATTCAATTATGATGCATTCAACAGATGTGTTTGGGATGCATTCCGACCAAGGATAGACGTCATTGAGGAGTTCAAAGTAACGGATAGTCATCGTTTTCAGGTTTGCCCAGCGATGGATAGTGGGGAGAATCCTGCTCAAGTTGCGCACATCTAGAAATGCTACGTCTTCAACGTGAAGCGAAGGCACGTGTAGTTCATGCGGAATCCTGATAGCCCGAAGAGCTGGGAGAGTGAGTCCGCGCATATATGTCCCACCTTCGTACTCGCTGATCAATGTGTGCAAATTTGGAAACGTTAGGGTACGTTGAACGACGGCGGTATCCTGCCTCCTGCAAGGCCAAAGCCATAGTACTTGTATCGAGGGCAACGAAACGGCTAGAGCCTCCATGATCTCGGCGTCCGTCTTCAGTTCGACTCTTTTCAGTACTTGATGGAAGCGAAGCGCATTTATCAACCTAGTGCTTTGAAAAACGGATGGATCGGCAGTCGAGAACGCGGTGGAGAAGCAGACGAGGTTTGGACAAGCTTCAAAGATCCGTAGGACAGCGCAGGTGTGTTCCTCTGTCCATATGTGCACGCCTTCCAAGGCGATTTCCAGTCGAATCGTCAACAGTCCGAGTTTACTAGAACCTGCACAGTCCTTCAACGCGTCTGCTATCGCCAAAGCGTGTTTCCCGCTCCTGATAATGATGTACTGAAACAGTACTTGACGCGCCAGGACGTTCCAGCAGCGACAGACGCAGCTCAAAGCGAGTTTTGTGTTCATTACACAGCGGAAGCGGTTGTGGACACATATACCGTATGGGTCGCGGGTGAACGCTGTGATTGCATTTGGGCAGCGAGTATCGAATGCGCCTGGGATGTATGAGGCCAATGCGAATACATAGAGCCATATTTCTGGTGGTAGTACAGTCGTGGACAAGCAAAGCCCACTAATAAAAATGGAAATTATTGATGGCTACCAAAGTGCCCGGAAAACGTGCAGATACGTTGAGGGAAGCTTCTGGCCAAATTTCAGCCAAGTCTCACGAGCCGTTTTGGAGAAAATGGCCATATACAAAAATAGACCCTAAATTTTTGGCCGGACACCAAAAAGTGCCAAGAAAAATATGAAAAATAGCGGAATCGCTTCCTTTCACGGAGAACAATCTGCCCATCAAGTTTCGAAACAATTTATCGAGCGGTTCTTCTGGAAAAAATTGCCAAACATTGACCCAAATTGGGCACTTAGTCACTTTTTGATGTGACATCTATCACGGGACTAAGAAATTCCATCACACTAGGCTTTCGAAATGCAGGGAAATCCCTTTCTGATAGATTCTTTGCCCTTTCTGAGTAGCTTCCAGCCGAAGCCCAGCACAGGTACCAACTTTCGATAATTTCTGGCCGGTTTCGACCTGTTTTTCTCCCCAAATGTTGCAGTTTTTTGGTCCAAAATTTTGGCCACGCCAATTCCTCGTGGGAAAAACTTCGGAGGTGCGTTTTTCGACGCATTTCGCAAATCTGAGCCAGAATCTGGAAAAATCTCAGCTCTAGATACATTATTTACCAAGATACCAAATTAGTGGGCTTTGCTTGTCCACGACTGTACGGGCATGAGAGAGAGCAATTACGTCACGGGGTGTACGCGATCATACAACCTGAGTACCACGTCACACCTGCAGCTCATTGCCAAGATGGCCACAGACGGTTCCCCCAAGTCTTTCCAGGATCTGAAGAATCTCCTCACGAGTGACACCAAAGTAAAGGTTGCCGGTGCGTTGTTAAGGGCCATCTTCGTCTGTGTCTCTCATGGATAGTGTCTAGGCATCGATGGTTAGTGTCATACGCTTATCATCTCGCTATCGCTAAGTTTCTTGCGGTAGTCGACGGTGTCCTTCGTGGAAAGTTCATGGTACCCAACTATAATTTTAATTCCGTTGCTCACTTGCTCACGAGAACATTAGTCCAAGGAGAAGTTTCTAAGTGCCGCTTCCTCAGACGGATTTGGATTCTGCAGCGTTATCTTGTCAGTTCTCGTCAGAATACCGCTCGTCTCAAAATCTCATCCGCAGCAGCGGCTGGGACATCCACGACACAGTATACTCACGGGAACTTTTGATTTCGAACAAGGCGAATGGCTATAGGGACATCCTCGCGTCCATCGACTTGTCGAGCTATCGCAGAATACCTTGGGAAAATGACGTTCCGTTCTTCTTGGTCTCGTTTCTTGATCCAGATAGCAAGCAGCCAATTGTCGTTGATCCTCGTGGAATTTTAAAGATAACGACGGAGAGGGCTGCTGATATAGGATACGAATGCTTTGCTGGGGTTGAGTATGAGGTATGGACTTACGCATTTTGGTCGATGTTAGACTGATTCACCGTGTTTCCAGTACTTCAACTTCAAAGGTATTGTAATATGGGTCCAATTATCTATCAACGAGTGCTAACCGTCTTACAGAGACCGCTGAATCTGTGTCAAAGAAGAACTTTACAGACCTACAGCCCTTAACGCCCGGAAGTGAGTAAGTTATAAGGAATAAACCTTCCACAACGCTTATCTCCATCCTTTCAGTGCATGGATATTCTCTGCTTCGAACGCAACTTAACAACCAATACTTTCATGATCTCTTCGACAAGAGCTTGCAATTCCAAATCCCAATAGAAGGCCATCGTGAGTCTCTTTCTCTTATTATCACAGATAAAAAGGCTAAGGGAACATCCCACGTAACAGACACGGAGACAGGCCCAGGTGTTCTGGAGACAGCACTGGCGTATACCTCGGCTCTTAGGATGGCGGACAATGCAATCTTGTTCAAATATACGGCGAAAAGTGTTGGCATGACACACGGAATCATTCCAAGTTTTATGGCCAAGCCATGGGGAAATGTATGTCCTACCCCCTTCTTCCACAGATTCGTATTGATGCACGGGTAGCTTCCGGGCTGCAGCGGGTAAGTCGGATCAAGGTATCTCAAGGATCCTTTTGAACTTGCGCTAGACATGTTCATGTATCCTTGCGTGACAAGAACGGCAGGAATATCTTCGCCGTCTCCGATTCTGAGCTTGTTGGCGGGAGAATTGGGGCCTCTTACGACGACACGAAATTCATCAGCCAAGAAGCGGAGTGGTTTCTCGCTGGCATCCTTGACGGGATTGCCGACGGTGCGTCTTCCATGTCGTGAACCCCCCCTGATATCTCATTGCTGATTTTTTAAATTTGAACCACAGTCATGCCCATGGTATTTATCTAAATACATTCATTCTTTTCCTTCACTTGACAGGCACAAAATAGGTTGTACCGACGATAAACGGCTACAAGCGACTCGTCGGCGGAGAAGCATTCTGGGCACCAAACGCCGTGACATACGGGTACGACTCACGGGCTGCATCCATCCGGATAATCTCCCCTCCCTCCGTTCCTCCTGCAGCCACCAGGTTGGAAGTGCGGATACCCGGAGCTGACATGAATCCGTACTTTGCGATCAGTGCTATTTTCCTACTGGGCTTGAGAGGGATCAATCAAAAATTGTCGTTACCTGGCCCGCCGATTAGCCATTTTACACCGGAGGATAGGAAGACTGGAAAGGTAATCTGGTTGTGACACTATTGGGGGGAGAATGCTGACGGTGTTATAGGTCAAGATGCTGCCTACGTCGTTGGAATCGGCGACGATCAGGATGATGAGATCTGAAAGTATCGCGCGGGAGCCAGGGATGTTTGGGGACGTTTTTGTCGAGCATTATGGAGGCACGAGGGAGCATGAAGTCAAGTTGTGGAATGAAGCTGTGACTAGCTGGGAAGGTGAGTGGTAAAAAGCTTGCTGCGTTCTGTTACTTAATCTCGCTTTTTTAGTCGAGCGATATCTGGAGCTCGCATGAAAGGGAAAGACAGAAAGAGATTCGGAATTCATGCAACATGTATACAAAGAAAGTTTATCCCCCCAGGGCCAGTTATAGGTGCGGCCTTGTAACAATACAACAATCAAACCATTATAGAACCCAAGAACAATGCCATCTCAAACTTCAGGCCTATTCGTCTAAGCTTTTGACCCATTTTATAAACTGTGGGACGTCCTAACAGAAACCTTCTCTGTCAAAAAGACCAAAGAACAAGTTTGGAAGAACAATCATCTTACCGAAGCGATCTTCTTTGCCATCGTGCTTTCAACAATGAAACTGGGTATGCTCCCCCCAGGAGTGCTCGAGGTGGCCATGCGCCACTCTGTATTCCCATTATCAAGCTCCTTGATTCGCTCTACGCTGACGTAGCGGCCTTTGACGCCCTTCTCCTCTAGTTTGGCGAGCTCCTCGTCCCCTTTCGACGAAAGATCGATTGACAGCGAAACGATTATCCTTAAAATTCAACTTTGTCAAGATCGTTTGCATGGGTGTGTAAAAATGCGCCGTAGACGTACCCAGTACGTGGCTTCGTTTCTTGCAGGCGCACCACCTGAACCACTGTAAAGACACGAGGTGACACGGGGGGCGTGAAAGTGTAATACAGCGTCCAGATGCTCGCTGTTGGGGAAAGCTCCTTTACTTTGGTGACCTTTTGGATTTCGTGGATGAATCTGAGGTTCAGTCAGTCATTACGCTGCAGGATTCGATGAAGCCCGAGTTAAACGTGCATACTCTTTTTCCTTCACAGGCTTGTCAATTGCCAGGTTCTCCCAGAGTTGGTCAAAGGTCAGTTCTTCGGGGGCGTGTTCACTGAGGCGAACGTGCCATGGGGCGCCGTCCCCCAACCGCTTTGCGTGATAGAGGGTTTTGATGTTGTTGAAGAAGGTTTTGCCTTCCGGCCACGAGGACGTTGATTCGATTAGGGTGATGCCTTCTGTTATGATTGTTTCTTCAGATGGGATTTCTGAGGGTTACAATGTTAGTTGTCGGGTTTGATGTAATTGAGCACCAGGGGCTCACCAGAGGGCGTTAGAGGCGTTATGGTTAACAGAGGGGTATCGATTGCCATGTGTGTGAGGTATAGGGCTGACAGCAGGGGTAGTTATACATCGTCGTCCTGTGAACGATGATGATATTTTTAGATGCCGCACTCACACACTATTAGATCCAGCTGCGCCGGCTTGAGTGGCATGATACTTAAAATCCATCAATATAACAAGTCGAGATATGGTGCGTCAATTTGTGGATATTGAATGGGTACTGGGAGTAACGCTATTGAGCTGTACAAGACCACAATATCGACTGCGCCCCCTAGAGTCCAGGTCACGGGGAAGGACTTCACCGCGTTCGAGGACAACTCCGACAAATCTTCGTTCACCTCGCATCCACTTTTCTTTGTAAAATCGCACGACGCCTGGCGCGGTCGCGTATATTGTGTGGTCGCGTCCCATTTTAACCTGGCCCCTCAAATTAGCGTGCAATAAGGTACACGGAGGACAAAGCTAGACGTACATGTTGAGCAGGATGGAACAAGGTTCCCCGTTGTCGAACAATTATGTTGCCAGGGATTACATATTGATCTGTAGGCGCACATATTATTAGCGAGTTTTTTGTGAAGAACAATGCCAGACGTACCTGAGAACTTTTTGACACCGAGGCGTTTACCAGGAGAGCCGCCATGGTTGTGGACTGTACCGCCTGCCCTTTTTGTTGCCGTACGAATCGCACCTCCTGTCGCGGGTTCAACACAAAAAGGAGAACAAGTGTTTGAGTCGAGTTACCTAGGAGAGAGAATGGACTTCGTGCTGCGTTACAACACCGAGCCAGAAAGGACATACTTGCAGAAAAACAACAGAGCGTGACATTGAGCCAAGACAAGGCTTGAGTCACGGAAGGTCACCGCACGCGGCTCGGCCATCCCCGAGGGCCGTGTTGCGCCCAATTTATACTCGTTCCTCCACTCCACGTCTCAACAGCCACTGCCTTTCAATTCCCATTTCTATCCACTTCCAAAATGGTCCTTCTCGTTACTTCCGATAATGAACAGTTCAACGCGGACAAGGACGTCGTAGAACGCTCCGTTCTCATCAAGAACATGCTCGAGGGTAAGTCTCACTTGTTCTGCAACATCAATACCGCAGTATACGTATTCACGCCCTTTTTCACTTAGATGTTGGCGAATCAGATCAACCTATCCCTCTGCCTAACGTCTCCTCCAGCGTTTTGAAGAAGGTACGTTATTGGCGCGTCATCGATAACTTAAGAGACATTGACACCTTTTTTTTTTTGAATCATTCTAGGTACTCGAGTACTGCGAACATCACCGGGGCGAACCACTCCCTTCAGCGGATACCGAACAAAGCCAAGATGAGACACGCAAACGGACGACCGATATCAGCGAGTGGGACCAGAAATTCATCACAGTCGACCAGGAGATGCTTTTCGAAATCATCTTGGCTGCGAATTACCTTGATATCAAATCACTACTGTGCGTGTTTAGCTCTGCTTGTATGTAGGCACTCGATACTGATCAGCTGCGCCACATAGTGATGTCGGCTGCAAAACCGTCGCGAACATGATTAAAGGAAAGACTCCTGAAGAGATCCGAAAACTCTTCAACATTGTCAATGACTTTACGCCAGAGGAGGAGGTTCGTAAAAGTCTCATGAACCTTTTGATCTCCTTTTAACGAACATTCTGTTATCAGGCGCAGATCAAGAAGGAGAACGTGAGTCCTTTCGTCTCGTACATGTTCCATATTTCTAATGCTATGATTCACGCAGGAGTGGGCAGAGGATCGATGAGTATAATACCCTCGTATTGCTACTAGTTGTTGTCGTTCTGTTTCTCTATCCATGTACAAGTATCTTGCCGCTTGCGACCTTCTCGGTTATCTTTACGTAAGCGTCGCAAAAGGAGCTACAGAATATACACCGGACTATCAAGTACCATAAAAGCTTTCCTTTCGAGAAACAAAGACCTCACTTCGCCCGCTGCCCAAAATGCCCATACCTGATTTACCTGGAGAACTAATTCCACGTTCGTCGGAACACGAGCATTGGTTGAAGGGACACGTCGCGAGGATGTGCCAAATGGATCATGAAAGGTAAGCAAGCGTCTCTTTTTTTCAGTGGCACCTTTCGCCAGTGCAAGGTGCGGCGTTAACTCGGACTCCGTGCTAGGTTTCCCGGAAGCCAACCTGTCAGCTTTAGTGCACGGGATTTGGGAAAATTAGAAAATCAAGAGTACGTTGTGAAGAAACTCGCGCGGGTGGCACGCGACTAATCTCGTGTTGATCATCAGCTTTTGGGTCTGCGAAAAGTCGGATGGCGTGCGTGTCTTGTTTCTGGTTGTCACAGACTATGCTACGAAGGATCAGTCGATATATGTCGTGCGTTCTTTCTTAGTTCACGCTCGGAATGTGATTTGACAAAGAGCATTTCAGATTGATCGACATAACACCTATCGGCAACTCGTTGGCCTTTTCTTTCCCCACCATGAGAATCCTATGATGCCTCTGAAGAATACGCTCGTTGACGGCGAGCTCGTTATCGACGTTGATCCAAATACGAAGCGGGTATGTTCTGCGTTTGCTCACGTCTTACCGTAAATGGACATCTCTCAGGAAACCATGCGCTTCCTCGCTTTCGATTGCCTGGTTATTGACGACCAGAATGTCATGTCCAGAACTCTTGACAAACGATACGGTGTTTGTTCATTTCGTTTGGGGACCGGCAGCCCTTGATGAGACCTTTATAGAGATTGACGGAGTGGTTCTACAAGCCCTATGCAAAGATGATACGCGATCACCCACACATGACGGAATCACAGCCATTTGCGTATGTCACTACTTGCTAGTCTTGGCATGGCCCTTTCTGATACCCTATCCACAGTATCTGCGTCAAAGAAATCAGCTTTTCATATCACGTCGAAAAGGTCTTCAATGTCGACATACCTAAATTACAACATGAAAATGATGGACTCATCTACACCTGCGTCAATTCGCCTTATAGCCCTGGAACAGACCCTAACATGTATGTTCATCGCCATCAATCACCTCCTCCATTAATACTAATTGGCGCACTCTCCCTTGCTTCCTTGTGAAGCCTGAAATGGAAACCTCCCTCAGAGAACTCGATAGACTTTAAGCTAGTCCTGCGATTCCCCCCACTACCGTCTAACCCTGATAAACCTGACTTTTGCGCGAAACCTCTGTTCCTCCTACACGTTTGGTGTGGCGATGAGCGCGGTGTACCCAAATACGAACAATACGACGAAATGCACGTCGCTGAGGATGAATGGGAAGAGTGAGTTTTGATCTTGCCGACGAATGCGTTCCGTTTTATGTTTACACGGAGCTGATTCTTTCCTTTTGAATCGCAGCATGAAACGGTCATCTGAGCAATACGATGATCGCATCGTGGAGGTTCATTGGGACCCTGCGCTCTCAAGCTGGCGGATGATGCGGTTCCGCGATGATAAACCGCAGGGTAACCACCGAAGCGTCGTCGAAAACATAATTAATAGCATCGCTGATGGTGTGGAGAAAGAAGCAGTGAGTTCTTTATTTACCATGTCGTGTTTCTGTCGCTTATCGTGGAATTCTTCAGCTTCTAGCGCGGTCTAATGCAATACGAACGGCTTGGAAAGCCCGCCTTGGGCAACCCCAGCCGCCCCCGGTGCAGGCCCATCCACAGACGCCTCATTTTCAGGGAATGCGACCCCTTCCTCTGCCTCCGATAAACACGAACAAGGTTCGCTCCATACCTCATGCGGAATTCCGTTATGGCCCGTTCGCCCCATCGCCATGGAGTAAAGTCGGTGGGCCCTTGGTCGTCTCGGGAATGAAACGATAATGGAAACCCCGCGCATCTCTTCTTTCGGTACATATGATGCACGCTGCGCTTGCCAGCTCCCTACGTCAGCGCGTCATCCTCATCCTTAACGGGCACATATACCATCAACTCAAATTGCCCCACACGTTGGCGAGTATGCATCTGCACATCACCTCGATCCCCACCCTCGATTCCTCCGGCGTCCTTTTGATACCTTCAGGGCGCTCTCGGTGTCTCCGGGGCTGCGCTCGTCGCCACATTTCAGGAGAATTTAGGAAGCAGACAAATTGTATTTGATCTATTCAATTTCAAACAGGGCACAGAAGAATGTATTGCGGAAACACGGGTCGGTAGCTATGTTTTGGTAGGGGTATACTGGTATTCGGGGTTGTAGATAGGTCTAGGTAGGTTTACCATTGGATGTATTTTTCAATGAATGAAACAAACACCCGGTGATATCGAAATGGAGGGAGGGGGTGACAAATCAGGGAGGGGAATTCGTGACGGTGGTCGTGAGTAACGAGAGCAAATTGCAAACTGATAACAAGCGGGCAACATAGGAGGAGAGACACGAGGACAAAACGATGAGAACGGGTGTGCATGTCTAGTCGTTACAAATGGAGTGAGGGCGAGTGGGATGGGGTGGGTTGGCTACTTAAATGCCGAGGTACTCAAAAAAAAAACCAAGGTAAAAGATGAGGGAATGCTGAAAATATGTAAAGATAGATAAACGGTAAAGTTATCATGGGCGCAGAAAGTTGGTCGTAAAAAGGCATCAGCTGTCCAGGGAATGTGATGGGGGTGAACGAGGGTTAAGTGAAATGGAGCACCAAGCCCGCTGTGTAGGCGAGAATGGGCTCATTGGGGCTGCCTGTGTTGAATTAACTGAAATAACGTCATCAAACTTTTGTGAACGGAAAGGTCATAAGTTGTCGTGCGACAATGCAATGAAGTGAGATATAAATCAAGAAATTGGAAGCAATGATGAATAAAAAGAAGAAAATGCAGAGGTTTTGGAATTGAATGTTCAAATGATGAGGGATGGCGACGGACAAGGCCTGAATGTAGTAGAATGCTGTGTGTGGACGTTGTGTGAATGTGTATGATGCTGATGAAATGGCGTTGCAGTAGATGGGTTGCATAGAACAGATGTGATGCATGAAGAAGTTGAGAAGCTAAACCAGAAGTCGCTTCCTCTGGTATTTTAGAAGGATGCTTAAGCTCTTCCCCTATTAAATAGCCTTCAATTGAGAAAGGCTGGCGAAGAGGAGAGAGGAGAGACGTTAAAGTCAGCGTAGTAACTGGCGTGTTCCTCTTGAAGGGAGAGACAGTTCGCAAACGTATAAGAACGCGTGAGACCTGGAGCACTATAACGGTGGGACCGCTGGACGGTGGGTGGAAGGAGTGAACCATCGAAGAGACCAAAGTCCATGTCTGACAGTGTGATGCGGGGAGCGTCGAGGGCAATCACCGTCGACACAGGGCTCGACTCCAGCGAAGAGGAAGACGATTCAGCCGTAAATTGCCGGCGTGTAGGCGTGTGTGGGGTAATTGAAAGTGCTGCGAACTCGTCGGTTGGTATGTCCTAACGAGAAAAAAGTGCTGTCAGCGCTCGCAAGAGGACAGGTGGGGCGATGATCACACACCTCTGGCGAGCTCATTGAAATGGATAAAAGGATTTGAGTAGAATGGTGCTCAACACCTAGCTCAGTGCTGACAGCGATTGTGCCTGCGACGTTGTCTTCGTCGTCGCGGGTAGAGTCCTCCGACTCCTGGTCAACGTTGGTGTCGCACTGACCATCTGTAACTTTCCACCACTCAATGTCGGCAAGGACCCGCCTGTTGCTGGTCTCTGAACCGGACGAACGTCTGTGTCCGTGACCGCGAGCTACCTGTGGACTCAAGTAGGAATACGGGGCAAGGCGAACTGAAGGAGACGAAGCGGTGCGACGAAGAGAAGGCATGACAGAAGGATGGATTCAAGGTAGAAGAGGTCGCCGCCTAACGCAGTGCCAATGAGTGGAGGGAAGGACACAAGGGACGAGAAAAGCCATTTTTCGTTTATATAATTTTCAGAGCGATGTGACATTTCAAGCGCTTGTTATTTATTCAATCATCGTTCTAATCACCGATTATATCTTTACCCACAACTACTACTTACTCATTACTTACTACTACCTGAAATTGCTACACTCTTCATCGTCCTCATTGCTTTGCATTCTCTATAATAATCTACTTAATTTCTAGTAGATTATCCCACCGATCTACAAATCCTCGGCACGATTGCAGGGTCAGCCTCGCGGCGTCGCCCTCGGCTACAGAAGAAAAATCCACCACGTCGATGACAACCTTCATCTCTATCAAGCATCAACCCAATGCATAATGCTGGCGCATCTCTCACGCGATCATCGCAAACACCTGAATAATTCACAGGTCCCCGCCAACGTTGACGCCTCATACATTCAAGTTGAGCGTCTTGTACTTTGAGACTACACTTTTTGAGTTAGCACCCAGGGCAGATCAGCTAGCTGTCTTGATCACCTTGATATCTCACAGGCATCCACCAGCACCTACAGGCTACAATCTGCGCTCCCTATTCCCCTGTTCCCCTGACTGTTGGCGGTGCAATCGGCTAACCCCTTGAATTAGCGTTATATATGAAGTATCTCTTGTTCCCTTCAATTTTCAAACACATCCAAGTGCAATTTCGTCTACTTCTCCATCATCTGATCCTCCACTACAAGCGTGCCATATACTTTCCGCAATGATCTCAATGAGGTTATCTGGCCCAGTGGGACCAATTGCGAGCCTTTCACGGGTCTAGCTATTGCGCAACAATCTCGCAGGGTCTGTTGCATTTCGAACTCATACGCCTCATGGCGAATCTACGGATCAGAGGTTCACCTACACACGGATACGGCCGAGATACAAGAAGACCACTTTACTTGCACTTTACGTCTTACCCGTTCGAATTTGCGCTTCAAAAAGCGCGTTTTCACCATCATTTGCACCTTATCCGTTGTCGCGCAACGTAAAAACGCGTAAAGACGCGTCAAAGTGGGTGTATTCGACGCGTCTTTGTAACCGGCGTCACTAGAGGGCCGGTTGTCCCGATACGCTTGTACCTGCCCACGCACGCCGCTCAGGCTGATCATCATCATCTACGATCTCTCCAAATTTCACCTCTTTCGTCATAATCGTTTCCACACTGGAGAAATCTACCGCTCGAAGGTCATGCAGGAACATGCAATGTGCCACGGCCATGAGTATCATACAGTAGTATAAATCGCGATATGATGTAATTGGGCTGTTGTAGTCATTCAGAAGTTCATCTGGTGTGCGCTTCAAGCTTCAAGCTTCACTATTGGCGTCCAAGCTATCATCATGTCTTAACTGGAAGAAGCTTCCCAAAGGCCAAGTGAATAAGAATGCAGCGCGTAGTAATCAATCACAATGATGCGGCGAGCGAAGTTATCAGGAAGGTCATAAGATTGATGTCATTACGGATAAGAATTGGCACGTAGTCACTACTATCAGGGTACTCTGAAGTTTGAAGTATGACAAGGAACAAGTTGCTGACTATCCTAGATCGAGCGTAAAACATTCGGCTCCACTCTGAGCGCTCTGACATTTGTCTTGCCCACAACAGCCAAAACTAAAACTAGCTTGAACAAAGATAGGATCCTTCCGACCCGAACGCCCATCTTCACAGCAACCGCAAATTGCACCGCTGTCACCTCAAGAGACACCGGCGCACACATGCCCCCCGACCATCATTGAGAAATGCGTCATGGAAGGGTCAATGATTTACGAAATCGGATTCTTCGTGTCCAGCTACATAAAGTTCGCTGATACGAATTATTTAAAAATCGTAGTCAAGCCTTGTGGAAAGGACGCGCAGCGAAGTTGCAGCGAAGCCCTTGGAGGCACCCCTGATTCCTAGGCCTTGCCTGGGCCAGGGCCCACTGGCTCGGATTAATCACAACGCAGCCGAAAAGCATTCACGCGATACCATTATCTTTGTGAGAATCCGTAGAAGAAAGGGAGTAGAAAGGTGAAGCAATGGGAGAGTGGGAGCTCAGTCAACGAGATCGAGGCACCGGAAGAACATGGTGCAACTTGAGCGCGTGAAACGAAGAGGGCAAAGGGATTGGGTGTGCCAGTGTGGTGAAGAGGGATAAAAGGTTCAGGCCGAGGCGGAAGTGGTAATGGTGAAGGTTCAGACTGTCAGTAGCTAGGTCGCCGCTGCTGAGGAATCCCCAGTGAAACCGTCTGGAATATACCTCTATCTCTGTCCCGAACCTTATACAGTTAACAATCGCATGAGCATTCGTTTAGTCAACGCCATGGCGGTTCCTGTCTTCGCCTTGGGCCTTTCTGACTCTCTCGACGTCCGCGCCTGGCACCGGGTGCTCGAGATTCAGCGACAAGACTCCATTGGTTCGAAGCATCGCCTGCGACCCGTCCATTGATGTTCGACTCTTCTGTGCGAAGAATCGATAAGATAATTCCATTCCGCAAGACAACGCGTTCCTTTCGAAGTTCGCCATGCATGACTCCCCGTTTATGAATGAGACAAAGTTCTTGGTTGGCTATCATCATGTAATCATCAAAGAGTGTGTCACGAGAAAGAAACACCGCACCATTTATCCATGCGAAGTCTGAGACGTCTATTATAGTGGGACCAATGATCGATCCTTTGAGATGCTGGAAGCAAAAGAATTCATATGCATCGTCCTTGCAGGTCTAGCAGAATATTGCTTCTCGCTGCAACATCTGTCTCCCGATCTTCCAAGGCGCGACTTGGAGGGCAAATTTTTTGTAATCCGTAGTGCCGATGAATACTCGTCCTGCGAATCCGTGCCCAAGACACTCAGAAAGTGATACATCATTTCGTCGGATGGAACAAGCGATGCAATAGACGTGAATGAATTATCCCCATTGGAAGGTGGATCAGATTCGCAATAAATCAGAAAAGAGCGGACTGAGCACCCCCAGCAGCAGAGGTATAGATGATTGCCTTTTTCCTAAAAACAACGAAAATGAAATTAGTAGCCTCTGCCAAAACTCAGGCATGCATACTATAAGTGAGGTTGATGACAGATATGTCTTCCAATTACTCCGGAAACCTCGAACAGCTGGTATTGAGACAGCAGGAATGGCAGGAGGTTGGCGGGGATAGCTGGGCAGGGCCGTCGGGTTTCCGAGAAGGGTATAAATAGCAAGTGGCATCCTTGCAAGATCGGTGCGATCAATAAAATCCGAAGAAGCCAGACCTCTCCGAACGTGTCCGTGCTACAGAACAAGGAAAAGAGCATGAACTTGTGACCGCCAAAGAGAATAAGTACTTCAAGGCATCAGATTTCTCCCACTGATCACGAAGACACCCATCTGGAAGCAATGTTTGGTTGCAATTTCACAGTGAGGGAGTTGGGATGGCTTTTATGTTGATATCGTACATCCCTCCTCGTTTAAAACGTCACGAGCTGCCGTCCTTGATGTGTTGGGCTAGTGCGAGAATATCCGGGGCGACCGCATCAAAAAGTGACCAGCGTCAGCTTCATAGTCAAGACAGGGTTAAGTGCCTGAGCGAGTAGGAAATATCAAAGCTTCCCGAGTTTTGCTGTGCAAGGCCCAACCTCATGTCACTTGTGTGGCGGGTAGAGCGTTGTTTCGATCCACGTCTCTAACCGCATATCAAGTGAGCAGAAAAATCAAAAGATCCCATGGCTGATTTATGACTCTTTCGCTTCTCAGGTAGCCTGAAGAGGTATTGGGCACCTTGACTGGCAAGTATTCGATCCAAGTTGGAGGTGGAAGCTTGTTGCGGCCCCAGTCCATGTGAAATTGAGATTTAGGGAATAGTTTCCTGCAGAGTACTCGTTGCACGCAAGATATAGATTTTATTCAGATCAGCCAGGTAGTCCGAGCAGCAAAGAACCGAGATACCGAATGCAAAACCGGATGTTGGAAGTAAGTCGTAGTGCGCGCCTGTAGTGAAGTTGAAAGGAACTCATTGACAACAACGACAAACAGAAAGGATAACTCGCAGAGAACGATACGACGATTCAAAGTTTCCAGCTCCTCGGGATGCAGCGTTAACCGCCGTTAAGCACCCTGTGAAGCCTACAGTGAACACAGGTGATGTTGAGCGACATCTTATAAATATCTTTTCGGTCGGACATCCGTCAACTGGTCGATCCGTTCGGGTTGACGCTGAACCGCCCAGCTTATCTTTCTACATAACCAACTCATACCCTAGGAGAATACCCTCGAATGTCGGGAAGCATAACCATATTCTATGGAGCGGTCATCAACCCAACCAGTCTGACGGCGTACAGCGCCTTCCCTCGATCTCTTATCGCTGTTGGACCTACTGGAAATATCGAGTGGATCACAGAAGAGGTTCTGCCGCATCAACTACAAGATGAGTTGGCGCAGCGTGGATGCTTGAGCGAAGATCTCGTCGAGCTGAAGGACGGCGAGTTCCTTATTCCAGGATTCGTTGATACCCACACGGTTCTTCCTCATATTCAAGCCTTGTATTTGATGGTTGTTCAACATTTCTTATCATTGTAGCACGCACCTCAAGTTCCGAATATGGGGGTGTAAGTCTCCTTCGTGACCTTCCAGCTTGGGGCATATGGGGTTGACGTTTCGGCCGACAGCGGCCAACAATATGAACTTTTGGACTGGTTGGAAAAAGTTACATTCCCTACGGAAGCCAAATTCTCCGATCTTGAATTCGCGCAGCGGACATACCAGAAGGTAGTCAGGCAGTTTATTGGCGCGGGGGTATGTCAGTTTTCTGCATAGGCTCTTCCCTTCTTACATCTGTGGTAGACAACGACTTGTTGTTACTACGGTACATTGCATCTTGAGTCAACCAAGATTTTAGCAGATATCGTGCACAGTTATGGTCAACGAGCATTCGTCGGCGTAAGTGGTTCACGACTCCCATTTGCGTCAAATTTTCATGATTCACAGAAATGCAACATGAACCGCGAGTCCCCGCATTACTATGTCGAATCGTCCACCTCATCATCATTGGCCGACACCCGTGCACTCATCACGTATATACGATCTCTACCTTCGGGACCAAGTCCACAAGCAGCGTCCAATGAACCTCTCGTCCAACCTATCCTTACTCCGCGCTTCGCCATTTCTTGTACCTCGGACCTCCTCGCATCCCTTGGTGAAATCGCATCCTCGGATCCAACGTTGCGCATCCAAACGCACATCTCTGAGAATCCACAAGAGGTCAAGTACACAAAGCAACTCTTCCCAGATGCAAACAGCTACGCCGATGTGTATGACAAGCACGGTCTGCTCAACAAACACACGATCTTGGCCCATGCTGTTCACCTTGAGGTTGAAGAAGTCGAATTAATCAGAAAGCGAGGAGCAGGGATCAGCCATTGCCCAACAAGCAACTTCAATTTGCGAAGCGGTGTTGCTCCAGTGGGTGTGTTCTTAGACAAAGGCATCAAGGTAGCTTTTTTCTTAACTGACAGAAAAACTATCTTAACATTTCGACTCAGGTCGGATTGGGAACAGATGTGTCAGGCGGCTTTTCACACTCGATGCTCACGGCGATACAACACGCTAGCATGGCTTCCAAAGTCCTCTCCTTCCACCCGTCGTCTCCCACCGTGGTCTCATCATCACCAACCTCGTTCGCGAACCGACACCTTCCAATCGCCACCCTCTTCTACCTTGCCACGATGGGGGGAGCTTCGGTCTGCGGGCTCGATGCTCATATCGGATCATTTGCACCGGGAAAGGCATTTGATGCGCTTCTCGTCACAGTGAGGAGCGGGACTGGGGCTGCGTCTGTGCACCTGGACGAGGAACATAAAGAGAAAAAGTTGGATGAGTGGCTCGAACGGTTCTTGTTCTGCGGCGATGACCGGAACATCGAGAGAGTATATGTTCAGGGAAGACTGGTTGGTGGACGCACATTCACCCCCGCCAAACCTCTGAATCTTCCTGCGGTGGTCGCAAACTAGTCGCTTTTCATATTTCCCTTGTAACATTCAATTAGCAGTAGATAATAATTTTAGGTCCGAGTTCAAGTTCAGTTGTGCGTTCTGTGGGGGAAAGCAACCACTACCTCTTACTAATAAATACTATGCAATACAGGTCTTAGACCTAGCTTCTTGCAGAATGGAGGTACTTCCTCATCCTTGGATCGTACCCTTGGTCGCAGATCCCTATCCACCAGAAACTGTTACATCGCGTCTAAAGGATTTGCTCGACGGGAAAGAAGTAGGCGGTGTACCCAGCGGACTACCCAAAGGCGACAGTCGGAAAATCGCACTCTACAACTTTGTCCGTCAGCTTGACTTGTCATTGAAGCCTGAAGCAATTGATGCTGTCTGGCATGCCGTGTTCAGCATGGCAAATAAGCTTTGGTGTACATCTGACATAACAGATGCAACTTATTGGTGGACGGAGGATTACCTGGCAGAAGCGGCAATCGATGCGATACCAGAAGAAGACGGCGACGACGATTACGGTTTAGTAGATGGGTATGATAAAGTTTGGATCGCATCGGCTCTTGGGGCTGCACGCCTCTACGCGCTTGGATATGGCTACTCTCCTTGGGCGTGGAACTGATTCCTTGACGGGCTCGATTTGGAGCCGGGATGCGTGATTTCTGACAGCATGCGTATTGGAACCTGTGCTTAGCTGCTTGGAGGTGGGCAAAGGTTGAAGTTGCACATCCACGGTGGGGGAGACTGGTTTGCGGGGCCACATTTGGGAGGGAGATACTTGGCAGGCCGGTGGCGCCAGACAGAGCAGGAAAAGAAAGAGGGGGAAGAGTTTTGGCAAAAGGTGTTGAAGGCGTTGGAAGACCAGCAGCAGCACGCTGGAGAAAAAGCAGCAGCGATTTTGCACAAGACTCTGGAGCATTTGAAGGCAGACGCACCTGACATGACGAGTATCGAAGTCGCCAACATCATTTGGCCAAAATCAACGTCGACGTGAACTTGAGTGGACCTTTGTAAATTCGTGTACTTGTATCTAGCTTTTATTCTGTGTTGTGCCCAATAAGTTGACCTCGGGACCTACTCAAACTAATAACCAGTCTAAAAACCCATTGAAGTGTCTGTCCGTGGTGTCTCGAGCTTCCATTGCAAAACGTCAATTATAACTAGCCACGTAGTACTGATCTTGTCATACTTATATCAAGTTTTAGAGCTATGCAGAAAACATAACGAACTCACAAAGTCCCTGACTACGACATGAACGTCAGGGTCTCCAGACTCCACGCTCCTAATTGCTATATGGTTCCCCAACCCAGGGTCCATGACAAGCCCAGGATGAGTGGTCGACCACCGGACTCCCACTGTCAAACAGCAAATCTGGACCTCAGGTCCTCTTTGATGGTCAGGTAGATCGTCAAACTTGATGTCTTCCAACTCTGTGACTAGAGTGAAGCCAAGAATGATGAGCATTTGCCGAGGACTGATAATTTTATAAAAGGCTTTAGTCAAGGTAGCACCGATTAAGGAAACTTTGACGAACAAAATTCCTTTTCACACTTCCCATGTCGGGTCCCCGCTCCTAGAATGATATTCACGAGCCACCGCATGGCGGAGACGCGTCCACGCTCAAAGGAGAGGTCTTCTAAAGTACCCTGACGATTCGTGGAAGGTGCGCCGTTCTTGTCTGATCAATGGGTCAACGGCTATTTTGATGGTGTATTCATAAGCTTCTTCAGAGTAGTGACAGCCACTACGAAATCCAAGCCTGTACGTAACGATGAGACCTTAAAAGTGCGAGAGTAATCTGTATACCTCGGGCACCTCCTCAAAGATGCAAACAAGACTTCCAGCCGTCTGGACATCAGGACAGCTCTCCCTGTTGAGATCATGCCCCAGTAAGAGTTATAGCGGTCATTTATCCGATCCAGGGAAAGCGAAATGAATTTTGGTGTGTCACATTCTTGACTGTTGGGTTGCAAAGCAGGTGTGGAGAGTGACACTAGAAAACATATGTTGGGTCTTCAGGCTAATGCCAGTTGGTCTGAGTCGTCAGTTGGAGGTTTATGTGTTGAACGCCGAGAGCGTTGGAGGCAACGAGGAGCACTTTAATGACCTGGGCTGAGATAGAATCAGAAACTGAGCTTCATCAACCATACATTAGAAATAGCATACCTAAATCGCCGGAAATTTGAATCAATGATTCAACGTCCAGTATGTCGAAGTTTTAACCTCATCGCTGTAGTCACCTATGAGAAGAAGGAAGGAACGTCACGCAGCCGAGTGAATGGGAAAGTAATCATCGGCTCAGGTATCAAAGTTATATGGGGCCTCCACGCGTGGCGCCTTCTATATGAATCTATCTTACAACAAATTCCGTCTTCAAAGCTTGAATTACAAGTCCTCAGGTTTGTCCTTGAAATCTCCAAATTTCCATTTGTAACAGTCCTATCAGTCAAGTCAAAAATGGTGTCATGAATCACCCAGATAGACACTGACCACACAATTCTCCTCTACCTTTGCCCGGGGGACGTCTCTTCCTCTTCTTGGTCCAGGCTTTTTCGTTTTTGTATCCTTGTCTTTCCGTTTCCCAGGCCACCAATAACTGTCTTCGTCTTCATCCTCGCCCCACTCGACCTCATCTCTTTCCAACACCTCCAGAACTACATTACGGATGACATGCTTCCTGACGTCCACTGCCCACCCCAACTTGCCAACCGTGTCAAATACAATAGTCTTTCCGAGATGACAGTGCGTCTCCAATGCATAGCCCGCTTGGGCACAGGGTGAATTGAAGCCTGTACATGAACCTTGTGGTATGGGATCGGCGGTGTGGTATACATGAGTGGTGGCGATTGGCCGATGATCGAGGGCCGAATAGGCTGGGTTAGATTCGTTGTGGGGAGGCGGGGGCAACGGGAGGTGGAGACGGCTCGCAGCAAGATGCTCGCCGGGAGATTCGAATGCGACCGCTGGGAGGCCGTAAGTTGCGCCGAGCAGACTGGCAAGGGCGCCTCCCAAGGAATGTCCGACTAGCCACACGTTGGAGCCCGGGTAGATGCGAAGAAGGTCGTCTACCAGTTTCTATTTGGGATTTATGGTGAAACAGATTTTAGCAGAGGGAAGGTCACGCACGACTCCAATAGAATAGAAAAGACTGTCTTGGATGAGCGCATCGGTGAGGCATCTGCTGTCGCAGCGCCAGTTCTTAGCGTAGCAATCGCACACGGTGCGAAATATCCATGAAAGGTCGACTCGGGCGCAGCAGCATGAGAAGAGCCTAGTAATGACCGCTTAGATGCGTATTGGACATATGTGGGATGGGACGTACAGATTGTCATTATATTTGTCAAGCTTGGACGTTGGGCCTTGAAGGGTGGTTCCCTTTATAGAAAGAACGATGGTCGAGTTGTCGGAAGAGAGGAAGACGTGACCTCTGAATCCCTCTGACTCTTCCCAGCCAAAGGGGAAGCTCTAGCATAGATTCGTCACAAAAAAACTGCTGCTGAACTCAAGTTTAACTCACCATATTCCATGCTTCGTCAATCTCGTACCAATTCTTTTGACCTGGAAGGGCATACGCGTTGCCAGCCATGCGTGCTAGCTGGGCAAGAGTGTGTCGCTCCTCTATATCGGGACCTTGCACTTCTGTAGGATTCCATTGTAATTGATCCACCAGGCTCTGAGAGTGGTGTAAAGATCGAAGCCGATATTGGTGGAGGGCGTCGAGAGAGTCAGGCCGGTACACCGTCGTCGGACGTGACTTGAGCTGGGGAATGGTTGGGGAAACGGATGACGGTGCAGTCGGGGTGAAAGAGGTAGTGTCTACAACAGGAAATGCGTCTGATTGAAGCAGGTGGTGGTTAGGGAATGAGAGATCATTGAATGGATGTCGACGCGCTGCTGCTGCTGGGAGGAAGATGAAGAATAGGATTTGCAGTGGGAGCATGATATTCAAGTCTCATTTTGGTCCTGGACGCGGCTACATCAGGCACGTCTTCCCACCGCATCTCAACATCGACCTCGTCGTTGCCACCAACGACTGTGGTAATTTCAGCACCTCAGTATATTCTACATAACGACCTCTCACGACTTTCCTAGTTCCCAAAGTCCATGCCTTGCCAATCATTCACCGTTAAGCCTACATAAGTCCGGCAGCGCCTCCGAAGATCCGGTCAATCAGGGTCGGATGAAGCTTGCTCATGTTAACCATCGTCCTCATCCTTTCACTCTCTGTTCTTAGGCAGTCGTCAGACGTCAACGCAGTGCCATTAGCCACAGTAAACTCACGCGCCATTGATTCCACCAGTTGTGATTGTCCCATCATCTTCAACACTGGTGGTTCTTCTCGCTCTATCTGGGACATCGTCTGGAGCTGCCTTCTCACCATATTCGCCTGCACCTGGCTCGCTGTGCACCTTAACATTCCCGCCGATGGGGATAGCTTTTGGATTGTTGCACGACGACGGCTGCAGGTGATGGCGTATGCCATTCTTGCGCCTGAGATGACAATCTTGTGGGCGATGAGGCAATGGGTTGGTGCCAGGCAATTGAAGGACAAGTACCAAGATAGGGGTATGGCATCTCTAATCTTCAATTGGTTCTCAATTACAAAGGCTGGTTAGGATGGACAAAAACACACGGTTTCTTTATCCAAATGGGAGGGTTCAGGCTTCTCAGCACGGACGTTACTCCTCGCGTCCTCTCTCCAGAAGAATTCGAGGTTTTGCTCGAGACTGGGGAAATTGATTTCCCCTCAATCACAGAAGAAGAGATAGCGGACAGGAGCAAGAGCGACATGCTTGCTAAAAGTTTGGTGGTATTCCAAACGTTTTGGTTTATCGTTCAATGCATCGCGCGTGGAGTGCAAGGGCTCGTCATAACAGAACTTGAGCTCGTAACGTTGGCTTTTGCGGCTTTGAACGGAGTGATGTATTTCTTCTGGTGGCACAAGCCTCTCGACGTACGGAGTCCTGTGACCATACATTTGAAGGAGGCTACGGAATCAAAGCTGGTCATAGGTCACCTTCCTGTGCAGCAGGAGAACTTGAGATCCCCTGACAGTGATCTGGACGGCTGCGTACCAGAAGAGGTGGTCGACAAGAAAGCCACGAAGACACCCCTACCCTCGTTTTCTGGTCCGGCAGAATCTGCTTCGCAGTATAGTTGGAAGTCGGACAGCGAAAACCAAGGATTTTGGCACAGGGTCCTTTTTCCCTTGATTCTTCGCCCTATTCGCGCAGTTGTTGAACCTATCCGCGACATGGCAAACGCAAACGAAGTTGACGACATCAAAGATAACAGCCGCGTTCCCACTTACTACGCGTACAAGTTTGACCGCGAATGGGAATTGAGGATCCTATTCTTGTGTACCTTCTTTGGTGTGGTCTTTGGAAGTATCCATTGTATTGCCTGGGCATTCACTTTCCCTTCGCACGTCGAACGTATGTTGTGGCGAACAGCATCCTTGATCGTCACTTGTGTGCCGTTGCTAAATGCCATATTGTGCATTCTATATTCCTCATTGTTCGAAAGCCTCTGGCAGTTGGGGGTTGAGTACTCGATCGCTGCTGGATTCGTTCTCTATGGGCTGGCTCGGATGGTGCTGCTCGTCCAGGCGTTCACTTCGCTGCGAGCGCTTACACCTCTCGCGTACGAGACCGTCCAGTGGACATTGTTCATTCCCCATATCTTTTAGTCGCAGAAACTTGTCCTCTCGAGAGGCTTCTTCCAAGCGGTTAAAGAGACTTCCTCGCACGGATTACGTGGTCATGACACAGATTCTCGCAAACGAACGTCGTACAGCTCGGGTCCCAAACCGAAGATAAGGATCGGATGCCGTCGACAGACACCCCACAATAAGAAGGGATCCTTCTTGACGTCCTCCTACCTGCAATTGAAGACGGGAAAATCAATGCGTGATATTGTTCGGGATAGCCGTAGTGACCCAAACAACACTCGACCCCGACGACAATTTATCGTTAAGAAGACCATTCTTGACCTAGCGTAGTTCGTAGAAGGATCGAGAGAGTCACATCAATGTTTGGATGGTCAAGCGCGTAATTTCAAAGTGGTACCCAGCGAGGGGGTGTCGAGTTTACGGAATCTTCTGGTGGCAGCCCCTTGGTGCATACCTGTGGTCTAACTATGTCCTCGATCCTCCCTGATTCGAACTGGCACTCACAGCTGCTCCGTCCACTCATGCCAGTTTCACGGACTTTGTACCTGCTGCACCTGTGAGTCATTCATCCACTATCCGCTTCTACAGCTGAACGACCATGTTCGTGCCCTCCTTCTACGCCCCTCCCTACACATCTCATTCCTCCGGAAATCCAGTTAGATGTGTCAAGATCAAGGTACAGCTTTATGGACAACATTTGGTAGAAATTGAAGGGTCTTCTCTGTCGCACGCTAAACACAGCCGCCGCGCTGAAGTCAACCACCCCAGTTACGCGGCGCATTTCTCGCCCTCTTTATGACCGCATCTTTTCGGAGCTCTGGTCACCCGATGGATTCAATGTATACTTGATGCTTTTCAACTTCTCAGACTCTGTGGGTGGGCAATTGTAAGTGACTCTATTCTTCCTTGCTCTGCATTCAGTCTGATATCGGATTCTTGACTCTCCATAGTGCGCTACGATCTATTGGCAAACATCGGCCCCTTGTCGAAAACGACGTAAACTTAGTGTTCTCATCGTTGCGTCAAAGCAGTGCAAAGGTGAGTGAAATCTCACCGCTTTGATTTGATTGGTAGAAGGTATGGTAGCTGTCGTCTAGTATTATGTTGGTATACAATGTAGGTAGGAGAGAACTAAGGATTACAAAAAGTCAACTGGATAGTCACCATGTATACAGGGGCAACTTTGTATTCAGCCCTCCACAAACATAGGAACCAACTCCCCAGACACCGAATCTACGACCTCCATGTCTTGAACTGATTGCAATAACTCCGTGGCAGGATTCATTTGTTGCTGGAAACAGGGAGCTAGAAAGACCGAGATGTCTGACTTTTTCACCTGTGGGTGACTTATAGCCGCCCTAACTGAGTACACGGGAGCCTTTTCGCGCACAATGTAATCAAGGATTTGGCGGTAGCAAAGCGGGATAGAATTGTATATTTTTGAAGCAGCAGTAGTTTGAGGAGTGCGCGTATTGGGGCGTATGCGATGTTGTTGGCTCAGGGAGCGAAGCTCTGTCACTGTAATATAAGGGTAAGCAAGGGAGTGAAAGGAGAGAGCATACAAACATACTATTATCAATGTTGTACCTAGCCATTTCTGCTTTTGAGGTTTTGGAGACGGCACTGCCTTCATCTAAAAGCAGGTAACCAAAAGCTATGGGGGCGAGTCAGCAGACCATCGAGGGCATAAGAGAAAAAGAGACCTTCCGCCACTTTTGTAGCTATTTCCCATCGAAGGACGGCGTCGTCCGTCTCCCGCTGCCTCTCCTCGATCTGCCGCAGCCTCTCCTTAACATCGTACATCTCACACTTAAGAGAGTCATTTGTTGTAATCAGCGACTTATTATCGGCTTTGAGTTTCTCATTCCTCTGTGAACTGTATTAGATAACATTGCAAGGATGATGAGGCTGACATACATCTACGTAGGGGAGTTTATGTTCGAACTGTACACCGTTTTCGTCTACAGACACAACACGATATTCGTCGATCTCGCCAGATGTGCTGAGGGCCAACAGGGTCCGGTCGGCTTCGTCGAAACATTAACAGTGTCAAGAACACA